CAGCGCAACTATGCAGTCCACGAGCAAGAACTTCTTGCAATCATTCGTGCACTGGTCCTCTGGCGGCATTACCTACATGGCATCAAGTTTGAAGTGATTACAGACCACAAATCAATCGAGTTCCTTAAGACGCAAAACAACATATCCCCGCGCCAGGCCCGCTGGCTGGATATCTGGCAGGAATTCGACATGAAAATCATTTACCGCAAGGGCGCTCAAAATGCAGTTGCTGACGGCTTGTCACGCTCACTCGAATCGCAACCCGACAACATAGTATACGCAGCGTCACATTCAGGCAAGGTGCCACACATGGCACTGACGCCACCGACAGGACGGACTGCACCAGCTATACCACTAAATGATGCCCCGCTGAACAACACGAGTAAAAACGATGACGCCGCACACACATCCGTACCTATACCTATGCCCATACCCATGCCCAATATCAAGACAACCACTCCAGCTGCACAGACAACGAATTTTCCGCCAACGCCAGCCGTGGTCGACAGAACATATTTGACTGCCGATGAGCGCAGAGAACTAAACCGTGCTGAATATGTGCGCAAGTCGCTGCACTACAAGAACTACCAACGCGGATGTCGCGCTGAAGCCGAAACAGAAGCCAAACGAACACAAGAGACAGTGGCTGCAGAAACGACGAGTGCAACCATGGAGACTGACCAGCCAAAGGACAATACGCACAACGACGACCTGATAGACCAATTTGAAAAATGGAAACTGTGCGCACTGTTTGTGCCACGCACAACTGCCAACAGCATGGAGGTTCAGCTGCTACACGACGATGCGACGATGCCTTGCAAGGCATATCCAGATGACGCTGGATTTGATGTATACTGTATAACCAAGTTTGTGCTCGAGCCCAAGGCCCAACACCTTGTCCCATTAGGCATCGCCGCCAAGGCGCCAATAGGCACATACCTGCGCATTGCCCCACACAGTAGCCTGGCTGCCAAGGGTGTTGTGGTGCTCGGAGGAATAGTCGACGGGGGCTACCGCGGTGAGATTTCAGTACTCCTGTTCAACACAGGCAATATAGAGATTCCGTTCGCTGCACATGACCGCATAGCACAGTTGATTCCAACCAAGATCGCACACTCACACATCACTGAGGTCAAGTCCTTTGAGGAGACAGCCGGTGGAGCCAACGGGTTCGGCTCTTCAGGAAAAGGGGGGAGGATAGCAGTCCGCATGGCTGCTGTCAAAGCGCTAACGCTGAAGACGAGCGCGAACCCTGAGAACTCCTACAAGGGCGACAGCAAGTTGGAGAAAATTATGGAGAGGATTAGTAGTGGCGAAGAACCAACATCCAGAGCCGAGCGCGACATTACAAACAAATTCCATGCACAGGGTGGTGTCCTGTTCAAGAAAGGACGCCGCTGCGTTGGAACAAAGCAAGACAGATCACTACTGCTGGCCGAGTTCCATGATGCTGCAATACACCCGGGTATAAAAGCAACATACGACAAGCTGAGTGAACTATTCTATTGGCCAGGCATGTATGTGGATTGCGAGAATTATGTCACAACGTGTGACCTGTGCCAAAGAGTCAAAGGCAGCAACAGGCCAAGCGATGGACCGCTACAGCCGCTACAGATCCCGCGACGCAACTGGTCAAGTGTGAGCATGGACTTCATTGTCAGCCTACCTAAGACAAAGGACGGATATGATGCAATCATGGTCGTCGTTGACCGCCTGTCCAAGATGGCACACTTTGTACCAACACACAATGCCGCAACCGCCCAGACAACCGCCGACCTGTATTTCAAGACCATCTACCGCCAACATGGCCTGCCCGAGTCCATAATATCAGACCGTGATCCGAAATTCCGCTCTGCATTCTGGATGGCACTGTGGAAGCAAACTGGAACGCAACTCAACATGTCCACTGCCGGCCATGCACAAACTGATGGACAGACTGAGCGTGTGAACCAGATACTGGAGTCAATGCTGCGTGCGACGTGCAACAATTACCAAAACGACTGGAACCAACACATAGTGCATGCAGAGTTCGCCTATAATAGTCGCAGCAACAGCTCGACACAGCACAGCCCATTCTATGCAAATTATAGCTTCCAACCATTGAACGCCGCCACCATCGCCTTCAACATGGAAACTACTGAGCCCAATACCGACGCCGACGATACAATCCTGAAGATTAAACAGATTAGCGAAATAGTCAAGGAAAACATCGAATTCGCACAGCTACGCATGATCAGAAACCACGACAAGAAGATAACCTCACCCGACATTGTGCCAGGCGATGAAGTAATGATCTCGACGAACTTTACAACGCCACCTTACCTGCGTAACCGGTCCAGCAACTCACTGCAACATAAATGGGCTGGGCCCTACAAGGTCGAAGAACAGATCGGCCGAAATGCATTCCGCCTCAAACTCCCACTCGACATGCGCATTCACCCGGTCATTTCGTGGTCACACCTAAAAAAATACCATGCTGCCGACGATCACCGTGCCGCACTCCGCTCTGAACCACCACCTGTAGAAGTTGCAGGACACCTCGAGTATCAGGTCGAAAAGATTGTTGACGACCGTGTGTGGAGGCGAAAACGCCAATACCTGGTGCAGTGGGAAGGATATGGAATAGAAGGACGAACATGGGAGGACAAGAGTAGCGTGGATGAGACAGAAGCATATGAACGATATTTAACCGCGCGCGCTATCGCCAAGACCGACGGAGTCTGATCTTAAGTAGGGGCGAATGTGACATCAGAAATGGGGGCCGAGTCACGTGACAGCGCAGACGCGTAAAATATGTTTATGATATTTTACGCGTACGGCGAATTCTGAATAGTGAGCTCTTTAGCTCTTCCCGTAGTCTCATTTCTATTAATATATATTATAGCTAGTCCAAATCGCATTACACATATCGTTGTGCTTAGTTTTATTGTATTTCTCTCATTACTTATTATATTTCAAAGCCCAAAACTAGCCCTCCCCAGCTGCTCCTTGCAGCTATTTACCCTTATCTTCAGTTCATACAATGTAAACGTTTCTTAGATCTGTGCACCTAGTAGCTTGTCCTGACACCTGCAACCCAACTGTTGTTTCTCCAAATACCAGCATACTTGTTTTTTTTGGTTCTTTTAACACCTTTTGTTTTGGTAGCTGAACACACAGCTAACAAGAAAAACTATTGTACAAAGCAACAAAGCAATGATATTACTTTGCTTTTTTGTCCACTTAATTCCCAAAAGAAAGCTTTGAATGAACGTATTTTTCAATTTATTTTTATTTTTAATAAAGCCGACACACGCATGCCAAGTTTACTTTATTTGTTTCTGTCCTGCCATTTTTTAGCGCAGCCGCTGCCAATTGTTTTTATGTGCAATGTGAGCATTTGTCTTTTACTCTTTCTTCTCTTCCATTTTTCAATTTATCATTTTAGAAATTACTATTTAAAATATTAGAGTAATTTTAGAACACGTTCACGCCGCTTTAAACAACAACAACATTGCTATCAATATTATTTCTTTCGCTATGCCTTGCTTTAGCCAGCTTCCATTTGTCATTCTCAACCGCATTCTATGCGTAGCCATTGGCACTGGCGAACACGATATCGACGCGTGGGCAGACAGATTGCCGCTGCTGGGCGTCTGCCGCGGGTGGAGAGAAGTGGCCACTGGCTTGGTCTACTGTAATGCCATACTTGATGGGTCTAGCGAATATAGTCTTGGTTTTGTTGAGCACTCGCACGACACCGCTGTCAAAGACAAGCTCGTTAATACCAACATTGGGCTGCTCAAGGCTACTGGAAACACGCACCTGGTAAAAACTGTGACCATCAAGGTTAGTCATTTTGAATGTTATCGCTCCCTGCTCGCCGAAGCAAATTCAATATTCTCGTTTGAAACGAGTGACTGGAGCAGAGTCAGCGCACTCAACATCAGCGGCTACCAGTTCAATATCAATAACGACATTGGCAGCGAATCTCAGTCTGATATTATGGATGATGCCAATGAATTTGCTCGGCAAATGGGAAAGTGCATGCCAGGTGTGGATAGTTTGGACAATATGACGTATCATGATAATGCCCCTATATTTGATATGACCGGTCTATTGACACAAATGTATTCGCGCAATTTAAAGTATTTTTGCAGCAATCAACCATTTACACTTGCCGAGTCAGCAGAGTCAGCGGAGTTTACCCAGCTCACAACGCTCAATATCAATATGAACCATATGCAGTACATCCCACACGTGTGCTGCCAGAAGTTGCAGACGCTGGTGCTAAGAAATGTCACTAGTGTGTTTTCTTGGAGCAAGCTGGCAAATACCAAGCAGGCGGAAACCATTGTGTTTTCCAGCCTGCGCAAATTGGAGTTTGAATTGTATAAAAGTTTTGATGTGCAAAGCATTGGGAGTTCGAGTGAATTGCAGTTCCCAGCTCTCCAGAAGCTGAGAGTCACAGTCTTGACATTTGACATGCTGGAAGAATTTATGGATTTCAAGGTGTTAAAGTGCCCACATGTTACACAGCTTTACATTGACGTCAATGAATTTAAGGACCATTTAGATGATGATTTCAATATCCCAATGCAGCACAGCAAAAATCTGGCAGCCAGTATAAAGCAGCATATTCCCAATGTGACTGAGTTAAGTATAGGTCGTTATTCTTGTAATAGCAAGATCCTATTTTACGATGAGTTGGTTAGCCTTTACATTGACCAGCTTGTTCACGTCAACATCTCTTTCCCAATAACATTCACTGCAACACAGTTTTCCTGCGAGCTCGTGCACTTGTCGCTGAATCTCGATTTGAATACTTTGCAGAGCCTTCCAAACGTGCTTTTTGAAACACTGGAATACTTGGACTTGATCAATGTACATCCCACATTTGCATGGGAGAAAATGCTAAAAAACGATTCGACAGCTGAGGATATATGCTTTAAGCGCTTGGGATCTTTGAACATCAAATACAGTGAGAGTATTGAGAACGAGGAGAATAGTGAAAGAGAGTACATTGCTTTGGAATGCCAGCAATTTATAAGCAGCCAGAAGGAGCAGCAGAAAAAACAGAGTACAGTCAATGCTTTGTGCCCCAGACTGGAGAATCTGTGGATTAGTAATGCCACGGTCCCCAGACTCCAAAAAATAATGAGATGCGGCTCTGGCCAGTGGCCCTGTGTCAGGAGTGTAGACATATGGTTCCAGAAATACGACATTTCCAATGTTTTGGATATCATTGACAGCAATGAATATATGCAAGCTACATCTGCGTTTGCTGAATATATGGTCAAGGCAATGCTCAATGTTAATAACTTAAAGATGCTGTTGTTCGACAACAGCGACAAGCATTTAAAGCAATTTTGCAGCATTGTTTCCAACGGCTACGCTCACCGGCTAATAAGCTACGATTGCGGTATTCCAGTTGTGTGGACAGCCAATGCGTTTTCGCCTGAGCTTAGGCACCTGAGTGCCAATTTGGATGTAAATGGAAAACAGGCCCTGCCAAAAATCAACGTGGCAAATATTGAGTCAATTGAACTGACAGGAGTCATAAGCGGCGTTTCATGGAAGAGCTTTGCAAGCAATAGTGGTGATTCAGCGAGTATTACTTTCAGCAACTTAAAAAAATTGACTGTGCACCACTCCTACATGGAAGATGAACCCGCGCTAGCAGACAAAAATGATTCTGAAACAAGCAGCAAAGAATATTTTGTGTTGCACATGCCCAAATTAAATGACATTACTCTTTACGAAATTGGTAACAACTTTGGGCTTTTGAACGCCTCTATCGAGTTCAGGCGCTTGAAGCATGCATATATTCATGGATCGCATACGCTTAATTTATTGGGCAATACAAGCAAGGCATGTATTGACGGATGCACGGTTGATATAAGGCTAAATTCTGATGCTGATTTGGATGCGTTCTACGAGGCAACAAACGCATTTTTTGGAAGCTCAACCAAAATAAGCCACGCAGAGCTGATTATCATTATAAATATGGACACAGACGTGTGTTTGCAAAAATGGGATTCGCGGCGCATTGAATGGACCAGCCTTCATATTTTGGAGATACGCGATGTGCTTAAGCTTGGCGCAGTTGTGGATATGCTGGCCAGAGTGCCCAAACTGACCAAACTAGAAGTGTATGGTATTCTCTTTGACGAGGCCTTTGAGCCCAGGCTTGACCAGGTCGAACCAATATCTACCAACATCAACGAGTTATACTTGCATGCCTCAGTCGATCATGATTGCAAAGAAGCAAAATTTGACAGTATCAAATACTTGATATTGGCTGCTCCATCATTAAAGAAAGTCAAGCTTTCGATGTATGAGGACTTTGATCACATGTCGTTTGTCGAGGAGTACAAGGACTTGCATCCACACGTGGCAAACATTGCTTGGGAGCAATTGTAGAAATACATTAGTTAACAAGTGAGTTTATAAGGTAGTTTATTGAGTTTAAGTTTGCATAACAAAAATAAAATGTGATGCATTTGCTATTCTTGCAAAAAAATATATAATACGTTAAGCAACGTCGGCACCACAATCGAGTGTGTGAATATTTAGTCGAATATTTAATGGTGAGCAATAATATAACCTATACAATATTGTTTTTGGACGCATTATTCTTATTCAGAAAGTTTAAAATAGTAAACATAATGATTAAAAATAGGTCCATCTAAAGTAGATTCTATTTTTGGACACTTATTTTAATTCGTATTTTTAAATAAATAGTTAAAAACAACTTTTTCATAAGATACATTTCTCATTTTGGAAAGTAATCCAAACGCTATTTTCCCCTCATAATTGCTGTGATTTGAGGGGAGCACTAGTTTTCTAGTGTTAAAAGTATGTTTGGGTTTTGATATAGTTTTTATTATCAAGGGAATCAAAAGTAAAACTAGACCCGAACTCGCCTTATATGTATATTTCGTTGCCTTTATTGTGCACACCATTGGTGAGAACTGGTTTTTCTGCAAGCAGACTGATGGCTTGGCGTGTTAAGATTATGATCTTCGCATGTGCGCATCCATGCATATACATTATCAAATGGAGAGCACATCAGGGTGTCATTATTATGTCCCCTGATTTGATCCTACATGGTACCATCTATTCCCTGTCAATCGGCATGTTGATGGAAACTCGTTTTACAACTCTCAGCGTCGACACCCACTTCTATATCATTAGTCTGCTCAACAGTATGAAAATGCATTATAGTATGTGTATTGGAGTCACCGATTAATATGTGCTGATCAGTATATAAAAACCCTTTCAAACTTGCGTTGCTGTTTACAACTACAATTTTAATTTGACAATACTGTCTTGAGATTGAACAATAAGTGAAAAACTGCCCCAAGAAAAACACACGATTGTAGCATTATTAAAGAAAAGCCGCGATTATTATTGTGGAATCTATAATTGACAAATGCATTTAGAAAAACAATTGTGTTGCAAAAAAAACAATTTTCAATATTTGCAGTAATATCAAATTTTTTACACGAGGGCAGATGTCTGCGTGTTTGGTATAAACAAATACAAAACATAATAGAGGAGGGACATATAATTTAGTGGCTTATTTACCCTTTGAATGCAATTGTTGTTTGCAGAAAATATTGTTGCATTTGAAGAGACAAAACAACAAAACTTGATTTTTGTTTTAAGGAAAATCACACGATTTGTATCATATTTTTAAAATTTAAAATTTGTATATAAGTAGACATTTTCCCTAAACCACAAATTAAAATACTATCTCGCAATCACCTAATATTTTTATTAATTCATTTTAAAGTCAGTATCACCATCATCACTAATGAAGTTCAGCGCTTTTGCTATTGTTTACCTTTCTGCAGTTGGGGGTATTTTCTGAAGCCTGTGGAATCAACCAGGCCATTTTTGATATCATCAAAGAACACAGGGGATTTAATGCAAAACCAACGATTGATTACAAGGGTGACATGGTTATTGGACAATGAAATGTGTATTCAAAAGACTGTTCTGATAGACTTTTCTCATTCCAATTGATAAAAAGATGGCTGACAATCAACTTAACACTGTTATCGATTGCCTATGTGGTGCCCAACACACATTTCAAGCCATTATCTTCCCTTTTCAAGAATCAAGATCGCCCTCATGGCCACTATACACATTTTTGTTATTGCTGGCTAACATCAAGGAATACCATTCTGTTTACAGCGCTGCCCACACAGCGCTGCCCCCTTTTTCAGTTCCTTAAGTAATTTTTGAAGACTTGAATATATTAATTTAGACCCACATTTTTATAGAGCATGACAGCCTAGTCAAAACACTGAACACGTATTTTTGAAAATATGTAAAGCTCAACAAGAACCAGTGGCGCGCGCTGGTCTCCTGGAAATTAAGTATTAATTGCATCGATGTGATGGAGCCTTCGCTGATCGCAGATATCAACAAAGCCAGCGGTGACATCACCAAACTAATCAGAGGAAATCTGCCGAATTGGAACACATATGATAACAAGGTGATACCAAAATTGACTAAGCATCGTGGTGCTGAGGTTGTTATAGTAAGAGGGGGGTGTGAGGAGCACTAGTTGTCTAGTGGTAAAAGTTAGGGGTGATTTTATAAAAGGTTTTATTACTGATGTTTCTAAAGTACTACTAGGGGCCAGCCTCATCTTATATATGTTCCCAGTCGCCTTTGTCGTGCACATTGTCCATTGTGCGCTCCGTTGGTGAGAACTGGATCTTCTGCGAGTAGACCGGTATCTTGGCAAGTCGATGTTGTGGTTTTCGTGCGTGTACGCTTATGCGTGTGCATTACAGGATGGGGGGCATGTTTGGGCATCAGTGTGATGCCTCCCTGATTTGCACCTGCATTATCCAATTAGCGTCCTATCGATCAGCGCGCAGGTGGGAACTTGTTTCGCGGTTCTCGACCTCAACATCTGCTTCCATATCTTCAGTCTGCGCAACAAAAACGTCAAGACCAGTGTCGCCAGCGGCGGTCTCATTCTGCTCGTGGAATACGTCGGACCTTAGCCGCCTGGCTCGGCTCGGGGGGGAGGGTGACTGGTCATATATGGGCAGTGCCTCCCGGCCATCCGGGTGGTGCTGCACGTCCTCCGAGCCTGCCTCCGTGAGCGCTCGACTTCTCTTGACCGGCCGGCCGGGCACGATCTCAGCTGTCGGCAGAGCCGGTTTCCTGGTCAGCAGTGCACCCGCGGGCCGTGTCACAATCACCTGATCGTAGGCCCGCGTGTGTCCCATGACTTGAGCGTCCTCGCCTTCTGGGGCTGTGCTGCCGTCCTCGTCGGAAACGAGAGCCCCGCCAGCCACATCTTCGCTATCGTCTCGGCTGTCGTTCACGTATTCTTCTTCTTCCTCTTCTTCACTCTCAGTGTCATGCTCATCCACATATGGCTCTTCAGCGGCTCTTGCAAGCAGTCCCTCGTAGGGCCCGGTACTGTCGCCGTCGCCATCATCCTCCATTTCGGATACGTCCTCAGCGACCACTTGGGCTGTTGGGACCTCTAGTCTGCCTGCTGGCTGGTGGCGGATCTCTGTCAGGAAGGATCTTGCTTCGCTGTTGTCCATGCTGTCCGGCGAGCCCGGCGACTGTGGGGGTGGTGTGAATGGTCCCACCCTAATGTGTGCGGGCTCCAAAGCGACTTGAGGGGCATCCTCCTCTTCCTCTTCGAGTGTGGTTGGGTGCCAGGGCGCGAATATCCTGGGGTGGGCCTGGCCCATGAACTGTACATGTGACTCGGGCGGGGAACCAACCGCCGGCGTCTCCGGCCATGAGTAGCCCGGGTCCGACGGGAGGGATATCAGCATTTGGGCCCTAGCTTCGGGCATTTGAGCGTATGCTCTTGGGCGCGGTGCCGACGGCCCTGGGCTGCCCCCGCCGAGGCCCGTGCCGCCGTCCCCGTACTCGCTGGTCGCCCACTCTGAGTCCGTCCACTCTGAGCCTGATGGCTCTGATCTGCGGGCGATCTCCGCGATCCGTTCTGAGGCTCCATGGTGGTACCGCGTGATCGCGTCGCCTGGTACAATGCGATGGAAGGGCTTGCCGTCAGCATAGGCCAGGTGGTAGGAGGTCTTGTGCCGCGACACGACTCGGAACGGACCCAGGCGGCGTGCAAACTGATCTGCCACTGAGCTGGCCTTGGGGAGTGCACGGCAGGTCACCCACTCACCCGGCTCAAACCAGATGGGGTCGATGCCTCTGTTGTCCCTGGCGTTGGCACGCTGGCGGACCATTTTGCGGTGCTCAGCTGCTTGCTCACGTATCATCTCGGTGATCTCCTCCTCACTGGGGGGGCTCTCACCCTCAGGGAACTGGGCGTATGCTGTCGCTACACGCACCGCAGGCTCGCCGAAGAAAACTGCCGCCGGGGTGTTGGCGATGGCCTCCGAGCGCGTACAGGCGTGTGCAGCTACAATGCGCGGGATGTGCTGCGTCCAGCCCTCCTCGTCCGGCTGATCGGTGAAACAGCATCGCAATGACTGCTTGAATTTCTTGACTGCGGCCTCAGCCAAGTCAGACTGAGCATGGTACTGGGCGGTTGTGATGTGCGTCACGCCCTCCCTGCTCAGGAAGTCCTCAAAGTCATGGGACACGAGCTGCGGGCCGTTGTCCGACGTGAGATATTTTGGCTTTCCGTAGGTGCCAAACCACTCGCTCTCAAGGACATCGGTGAGTGTTGCTGTTGTTGTGTCGTCCACTGCATAGATCTGCATGAACCCGCTCGCACTGTCAACTGCTACTAACGCATCCTGAGGTGCTTCTCCTCTGTCCCCAATGTGTAGCAAGTCGATGTAGACATGTTCGAGCGGCTTTGCAATGTACGACATGATCTTGGGTGTGTGTGACTTTTTCTGGATCGCTGTCATCTGGCAGGTGTGACAGCACTTTGTCAGACTTTCTACCACTGTGCCCAGGCCCGGACATGTAATCAGCTCGCGCACGAAGTCGAGGGTCCGCTTGTACCCAGCGTGTGCCAGGGCCTGGTGTGCCTTGCGTACAAAGTCTCGCGCCGCCTCACGCGTCAGTATGGGCACCCACATGCCTACTGGCCCGGGCGTGTCACTGGGGGCCAGAGCGTACAATCGCCCGTCACGCAAGGCCTTCTTGCTGACGACATTGTATTCGGGAGTTGTCGGACCGTTGAGTGCCTCGCGTTGTTTGCACAGCTTGATCCAGGACTGGATCTCAGCATCGTCATCCTGGCAGTGCAGAAAGTCCGCGACATTCGGTAAGTCCTCTAGCGCAGACGCGATTCTTGCGAACTGCTGGCTCATGGATGCCGGTGTCGGCGCCACGGGCAGGGTAGTAGCTGGGTCGGGTGCAGGCATAGGGGTCGGCTCGGGCGCAGGGGTAGGGGTAACTGTTGCCCCCTGTACGGCATGCCTCAGTCTGCCGCGCTTGTGCCGGACGGGTGTGTTGAGCGCCACCGGCAATGCCGGCTCCTGCTCGGGTGCCATGTCTGTTGTCTGTGCACTGCGTCTGGGTCTACCGCGCCCACGCCGCGTCGCCACTGGGGGCTCTGCTGCCGGGGATTTGGCCTGTGGTACGTCTGGAGTCACCGTAGCTGCTGCTGGCGCCTCCACTGGCTTACGCCTGGGACGGCCACGCTTGCGAGGCAGGTCTGCTGGGGGTGTGGGTGAAGTTGACGCAGTGATGGTCTGTCCCTCACGCCGTGGCCTGCCGCGCTTACGAGCCCCGCTCACAGGGGGCGTTGTATGGGCCGTCTGCGGCATTGTGGCCTGGCCGAGGACGGGGTTGCTTGCCTTGCGCTGGGGCTTGGTCTGCTGGATGGTCTGCGCTCGGTTGGCTGAGCGTGTACGGGCCGCTATAGTTTGCATGGGGGCAGCGGCGGTCATGGGGTTGTTCCTCATGGTGCCGCCGTTGGGAAGTGCGTCGGGCTCGTCGCCATTGGCATAGACGATTGGGGTTACTGCTGCAAAGGCCCCGATGCAATAGGCCACCCTCTCGCCATTTGATTCGCGTGTGAATTGGTCGCCCTCGAAATCCATGGCGCCAATTGTGTAGACATACTCGCCCCCAACTGTCTCGGTCGCTGGGTTGACAAGGGTGTTTACCTCATCATCATCTACATTGCCCAGTGTCTTTTTCTTTTGCGGGCGCAGGAACTCTTTTGCGCGTGATAGCCAGTCGGCGGTCTGCTGCAGTTCCCCAGGGCGGTGGACGATCATGTGCTTCTTTATGCCAAGCTCGCTGAGGCCAAGCTTGAATTGCGCCAGGGGGTCGGCGTCATTGGTGGTCTTGTGCGCGAACAGCGAGACCACCGTGCCGCAGTCCGTTTCGATCCTCAAGTTTGCACACCCATCAAGGTACGCATAGAAGTGCTTCACAGCCTCGTACACAGCGCACGCCTCGCGCCAGGTTGAGTGTTTCCTCCCTTGCATGCCTCCAAATGCCCGTGAGAAGTAGCATACCGGCGCCAGGTCCTCAGGGTCGTCAGAGCGCTGGGCCAGTAGCACGGCACCCACACCGGCGCCCGCAGCATCAGTGCGCAGTACCAGCGGTGCTCCAGGCGGGGGTATGTAGAGGTGTCGAACGTCGAGCAGTGCCTGCTTAAGCGCATGCCAGGGCTCCTGTAGTGATCTGATGTCGTCTTTCGTCAGCCGCGTCTTGCCCACCATCTGGTAGAAGGGAGCTAGGATGATCTGGATCCATTCCATATGCTCTGCAATTGCGTTAATGCCGCCGCACAGACGCCGGATGCCTGCGACCGTCGTCGGCATCTCCAGTGCTCGCATTGTTTCCACTCGGTGGTCAAAGGCCTGCCATGTCCGGTCGGCGGACCACCGACGCCCCAAGATCTCTACGCCTGTAGTCGCGCACCACAGTGATTTGGACATGTTAATCGTGACATTCGCACGGGCCAGACACCGAGCAAACAGCCCTATATCGTGGATGTGATCAGTCTCATTGCCGGTGGTCGACTTTAGGTAAACATTATCAATGTAGACCATCAGACGTGGCCGCAGCTCTGGCACGCCGGACAGAACATGGGTCAGGAAGGCCTGGGCAATGGCAGGGGATTCGGAGTTTCCCTGCACCATGCGTAGGTTGCGTACCTTGCCTGCGCTGCCCCCGTCATAGGTCCAGAAGTCTGCGACGTCCTCTGCCAGGCGCAGCTGCGTAAAGAACGATGCCATGTCAACTGACGAGATCAGCTTGGCATCACGCAGGAACATAATGCGCTCGACTGGCGTCGGCAGCTGCATTCCAACGCTCAGCATATGTAACGAGTTGTTTGCTGAGTCGTCGAACAGCACACGCCTGTCCGTCGAGTTCGGCTTAACTTTGGAGAACACAGGGACCTGGGCGAATGCAACCGATGGACCGTCTATTCCATACTTGAGCCGGTTGGCAACGAAAGAGTTTCGGGCCTTGTGAGCAGGCTCGCTGAGTGTGTGTTGGACGGTGTACAGGGGGCACGCGTTTGTGCGCATTGGGGGTCGGATGGGCGCATAGGCTGCTGGCGGCGGGCAGCCACTCGGGTACTCACGTAGGGCACCAGCAGCAGTCATAAGGGTCTTTAGCAGGGATTTGTGGAGCTCGTCCGTAGTGCACTGATCCGTTGTGCGGCTAGCAACATTTTCCGTCGTCACTGCTGGATACAGTGCATCCCACTTGTGGAAGTCGGCATCGCGCGCTTCAACAAAATAGCCAGTTGGTAGGCCTAGTCGTGCCCGCATTGGGCGTGAGACAACTGGTTCCTTGATCGGGGGCGCATCAGGCGGGCCGTCCATTAGTGGGAACATCTGCGGGTCTTGTGCCACTGTGGGGTCTGGCATAGTGTCATAATCCGAGTCGCGTACAGCACGGGGACCATCGGGAAGTTTGTCTGGGTGGTCAGGGGTGCGTTCTGTGCCCTTAAGGCGTCGGCGCATTGCTGGGGTCATGAGGCGGATGCCCAGGCCCTCTTGGGCATGGTTTGACACCAGCAGCTCCCATGGCACCTTCATGTCGACAACGACTGCATCGTCCCAGAACTTTGGGCCACCCTCGACCTGCAGGCAGACGGTGGCCCGCCCAATGCTCTGGTATGCCTTGTCTGACCAGATGGGGAACAGGTCTGGCCTCGAGTTGGTGCGGATACGCAGCTTCAACCGCTTGGCAGCAGCCATGGTGACCAGGCTGACAGCAGCGCCATTGTCGGCTACAGCCATTGCTGGCTTATTATGTGCGCGGAAACCGGGTATTTTCGTAAAATGGCACAGGGCGGCCTGAGTAGAGTTAAACATATTTATTGTCCCAATAGTGTAACTGATACCCAAGCCGCTCAGGCTTTTGGGTCATTGTTGCCATATGAAAGTAGGGTTATCTTGTGGACTGTCTCGAATGCCTTGAGTCGGTCCAGGAGGGTCTCAGCAGTGACATCATTGGGCGCACTTCCTGTACATGCCCAGGAGCGGGTGTCAAGGCCATGTACTAGGCGTGAGATAGTGACTGCAGCATAGTCGCCACCACCCATGGCCTTGTAGAGCCTGCGCGCATAGTTGACCCTGTCCACTGCAGGGATGTTCTTGAAGGCCTTGGCTGGGCCTCCAGCAGCGATGCTGTGTGCCTTGGCCACAAAGTCTGCTTGCGGGATGCATTCAAGGAGCTTCTCAAAGAACTCTTCTGGTGTGTTCACGTCTAGGGTGCCCATGCGTCTGGCAGCTTGTCCGTCAAGCAGCTTTTGGAGTGCTGTGACAATCATTACTGCAGGAGTGCGGGTAAAGATGAAGTTGATTGTCTCTTGGATCCCTGCAATCCACTGCTTGGTTGGATTTCCGATATCTTCGCCATTGAACCGCTTGGCATAGTCTCGGAGCAGGTCCAGCTCCTCTTTGGCAGCCTTGGCTGGGGTCTGGGCAGCGGAGGTGGTAGTCAGCTGGGCAGTAGGGGCAGTAGGGGCAGTGGCAGGAGGTATGGGGTGAATTGCAGTCTGCATTGTCACGTCTGACCTGACGGACATTGTTGTGTTTTTGTTTTGTTTTATGTATGTAAGCGAGTAATAAATTTTGTTATAGTAAGAGGGGGGTGTGAGGAGCACTAGTTGTCTAGTGGTAAAAGTTAGGGGTGATTTTATAAAAGGTTTTATTACTGATGTTTCTAAAGTACTACTAGGGGCCAGCCTCATCTTATATATGTTCCCAGTCGCCTTTGTCGTGCACATTGTCCATTGTGCGCTCCGTTGGTGAGAACTGGATCTTCTGCGAGTAGACCGGTATCTTGGCAAGTCGATGTTGTGGTTTTCGTGCGTGTACGCTTATGCGTGTGCATTACAGGATGGGGGGCATGTTTGGGCATCAGTGTGATGCCTCCCTGATTTGCACCTGCATTATCCAATTAGCGTCCTATCGATCAGCGCGCAGGTGGGAACTTGTTTCGCGGTTCTCGACCTCAACATCTGCTTCCATATCTTCAGTCTGCGCAACATCTCTAAAGTGCTATTATCGCTGACCTCACCTTATATATGTAACATCAATTATTACAATATCACGTGACAATTACAATTTCTATTTTCACCGTCGATAGTTTGGAATAGGTAGACGGAGATCTTTAACCTCCTTTATAGTGGATTTTTCGATTATAAATATATTATATAAAAACTATTCTTATAACAATATATATCTCATTGTTTTTGTGGCGCTCATTGGCAGTTGTGTGCTCCGTTCGCGAGAACTGGTCCTTATGAAAGTGCCAGGTCTCTGATATGACATAATTGGCGTACTTGTATTTTTGCACCCAGCACATCTATTTTGGGACAGGAAGTATGCTTGGATGTCAACAGTGGCTTCTGATTTAGTCCCCTGTAATTTGGTCAATATCAGATCTATTAGTGAGCTGACGAGAATCTGTCTCGTGATTTTCGCCTTCAGCGTCTATCTCCATATCCTCAGGCTGCGTGTAACAATTATATACAACCAAATCAACAGTACATTTCTATAGTTAAATATGCATAGCCTTTTATCTTGCTACAACGGGCCGCTGTTGTCTCGGCCATGGAAATAAGGCCAATGAGAAGCGGCCAATCAAATGTTTTTTTTTGTTTTACAACGGAAAATATTTTTTGCCAATAGCCGGTTCTGTAATTTGACTTGCTTATCAACAAGTTAATTAGCAGCTTAATTGCTTGCTTGTAAAGGTTGCGTGGCCCAATGGATAAGGCGCTTGACTACGGATCAAGAGATTCCAGGTTCGAGCCCTGGCGCGATCGTACACTTTTTTGTTGTTTTTGGGGGACACATTGTTTGGTTTTTTCACGTGCTGCGGCCATAGATGGGATAAACACAAATTCCCCTTTTGGCCTACGAAAATGACTGGAGCGGATTCCTGGCAAACAAAAATTTTATGTTTTTATATTTACACCCTTCATTTTACACATATTTTTACTTACTGTAACAGACAATGGACAAGTTTGGTATGCACAGTCAGACTGAGCAGATGCATGCGAGGCATGTTGGGACAGGAAACGCAGATACGACCAAGCACCAGTGGTTGACGAACCAGCACCGCGATACCCTGACACAGTATGTGACTGACAACAGTTTGGCCACGTATATTGCTATTGCCGAGGGCGAGTCATTATCGCGGGTAAAATTCAACATGCTGCAGCGGATGCGCGAGCCCTGTGGACCAACACCAGCGGCCGGATCGATCAGACCAAACGAATGAGTATTAAAAAAGCCAGTATGTATTTATTTATATTATTTGGTGATGGTTGAAATATAACATTTTTTATAAAACTATTACCGACACTATTTTTGTCCCCAAAACATTTTCTAATGGTCTATTTTAAGAGAGAAATCCACATGCGGGACGCTCTGCGTCATGGTGCCAAAGCTGATAATATCAATTCCAGGGAGCATATACAGATGAGCAGTCTCTTCTGTGATTCCGCCACTGGCCTCCACCAGCACCTGCCTGCCCACGGCAACGCCCCTGGTCTTGACTTCGACAGCCGCCAGTCTTATATCGTCGGGCACAAAATTATCCAACATAACAACATCAGCGCCCGCATCAATAGCCTCAAAGGCCTCCTCAATGGACTGGCACTCGACCTCGATCTTGATCGAGAACCCGGCCACACCCCTTGCCGCCTCCACCGCCTTTGTGATCGACCCGGTTGACCAAACGTGATTATCCTTCAGCATCACCATCGTCGACAAATCCATCCGATGCGTATCCGCACCACCCACCATCATCCCGTATTTCTCCACCAGCCTAAACCCCGGCGTAGTCTTGCGTGTCCCAGCCACCACGCCCAAAAACGCCATTCGATCCGCCACCTCCCTCAGGCGCCTCGCTCTTGATGCAATCCCGCTACAGCGCGCAAGAATGTTTAGCGCAAGGCGTTCGCCGAGGAGAATGCGGCGGGCGGGGCCGTGGACTTTGGCGACGGATACTTTGCCCTCTTGGGGGACGATTTCGGCTCCTTCTTCGATATCCCAAGTGACGGAGCAGCCGGTTTGGCGGAATACCTCGTTGAAAAAGGGGATTCCAGAGAGAACTCCAGGGCTTTTGCAGTAGAGGGTGGCGGTTTTGGGCGCATCGCCTACGACAAAGCCGCCGTAGTCAAAGGACGGAATGTCTTCGGCGAGCCAAGCCTCGATGGTGCGGGTAAAGGTTGGAGGTAGCAGTGCTGCAAACTTTGACATGGTTTTTTGTTATAATATAAAGTGTATACTGTTTTGAAAAAAAGAGGCAAACAAAAGGTAAAGGGATTTTGACCGAAGGGGGTGATGGGGTTTGAATGTTACGCCTTTTTATCTACTTTGCTTTTGAGAAAGTGTGAGAATATTATTACAGCATAGTAAGATAAGAAACATGGCTATTTGAGGTCACTCATTTGTTAGCGACACGAATAGAGTGTCTGGAAAAAGGCCTTTATGTTAATTTGTTCCCACGAGGCAGATAAATTTGGTTTCTTAAAAAATCCAAATCAAATCAAAATAGTAAAAGCACGTGAGCAAATGTGCCTAAAGAAATGGCAGTTTTCCCCTAAATCGGCGCCATTTCAAAAAGGCAGTGCAGGCGGTAAAAAAAAGGGCGAAAGCAAAAAATTCCGCAGCCACCAAAATAAAAAAGGCATATCAATATCCCTTGCTGCATCAACGAGCCTACCCCCTTTTCCCTCTTTTTTCTTTATCAACTTTTTGTTCTCATTGCATTCTTCACTACTATCATATTTTATTTCAAATATCTTGTCTATATACTGCTATTCCCCCTTTTTTGTACTTTTTAAATCCAACCTTTCAAATAACCTCACAATGTCTATCAACGTTGTACCCACAGATACGGTTATGGATGCTGTCAACAAAATGCAAGGCATCCTTGACAACCTCAAGTCCAACCTCGACACACCAGCACCCAAGCATACCATTGTTAAAAAACAATTAATTCCGCTCAAGCTAACCATCAACAACGGAGCAGGGGCAGGGGCAGGAGCAGGGGCACCGGGTCAGCAGGAAAAGCAAGAGGCGATGGTACCCATGCAAGCATACAAAGATAAATGCAGTGAGCTGGACCGGATGAAGCGCAAGCTCAAGGCTAAGAGCGATGATTACGATTACTTGCTAGAGAAATACCGCGTTCTGTTGGAGACCACAGACACGATGAAGAAGCCTGTCGCTGCCGAAGCGCAAGCTCAGCAGCAGCAGGGGCAGACACACGAACAGGCTCAGCAGCTGACGACGCCCGCAAAGTCGCCGAAGCGCAGCCATTTGGGTATTGCAGATGAGTGGCAGCGGGATATTCTGGACGCGGCTGGGCCCTCGAAGAAGCGGGGCCATGCGAGCGATTTTGTTTCTATCTCCGGCGACCCATTTCCTGCTGCGCCCAAGTCCACCCGGTCTACCAACGCATGGCAGCCGCAAAAGCCAACGGAGGATGAAAAGCGCGCCAAACGTTCAAAATTGGATTTATTCAGCGGTGGACGGCGCAACACGCGGTCGCCTTTGGAGCCCAGGGCATTGCCTACTACGTCGCCGCTGGCGCTTAGGCCGCTTACAGCGACATCACCGGTGTTGCCGCTGTCGGCTAAGTTTATGAAGCCTTCGAGGCCGGTGGATTTGCGCAGCTCCAAGGCAAAGTCGCCTGTGCTTCAGCTGCCGATGGTGAGGCAGCCACAGCAGCCGCGGTTGTTGAGGGCAGCGGCGAGCTCGCAGGAGACTCACATGGATTCTAGCGACCAAATACTTTGCCCGGAGACGGACGACGAGGGCGATATGATGCCTAGCGTTGAGGAGGTCCTACACCCTGCTGCCGTTGCCGCCGATGCTCCTCCTGCCGCTGCTACAGCCGCCAAGCGCATATCGGACGAGGGCGAAGACTCGTGGCGCAAGGTGCTGGACCGCGACCCCTGGGCAGGCCAGGTGGGCGGCGAAAAGAAGATCACGTTCCAGGGCTCGAGCCATCCTGAGCCAAGGGCGCCAGTGGATGCGGGTTTGGAAGGGAACAGGGAGCATCGGCAGCTGCGGCAGCGGATTTTGCAGGCGGTTGGCGATTGCGCGCAGTGCAAAGGCTTTTACTCGATGCCCGGGCTGGTGCTGCCCAAGCGCGACCCGAGCTCACTGTGTATGCACAAGGATAAGCGCAGCGGCGGCGGAAATGGTGTGCTGGCTGGCCCAGCGACTGCGCCGCCGAGGGGCGAGCATGCGAGGGCGGGGACGCCGGAGCATTACTGGGATATCGAGTACTTCCCGGAAATCCGTGTTGCGGGGCCGGAGCAGCTGCGCAAGAGAGAGGAGTCGATGACGAAGGCGTCCTGATTTTACTGCCAATTCGGGGGTTGGTTGTTGTTGGCGTGTGGATGGGGGGTGTGGGGAGTTAAAAGTGTATGCGGTGTTTCTCCTTTCTTTTTTCCCTTTTCCTTTTTTTCGCAGCGCTTTGCCTGGCTTATATGCGCGCGCAAAGCATCTTCCTATAAAATGCGCGCGTTTTCTTTATAGTGCTGGACGCCAAGGCCTTGGGGAAAGAGCACACTTCGTTCTCGATCACCGGCCCTCGTTTTCTCTTCTTTTTTAAAATATTGTATTTTTTTTGCATTTCTCGTTTTTTTGCACTCATTTCTTTTTACGAATCTACCCATATATATATTCAATCCACACGGGTTTATCAAATGTCCAGCTGGTCAGCACTATCGATAGCCGTGCCACTAAGCGTCGGGCTCGGCCTCTCGTTCAACTCTTTCCGGCGCAGCTCCTCATCCTGGCACAACCAACTGCGCAAGCCCAAATACAACATCCCGCACCGGCACCTGCTCCCGGTTTTCGCCGGGCTCTACACGATTCAGGGTCTCGCAGCATACCTGGCGTCGAACGAAATGATGCTCTCCCACCATACGCCCGAGTACACGGCGGTGCGTGCAGGGCAACTGGGGTTGGGGTTTTATTGGCTGGGATTGACGTTTTTAGCGTTCTGGCCGATGATTCTCGCCAGTAGTGCGACTTTTGGCGGGTGGGGGTTGAGGTGGGCGTTGGTTGATTTGGTTGTGGCGGTGGGGTTTGAGTTTTTGGCTATGGTGCAGTTTTTCAGGCTGGGGGTTGGTGGCGGGTTGATGATGTTGGCGTGCTTTTTGGTATTGGCGGCTTTGGCGTTATGGAATGCTGCATTGGTACAGGCGAGTGGCCTGTTTTTGCCGTATTGATTTTGTATTAAGTATCTTTTAATTTTATTTTCACTGTAAATGTTTTATTTATTAAGATTAATTTAGATTAATATCATAGCGCGCATTCGAGAATGACTTTGGTAGAGTTTTTTATAATCGATTGAGAAAGGTGAAATAATATTTTTCTGTGGCTCGATTCATTTATCTACTCCATACATTAAAATTTTATTTGGAAAATCAGAATCATTCATTCATTCAATCAGTTACAAAACATCCATTTCCATTTGCTAATTAATAATTCACAACCAGGGGGGCGAAACGAGATCATGTCAATTTCTCAATCCGACAAAAAAATTAACCAAGTGCAAGTATATCGGATTTTATATATATATATATTTTTTTTCCTGTTTGTTAGATTTTTTATTATTGCGAAACGCAATCTGTCTGCAATCACGTATCCCATCTGCGATGATGTGACACAATAGAAAGAGGAAAAGATAAAAAGGAAGGGGGTGGATAGAAAAAAGGGGGAGGGAAGATTTACGCCCGGTGTAAGGCAAGGGACCCAAACACACACGAAAGAAAAAAATTGTCCGAAACATTTTCCCTCCTTTTTTCTGCTTTTTGCGGCTGCATGTAAATGGGGCTCACAAAAGAAAAAATTTCAAAAAATCCAGATGCATTGGTGTCATTTCAGAATACGGAGAAATTTTTTTATAATGACTGAGTAGCATTCTAGTATTTTCTCTTTTTGTTTGTTCGTTCCGCAGAAAGAAGCTAAGGCAGGTGTCCAATCAAATAAGAATGAATAAAATAATTTTTTTCCCCCACCATTGTTCCAGTTTTGGTCATTAGCTTTTTTTTGAAGAAAATTTTTTATTGTTTGCCAAGATGGAAAAGTAAAAAACAAAATTTTTGTACTTGCTGTTCACGCGTACACAATTGAATGGAGCAGAATGGCTGATTGGTATAAATGAGGCTGGGCGGCTGATGCTTAGACATTCGGAATTTGACGTCCTCTCTTTATTTATTTGTGAACACTTGTGCATAAAAAAAGTACTATTTGTGTAATTTTTATTTGATATCACCTCTCACCAATATTTTTGCCCTTCATTTTCGTTTTTTTCTTTCGTTTCATTACTCCCTTTCCTTCTATCTTCCACCCCCTTCCCCATTTATCTTTTTTAATCAGCTTCGCGTATTTTTCTGCTGTTTACTGTTGTTGCTTAAATTTACGCTCTCTCGCCCTCTCGCTCAATCACTCACTCGCCGTATCGTATTCTACTGTTCTATTTGATTTCATCTTTTTCTTTAAAAAAAAGTTGGCTGGGTTACGCGTATATATAAAACGATATACGCGCGTTCTATTTTTACCTAACAAAAAAACTTTTTAGGGTATTTTGGTACAGGTTTCCCACACCGTCAAATATAGCTCCTTTCTTCCTTCTTTCTCCAAACTTTATTTGTCTATATACTCCATTTGGAAGAAGCTCCTATTTTTTCTGTACATTTTTTAAATTAAATTAATTATTTTTTATATTTTGTCCCTTTCTCCGCAACCCTTTTTATATATTTTATTTTATATTTTCCTTTTCACACATTAAACGCACAAAAACAACTACAAAAACAACCACAAAAAAGAGATCATTCGGTTTTCATAACATAAAAAAAGAGTGGGCAGTCGATCACCACCACAATTTCATTTATTTTTTCCTTGTACATGGCGCATCAAAGCACAGTGCAGCAGTTGTTCTCAACACCAATGTTCAGCAAGCACCACAGCAACAACGAAGTGACCAACATTACCATTTCCGCCAACGGACTCCTCCCGGCGCTCGACATCAAAAGCTGCATGCCCCCGCGCCCCACCGCACCGCACCTGACAGCAGCCCCTTGCGACCCTTCGCCGCCACTGCCAATTCACGGCACAGGCACTCTGAAACTCATCACGGACCTGGCTGCAGTCCTGGGCAGGGGCCAGTTCTCAACAGTCTACCGCGGCATGCTCCTCCAGACCGACGGGCCAGCGAGAGAGTGTGCGGTGAAGGTGCCGCATACAAACAGCCTGGATGCGCGTGAGCTGGTTCTCGTCGAGGCTGCAGGGCTGGCACTGCTGGGGCTGCAGGCGCCCGGCATCGTGCAGTGCTTCGGCATGGTGGACCTAGGCGCAGCCACGGACACAGGTTGCACGGTTGTCGGGTGGGCAGACGCCGGCAGAGCGGCGGTTTCCGGGAGCGGTCATTGGGCGGAGGTTCTGGAGCTATGCGAGAATGGCAACTGCTGGGAGTGGATGCAGGCGAATCGAGCGGCGATGGACGCCGAGCGGTTCTTCGTATGGGCGCGGCAACTGGCCGTAGCACTAGGCGTGCTGGCGGACGCCGGCATGGCGCACAAAGACATCAAGCCGCATAACTTGCTGATTGACCGCAGCGGCAACGTGCGCTTGGCCGACTTTACCGCCACAGAGTTCTCCCCAGAGGCCATTGCCCAGATGCAGCGCGTCTGCCCAGAGTTCTGCCCCGAAGAATTGCCGGCCTACACGGACTTTAGCGGCACCATTCCGTACAGTGCACCCGAGGCCCTGCAGTTCACACCTGGCGCGCGCAGTGATGCCGGGGCACTGCACAAGATGGATATTTTTTCCGCCGGCGTCACCCTGTACACCCTGTTTGTCAGCGGGCTGGAGCCATACGCGGCCGTGAAGAGCAGCGTTGAGCAGATGCATTTGGCTGCTCGGGGTGCCTTCTGGGAGTGGGAGGACCGCCAGTATTTGGCCGGGCTGCCTAATCGCGCGGCGGAGACTGCGCCACCGTCGCCTATTGACGCTGTGCCGCCGGTGCTGGACGATGGCGCGCTAGGGCGGAGCCTAAGCCTCGGCAGGAGGCGCACGCTGAGGCGGAGGAAGGCGCAGCCGAGGGAGTTTAAGCGCTTTTTGTCTGGCGATTTGCTGCCTGAGAACGTCGAGGCCCTGCTGAGGGACATGCTGTGCCCCGATCCGGCACTGCGGCCCGGTGCCAGGGAGGTGCTGAGGCGGCTGAATGCCATGGAGCCCGACATCTTTGAGCCCGCCGACTAAGCAGACAAACTGACAAATAAATATATTTATAAGTTATTGTACCCTTTTTTCTTTTTCCAGCGTTCATATTTGTCCTTAATAAAATGTTTAAAAAAAAGAAACTTATCCAGTGCGCAGGATTATGTGCACGCCGCTATCAGTCCATACAGGCTTGCTCATTTCTCCGACCTCCAAGGCCAAAACACCCTTTTCAAACGCCGGCTGCATCTTGCCCTCCTCAAACCAACCCAAATCCCCACCATGCTTCGCACTACTGCAGTCCGACTCCACCTTGGCGATATCCGCAAACACGCTCTCACCGGCCTCAATCCTCTCCCTAAACTCTTCGACTCTCTTGAGTGCCTCCTCCTTGGTGAGCGTAATATTCTCCTGTCTCCATGAGCTCGGTCTTCTGCTGTCAACGTGTTTAGCGAGAATATGGCTGGCGCGCATCTTCTTGTTGACTCTCGGCGTCGGCGCGTCCCAACGGCTCTCGCCTGATGCCGTGTTGAAGTAGTAGTCGCGGTTGTACGTTGTTGAGCGACGAACTTCCCAGTTTGGCGGTAGCGCCGAGTGCTTGTTGTCACCCTATAAATTTAAATGTAAACATGAATGAAAAATTAATGACGGGGTTTTTTTATTGTACGAGGATTTATTGGGCATGCTGCTGTAATTAAAAAATGAGTATACCTACCATTTCTTTTGCCTTTAAACTTTTCTGTCTACTGAAGGAAGAAAAAAAAAGAAGTACAAAAAAGCAAAACCCAAATTATATTGCGCACATGGTTTAGAAAAAAATTGACATTTTTCTATTTATGGCTGATTGTTGGCTCACTCATAGTATGGGCTGAGCCTATTTTTTTATTCCTTGCGAGGGTTGGCCTGGTAAATCACATGCACCTGCGGACTTTATTTCCACTTTTTAATTTGCTCAGTGTAGACCAATGGCCACACGCGGAAATGGTGTTATCTTGGTATATCCGCAGAGTTGTGATTTCTAGTAAAAAAATGCAAGGACAAAATCTCTTCTTTTTTATCTTGTCCTGTCCTGTCCTGTCTCGTTTCTTTCTTTCTTTTCTTTTCTTTTCGTTTCTTCGTCTTTTTTCATTTTTATTTTCAACTTTTATTTTTATTTTAAAAATGCTTGGTCGTAGACTGTACACTACCGCCGCGCGCTTCGTTACCTCGGCAAAGCCCACCAACGGCTTTGTCGGGGCCATTGGCAACACCCCACTGGTAAATACCTGAACAAAAAATCACACTCCTGATATTAATAGTCGTTTAAGAAGAAAAAACATTTCCTCCTTATATTCCATCTAACCAAACAAATGCCATTATAATAAAAAACATTTTTGTAGATGCGCATCAACAGTTTGAGCAATGAAACTGGCTGCGAGATCCTCGGCAAGGCTGAGTTCATGAACCCCGGCGGATCAGTTAAGGACCGAGCAGCGCTCTTTGTAGTTGAAGACGCCGAGCGTCGCGGGCTAATCCAACCCGGCGGCACTATAGTCGAGGGCACCGCGGGCAACACCGGCATTGGCCTTGCCCACGTGTGTCGGGCGAAAGGCTACAAGTGCATAATCTACATGCCAAACACCCAGAGCCAGGAGAAAATTGATCTACTCAAGATGCTCGGCGCCGACGTCCGCCCAGTACCCGCGGTGGCTTTCGATAACCCGGAGAACTACAACCACCAGGCGCGGAGATGCGCGGAACTGTTGGAGAACGCAGTGTGGACTAATCAGTTTGATAACACGGCGAATCGACAGGCGCATATTGAGACCACGGGCCCGGAGATTTGGGCCCAGACAGGGGGGAAGATTGATGGGTTTACGTGTGCAACGGGTACTGCTGGGACGTTCGCCGGTACAACGAGGTTCTTGAAGGACGTGTCTGGAGGTCGCGTCAAGTCGTTTGCCGCAGATCCCCCGGGTTCGATTATCTACAGTTATATCAAGTCACGCGGAAAGGAGATGATCCGCGGTGGATCTTCCATTACTGAGGGAATTGGACAGGGGAGGATTACGGAGAACCTGCGCCCGGATATCCACCTGGTTGACGACGCTCTGAAGATCCCTGATTCAGACACCATCCGGATGCTTTACCGCTTACTCGATGAGGAGGGCATTTACCTCGGTGCATCCTCGGCCCTTAATGTCGCGGCCGCTTATGAGATGGCTAAGATGATGGGGCCTGGAAACACTATTGTGACCATCTTGTGCGATGGCGCATATCGTTACCAATCGAGGTTGTTCAGCAAGAAGTGGCTAGAGTCGAAGGAACTGGTGGGCGCTATTCCGGAGCACCTGAAAAAATATATTGTTCTCGCGTAAAACAAAAACAAATTAAAATTTTAGTTTTTAGATGCACCTAATATATTTTATAAAAAGATTATAAAAAGATTATTTATATATTCCAAAGGAAAACACTTTTCGACTGCTCCCGGCAGACGCTCCTTTTATATGTTCTTGCTGTATATATAAACTACAGTAAACTATTCATCATTGCTCTTGTTGCGATCCAGCCTGGGGGGGGGGGGTGTTCCCGACGGCCCCCTGCCTTGGGCCCGTGTACATACTCCCCTGGGTATGCATACGTGGTGTGAACGTTGTATTGCAAATGCTTAGATCAGTCGCGGGCCTGTTGCTCCACGGGTTTGCTTTTGACATGAATTTGGTTTGCTTTATGAAACTATTCATCTTACCATCTTTTCAATGGTGTTTGCATTCCTTTGTAGCCACAGCGATGCTTACCAGAAGATTGCCAGCCGACGTGAAAGTTGCAGAGGATTGTACTTTTTCAGCCAAGTATTGTTTTCATAGCTTTCTTATACATTCAGGACCAGCCGCCGACTCTGTGCTAGTTAGCCCTTTGTTCAATTATACAGATGTTTTACTCTATTACATCTTTTAAATAACACCAAATCACAACAGTGTAGCAGCCCTAGTTTCGAATAATTTTGGTTGTAGACCTGAAACATCAGTTATATTTAATGTCCAAATATTTGTGTTGAAATGTAAACGTTCTATGAACGGGTTATAAAGAATAGAATACTATGTATTTAATAAAGTATGTACTATGAGTGATATACACTTGAGAGGTAAAAAAAAATAACTATGTGATGTGTCACTGTGTGACTAAAATGATAAGCAATGTGATGTGATTATGCCTGGCTGAATTTAGCTCCAACAGATTAACAGCAACAATGAAGGCTGGTTGATTTGTCGATCCCAATCAGCTAATAGGTAGGCCGCAAGAAATCAAACTTTTATAGTATTGCGTTGCATATGCCACAAATATAACTTAAGTACAACTTGTATTTCATCGAGACAATCTACGGATTTTAGGTAACTTAATTCATTGGCCAACTACGAATAGTGGGTTAAAGTCCGTTTTGGCCATCTGAATCTATTGAATTTTTAGAAAAATATAAAATACCAAAGGAGACTCGTATCACCTTAAAATTACATTAAAGGCAGATCACTACCACTTACTGTGAATGGACGAATTGGCACCCCTATTAATAGTGTGGAGGTTGGTTAATCGTCGTTAAGCAATAGTGTGTACATCACAATTACGTTTTGTGCGTAAATGTACACTGTTATTTTTAATATGCACTCACCCACTTGGTTGGGAGCAAAAACTTTGTAGGAACACCATTGTTGTTTTCACAATGTGAGAAAAAGGAAACAAAATAAATATCAACAACAATGTCTTGATTTCCACAAAAATAAATTAATTGATAACAACACATTGGTACTCTGTATTTCAGATTTATAAATACAAAAAGTACAAAAAATAAGGCACTACGTCTGACACTCCATATTTAGCTTTGCAGAAAATTAAAGGGCAAAACTATTTGACAAAAAAGTATTGAGATTTTTTGTTCCCATCTCTGTATATTTTTCATGTGGTAAATCTTTAAAAATTCAACGCATACATTAATTATTATTTTTTGGCTGCGCAAAATAAAGAAAATGTGTTTTTTTGGTTGGGTGATAGGATTTTCGTACTTGGCATAAACAGAAATCAATCAGGGAAAAATCAATTGGTGTGGCTGCGCATTAATGTTATATATATTTTTTAAAGCGTCAAGTGTAGTGGGGATGGTTTTCACACGCAATAAAAAAAGGAAGGAAAAAGCAAGGCGGCGAATTGAAAACCTTTTCTTCTTTTACACTGCTTCTATTTCAACAATATCACATTTTTCATTTGTAATGCCTCCCCTCCCTTGTGTGAATTAAACGATTTTTTACTCCAATGACATATGAGTAAGGAATACTGTGCACACATTCAGTTGCATATTTCTAACAGCGTATTAAATCCAATTGTTAGCAGTCATGCCATGCCAGCCGGAATGAAATGATACACCCAGAACAAGTAAAGAAATGACTTTCGAGTGGTAATCCATTTACTTTTTAATTTGATGCAAGAAACCATTTTTAAAGCTTTTTGGTTTTACTTTTTTTTGTGGAATAGTTAGAATAAACCACTAAACTGATTCATTTTATTCTCACACGTTGCGTCTTCTGTATATTAGTGGCTCCCCTTTTTTTGTTGCTGCTGATGTTTGGCGATTGATTTTCATGCTATACGTGCTGCTGTTGCTGCTGCTGCGGAATCCATTCCGATTCAATTATAAACAAACATTCTCGTTCATACAGGAAGAAAAAGGGACTAACACTTTCATAATCTACATTGACACTCGATACAAAATAAAAATTTAAAAGGAAAAATGAAAGAGAAAATTGTGACTATTTTACATCCTCATTTCAATTACAATTATATATTTTGTAAATTTAAAATGGCAAAATAATTGTTGAAATATGACGCTGCTAAATGAAAACATTTTGGCCATTTGTCCCGCGCCCATTCGACTATCCCGACCCCATTTTATTTTTGGGCTGAACTTTTCGAGATTTTCCGCAAGAGAACGGAAAAGAAAAAGGAAAAAATACAATTACTCCAATATAAAAAATCACACGCCAAAAATAGTATAGGAATAATTTTGATGACTGGTAAAACAATATTTTCACAAATACAGGAGCGGAGGAGGTGTATATAAAAAACTACATTTTATCCAGCCTCTTGGCGCTAATCTTACACTCATATATTCATTTGTTCTCTCACAAAGGAAACATCTTATTCCGCCAGGATTAACTTTTTTTACCAATTCCAAGTGAAAAATTGTTTCTCATTTGTCATTATCAATACCCTTTTTAACCATTAACAATTTTTCAACGTGTTTCGTGGAAGCGTTTTTATTCAATTATCGTTTCAGATTTTGGCTATCAGCAAGAAAAAGGTTGGATAGAAAATAATGCTTGTCGTATCACCATTGCAGTCGCACCCACTGGCCATAGGTGACATTCCGACGCATGTGTTCCGCTCCGCCGAGCCCTACCGCGACGACGTCGTCTTGATTGATGCACATTCGATTCAAAAGTTCACCATCGGTGGCATCATCACATCATCAAACAGACTCGCCGCAGGCCTGGCACGCGATGGCCACAGTGGGCAGGTCATATCAGTGTTCGACGACACCGAGTTGCGCTGTGTCTACGTCTACTACGCCGCACTGATGGTCGGTGGCACGTACCAGTCGCTGGGAACCGGAATATCAACCAAAAAACTTGCCGAGCGCATCAAAACCACTGACTCTCCTGTCATTTTCACTACCGCCCTGTACCTCGACAAGCTGCGCACTGCCACAAATGGAATGGAGGTACACATTTACCTGCTGGACAATGCATGCGATCGCGCGCCTGCTTTTGGCTGCAGCTGTCTTTCGTTTGCACACCTGCTTGTAGACGACCCGTCGTTTGTCCCTGTGCGCATAACGTCCAAGGACGACGCAATGCGCAAGCCTGCGTATCTTGCGTACTCAGCCTCTACCGATCAGCACCAGGAGGTGTCACAGCAGCTGATGCTCTCGCACTATGGTCTGCTATCATCGCATCGGCTCAACCGGCCGCGGCTGCCCGAATCTACCCTCCGAACCACGCTCTCCACCCTGCCATTCACAAACACCCACGGCATCAGCAACATTGCGCACTTCCCAATGCTCTCAGGGTCGCGCGTCGTGCAGGTGAGCAGGAATGACCCGGCCCTGTGCTTGGCAGCCATGGAGCAGTGGAAAGCCGGCGTGCTCTTGGCAACATACCCCGTCCTGACCGAGATACTCGCCAAGGCCAAGCGCTGCGGCAAACTTATTTCAATTGACAATCGTACTTTTGACATTAGCTCACTGCAAATCATATTCATGCATGAGTTGCGCATGTCTGAATCTTTCAAGGAGAAGGCGTCGGAGCTTTTGGGCGCTCGCATTGTTGAGCTCTATGGGTATATTGAGACAGGTTTGATTTCCGGCGTGCTAACTGAGTATCCCCGAATCCCAAACTCTGTTGGCGTGCTGTGCTCGAATGTCGCCGCCCGCGTTATGCTTGATGGCCATGAGGTGGAGGACGGCCAATGTGGAGAGATTCTGGTCTCAACGCCCAGACTGACGGCAGTCAATTCTACCTTGATAGATGGTACAAGGTACTTTTGCACTGGCGACTACGGCATGGTCACCAGCCAGGGCATTGTCATTGTCAAGGCACGCGTGTCTGACATTATTCACACACAGAGCGGGGTTGTGGTGCCCAGGGACATTGAAACAGAGCTGCTGAGGGATGCGAGGGTTGTGGAGTCTGCAGCTGTCGCTGTGCGTAGCAATGGGATGGATGTTCCATTTGTGTTTGTCGTTGCTGTAGATGCAGCTGCTGCGGATTCGTCGAGTGCAGCTGTTAATCGGGATTACCAGAGCGACATTGACCCAATTCTCGCACCGCTTGCCAAACTGTATCCCGGAATTCATGGACGCTTCATTGATTGGATTCCAAAGTCGTCGCGGGGCGAGCCCGAACGCTCAGCATTGCGTCTCATACTTGCAGCCAATCACGCAGACAACAACACCACTGCGCAACAGCTAAGCTTAAAGCTGGTCTCTGTCAACCCAACCTAACTATATATTTTTAATTTATCATTTAATGCAATTATTGGACTAATTAGCGTTGACTCAATTATAAGTCTGCTTCCATTTCGCAGAAGTGCCATATTTTTATTACTCTGCCCATGCGTTTACAAATCCCGCGAATAGGCGGGTCGAAAGACACTTGCTGTGGCAACTTGGTTTGCAATATTCGGCAGGCGAGTGCCTAGTTTATCTTATTATATTTTATTATAACATTAATGTATGCAAATATGCAAATGCTAGTTAGGTGGCTATGCAGATAACCAATCTGGGTGAATTTGATATTCACCCAACATAAACCACTCTCAGAAAATTACATAGTATCCATAGACCAAAACCGGGTAAGTCAAGAAGGCCGTACTAAATGGCCCTGACAGCAATCAGATTGCGCTTGCGGTAGTTGGCAGGCGCAGCAACAACAACAGGAATAGGATAAAGGAAATTGACAGGTAAATTCGGGATATATCCAGGGCCAAAGCTGCTGCCAACGGTGTTGCCCTGGCCGCTAACGGTAGTGCCATCATTGCCTTTGATTTCGGTCTTCTGCGAGTTCACAAAGTTGTTGCCCTCAGATACCTGATTGTTGAAGGCACTGTTGAAGGCACTGTTGGAGATGCCAGAGAAGGTGTTGCCACCTGAGACACCAGAGTTGACGAGCGAATTCTTGATCTGGTCACCATTGTTGATATTGGAGGAGCTGATGGCAACAGGACCGCCGGAAATAGTGTCACCTGCAGTGCTGCCGACCTGCTGGGCAAGAACGGCGGATGCGGCGACGAGGAGGATGGAGATGATCTGCATATTAGAAATGGCGAAAGATGAGGTAGATAAAACTAAGACTTTGGATAAAGCTTGATGATTTGTGAATGTAAAATTTTGTCCACAGGCATTGGGTTTTATACCCTTTCGAGTCGACATCTTGATGATATAAGCGATTCGATTATTTTTATTAAAAAATATAAAACTTTCGAAATTTATTTTGCAAATGATGGCACCGTTTGTACAATACAATTTTTTTGAGAAAATATGTTTTGGTCTACTATATTGGTCCCCTTGATATTGCTCTGTTCTCAAAAATATTGTTTCGTGTAAGAAAAAATAATTAAAATTAGTGAACAATATACTTATTAATCGAGAAAGGGGGGCTTATTTCATATTAGATATTCAACAATATTTAAAGCGCAATTTGTTTTAACATAAATATCGTTTATTGTATTGTTTAGAAAAACACAAACACAAACACAAACAGATTGACTGAAAGGCACACATGTCTAGTGGTTGTGGCCATCATCGCCGCGGTTGATATCGCTCATGTTGGCAACGTTGACGGCCGTGCCAATAAACGCCAGCTGATTGATTACGGTAACATCATCGCCGCCGAGATTGTCCGCCACAAATATAGACAGGTTGTTAATGTTCTGGAAACGCACGTAACGGAGATTGATAACGCCGCCGCTCTTGTACATATCCTCTGTCAGCTCAATCTCCTGCGTGGCCTCGCTAGTCTCGGCATCGTCAAAGCCAAGATCCGAGCGGTTCGAAAACAGCTTGATGTGCTTGGGCGCCCTGTCCAGCGGTGCCTTAATCATAATCGAGTGGAGCTTAATGGGCTGGTTGAACGCAATGTGTAGAACCATCTGCTCGTCAACGTCGCTCTCCAAAAAGGAATCGCCCTCTGAGAAAACGTTCTCCAGCGGGCGGTCGTCGTTCTGGTTCAGACACTCGCTCTGCGTCTTCATCACCAGCTTAGTCAAGTCAGCGTGCCCAACAACACCAAATGCCGATTGTCCCTCGCTGCCATTGTCACTCAGCGCAGCCTCAATGGCGTCAACAATCGCCTTTTTGTTTGCTCCCTTTACTTCATTGATGCTGCGCCCCTTTCTAAAGAACTGCAGTGTTGGCGTCGCCGTAATGCGGCACTGCATGGCCACCTCTGAAAACTGTCCGATGTCAACCTTGTAGAAACTGACATTGGGGAACTGCATCGTCAGGTTGCCAAGTATCTGGTCGACAATGAGGCACGGTGGGCATGTTTTCGAGTAAAAGTCCACAACAACCTACACTTATAAAAAATGGTGAGAACAAAGGCTAAAAAATTGAAATTAGTGGTTTGTTCTGCTCGTTAAAACAAACGCGCAAGAAACGCCCCCTCCTGCGACTTTCCGTTCTGTTTATCAGGCCATTTGCTGAAATTCCGCATCTGCACACGCACCAGCTTGCCGCCTGACTCCCGAAGAATCTCCACAAATTGTTCAGTCCGTTCGATGTTGATTGCCATTTTAAAAAAGTATTGTGAAAAAAACAGAGGTAATGCAAAAAAGAAATGCACAAAGTGGGGAAAGGACCCAACTTAACCTCACGCGTATAATGCTTGTAATTTCGATGACGCGCGCACATGGCAGCACAATCAACGGATTAATTTTTAAATTATGCCTGTATTTTGACCAGCGCTCTGCTGAACACATGAAAGAGCATCGTTGACACAATAAAAAGGGACAAATTAAATTGGTTCAGTCTCGGCATACACAAGGAAATCACTGCGTCCAAATACACGCTCGGCAAGAACGCGGCCGTCGGCGGTGGGCTGCGTGAAAGCCATTTCTTTGAAAGCCACTGGGCGTCCATAAACAAAGCGCGCACGGACTGCCTCGATCATCCGCAACGCAATCCCTCCTCGTCTAGCTTCGGGCGCAACCCAGATCCGACTGATACCGCACACCGCCGGATGCACATCGTCTGAACACTCAACAGCTGTATTTGACCCAGGAACTAAGCGCCTGGCACTGTCAATGAGCTCTGCCAGAACACAACCCTCGACGTAGCCTCGAGGCGATACGTAAAGAAAAATCTTTCTTTGCTGTTTGGCGAGATCCTCAATGTCAAGTTTAACGGATCCCAGGTGCTCGTTGGCAATATTGAGAATCTCTAGAGCCCGCTGAATCTCGCGTTTGGGAGACTCCTGCCCGTCGATAACCCGTACATTAGACATGCCGCCTGTATCGACAATTCCCGAATTAAACCCCCAAGCGAGCAGTCTCGATTGGTGCCGCTGCCACGACCGATGAAATTTACTGTGCAGCTCTTCGTCATCCGGGCGGCCACGCTGAAACGTCATGCCACACTGCTTGCATGGATCCTGAGAAATCGGTTTCTGCCCAAAGTCCAAAAATGTTTGTTCTTTCTTGGAACCATCACCTTCCGACTTGTCAGCGCGGTGGTGCCCATTTTGGCGCTTACGAAGTGACTGGTTGACCGGCAGGCCCGAGATAACATCTTTTCCTCTTCCGTTCATGCCGACTTTGCTAATGAAAAGCGATTTCTGCACCAGCGTCTTTTTTGCTCGCCGTCTCGCGTTGCTGTCGCCGTCTTTTTCACTGTTACTGCAGCTGCTACTACCGCTACTAATCTCGCCAACGCTGCTGTCAAACTTTCGCTTGGCCTGTAGTTTTTTGTTGCGCTCGTCGTTCGAAGCGGCAGCGCTTTTAAAAAAGGTTTCCGAGAATAGCTCGGGAGTGACTGGGTAAGCCACACTTTTCGACGCTAAGCACGCATTCTGCGATGCAGTGGGTTTTGGGCGGGAAGACCCGTATGTCACCCGTACGGCCGCTGTTTTGAGCCTGTTTTCGCGCTGCTCATTCAAACTCATTTGGCTATAAATGAAAAATAAGTATGTGAAATGTAATGCAATGAAATATGAAAAGTTTGTTTAAGCGAACGAAAAAAACGCGAACGCGAACGCATCTTTTTTTGGTTCTGCGTCCACGGAAGTAACCCTCCCCCCACCCCAAATAATAGAAAATACACGTGATTATGATCATAATACGCGTTATTAGAGCCCGTGCTTGCTAACATATCTTTTTTTAGCACGCACTCGCCGGCACATTTAAAACCCCCCATTTGCTTTCATCTGTCTTCATATTCATCACTCATTACTATATTTTATTTTTTAAAACCATGGGCAGAGCAATTACTATTGCAGTCGAAGGATGCTGTCATGGCATGCTCGATGATATATATGCCCAGCTGCTGACAAAATCAAAAAATATGGGCAAGCGGGTTGACCTGCTCATCATCTGCGGCGACTTCCAGGCGATCCGCAACGTGACTGATCTCGAATGCATGGCTTGCCCCGACAAGTACAAGCAGCTGGGTGGATTCTACCGCTACTACACGGGTGAGCGCGTAGCGCCCATCCCGACGATATTTGTGGGCGGCAACCACGAAGCAGGTAATCACATGCGCGAGCTCTACTATGGTGGATGGGTTGCGCCAAATATATACTTTATGGGAAACTCTGGCGTGGTGAAGTTTGGCGGTCTGCGCATCGGCGGTGTTTCGGGCATCTACAAGGACTACGACTTTGTCAAGGGACACTACGAACGCCCCCCCTTTAGAGGACATGCGCGGTCGTCGATGCACCATGTGCGGTCGTACGAGGCGTTCAAAATGATGCAGATCAGGAAGCCGCTGGACATAGTTGTGTCCCATGATTGGCCGCAGAATATTGAGCGATTTGGAGATACTGGGGGGCTGCTGCGCAGGAAACCGTTTTTCAGGCAAGAGATCGAGGAGGGCAGGTTGGGCTCGCCGGTCAATGCACTTTTGCTTGAGCGCCTGCGGCCGGCGTGGTGGTTTTCGGCACACATGCATTCGCGCTTTGAGGCACAGGTCGGTGCACAAAATGTGTTGATTAATGGGAAATGGTCAGATATCGCCCCCTACAACCAACATGAAAGCACTGTCAGCCAAACCATGAAAAACCAGGACGAAATTGTGATTGGAGATCTTTCAGACGATGACGAATATATACCTGCAGCAGTGAGTTCGCGGCCGGCACTTAATCTACCACCGCCCAATAATAGCACTGGTGAACCAGCACTCACGCTTGATAGCTTGCCTGACACTGACATTGGCAAAGATACTGACACTCACCAGCAGCAGCAGCCCAAGAACACCAATTATCGTACCTGTGAGAGTGCGACACTTGCCAATGTTAATTCAGTGCCTGATCAACCAGAGCACAAAATATCTGATCCGTGCGTCCCAGGTCGTGCCACACGGTTCTTGGCACTCGACAAGTGTCTGCCAAATAGGAAATTCCTAGAGATCATCGATATTGAAGTTGAAGATACTACCCCAGACAATGCCTACTTGCAGTTGGAGTACGACCCTGAATGGCTAGCTATCCTTCGAATGTGCCATCCATACATGCCCCTCAATGAATCTCCGTTCTTTCCGCCATCCAATCAGACCAAGCTCTCGGAAACGGCACCCAGCTTCCCTGCGTTCTCTGATGCTATGCTTGATGGCGAGCTAGCTTGGGTGCACTCTAATGTGTTTAGACACGGTCGTGTGTTTATACCGCCAAACTTTGTACCCATGGCGTCAGTGCCGCCCCCAGGCACCCCAGACTCTGTCAGCTTCGGATTGGCTGCAAACCAGTCTGGTGGGAATCGTGTTGGACGCGGAGGATGCGGTGGACACGGCGGCAATCGTGGGCGTGGAAGAGGCGGCCATTTTTTGCCTAGAGATACCCCATGGGAGGGACAACGCCCCTCGGTGATCAATCCAAACCCCCAGACTGATGAGCTCTGCAAGATGCTTGGCATCCAGGACAACTTGACACAGCGGCGTTACTAAAAAATGTGTATTTGTTATTTTTTAGCAGACTGAAATCTCAAAAAAAAGTTAGAAATCGAAACAGCCAGCATAAAAGCAACGCAATAAATTATATAGCAGAAGCAAATAGAAACCAAGTTGGCTGTGTAGCAGAGCTGGCTACCAGAACCAGCGGCGAGATGTGGTAGCCGGCTTCTTGTCAGCAGCTGCAGTGTTGTTTTCCACACCGGCCTTCTCTGGTTCTTCTGCGTGCGAGCCAGTTGCATTTTCGGCTCTCGACTCGTCATTGACCATCACTGCGTCGTCCTCAAATTCGCTAGGGTCCTTTGGCGCATCAGCAACAATATCGGTGGTAGCTTCAGATTGTTTGGTTGTCTCGGGAACCTCCACAATGGGCGCACTTTTGGCGGCAATCACTTGCTCGCTGCTCTCCAGCTGCGACACCATATCCTGCAGCTGCAACTTGCGCGAGCGGATGTCGCGCAAGCGCTGGTCGTCAGGAACCTCAGTGAGAGAGTGAGACGAAAAAGCGGTGACCCACGAAGTTATTACCGAAGTGAGCGTCGACTTGCCCACAGCATCTGCCTGGGTGGGCGGGGCCTCAGCAATACCGGACAATCCAGCCAAGTATCCGGCCGCCGCCGATGCCTGCTGTGGCATGTTTTGCGATACGGTTTTCAAAAGACCTGTGAGCCCAGAGTACCCTGCCGAGCTCTGGTCTTCCGATCTCGTATTCGAAGACCGGTTGGAGACTGGACTTTGCAAAGACGAGGATTTGGCGTGTGCATTTTGATTGTTGATCGTCCGCTGGACATAACCGACCCACTTGTCGTAGGCAGTCTTTGACACTGAGCTGGTCGACTTTTGCGCCGCCGCCCGTGCCTGCTGAAAGTACACATCCAGCTGCTGCTCGTGGCTCACAAGGTATGGCTCGAGGACACGGTCGTAGATGATCTCAGCGCCATTTATCCCGGGCATAACCATCCAGGCTACGAACGACACCTTGACTATTCCCTTCAGTGGAAACCTATTACAACCTCGAAAAAATGATGCGTTGCATGGAGTTTAGTAAGAAAAGAGAATATGCACTGTATTTTAATTACATATTGTCGTCTCTTCCACCTTACCAAAACATGAACGTGTCGGCCACCAATTCAACTGCAGTAAATGCAGCCATGACGATCCAATATTTGATGATCCCTTTGACTACGTCACGTTGTTCGCCAGCCCCCGAGGCAGGGCCAATGGCTTCTGGCCCGCCGCGCAGCAGCTTGAAGCACTTGTAGGCTGGATAAAGGTACCCGACGCTGACACTACATTTTATAATGTGTGCTTGCAAAAAAAGGAATTAGACTCGCACGGACCGACCACAGCTTGTTTGTTTTATTTGTATGCTTGTGCGCGCGATCAGCAGTTGTTATTTGTTGCACTTACCACAGCGACCTAGTGATCAGACTGAACATGAATATTAGTAACGGAAATAGCTGCGTCTATCGAGAGGTCGGATGTATTGTGGTGTATCTGAACGATGTTTGTAATGGGTGTGAAAGCGACGCTGGTAGTGCAAGTAGTATTGGCAGTGTTGCTTGTGAAAAATATGTATATTTATTTAAAATAGTACAAAAAGGGCATGTGAGGAAAAAGGGAAAAAGAAAAAAGCGGAAATGCAAATGAATGACAATTTGGCTTTATACTCAATAATTCTTTAGGCAGACAAACAGTGGAGGAAAAAAATGTGGAATATTTGGCCTCGAACCACGCGCATAATTTTGAATCGCTTCAATAAGAATCACGTTGGCATTCACTTATTTCTGCGACTGCCGTTTCCCACCCCCACCCGCTGACAGCGAAAAGCAGCCACCACATAAAAAACCGACATCAATTGAAATGTAAATGAAGTTTTTTAAACAGCACATGAACAAGTCAAATGAAACAAAAAATAAAAGGAAGCATACATGTCCAAAAATATCCTACCACACTACTGTTAACCTCTTCTTGCTGTGTAAAAAATAAGGAGAGGGGCATTAGTCATGGGCACCGCACAACATAACTGTTGGGTTTATCCCTCGCTATATGTGAGCGCTACCATCCACAGTCGGTCGCCAAGCATGAGTTCGTCCTGTGGTCTTATTTGTTGCCAGAATTGTCAGCAATAGTTCGCAGAGTATCAGAGATGCTGTCGAGCAGTGCACGAGCTCTTTTGTTTGCCTCTTCGAGCTCACGCGTGGCCTCGTCGTTTTCCTTGCTCAACTCGATAAATTCGCGTTCCTGCTCGCTCTCGGTGACTGACACGCCCGGAAGCGACTCAACGAGCGTGTCTATCTTTTTAGACTGTCGGCATATATCGTTGGCTATCTCCTGTGTACGCGCTGTAAAATTGTCGATGCTGTCGGCCCCTTCGTTCTGCTGCGTCACGGGAATCCCCGGAGATACCTGTACCATACCAGCCTTTTTATGCAAATAATGAAGGCTACTAAACAGCATTTGGCATTGCTATCTGGAATGCAATAGAAGCGGAAGAGAAGTATGTTATTAACCGTATTTGCGATAATGCTATTTTCACGTTTTATTTGTCACTTGGTAAATTAAGAGTGCACGAACCTGGTCAATGCTGTCCTGAAGCTGGGTTACCCGGTCAACATGAACACCGGTTGCTTGTGCTGTGAGACCCTCCATAGGAAACCCGTAGTATATGACTTTAAAAGGTATAACAAGGATGCTTTGATGGCAGATGCTGTGCCAAAAGCACTAAAATCCCAATTTTTGGTATAAATATTCATTACTACGTTAATATAATGATGGGTTTATTTCACATGCTCTAATAATTAACTTTTCTCTGGCGACAAGACAAAGATGACGGCCTGCCGAAGTGGCCGCGGACAACAGCAATGAGGACGGGAGATATAAACACCAGCTATCTGGACACGATTGATGCTCTAGCTGACAGATTGAGTGCTCGGGTTTAACTTTACTAACACCCTGGCGGACAAAATTCCACCGCCAGGAAATTAGGCCCAGGTCTGGATAACTCCCAACCACCCCGCCCCTAGAATAATTTCATTCATAGAGGTATATAGCCAGGTCTGCAATAGAAACCCATCTTGGGCAAGGTGGCACAGTAGATAATCAGTCTTCTTCATCAACTTTAGTTTTTGCTTTCTACTTGTTTTATACCTCGCTCAATGAATCCATTCTCTCTTACATTCTTCTATGTTGTGTGACAACGATTTTGTTAATCCGTTCTAGATGGTATATCCCACATGCCTCATGAAAACAGTTTTTTAGATTTTTATAATTTACAATTTCATACGCTTCGAAGTTGTGAACATGGAGACCTTCTTCCTCAATTTTTACATCTGTGTACCTCCTGTCGTCCTTTAAATGCCTTAAAATCACACTACATTGATGCGTTTGTTATACAGTATGCCCATGATAAAATGACCGGTTTTACTATCATAAAAGTTTGCCCCAAAATCATGGTGTTCTAAACCTTCTTCTTTAATGTCACGATCCAACTTTTCCGGTCTTATAATTAACGCTGTTTGATTAAACCAACCCATGCTGTTAGAAATAAAATGTGAAAATGCAAAGTAAAGTAAAGAAGCTAATTTTACGAGCGCAATAGCTTGTCATTTACATAAGGTTGGCAAAGTAACGCACACGCTACTTTTCTGTTGACAAAAAACTCGATGGGTATTTTCTCTTTACCTTTCCTATGAATTTATTTTAAAAAATACTAAAAAAAAGTAAATAAAGCAAAGTACCCCTTTTATTTTATTTCTAATGTTGCGCAGCCTGAGGACATGGAAGTGGATCTCGAGGTTGAGAACCATGAAATAAGTTTCCATCTGCATGCCGATTGATAGGAGACTAATTGGACTTGTGGTGCCCAACACACATTTCAAGCCACTATCTTCCCTCTTCAAGAATCAAGATCGCCCTCATGGCCACTATATACATTTCTGTTATTGCTAGCTGACATCAAGGAACACCATGATATCTATAGCGCTGCCCCCTTTTTCAGTTTAGTAAGTAATTTTTAAGACTTGAATATATCGATTTAGACCCACATTTTTATAGAGCACGACAAGTGCATGCATGTACATGAGTAATTACAAGATGGTTTGAAAGTTTTTTTAAAGGTTTCTGGTAAAAGTTGTAGCCTTGACAATTCCAGTAAATATTTTAATAACACTCATAAAATATTAAAAAGTATAGTACGAGAACATGTTGCAAGGACACATATTTTTTGTAGGTTGCTAGATATACAACATATGTTCTTGACGCCCATTATTTTACATTATCTGTGACATCAAAAATGGGGGCCGAGTTACGTGACAGCGTAGACGCGTGAAATATGTTTATGGTATTCCATGTGTACAGCAAATTCTAAATAGTGAGCTCTTCAGCTCTTTTCATAGTCTCATTTTAATTAATATATTATAACTAGCCAAATTCCCATTACATTATCGGTTCCAGATGAAAAAGGTTCACATGGGTGTCGGCAGAAACACGCCTAACGACTAAACATTTGCAAAGCATATAGCTGTTATCAATCTAAAGCATTTTAAATGTTAACGGTGATTGGTAGCAATAACAAGAAATACTTTTTACAAAATAATAGTTAAAATTAAATACATACTAGGATTGTAATAGTCGCAATGGCTACTTAAGTCAGAGAACAGCTTCTAAGTTGTTTAAAAATCATTCAATCAAAGCATCTGTGGTCCAGAGGTATGATTGCCGCCTGCCACGCGGTAGACCCGGGTTCGATTCCCGGCGGATGCACATATTTTTGCTTAATGTTTATTTTTTTGAATCAAAAGGAGGCCATCGAAAAGCGGAAGCAACGTTTGAGTTGTTCTTTTATCGTCAGCAACATGCTTATTAAAATCGTTCAGCTTTTGTGCTATGGTCTTTTTCCTACCTGTTTTGCCATCTTGGTCGAGTCCGTGCACTTGGCCATGGAACAGGACATTGTCGACAATAATCTGACCGTTCTCCTTGAGCAGGTCCCGTTCGAGGATCAGATTGTAGTACTTTTTATAAGCAGTCTTGTTTGCGTCAATGAACACCATATCGAGTTTTTGCTCTGCATTCCATCCCTGCAGGACTTCATCAGCTGGCTGGGACAGCACCTGCACAATATCGGCATATCCAGAATCAATGATGTTTTGCTTTGCAATTGCAGTGACATCGAGGTCCCGCTCACACGTCCACAGCTGCGGATTACCCTTTGTTTGACTGCGCAGTCCATGGGCGAGCCATAGAGCAGAGTAGCCCTTGTAACAGCCCAGCTCGAGAATATGGCGGGCTCCTTGTGAGCGCACGAGATGAGATAGAAATACGCCCTGGAGGGGGGATATCATTTTTTGAGCTTCGGTCGGGTCTTGGGCGATTGCAGCTTGGCGCACTTTTTTCATTGCCAAAGGTTCTTGCTCGGAGACATTCTGCGCGTAGTTGTAGGCACTGGGCGAGGGCGTGTCAAGAAACGACCAGAGCGTCAGGTACATAGCGGATGTGTGGAGCCGCATGCTTGGATTACTTTGGGCGTGTCGGCAGCGTAGTAAGGTGGCTGCAAGCATGGTGAGTGGGAAAATTAATGAATGGGTGGGGTAAAAACGAAGTCAAAAACCTTAGTTTTTGTGAACCCGAGTGATGGGAGGTTTAAGCGTATTTTTCTTATAGTGGTTTTCCAAATCAATTTAGGCTGTGGCTTTGTGGGATTTGATCTGGCAAAGTACAGTGTTATTTTTGTATTTGTTTTTCATTCTTTTTTCTGTTTACGGTTTGGTTCTTTTCGCGATAATTTATTTTTTCAAACTCCTCACATTTGTATTTACACATTTAATTCGAATTCATGGCGTTTGTTTTGAGCGCGCTGTCCACAATAGGCTGGGCGGCGGGTCTGATTTTCGGGATATTCTCACTGGCCTGCGGGCTCTACGTTACCTCCGAATGGGTAGAAGAGTACCCCCGGCAAGCGCGCAAGGCAATCCAGCTATCGACCTGGGCCATCGACGCCTTACTCCTCCTAGCGCTCCTCGACGGCACCAGCATATGGCGCACTTTAGCTACTCTGGCGACCAACCACGTGTACATGCAAAACCTGGCAAACTTCCCGCTGGTAAACCTCAGCGGACCCGTGTTCCTCGGCAGTTGCATTCTGGCTGTGGGAAACCATTTTTCGTGGTTCTTCTATTTCATCAAGCGGCCGGGTATTTTGTTTGGAGAGGTTTGCGCGTTTATGTTTTTCTGCGTCTGGTTGGTGCCTTTAGCGCTGTTTGTGTCGTTGACGCCGGTGGATGCGGCGCTGCCAAGCTCTAGGGAGGCTGGGACTAAGCGGGTTCGCCAGAATATGTTCAAGACCATGTTCTCAAAGTTTGTCCGGTCGGAAGAGCAGCCGCAGCTGCTGCACAACGAATAATATGAGTATATTTTTTGATCAAGAGATCAAGTGGGGGGAGTGGGCTGGGACTTTGAATAACTAATATTTTATGGCCAAAGTCGCCTCCATGTGACCATATGACCATGTGACTATTGACTACCCCTGTTTGTTTTCGACTGTGAGAAAATTACAAGTGTCCATGAGCGAAGTACCTCGTATACATTTTTCATTTGTTTTGCTCTTGACACGAAAAAGATATATTGTGTGAATCCGCCAGTTCTAGAATTTAATACTTGTATTTGCCGCTTCTATATGTATATTTTTGGGGTGTTAGGGAGTGTGGGGAAAGGCGTAGAGTGTAATAAAACGAGGATGGATTATCTTCTATCCCGTTCTAGATGAAAAGCACTGGGCAGATCATGCGAGTTCGCACGCGTGGGGAAAGGTTTTTAATGTTTCGTGAGGCAAGTTTGCGTTGCAAATCCCGCTTATCAAAACTGGGCAGTTACAGAAAAGTGACAAGCTTCGGTGACAAGCGTCGTTCCGATTATCCGTGCGGTCATTCAGCATCTGTGTATTCCCCCCCTCCTCATCTCACCTCTCCAAGCACAATACCAAGGTTGTCAGAAAAAACAAAACCTTTTTATTTTCCTCTTTTTGACGTAACACTAACTGAATGTTTTATTCCTTCAACTAATCTTTCTTGTTTTTATATCAATACCACTACTATTTTTTATATATTTCTTTTATACAATGCCTGAATTGTACTCCAAGGAGGTTCCAGGCACTGGCAGCGCGACCGAAACACCGACCCACCGCTTCCACAGTACAGCCGACCACATCGTCGACTGCGCTCCCCCGGACATCATAAGCATCTACGGCGCCCTCCTGCACGGCCAAAAAGTGCGTCCGACCTTCAACATCCTGGGCAAACGCGACGTCCTCGGCACAGTGTCCGAAAACAAGGAAGTGAAGCAAAAAGTCGACGGCAAGATGGAGACCGTGACCAAGAGCTGGAGCTACTTCAAGATGAGCGAATACAAGTGGATGAACTACAACGAAACCATTGATTTCACCAAGGACCTCGGCGCTGGGTTCCTCAAGCTTGGCATGAAGAAGGGATCGAGGGTAACTATTTACGCGCCGACTTCGCGAGAATGGCAGCTCTGCGCAATGGGTGCGTTCTCGCAGTCTATGCAGATTGTCACCGCATACGATACCCTGGGAGAGAGCGGTTTGTTGCATGCGATGAACCAGGCCAAGGTCGAGACTCTTTTCCTCAAGGCTGACCAAATCCCCATACTGGCGCGCATCATGGACGATGTCGAGACCGTGAAGAACATTGTTTACTACCAGGACGTCTATGGAATGCCCAAGGGCTGCGAGGAGGCTATTGAGAAGGTGCGCGCAAAATTCGCGGTTCACACCATGAACGAGATCTGCGAGCTGGGCAAGGCCAATCCGGTTGAGCTCAACATTTCAGGCGGCGACGAAATCGCCATGGTCATGTACACCAGCGGCAGCACAGGCAAGCCCAAGGGTGTTCTGATCAGCCACCAGGGCGTCATGTCCGTGGCTGGTGGAATCCACGTGTTCATCTCGCCCTTCATCGAGTACGGCAAGGACCTGATCCTCTCGTACCTGCCCCTCTCGCACGTTCTGTCCTTCTTCGTTGACGTCTACTGCATGTTCTCGGGGATTGGCATTGGCTATGGCACGCCGCGCACGCTGACCGACGAGAGCGTGCGCGAGTGCAAGGGGGACATCAAGGAGCTGCGGCCCATGGTCATGATGGGTGTCCCGCAGGTATGGAACACGATCCGTGCCGGCATGCTGAAGCAGGTGGACAAGAGCGGATGGCTTGTGCGCAAGCTCTTTTACAGCGCTGTTGAGCTGAAGAACACGCTTCGGCACTACAACATGCCGCACAATTTCATGGACGGCATTGTATTCAAGAAGACCAAGGACGCGACAGGCGGCAGGCTCAAGTTTGTCATTACCGGCGGAGCCCCCGTCAACAAGAATGTCCAGCGCCTGATGAACGCTGCTCTGTGCCCAATGATCCACGGGTACGGAATGACGGAGGCCAGCGGCCTGCTATCTGTGCAGATCCCCAATGACCCGACCTTCAACAACGTCGGCTCTCCGTGCCCGTCTGTTGAAATGAAGCTTGTCGACGTGCCCGAGGCCAAGTATTACGCCAAGAACGGCCAAGGCGAGATCTGGGTGCGCGGCCCGTCGATCTTCAAGGGATACCTCGACAACGAGGAGCTCACAAAGGAGACACTGACCGAGGACGGATGGCTCAAAACCGGAGATATCGGCGAGTGGACCGCTCAGGGCCAGCTCTCTATCATTGACCGCAAGAAGAATCTCGTTAAGATGGTCACCGGCGAGTACATTGCGCTTGAGGCACTCGAGGCCACGTACAAGAACTCGCTTTTTATCCACAACATTTGCATTTTCGCTGACTCGCGCATGTCCCAGCCTTGTGCCATTGTCAACATCGATGGCTCCCAGATTGCCAACATTGCAGATGAGAATGGCGTCAACTACAACAACCCGTCGGATATCGCCACCAACCCCGACTTTGTGCGCGCTATTCTGGCCGACCTCCAGCGCGTGGCCAAGCGCAATGGCCTGAGCAAGCAGGAGACCCTCATGGCCGTCATCATCGACCCTGAGCTGTGGTCGCCCGAAAACGACATGCTCACGCCGGCCATGAAGCTTAAGCGCAACGACATCCGCGATCGCAGTGGTGATGCCCTTCAGGCAATGTACACTAGCATGGGCCTCGACTAACTGTTTTTTAAATTTAATATTAATAGTAAAATGAATTGTAAACTTTGACTTTTATTGTCTTCATCGTTACAAAATAAATAAATGTAAAAAACAAATATTTTTGCAAAAGTTGAGTGCCTGCTGCCAGAATTGAACTGACGACCTTTGCATTAATCTGTATGCAGACTATTTGTCTAATCACATACGAGTGCAACGCTCTGCCCCTGAGCTAAGAAGGCTTATTTGTTGTTAACTGCACTATATTTTATCGATAATTAGGCCTGTGCTGCATATAATTTGTTAAATTTATTAAACTTTGCACTTTTTTATTTTAGGTACAGTTTTGCATTGACAAACAAGTTCAGTGCATTCGCGCACTCTTCAGGCGTTTCTCACATCACATACATGCTGCAAAGCGTAAGCAGCTCACTGCTGTTTCCATGTGTGTGTTTGCATGCGCGAAGAGGTTGGTTTTCAATATATGGAATTATCGAATTTTTTTAGATGAGAAAAATGAGATTAAGAAAAAACAAATGGAAATGGGAAGATGAAGACAGAATGGAACCATCGAGTAAATTTTTTTTTTGCTTTTTACTCAACTGTCACAGACTTTGCCAGGTTACGGGGGAAGTCAACATCGACGCCGTTGAGAGTGGCCATGTGGTAGGACATGAGCTGCAACGGGATGATAGACAGGATGCCCTGCAGACAATCGACAGTGAGCGGAATACGGATGGTCCTGTTCTCAGCATCATCAATGTTGGTATCACCGCTGTTGCAAATAAGGATAGGGCTACCCTTGCGAGCCTGAACCTGCTGCAGAGCGCTCTGCACCTTAGGGTAGTACGCGTCCTGGGTCATGATAATAATGACAGGGATGTGCTCATCAATGAGGGCCAAGGGACCGTGCTTGAGCTCACCGGCCATGATACCCTCACAGTGAATATACGAGAGCTCCTTGATCTTGAGCGCGCCCTCAAGGCAAGTGGCGCTTTGGAACCCACGGCTGAGAATAAGCATGCTCTTCTCCTTGTACAGATCCTGGGAGAGCAGCTTGATGCCACTGTCGAGGGCAAGCACCTCCTTGACGAGGTTGGGAAGTTCGCGCAGACCATCGATGATCTCGCGGCGACGCTCGGTCATCGAAATGCGATCTTCGCCGAGCTGCAGCGCCATCATGACGAGTGCCAGATACTGGGAGGTGTACGCCTTGGTGCTGGCAACTCCGATCTCAGGACCGGCATTAATGTGCACACCGCAATGGGTTTCGCGCGAAATAGACGAGCCCACAGTGTTAGTGACACCGACGCAGAGGGCGCCGCGCTCAAGGCAGTAGCGCAGGGCAAGAATAGTATCGGCGGTTTCGCCGGACTGCGAGACAAAGACGCAGACGTCGTCGCGGAAAATAGGCGACTTGCGGTCGAGGAACTCGGACGAGAGCTCGACAGAGACGGGAATCTCCGTCAGCTCCTCGAAGATAGCGCGGGTGGCCAAGCAGCTGTTATAGCTGGTGCCGCAGGCGGTGAAGACAATGCGGCGGCAGCGGCGGATGGACGCCAGGTAGTTGCGCAGGCCGCCGAGCACAACCGTGTGCTTGTTAAAGTCGACGCGACCGCGGATGGCGTTGACGACGGACTCGGGCTGCTCATAGATCTCCTTGAGCATAAAGTGCGGGAAGTTGCCCTTCATGATGGCAGCCAGTTCCATCTCCAGCGTCTTGATCGACCGGATGGACGACAGACCGTCGTCGCGGCGCAGGCGGTAGATGTGCAGGTCTCCCTTGGCGCTGATGTGCGCCATGTCGTCGTCCTCCAGGTACAGGACCCGGCGCGTATGCTCGATGATGGCAGAGGGGTCGGACGCCAGGAAGTACTCCAGCGGCTGCGTGCTGCCGTCCGCGCGCGAGAAAGACCTGGACTGAGCGCGCTTGGCATATGCTGGCGCCTTATCCTCGTTGATGCTCGATGCGGCAACGCTATTGGTGGTCTCCTCGACATCGACAAAGTCCACGGTCAGGTTCTCCGATGTCTTGATGCCGATGAGCAGCGGCGAGCCGCGGCGTGCGGCGACGATCTCGCCCGGGTAGTGCACGCTCTTGATGAGGAAGGCAAAGGCGCCCTCGAGCTCCTTCACAACGGCCTTGGCCAGGTCCGGGAAGCTGATGTGCTGGCCGCGCTGAGAGTCGTAGACGTACTTGAGCAGCTTGGCGACAATCTCAGTATCGGTCTCGGACTCGAACAGGTAGCCCTTGTTTCCCAGCAGTGTGCGCAGCTCCTTGTAGTTCGTGATGATGCCGTTATGGACGATCGTGAACTCGTTGGTGGGGTCCGACCGGTGCGGGTGAGCGTTGATGGACGAGGGCTGGCCGTGGGTGGCCCAGCGCGTGTGCGAGATGGATGTCTGAATAGTGTACGTCTTGTTCCAGTCGAGGTCGGACTCGTCAACCAGGGCGCGCAGAGCGGCGACCTTGCCGACCTGCTTGATGATGATGGTATCCCTGGCGGTATCACCGTCAAAGGCAAAGCCCGAGGAGTCGTAGCCGCGGTACTCGAGGCGCGAGAGACCGTTGAGCAGCGTGTCGGCGACATAGCGGCGGTCCTTCTCGACATAGTAGGACAAGTAGGCAAAGATTCCGCACATGGTTTACAGTAAGTATGCTATTTAAACGGGTAAAAGGTAAAAAGTAAAAATAAATGGTGGTAAGTGTGATGTTGCTTATTAGCGGGATGAAGAGTCGGGATTTATGAAAGCAAGATAAAGGAACATGAAAAGGGAAGATTTCAACAAAAATAAAAGGTTGGATGAACAGGCAAGCATCGCAGTGGTAGTGGCAGCAACGATTCGATATTAAAAAGGGGGGGTGGTGCATTTTTATAGACAAAAAGGTTGATGCAGCGCGCTCCTCTCCGCGTATTAAACCCACCCTGTGTCTTGCTTTGGCTTCATACCCCACGCACACACGCGTGCACGCATGGCACAATATGAAAGGGCACAATGTGGCCGCGAGGAGGGAATGGGCAAAGAATAAGGAGCGTAGAGCTCTCAGAACTGGGCAAGGCACAGAGCCAGAGCAAAGCAGAACAAACAAAAGAAGGAGGAGGGGGGGACAGTATGGCCCATCATCGGCTTGTGGTGCACACAGAGCAATAGTAAGCAGAGAGGCATTCGTTGCCAAAATAGTACAAAAAAATGACAAACAAAAAACTAAAAATATACCAGTCATTTTGCTTTGTTGCTCCGTTTCGTTAATGTCGCAAAGTCAAGGCCGCGATTTTGTTTGGTGATTTGGCATGCCATTTGTCACACCAATCGCAACCCAGAGAACAGTTCCGAGAACAATGCTTGGGCGCAAACGAGGAGAGGAGAGACGAGCAAAATGCGCTTTGGGAGTTATCTTTGTGCTTGCTGTCCGTTAATGGACATGGGGCGATGACAACACGAAAAGGGGGAGATTTCGCGAACGCGCAAATCAAGTGGCCCGATTGGGATGCTTGAGCATGCGTTGGTGCCGCACGCTTTTTTGCCTTGACAAAAGTAAAGAGCAAAAAGCATGGAAGAGACAGACCATCGCCAGCTGGCACTGTCAGCATTACATCAATGATTTATTTTTGCAAATGGCTTGTAGACCATTTCTGCGAGATCACAAGCCGCGAGGCACAGCAACAAAAAACAACATAGGAGAAGGGGGAGCTAAAAAAGGAAGAGGCAAATGGGCCATGCAGCGCAGTAAACCGATTTCCAAGTTCACGTCATGGCTTGGCAAAGCAGGATAAGAGCAGAGGACAAACAAGCTTTATCCGATCGTCGCCGACAGCTTGCCCTCCCCCCACTCCCCAGGAGTGGAGTCCTTATAAAATCGTGTTGATCACAGAGCCCTCCGGGGCTGACAGCTCCAGAGTCAAGCGGGGGCGGCAGCAAGTAGCAGGAATGGCAAGCAAAAAACACTACGTTTTTTTGCGTTGCAATTAGGGACATAATAAAGCATTGCATGCGACAAATTGGTCGCTGAGCATGGGCAAGCAAAGCGCATGGGCTCGCTTTGTGTGGGGGTGTGTAATCCTGAAGGAAAGTGGATGGAGGTTGGATGCACACATGTAAAAAAGAGAGGCATCGGATAAGGCGATGCTGGCTGCTGATATGGATGTGAAACTGTACCTTGAAAAGTTTAAACAGTTACAAAAAAGAGTGGTGTGCGTGCGTATGAAACGTGGCGATGTGGGCTGGGCTGGTTTTGGCTGGTTGCAGTTGAATAGGTAGGCAGTCGATGAAATGTGAATGAATATAAAATATTATTAATGTTAGACAAAAACTGGGGAAAAAGAAGAGACAGGAGATGCTGATGAACGAATATAGTCGAATGTCATGCTGGAGAGGCCGTCGCCTTTATATAAAAGTAAACGCGCGCAAAAAAACATATAAAAAACAGCATACTGCGTTTTTTTCTTACCTTTCTTAACAGCTGGTTTGGTCCTTTGTACTAACTGTGCTGCAAAAAAAGTGAGAGGATAAAAAAGTTGCCTCATGTGGTTTGATTTGCAACGTCCAGAATAGATGGGATGGTCAGTCGAGTGTGTGTGAGAAGGCCGATAATGTCCGTTACATATTCATTTTTATTCTTGTCGAAAGTAAGCAAAACGACGTCAGTGCCAAATATAGTGATGGATTCGGGGTAGCAATGCCAGTGCATTTACATCAATATAAAAATATTCCCGCGCACCAATCAAAATATGCAATGGTAGGCAAAGGGTGATCATTCAAATACGACAGATACAATTATATTTTTAGAATTGTTTTTTTACAGAATTTTCCATGTTCTAATTCTGGCAACGTGGGGGGGGGGGGGGGGTTTACTTTTTTTCTCGCGACTGATAGGAAAAATTAGAATGTAAAAAATATATTTTTAGAATATCCTCACACAATTGTTGCATTTTCACTTCATTCCAATGTTGTGGTTTGTTCAGAAGACTCAATGTCGGCCTGCATCTTGTCAATGAGCTTGGAAGTGGCCGTACTGTTGGTGAACTTTAGTCGAATGCTCCGTGGAGCACCAATGCCCCTGCTCACGCCCTTGGATAGCTCCTGGTTGACAATGAGGTTGAGGTACTCTGACGACTCTCTGATGATCTTGCGTATTTGGAACTACAGCAGCACAAAACAGCAAGAAAAACAATAACAACAACAACAGCAACAGCAACAACAGCTGCAATATTATTAATTTTAGTTTGCGTGGCTTTGGCGTCTGACCTGTGCTTGCAAGCTCTGTCACAGCACACGTTGGTTGTGCGCAACAAGCAGTACGCCGGAAGAAAAAAAGGCAATTGCAAAAGATTGGCAGTAATCACAAGAAGCATCGAGTGATTAAGATTTGGATCACACAAAGAAAAACAGGAAGGCTTACCGGCTGAATATTCTCATCGGCGGTCCTAGCCGTAACCTTGTAGCAGCAAATGGCAGACTTTAAGCTGAACGAAACCAGCACATCAGTGATTTCCCAGTACTGCAAAGAAAGCTGCCTCACCGGCAAATCACCCGTAGACAAGTGCCGCTCCAAGATGCGCAAAATCTGACCGCGCATCAAATCAATCTTCTTCAGCTGCGTTTTCTCGTCCACAGTGATGGTGCGCGCTGAAATTCGCTTCAGGTTGTCGTCCTCCTTGGGCTGCTCCAGCTGCTTCTCCATCCGAGACTGCTCGCGCTTGCGCAGTCTCCCGGTAAAGTACTTCTGGTATTTTCCTGGGATATGGAAATTGTCCAGGACAAACTGCTTGCGCCAAAGGCTGCGCTCCACTTCTTGCAGTTTGCCTGCGGAGGAGTCTTGCGCGGCAAAGCGCTTGCGGGGCTTCTTTTCGGGCCTGTATCTGGATCTGGTGCTCATCTGCATAAGGCAGAGCGCGTTGGGCCGATGGAGCAGCTGCTGGCCAATGGGTGTGGTTGGTGTAAAAAGCGGGCCCAAGCGACGGGCGAATATATTCGAAAACATGCCCTTTTGAAATATGCTGCGCTTTTTTTATGTGCTGATAACGTTAGAACTAAAAACAAAAAGCATTGACGATAGTTTTTGCGCACGCTGATCTGCCGCCGCATAATTAGTGCCGAAGAATGTGTGTGCGCAACCAGGTATATGGGAGGGATCACGCGGATTGCATTTTTGCTACTGTGAATGCGCGAACGCAAGCCCATTTTTTGTCGGCAAGATCGGCCAGCTTGCTTTATTATGCTTTCGTGCTTGCTTTCATACATGCCTTTGTTTTGTCTAGTTTTTTTGTTTCCACTCACCTCAATCCTCATTCAATCTGTAATTATTCAACCAAATCCACACAATGTCGCTTTTGCTGTCGGGGCAGGGCGAAAAGGCCTCGCCGCTCCTCCGGACAGCACGCAAATACTGCACACACGTCAGCTACGCGCTCGCGCTCGCAGGCTTCCTCTGGCTTCTGGCGCTGCCATTGCAGACGCTGTCGCGGCGCACGTACTTTTCAGAAAACGCAATGATGCCGGGCCAAGTGGAGCTCAGCTTTGGCAGCGAAAAGCACATCGAGGCAATGAACAGCATGAACCAGGCCGAGCAGCTCGGAGGCGAGCAAAGGGGCCGAGCGGTGATGGCCGCCTTTGAGGGGCTCGGGCTGGACAGCGAAATGCAGCGGTTTAAGCACAACGGGGTATCAGGCATTAACGTTCACGGGGTTGTGCGGGCGCCGCGCGGCGATGGAGTCGAGGCGCTGGTGGTGGCTGCGGCGTGGGAGGCGGGCAACCGGACGAATGCCGATGCCGTGCGCCTGCTCGCAGGGCTGGCGCAGCACGCCATTGAGCAGGTGAACTGGGCCAAGGACGTTGTTTTCCTGGTGACCGACTCTGGGGAAGGCGGCGTCGAGGCGTGGCTGCGCGCGTACCACGGCGAGGGCGGCGCCATGTACGTCCGCTCGGGGCTGATCCAGGCGGCCTTGGCTTTGGAGCTGCCGCCGATGGATGCGTGCGGCGGCCTGGCTCTGCACTTTGAGGGGCGTGGCGGCCAGCTGCCTAACCTCGATCTGCTCAACATTGTGCAGCACGTGGCGCGCATCGAGAGAACCCCCGCCCGGCTGCACGCGCTGCCCGATGCCCCGCGGCGCGCCTCCAGGTACACGCACTATCTGCAGTCGGCGCGGCTGCTGCTGCGCCAGGTGCGCGCGCAGGCTGTGGGCTCAGCGGTCGGCGTGCATGCGCCGTTTCTGCGCTACGGCATCGATGCGCTGACGCTCGTTGGCATGGAGCGCGTGGGCGCGCGTGGCGGCGGCAATATTGTTTCTGTCGGCCGCACCGTCGAGGCATCGCTGCGCAGCCTGAACAACCTGCTCGAGCGCTTCCACCAGTCGTTCTTCTTCTACCTCCTGCCGGCCAACGGTCTTTTTATTTCCATCGGAAATTACGTGCCGGCCGCTGTGCTCTTTGCTGCTGCGCTCCTGGTCCACGCGATGAACCTGTGGTGGCTGCAGGGCCCCGAGGAGTCGCGCTCGGAAGCGCCCCAGGCCCGCATTCCGCGGATAAACGCATACCATGCTTTTTTGCGCAGGTCGCTGCCCACGTCAGTTGGCCTCATTGTGCGCGTCCACGCTCTGGCTGCTGCTCTCTTGGCTCTGCCCATGCTCGTGCCGCAGGTCACAATGACCGACTCCACAGCCACCGCCTATCTCTTTACCATGAGCTTGGCCTCCATCTCGTTGGTGCTGCATTTGTCCGATGAGCTGCGGAGCCACGCGTGTTTGGCCGATTGGCGCCAGCTCAAGGCATTGGTGTGTATCTACGTGGCCTGCGTGGTCGCTTGTCTTTCGGTGATGAATTTCAGCCTGGCCATTACCATGTTTGTTGTCATTGGGCTCCCCCTGCTGTTCACTCGCTTGTCAGCCAGTCCCACGCGCGTGCATCGGGCGTGCACTATGCTGATGCTGCTGGCGTTTTCCCCGCTTTCTGTGCTGAGTGTGTCGCGGTATTTCTTGGCCTCGGGCGCGGTTGATCAGATGTCTAGTCCGTTCCGCATGTTCCTTTCCGACTTTAACCAATTTGGGAGCCCGGTGTATGCGCTGATATGTCTCGTTTACTGGCCAATCAATATGCTGTGCATGGTTGTCACCTTGATGCCCTGAGCAAAACATTTATTTCGCCATTTCAAAGTTACTCATATCAAAAAAAAATCTTATCGATAATATCGAGATTAATGTTAATTCAACATTTTTTGACCTCACACCCTGCAATTAAAAGTACTTGCAAAACCCATTTTTGTCTGACAACTGACACAATACTGCAACACAAAAAAACCACAATACATTTCAGGACAGCATATCTTGTCTCTAATAGCAGTATTCTTGCTTGATACACATCAATGAGCACGAGCAAAATCAGATAGGGGAGTATCCTTAACTTGCTTCTAGTGTAAATTATTTTATATAGTTCATTTCAATTGTGGAACGCATGTATTGTTTTTTTGGATCCCCCTGTTGAAATGAAGTTCAGGCTGTATGTTTTTATCTGCGTTCTAATCCGCACACCTTCCGCAGGCGCCGAGCCCGCGGCCAGCAGGCTTGGCAAACCACTTGATATCCGCACATCTATCTCATTGAACCAAGTCGGCCGCCCCGTAGTTTCTCCAGATCAGTCGCGCTTTCTATTCACCCAGTCATACTACGGCCAAGACGAAAACAAGTCCGTGGCATTCACCAACCTCATGGACGTCGATTCTGGTGATATCAAAAGACTAGCGACAGACGCGCTCGGCCAGTCCTGCTCCATGCCCATATAGCTCGACAACAACACTGTTTCATACATGTACCGCGACACCCTCTTTTCCATCTCCTTGGATGACGATGCTGCTAACGCAACTGGGATATATAAACCGGCATATAGCGTTAATTCGGTCGAGAGTCGGGTGAATCATATTACATTTGTGTCTGACGTTTGCCCGGATGCCAGTTTGGCTCAGTCCAGCGAGCGGTCCAAGCAGGAGGCGGGCAAGACATCGGCGCGAGTCTACGACAATTTGTGGCCACAGCACTGAGACGAATGGATGGCCGTGAAGAAGCCCACCTTGTTTGCGGCTCCATTAGCCAATAACGGCAGCAAATGGTCGATCGGCACCGAAACCAACGTAATGAAGGGCCTGTCACAGTTTCACGACCCGCTAATTAATTGGTCGGTTGAGAGCTACAGCATAGACAGCCTGGGGGAAAGCATTGCCCTTGTCGTGCGCAACCCCTCGGAGGACATGGCGGTGACCCCCAGAGTGGACATATACCTTGTCTCAGCAGATAATTCAGTCAAGCCTAAACTGCTCACAGGAAGTTTCAATGCCATTTCTGATAGCCCGGTGTTCATTAAGGATGGCAAGTACCTTGCGTGGCTGCAGATGGAGACTCCCGGATATGAGTCCGACATAAACCGCATTTAAATATACGATATTGAAGCGGGCACTAGAAAATCCGTCGCTCGTGAATGGGATTGCTCACCAGAGTCTATCGTATGGTCTGCCAATGGCCAGACTATTTTCGCCGTGGCAACCGACCAAGGTAACAACATTATTTTCGCTATTAATGCCACCACCGGCAACTGCACGCGGATGACTGATGCTGGATCCGCCATGGGTCTGGGCACTCTGGGCGAGAACCAATTGTTATTCCAGTACACCGAGCAGAACAAGTGCGTGGACATCCATATTTTGGACATTGAAACCAAGGAGATGCGCCGACTGACTGACGTCAATTCCGACAAGCTCAGGAACGTGTACATTGGACAAGCAGAGTATTTTTGGTTTAAGGGCGCGCTCGGCGACCAAGTGCACGGATGGATTATCAAGCCACTTCAGTTCAATACCGAGAAAAAGTACCCACTTGCATTGGTCGTTCACGGAGGACCACAGGCGAGCATCCAAAATATTTTTACATCCACAATGTGGAACTCCAACATCTTTGCCAATACCGGGTTCGTAACTGTTCAGATTAACTTTCACGGGTCGACTGGTTATGGAAAAAACTTTACCGACTCAATCAAGCATCAGTGGGGCAGATATCCATACGAGGATCTGATGATAGAACTGGACCATGTGCTTGATAACTGCAGTTACGTGGACAAAGCCCGGATGGGATGGTCGCGCTGGGTGCGAGTTACGGCGGGTACACGCTGAACTGGTTTAATGCAAATACCAAGCGCTTCAAAGCCTTGGTCTGCCACGCCGGTATATTCTCCACCCCCGGCGCTTGGTATGGTACAAACGAGCTGTGGCTTCCCGAACATGATTTTGGTGGCACACCGTATGATCCCAAGGCAAGGTCAAATCATGAGGAGTTTAATCCAGAACGGTTCGCCAACGAATTTGCCACACCGACGTTGTTCATCCATGGGGGAAGTGATTACCGCGTTGGTGTTGAGCAGTCGCTGGCGCCGTTTACTCTGCTCCGCCGTAAAAATATTCCGACTAAATTCGTGTATTTTCCAGACGAAGACCACCATATTTCCAGCGATGTTGATCAGATCAAGTGGCTTACTGAGGTGTTGCTCTGGATCTCGGAGCATACTAACACTACCCTTCCTTACAATTTGAACCAGTGACATGTTTGGTTAAAGTCAATATAAATTAAATTAAATTGCATACTGACTGCAATTTCAATTTTGGAAAATGCCAAGTTTTCTTAGCAAAGCAAGTCTCACATAGCAATTCCAAGTCTGAATCTCCCTTTTTTATTTATAAAATTAATGGCTTTACTTGGTATCTTTACCCATCATTCATTTTGAATTTTGCTGCGCGCATATATGTGTGTCGAGCTGCCAGGCAATGTGTACTTTGCATATAAAAATGTTCCAAAGCCACCAGTGAAAAAATAAAATAATAAATAATCTAGTATTTCTTTTGTTGTGTAAAAGGGGGGGGGTGTGGGGAGCACTATTGTAATAGTGTTAGAAGAATAGATTTTAAATTATAAACGGTTTTGTTACTAGTGTTTCTAAAGTGCTATTATCGTCGACCTCGTCTTATATATGTGTCTCAATGTCTTTGTGGCACACACTGAAAGTTGTGTGCTCAGTTCGCGAGAACTGGTCCTTATGAAAGTAACCCGGGTCTGATATGGAGTTATTGGTGTATCTGTTATTCATGGGCTCAGCGCATCTATTTAGAGGCAGACAGTATGTCTGGATGTCAACAATGACGTTTGATTTAGTCCCCTGTAATTTGGTCAATATCAGATCCATCAGCAAGCTGGCAGGAATCTGTCTCGTGATTCTTTTCCTCCGCGTCTACCTCCATATCCCCGGGCTGCGTAACACTTTTTTTGGATGCTTTTAAAAGTTAAATTCGCATTGATAAACAAATATGTAAAATGTCTAAAAAAATTAAAGATTAAAGAACGAAATTTTATTAACCGTGTCCAAACATAAGGTTTAGTCTGCTAAAACCGTCTCATTATTTTTAATAATCCTAAACGGATGCGCCTCTGTACTAAGCACAAACTCGTCCAGCGAGATCAAATCCGTCGGACTAAACAACAAGTACAGGTACTTCAAAGTCTCCGCCATGAAAAACGACTCCATCGAATCAATCCAATTCCCGTTAGAATTCACATCATGCACATTAACATATGCCGCGTATCCGACCTCCGCCTTGGTGTGCTTTTCAATCGCATTGAAGATATCCCACCCCCACTCCTGGTACTTGGGATCATCCGTGACGCGGTATAGGATAAATAAGCTCTCGACCGTCTCCGGACGCAGAATATACCGGGTGTCAATCGGTGTGATGCCGTATTTGTTGGGCTGGAATATCTTGGGGTAGCCCAGGGGTGCTGGTACAGGGAGAATATCATCGGTAATGTCGTCGACAGCCGGGGGTAGTTGTCCGGGCTCGGAGAAAGAGAAGGTCTCGGGTCCCAGGCCTGTCGCCGTGGTCTTGTAGGAGAGGTAGCAGGTGCGGGCCAGTTCCTCCGAAATCATCAAATCCTGTGGTCTATCAAGCACCTGAGCACCGAGCGCCATAAGCCCAGGGTAGAAACAGGCCAAATGCTCCATTTCGCGCACAAACACCGTCATGTTATTCCGCCACTGGCCCAAATACAGCAAACCAGAGTCCGACTTGGCAACCAACTTGGCCTTAACGGCCTCCACTGAAGCCACATACTGATCCTTGTACTTTTCCTCCGCCTTGTCGTGCAAAATGTATTGCTTCAACTGGTACTCGTAGAAACTGTCCGCGCCAGCACCCATTGATAGTGACGCACTGTGGTCGTATTGGCCGTTGACCGTATTGAGGTACATTGGGTAGAGTCCAGAGTGGTACTTTGTTGCATTTTCCAGCACGTCGCTGGCGCGCTCGGCAATCTTGCGGTATTTCGGGTCGCCAGTGAGCTGAGATAGCTTTTTGAACTCCAATTGAATAGTGCCGGCCTCAGCAATGCATACCCGAGCCGCTGGAACTGGCTTTTTCATATTAACATCGACATAGGACGCCGGCAGGCCGACCAAGCTGCCCTCAAAGGCAACCGCCAAAATGTCGGCCACCTCCCTGGCCTTCTTCAGCAACATCGGGTCCTCATCCAGCTCATACGCGCCCAGAAGCCCGCCCAACGCGCGAATCGTCATCTCAAACACCTGGGTCATATACCCAGGCGTCACCCTACCAAAATCCATCGACCTGACAAACTCTTTCGCCTCCAAATACTCCTCCTCCATCTCCATCAGCTTGAGAGTGTCTAGGGAGTCAACCAAGGAGATTGCCCAGTCACCCCACCGCACATTCCCGCCCTTGGAAATCGGCTGCAGCTCGTCCTCTCCAAACGCATGTGTCTTGTAGCCGGTCCACGCGTGTTGCATGGCGTTGCGTACGGCTTGTTGTCTTTTGTGGTTTGTCAGGGTTAGTTCGGAATTGCGGAAGCTGTCGCCGATCGAAGTGCCGCTTGTCCAGGGGATCTTGACTTGGCTGACCTTGTCTACCATTATGTCGACCCGCTCGCTTTGGATTATCCCGTAGAAATGCATAAAATAGAGTAAACTGAGAGTGGCTAGGAGCGTGAAGAATATCCCTCGAAGGGATATTCTTGACATAAGGAACATTTTAAGAAAATAAAGTTTTTTTTCCTGTGTTGTTGAATTAGAGGTAATAAAGGGTGAGGAAAAGGGAATTGAAGTAAATATATTTTTTTTTTTGGAAAGAAGAAAAAAGAAAGTTTACTGTGTCGATTTTTTTGGACAACAACAAAAAGGATGGAGGAAAAAAACTACTGAAAATATCTTTATTATTCTAACAGTCTCGATTCTGTGAAACAGGGAACGTTGATTTTTTGGAGAGAAAATAGATCCAATGAGCGAAATACAAAATAAGTAAAAGACAAAAATGTTAATGATTAAGGCTGATGATTGTCTATCGCGCCACCTTGCTCTCGTCATCAGCTCTATTGCAGAACCTGGGGGCTACATGCCCCCCTATGAATGAAATTATTCTAGGGGCGGCGTGGGTGGGAGTTATCCAGACCTGGGCCTAATTGCCTGGCGGTGGAGGTTTTTCCGCCAGGGTGTGGCAAACAAATATGAAAGGAGTATTGCGCTCCAAACCTCCCAACATTAATAATAGCCCAAAACTGGGTTTCCTAGCTTTTTATTCTTGCAATATCCAAAATATTAAAATAACATTATTAAAAATCAATAAAGTGGTATCCCAAATCAACATGTATAGTGAATATTCATATGAAAAAAGAGAAAAATTGCAGCCCCGATTTTATTTTTACAGAGCTTCATATACAGTAGGATAGTCAGTCAACTCCACAGCGCGGAAATGTTCCACCCACAAGTTCCACTGCAATTTCTCCAGCAAACAATCCCTCAGCTCCCTCATGCACTTGCGCTCATCAGCATTCGACGACAACAGGGGAGACTTGGCCAGCCACTTGAGCACAGGCTGCAGTGCCCTGGCAAACTGCTGCTTCGCCACAAGCAGAGGCAAACTGGCAAGCAAATGCGGTACTCCGTCAGCCTGGCTCCCGTCCACCCACTGTTTCAGCTGCGCTACAGCCTTCGTGTATTCCTCCAGCGCATCGATAGAGTCGGTGGCATCTTCGGCACTGACATCAACAAAGTCACTGGTCTCAGACGCAGCAGCAGCAGCAGCAGCATCAGCAGCAGCAGCAACAGCAACAGAAGCAGCTGAGGCATCCATGGTGACAGAGGCATCTGTATTAGCCTGTTGCTTGAAATGGAGGAAGGCCAGTGCGCGGGATTTCGTTGTGAGCGCCGACACAAGCTGGTCCCTCGCCTTTCCAGCCGCCTCCTTGGCCTCCTTCTCGTCAACACTCGTCGGCTTCTGGCTCTCATACAGCTTAGCAGTCAGCGCCAAGCCATATGTCAACGCGTACAACTCATCAGCAACCTTGATAGCGCGCTTGGCCTTCTCCGGGGTAAATGCCTTGTCGCTCCACGGCAAAGTGGTCTTGCCCAGTGCATCAATGTACTCTAGGTGCGCGGAGAGAACGAATGCGCGGTCGGCGTCCGTCGCCGAAGCCTTGATGAGGTCAAGGACGAGGGATTCGCGCGCAGCGTCGTCGGTGGTTTTCTTGACCCAGTCGATGCGCACCTTGCGCAGGGCCTCCTCCATCTCCTTGCGCTCCTTCTCAGCCACCGGGACCACCTCCTTCGCGACCTTGGCCGGCGTGAGCTTGGGCGAGTCCGGCTTGGAAACAATCTTGGCCGGCACAACGTACTCGATATCCACCGGTGCCGAGGATGTGTTCAGGACGAGGCTACCCAGGAGCACGTCGCCGGGGGAGGCATCCGTGGGGACGCTGGACAGCTCGGTCTTGATAAACAGCGGGAAGCGCGTGCCGCGCGCCATAATGGGCTTCTGCACAGGGGCGTAGCTGGTGGTGACAAACTGCGCACTGTGCGTGCGCCTGATCTGCAGCGACGCAGGCGTGGAGAGCCTGGTGTCGACTACCAGCGTGGTGTTGCGCAGCGGCTCGAGCAGCTTGGCCGAGCGGTGGCGCACCTGCACGCGCACTAGGTAGTCGCCCTTCTTCGCAAGCGTCACAGACTTGGTGTACCCGATAAGCGACCAAACGCGGCGCTTGTTCGCGTCGAAGATGGCTAGCGCAAAGTCATCCGCCCAGCTCTCGTAGATCATCGAGTCGAACGCCGGAATGCGCAGGTGCACGGAGGAGCTGTCGGCCTTGGTGCTCAGCTTGTAGTCCAGCGCCAGCCGGTAGATTGGCAGCCCTGACTCCGGGTGTGCGTCACGGTCGCTGAACAGCGGCGCCACCGATGACTCGACGGGGCGCAGCGCCGTGCGCAGCGTGTGCAGTGTGGCTGCGGGTCTGAGGTCGTACTCGGGGCACACCAGTGCGGCAAAGTCCGCACGCGCAATGCCGGTGTTGCCGTTCAGCACGAGCACGCTCGACGCCGGCGCAATGCCGGTGAACTCGACGCGCGCGTCAATGTCGTGGGTGCCCTGGCAGTTCCAGAACTTGGCAATGCACACTTCCAGCGTGACGCCGCCCAGCACATTCATCGAGAACCGCGCCTGCTGCTCAGCACTGCCGCCGCCCGCCACGTAGTTTTTGTGGCCGATCTGGACCGACTTCTTCAGCTCGTACGCTGTGAAGCGCCGCTGCGGCGACAGCTGCAGGCAGTGCAGGTAGAAGGTCGACGGCGGCGCGGTCTGCGGCGAGTCGTTGCGCGAGCGCAGGTGGATGGTGGCGCGTGTGGCGCCCTCGGGCACAGCGATGAAGCGGCGCACGATCTCGGTCGGCTGCATGCGCAGGCGGTCGAAGCGCACGCAGGCCGACGGCTCGACATGCAGCGGCTTGGTGACGGTGACGGGGATCGTGAAGACCGGCCCGCGGCCGACGTTGGCCGAGTCGTAGCCGTGGACGGCCGCCACGTGCAGCTGCCCGGCGGCCAGCGCTGTGGCGTCGACGCCGACTGCGATGGTGCTGCCGCTGCTGCTGAGGTAGATGAACTCGGGCACGCGCACCCAGGTGGCTGTGGCGGTCAGCACCAGGCGCTGCTCAAAGTCGTACATGCGCTGGCTCTGCGCCTCGCCGCTGCGGCCGTCCGAGTCGTTCTCGAGCCGCACGGCGCGGTCAATGGGGAACACCGGCTGCACGCGCACCTGCAGGTGGCGCGCAACGGCTGAGTCCTCGGGGTTGCGCAGGTAGATGCCCTGCATGTCGTCCGAGTCCTGCACATCGACGGTGTACTCGACGTCCTCGTGCGGCCGCGCCTCGTGCTTGCGCAGGAACTGCCACGCCGCGTCCACCTGCACCAGGCCGGCGCCCAGCTCGTCGCCGATGGGCTTGGCCGACGCCGCCATGGCGTGCTTGACGCGGAACGGGCTGATGCGCGCTGCGCCCGGGTGCTCCTGCTTCCACGCCGACAGCAGCAGCGCAAGGCAGCCGCTCAGGTTGGGCGCGCTCATGCTGGTGCCGTTGGCCAGCTGCAGCCGGCTCTGCGTGTACGCTGGGTAGCTGGAAATCGCGCTGCCGGGCGCGTACACGTCGACGCCGCGCAGCCCGTTGGCCGCTGGCCCGCGCGACGACCATGTGAACACCGTGTCGCTGACGGGGTCGGCCAGCGCGTGGTCGGCGCGCATCTGCTCGTAGCCGACGAACGCGCCTACACCGATGATGCCGTCGCTGGTGCCGCCGGGCGCGCCCACCGAGGACAGCGCCGGGCCCTCGTTGCCGGCCGACGCCACGAAGACGCAGCGGCTGCGGCGGATGACCTCCTCGCGCACCAGCTTCACCCACTGGCCGGCGTTAGGCGTCGCCGTGGGCTCGCCAAAGCTCATGTTGGCGACGTCGGCGTTGGCCTCGATGATGGCGATGGCCGCGCGTGTCAGCCCGACGCCGGTCTCCAGCGAGTCCACGCGGTGGTCGCCAATCATCAGCGAGATAAGCTGCGCGCCAGGCGCTACGCCGTTATTCTGCGGGTCCTCCGGGTGGTGCGCGGCGACGATGCCGGCCACGTGGGTGGCGTGGCTGCCGCACGCCGTGACGATGCTCAGGACGTCTGTGTAGAAGTTTAGCGTGTAGTAGAAGAGGTGCCGCTTGCTCAGCGCCGCAATGTCGCCGGTCAGCTTGTAGGCGCCCAGGGCGTTTGCCGCGGACAGGTCGCCGGTCTCTTCTGTGTCGATGGCAGCGCGCCATTGCTCGCCGTCATGGAACACCACGCAGTCGAGCAGCGGGCCGGAGTCCGAGTACGCGGCGCCCAGCGTGCTGAGCACATCGGCCTGGGCGTCGATCTCGGCGCGCTGTTCGTCAGGCTTATCCTTCTTCTTCTGCTGCTGTACGCTTGTTGCGTCAGCCAGCGCCTGCACTTTCTTCTGGAACACCTCCTCACGCTCTCTCTGCGCTCTGCTCCACACTGCTCCGGGGCAAATATCGCGCAGCTGCTTTGCGCCCAGCCGCCACTCGCCAGTCGGATTCACCCACTGCGGGTTAAGCCGCAGAGTGCGGCCCGACAAGCCCTTGAGCTCAAGCGGCTGGTCTTCAGAGCACTTTTGCGCCTCGCCCAGCGCTACGTCGCCGGATCCCGTGCAGTCGATGAAGTCCACCACCTTGCGCTTGCCGTCGGATGTCACTTGGAGCCCCGTGGCCATGGGGTCTATGCCTGTGTCCAGCACGGCAACGACCGTGCCGCGTCCGTCGTAGGTTGGGTTCTTGCGCACAAAGTCGCCCGCCTGGGTGTCTGCCCTGGGGAGCAGCCCGCGGACCGGGTATTCCGAGCGTGGCGAATTGGGAGTTGGGGTGATGCTGTTGCTCATAACGAAAAGGAAAAGATGGATACTAAGAGATAATGTATGCTATTTAAAAAGTACAAAACAGTTGTATGAATAAATTTATGTATGTGGAAAATGTATTATTTGTTTGGTCTGTTGAAAATGTAGTTTAGTTGGTGTTGAAGTGGGAGAGAAAAGGAAATGAAAAAAGAAAGAGTGGGTGGGTGGGGTTCTGGCCGATTTTAAGTCAAAAAGGATGACTGTCACGACCAAAAATGGAAAAGGGAAATGCTGATGAGGATGAGGATGAGGATGAGGATGAATGAGGATGAGGATGCTGGGGAGGAGGCGCACAAAAAAAGGAGGTATTCGAAAATACTCCGCATACAAAGAGAACAAAGAAGCTTTGCCAAGTAAAACTAAAAATCAAGAAAAGCCAAATAGCAATTTTCTTTCAAATTGCTTTATACAAAGGGAGGGTGGGAAGTAGGCAAAATGCTCGATAAAGCAGGCAATAAACAGCATGAGGTGGTGGTGGGGGAGGGGGGGTACTGCTAAGCTATTCTAACCCTTGTTGTTTTCTTGTTTTGCTGCGCACAGATAATTAAAGAAAACAAGGAAATGTTTTCAAAAATTCAAAAGTTGCCATGTATGATATGATAATGAAATGTGGACACTGGCCAGGCTCTGGAGAGCCATGTATCAGGACGGATTGGTAGTGACGATGCAGCTGGGGTTTGGAAGTTGCGAATTGAATGATGAAAAGAACCTGTGACTTTTATTTTTATATTTCACGCTCAACGGATCTCATATTTATAAGAAAAAACATGACATTATTTTTCACGCATATTGCGCAATTGTGGATTCGATGGGGGGTTTGGTTTCTTTCGATTATCATCGCGATATTTTCATTATCACCTTTGGGTTGGTCTCGTATCAATTGGAAGAGTTGGTTGGCCAATACAATGCAATACAAATTAAATGCCAAAATGAAAGGTAAATGTCATTATTTGATGGTAAAAAACGGTTGAATGAATGTAAGAAAATACAAGAAAAAACATAAAAGCAGTTTGATTTGAGCTATACGGGTTGTGGTGTGTGAGTTTTATAAGAGGGTTGTGAATTTATTTTACAGATAATATTTTTTCTTCTTCTTAATGCTCAGCAAGTAACACCAAAACCCATGCCTATAGTTGATTCCTGAGTGAGTCTTCTACTGTTCTTTGAAAGATCCGTCACGGTGTCGTCATCCAGTGCTGCTCCCACCTGGGTCATTAAATTCTTGAGCTTTTCTGTCTATAACAAAAATAACAATAGATGAAAAATATTTTTAAAATATTTGAGTTTTTTTTATTGTTTCTTTTTTTTTTTTTTCTCTACAAAGAAAAAATCTCGTACTTTTTTTGGGTGGAAAAAACAATGACAATGGCAATGACAATAAACAAAACAACACATCAACAACAAAAAAAACACCCCCAAATAGGCCCACAGTATTTATTTTTCCATTTTTTTGTATAGGCACTTACGTCTTGAACCATTTCGTATCCGTCATTCCGCACAGCGCCAATACCCAAATGACCAGTATGCTACACATAAAACACGAATGTTAAAAGACTGGTTTAGTAGAATAAGAAGCAAAAAAAAGACATCAAAAACAAAGGTTTTAAAAAAAGTTCAACTTACGACAAAGTTGCTGGGCAGTCCAATCATGGCCTTTGTAACAACACGGCGACCACCGTGTCTGGAATTATAAGCGTCGTTATCGCCAAAGCACGAAGTGAAAAACCGCATTTCAATTTTAAAAAGCGAGAATTAGAAAAAGAGAAAGGCAGGGAAAGGAGGGAGGGTGGGCGTGATAAGTTATATAGAGAGATGAAGGCCAAGACAAAAAGTAAAAGCAAAAGTAAAAAGAGAGAGGGTTGGCGGTGGTGGTGGCGGTGGTGGTGGGTAAAAATAAGTAATAAAAATATAATGCAGATGAAAGAGAGAGAGAGAGAGAGAGAGAGAGAGAGAGAGAGAGAACTAAAGTGGTTTTTCTTTTCTTTTCTTTTTTATTTTGTCCCGATAATGGAGAGCTGAGATTGGATTTTCTTTTTCAAAATAAAAAATAAAAAATATTTAGATGGAGAAAGTGGGGTGGGGGGAGGAGAGGAGAGGGAGGAGGGGGAAAGAGGGGGTGAGAGGGCGAGGAAAGAAAAATCGAGAACTAGACCGATTGAGTACAAGAAAAGAAAAGAAATTTAACTTGTTTTAAAATATTAAACCAAGCCGTATGTAGGTGCGGGGGGGGGGGATAGTGCAGGCATACGTTGTGAGATGAAAAAGGCAATAGGCAAAAGGCAAAAGTGAGAACGAAGGAGAAAAAATAATTTTGGTGCGATTATCTTGTGGCTTAAAGATTTCGCAAAAACATGAAAGCACATGATCTCTGTTGGTATATTTTTCCAGTCTAAGCAGGGACCGGTCTTGAGAAAAAAGAAAAAAGCTAATTGAAAGTGGAAGTGGACCGCGTGCTCCACGTGTTGGAAACCCACTGGACTGGTGGCGCAGCACAAGCTTACATCAACAAACATAAATTCCAAAAACGAAAAAACTAAATTTTCCAAAAAAAGCAAATCCACACTTCATATTAATTATATTAATTATATTAATTGCGTTTACTTAATCGGATATGGAATTCAACAGGTTCAGCAGCCGAAAAGGCTCTTGCGACTCTGACGGCGAAATCAACGAAAGATCAGAGTACGTGAACCCCTTCGGCACAAGCAACCGCAGGGCGCATCCCCAGCCAGCCAGCGCCAGCACTGGTGCCGGCACACTGCGCACACGCGCCAGCCGCATTCCGCTTTCCGTCGAAGAAGCCCAGCAACTGCAAAGGCGCCAGCAGCCAGGGAGCAGCAGCGGGTCGGAGCCCGCAAAGCCGGTGTTTCTAAGCAAAGCACAGCGCGCGCAGCTGGCGCTGGAGCAGCGGCAGCGTGAGGCGGCGGAGGTGCGGCAGCGGCGGGACTCCGAAGTGCGCGCGTTCCAGCGAGGCTCCCCCGCAGACGCCGATGCCACGGATGCTGGCGAGCGCAGGGAGAGGAGGGCGCCGAGGCGGCGGAGCAGGTCGCCGGAGCATTCTGCGCCAGTGGGGCGCGCCGCCACGCATCGGGCGCCGGAGCATTCTGCGCCAGTGGGGCGCGCCGCCACGCATCGGGCGCCGGAGCATTTTGCGCTGGTGGGGCGCGCCGGCACCGACGGCTCGGGCGACCGCGTCCTGACCGAGCTTGAGCGCCAGGCCATCCGCCAGCGATACCTGGCCGGCGACACCACGGCTGGCCGCCGGCAGCATCGGCAGCAGGGCGGGCGCCGCGTCGTGTTCGAGTGGGACGCGGCCGAAGACACATCGCGCGACATCTCAGACCTCTACGAGCGCCGCGCCCTCCCGCCGCCGCGCACATCCGCCGGTGCCGCCGGCATCCTGGATGACCGCCATTGGAGCGCCAAGTCCCTGGGCGAGATGCGCGACCGTGATTGGCGCATCTTCCGCGAAGACTTTGGAATCTCGTGCAAGGGCGGTGCGGTGCCGCAGCCGCTGCGCAGTTGGCGCGAGAGCGCAGTGCCGGAGGCCATTTTGCGCGCGATCGCGGACATCGGGTACGTGGAGCCGACGCCGATCCAGCGCCAGGCCATCCCCGTGGGCCTGCAGCGCCGCGACCTCATCGGGCTGGCCGAAACCGGCAGCGGCAAGACCGCCGCCTTCCTCGTCCCGCTGCTGGCCAACATCGTCAGCATGCCCCCCGCCGCAGCCAACGACGGCCCGTATGCGCTGGTGCTGGCGCCGACGCGCGAGCTGGCGCTGCAGATCGACGCGGAGGCGCACAAGTTTGCGCGGCGCCTGGGCGTGCGCAGCGTCAGCATCGTCGGCGGCCACGACATTGAGGCGCAGGCGCAGCAGCTGCGGCGCGGCGCCGAGCTCGTCATTGCGACGCCCGGCCGGCTGCGCGACGTGCTGGAGCGCCGCATGCTTGTGCTCGGCCGCTGCGGCCACGTGGTGATGGACGAGGCCGACCGCATGATCGACATGGGCTTCGAAGACGACGTCAACTTCATCCTCGACGCGCTGCCGCCGCGCAGCGAGCGCCCGCGCCAGACAACCATGTTCTCGGCGACGATGCCGCCGCCGGTCGAGCGCCTGGCGCGCAAGTACCTGGCGTCGCCGGCCACCGTCACCATTGGCACGGCCGGCCAGGCCGTTGACTCGGTGGAGCAGCGCGTCGAGTTTGTCGCCGGTGAGGACCGCCGCAAGGCGCGGCTTCTCGCCCTGCTGGCGCAGCACGCCGGCAAGGCCATTGTGTTTGTCAACCAGAAGAAGAGCGCCGATCTCCTGGCGTCTGCGCTGCAGCGGTCGCGGCGCTCGGTGGTGGCTTTGCACGGCGGCAAGACGCAGGAGCAGCGGGAGCATGCGCTGGCGCGGCTCAAGTCCGGCGACGCCGATGTGCTGGTGGCGACGGACGTGGCCGGCCGAGGAATCGACGTCAAGGACGTGGCCTTGGTTGTTAATTTCGACATGTCGAAGGACATCGAGGCGTACACGCATCGTGTTGGGCGCACGGGGAGGGCCGGGAAGCGTGGGCTGGCCGTGACCTTTGTGAGTGCTGCGGAGGACGCCGCGGTGCTGTACGACTTGCGCAGGATGCTGGTCGCGTCGCCGCTGTCGCGCTGCCCGCCGGAGCTGGCGAACCTCGAGGCTGCGCAGGCGCCGCCGGGCCTGATGAAGGGCGCGGCGCGGAAGATGCGGTGAAAGGGGGGGCGGCCGGCTGCGTATGGGACAACAGAAAAGGGGTGGCTGGCTGCGTATGGAACAGCAGAAAAGGGGCGGCCGGCTGCGTATGGAACAGCAGAAAATCGGCGGCCTTTTTTATTTGTTGATGGGATTGTCGCAAATCATGTGCTTGTAAATTGCGCTATGCAGCACCCAGAAGAAGGAGGTGTGATGCGGCGTGGGCTTTTCTCTCGCCCTCTTTCCCTCCTTTCTTCTTTCCTTCTCTCTTCAGTGCATACCAATTCCGTTCTACTGTAATTCCTTTTAAACTTTACATTTCACACTTCAAAAACCTTATTTATTTATTTGTCTGCTTGTTTATTTACTTTCAATTCTCAATTCTCAGCCCTCAGCCCTCAGCCCTCGGCTTTCAGTGTTTAATTCTCGGCTCTTGTACTATTACCCCTTTTCAATTGCACACTCCACGCATACACGCATACACGCATAAATAAATTTACTCTTTCGCTGCCCCAACTCAAGTTCAAGCTCAGGTTTAAGGTAATTGCGCATGCAGGCTTCAAACGAGGCCACCTCGCCACGGCAGCGCGCCACAGTGGTCATTGGCGACTACGAGCTGGGCCCGGAAATCGGCAAAGGCTCGTTCGCCAAAGTGTACCGTGGCCTAAACAAGAAAACCAACACGCTTGTAGCGATAAAGTCTGTCGTGCGGTCGTCCTTGACGCGGCGGCTGCTGGAGAACCTCGAGACGGAAATCAACATCCTGCGGACTGTCCGCCACCGGTCGATTGTCGAGCTGATTGACTGCCTCAAGTCGCGCAACCATATCCACCTGGTCATGGAGTACTGCTCCTTGGGCGACCTATCTAGCTACCTAAGGAAGCGCCAGGAGCACGCGGAGCTGCGCAATGAATTTGGTGGGCTCAGGATGGATGTCGTGCGGAGTTTTGTGCGCCAGCTGGGCGATGCCATGCGGTTTTTGAGGGCGAGAGATGTGATTCACAGGGATATCAAGACCCAGAACATTCTGCTGCAGCCACCGCCCGGGTACAAAATGGGGGAGAGCGAGGCAGACGGGGTATGGCCGGAAATCAAGGTTGCGGATTTCGGCTTTGCGCGCAATCTGCCATCATCTGCACTGGCAGAGACGCTGTGCGGGTCGCCGCTGTATATGGCGCCGGAGATCCTGCGCTACGAGCCGTACGATGCAAAGGCTGACCTATGGTCGATTGGCGCGGTCATTTACGAGATGATCACCGGCAGGCAGCCATTCCAGGCGAGCAACCATGTGGAGCTTGCGAGGATTATCGAGCGCACGAATGATCGGATATTGTTTCCTGAGGGGATTGACCCTGTGCTGCGGAGCTTGGTCGCGGGGCTGCTGAAGATGAATCCAGCTGACCGGATGTCGTTTGAGGACTTTTTTGCCCACCCGGCACTGCAGTGGCCGCAGCCTGAGGAGGAGACGGGGGAGGAATCTATTTTACGGAGGAGGAGTGCTGCGCGCGAGGGGGAACCGCTGGATGAAAGGGGCGGGGTTGTCCAAGCCATGGACAATATGGCGCTGGCAGACGTCGCTCCAGCTCCCCCGCACGTGTACCCACCCAACGCTCGACCTCTTTCAACACACCAGCATCAGCAAAACAATAACAGTCAGCAGCAGAACCAGAACCAGAACCAGAACCAGCCGGGCTTGCTGCATCGCAGACCAAGCTTGCATGAGGAAGCCCTTGCCGAGCGCGAGTACGTGGTGATCGAAAAGCGCACAGTGGAGATGAATTTCCTTGCTGACGAAATGGAATCCTCGCCACGCACACCTCTGACACTCTACCCGCCGCCACCGCTGCCCTCCAACATGCACCGGGCAGCTCCTGGCGTGGCAAAGCAAATGACCGTGTTGGCGCGGGCCATCCGCCATGCAGTTATCCCGCAGAACAAAGATGATTTTTCTGCGGGAGAGGCTAATGTTGAGGCGGCATTGGGCGTGCGTGGGTTCAATCCTCTGGATCAGGAGCTGGCGGAGACCTTTGAAGCCTCCGGGTGCTTGGATGTCCAGGAGGAAATGACCATGCGGAGGATGGAGGGCCTGGCGTATATGGCCTTTGCTATGGCCTTTTTGGCAGACATGAAGTGGCGCCAACTGCCGAATAACACCCCAGCAGCCGCTGTTGTTTCTGCTGTGGATGCCCTGGTGGACCCTGGGAACGGATACCTGAGCGCCGGAGATATTTCTCTTGAAGAGGCATTTGCCCTGTACCTGCGCGCGCTCTCGCTTTTGCAACATGCGATGCGCGAGGCGGGCAATCACTGGGCTGGGCTTTCGGCCAATAGCCCAGTGTCCTTCAGGTTTAATGCCGCGGTTCAATGGGTGCGGACCAAATTCAACCAGTGCTTGGAGCGTGCCGAGGCGCTCAAACTCTTTGGCAATGGGAGAATAATGGAGTTGGCGGGTGTCGAGGTTGTACAGGTGTTGTATGAGCAGTCATTGGCTTTGGGGAAAGTTGCAGCGCTGAGGGAGTTGAAATGGGTGGAGCCGTTGGATTGCGACAGGGCGTATCAGTTGGCTATTTGGATGCTATCAGCGATTCTGGAAACTGCCACTGTGGAGGAGGATGGTGCGGGAATGGGGTTTGATGCGGGAGAGAGTGCTGGTGAGGCGGAAGAGATTGAGATGGAGGACCGCACGATTGTTGAACAGTTTATTGCTTCTATTGTAAAGCGGCGCGAGAAGCTGCAGAAGAGGCTGATGCAACAGCAGGATAATATCAGTTGAGTTTTTTTAATTGTTTTTTTAAATATATATGTATAAGTAACGTGACCCGGTTTAGCACCAATATCAAAAACCTGATCGACTAATCTTTAGATCTGATTATATTCCGCGATTGCGTATGCAACTCTGCCACTTTAATTCATTCCCCTCTACTGCAAAGTAATTCAAAGTCAAATGTAAAGGAGTGCTTGCGTACACGTCCAAATTGACTTTTTTTATATTTCATTTCGTTTCAACAAACATCAGCAAGCTTTCTATTCTTTTAATTTCATTTTTTCCTATCCAAATTTATTTCTAAAACCCCAAGCATCTTGACCATTTTATTTATTCTATTAAAGAAAAAGAAGCTACCCTTATGGATTTCGTCGCAATGCAAAAGCAGTACCCCGCGCAGGTCCCGACCGAGGTCCATAGCCACCAGAACCGCTGGGATCCGTACGTCGACAACGGCGGCACCTCTCTAGCCATTGCCGGCGCCGACTACGTCATCGTAGCTTCCGACACACGCCAGAGCAACGGCGGCTACAGCATCAATAGCCGCACCGAGCCCAAAGCCTTCAAGCTGAGCAACAACGTCGTCCTGGCAACCAGCGGTTTCGCAGCCGATGCCAAACGCCTAGTCGAAGTATTGGAGCAAAACGCTCTCACGTACTTTTACAAACATAATAAGCAAATGACTGCACCGGCAATGGCACAAATGCTGTCCAACACACTGTATGGTAGACGATTCTTCCCGTACTATGTGTTCCCTATTTTGGCGGGCGTGGATGCTCAGGGGAAGGGTGCTTTGTTTGCGTATGATCCAGTGGGAAATATGGAGAGGGTTAATTATCAGGCGTATGGTTCGGCTGCGGCGCTGGTGCAGCCATTTTTGGATAATGTCGTTGGATTTAAGAACCAACGTGGTGCCGATCCTAATAGGCTTATTGAGCGCGATGAGGCTATGCGGTTCGCTGTTGATGCGTTTACGAGCGCTACTGAGCGTGATATCTACACTGGTGACTGGCTGGATATTTTCATCATTGACAAGGATGGTGTGAAGCACGAGAAGAGAGAACTCAAGCATGACTAAAGGACTCTTCAGTTTTATATATATATATATATAAAACTTTGGCATTTTATACTCTTTTGTTTATCTTTAAAATCAATAACTCTTGTTCACAGCAATAACAACTGCAACGGTTGTTGATGTTTAAAATATATCTTTGAACACAAAAAAAAGTGAGGGTGCAAAGAAATTAAAGTATAAAAAAATACTCGAGCTGCTAGTAACTACCGGGCTATTATAAGCGTAAGTACCATTACCAGCGTCCCGCAACCCCAGAGCCCAAAAGCACTCTAGTACTTGGACTTCTTCTCGGCAGCCTTAACCAGGTAGTCGGAGAACTCGTGGAAGGGGTCCTGCGAGAAGCTGGTCTCAGCCCAGAGATCGGGTGTCAGGAACGAGTAAGTGTTGGTAATGGCAATGAAGGCAGCCTTGACAAAGTTACCGAGGGTCTTGGTCGAACCGCGCGACGTGGTGTAGCAATCGGTGATACCGGCAAGAGTGAGAATCTTCTTGGGGGTAGGGGCGGCAACAATACCGGTACCACGGGGGGCGGGCACGAGGCGGCAGATAACAGAGCCGCACTTACCGGTGACCTTGGCGGGCACGGTGTGGGGGGCACCGAGCTTGGAGCCCCAGTAGCCGAGACGGACGGGGACAACCGAGAGCTTAGCCAGGATGATGGCACCGCGGATAGCGCTGGCAACCTCCTTGGCGCACTTGACACCGAGACCAACATGGCCGTTGGAGTCACCGATGGCGACGAAGGCCTTGAAGCGAGTGCGCTGTCCGGCGCGGGTCTGCTTCTGAACAGGGGTGATCTTCATAACCTCGTCCTTAAGCTTGGGGAGGAAGATATCAATGATCTGGTACTCCTTGACGGGCAGGGAGAACAGGTAAACCTGCTCGATGGTCTTGATCTTGCCGTCTCTGACGAGGCGTCCAAGCTTGGTCACGGGGACCCAGGCAGCCTCACCCTCGTCGCGACGTCCACGTCCGCGTCCACCGCGTCCACGTGCACCGCGACCGCGAGTACCGCGACCACGTCCAAAACCACCACGTCCACTATCGGCCGGTGCTGAGTCAGCCATTTGCTATTCAGATGCCACAAAATTAAACAAAACAATGAATAAAGGATTAGTATTGTTTGCTCATCTTGAAATGTCGGGCCATCCGCTTTTGCACCAATATAGTTTAGCCAATGCTGTTTGTATGTCTGTGTGTACTGCAAGTGCTGTCGGTTCCAGAGAGATAGAGTCCTGCCAAAGGGCTGCAAGTTCAAATTCAATTGCAATTGCGCAATGCAAATGCCACCTTTCTGAAATTTCGAATGCCAGATTATTATGGCCTCCAAATGCAAATTTGGGGCAAAGCAACAGAATGCGCAGAAATAGAGTCTTCTGATGTGCCATAACTCATGCCTAATGGATTCAGCAGCACCAAATCTACTAGGTAATAGTACTGCCGTAACTGCATCCATCGTGTCTCATTCTGCGCGTCTTTGCACTATTCCAGTCGAATCCATCGTATTGATGGTTGTATCCATCAGCCGCCATGTAGTTCTCTCTGAACATCGCATCTATCCCAAACAGCACCGGGTCGTGTACTTTTTTAAAGTGATACGCACATAATTCGATGATTTCTACTAGTATGATATAACCCGAAGTTGGGAAGAAAGAAGGACGTCTCAAGCTTGAGTGGGCTGCATTTCGAGCAAAAAGCCATACGCAACTTGCTACTGCTGCCATCTGCGAGCTCCCTCGCAGGCAAAATAACTGAATATACACGTCTTGCAATATTTACTCGACTCGCATGATTCGCGGGCAGCCGACTGGCTGGATGTGGGAAAACGAAGCTACCAGAATGCCGCGATTAGTGCTATTAAATCAACCGAGTGAGGGGGCTCTGATCAGGGCGCGCGCACATACGAAATCATATTTTTTGATTGTTGTTGGGCCGTGGGGGAAAGGTTAGCGAAATGTTTCCCTCCGCATTGGCAAGCAAGTCAATTCATCCAATGCCGAACTCTTTGCCTTCACAAAGTCCCAATGAATTAGCCCCTCAATTCGACGTGTCTCCCTTTACTACTCCTGCTACTTCTGCCACCCTAATAATCACCCACCCACCCACCACTTAAACATTAGACTCATGTCACATCTGTTCAGCTATGACTTTCGCTACGACGACAACGGCTACGAGACACAAACGTCACAGAAACAGCTGGAGGTTGAGGACAGCATAGGCGAAATTTACCTCAGTCTGGTCGACCCCGATACTATGCACCACGGTGGCGACATTGACGACAGCAAGCACAAGCTGCTACGGAGCAAACACGAGCAGTTTATGCATACTGCGCTAGGTGGGCTTCCCAGCGGTTTCGTAGCCTTGGACGCATCACAGCCGTGGTTCTCACTATGGTGTCTCAATTCTCTCGACATACTCGGCTGCGAGATTGATTCGCTGCTGCGCCGGAGGACAATAGACACGCTGGCACGGTTGCAGAGTCCCAGCGGCGGGTTCTGCGGCGGCAACAAGCAACTCCCGCATCTGGCCGGGTCATTTGCCGCAGTTCTGGCCATTGTTTTGGTTGGCAGCGATGAGGCTTACCAGATCATTGATAGAGACGCAATGTACCAGTGGCTGATGACAATGAAGCGGCCCGACGGGTCATTCTTTATGCACACTGATGGCGAGGTCGACGTTCGTGGCATATACTGCGCCATGGTTATTGCCTCGCTGCTCAACATAATGACACCCGAGCTGACCAAGGGCTCGGCCGAGTTTATCGCGCGGTGCCAGACATGCGAGGGTGGCATTGGCCCGTTTCCTGGAGTCGAGGCCCATGGCGGATATACACTGTGCGGACTAGCTGCTCTGGAAATCCTCGGCCGGCTGGACATCCTTGACCTCAAGCGTCTGGCCCGGTGGATGTGTGCGCGGCAGTTGTCATTTGAGGGCGGATTCAGCGGCCGTACAAACAAGCTGGTCGACGGCTGCTACTCGTACTGGGTCGGGGGTGCATTTCCGATTTTGCAAAAGGCTCTTGGGCGGTCGGCGCGAGATGACTACCTTTACGACCGTGCAGCATTGCAACGGTATATTCTGGCTTGTTGCCAGGAAACCAAGCAGCAGCGCTCGGGCGGTTTGCGGGACAAGCCCGGAAAGTCGCCCGACTACTACCACACCATGTATTGCCTGGCTGGCTTGTCACTTTCTCAGCACTATGTCGGTGTGGACTCCAGCAAGCCTGTTGTCGATGCGTCGTCCGTGTACGGCGTTCCCGTGCGTATGATGCAGTGGGACGTTACCCCTGCGAGCCGGCTGGTTCTGGGACTGCGCTCCAATGTTGTCAAGCCCGTGCATCCAGTCTACAGCGTCTCGTTTGTGGCCTTGGCCAACTGCATCAAGTATTTTTACGCTTTCCCTCCCTTGTCACCAACCATATTTTAATAATTTAGACAGTGCGAACACAATTTATTATTACTTGACAGGGTGCAACCAAAAAAAACATTTTTATATAGAGTATTGGCCGAAGCCTCGAAAGATCGGAACAACATGGGCTTATTTTTATTGTCTTTGGACCATTTTCGGCGCTTCCATGCTAATACGGTACTCATCCCCATCAGACGATTCCGAAGAGTTGCTCGGGCGGCCAGCGAGTTCGGCGGATCTATGATGCTCGCCGATCTGCTGGCGACTGAACATTGTGGTCATCTGGTTGGGCGAAGTTGACACATGCTCAGAGCGCTGCATCTTTGGATGAATCATCACACTCTCGCGAAGACCGGCGGCATTGGTACTGTTGATGGAAGTGTGGCCGCCATCGGAGGATGCAATCGCCTTTGCGAGTTGAGCAGCCAAGCTGTCAAAATTGGCGCTTTCTGGCCTCCAAACGCCATGGTTGTCTTCAGCAGGGGCCAGCCGAGCAGTAGCCTGGGGCATGGGTCCGGGGGTTTCGTCCTCGCTGTCGCTGTCCAAAAAGTCTTCTTCGTTGCTTTCTTCGTTTATTTCACGAAGCACGATGGTCGGTGGTGCTGGTGCTGCTGCTGCTGCTATATGATTGTGCGTTTGCGGAAGCGAGACGGCCGAGAAGTAGTGCGAGGCATCAGCTGCAATAGCAGCGTTGGACGGCTGCTGCTGCCTATGCTCATGCTGCTGCTGTTGCTGCTGCTGTTCGCAGTGGGTTTCCGGCTCGGACCGCTCTGATACTTGGTCCAGCTCTTTGAGCATCTTGCGCTTGGCATCGGCCTTCTTTTGGTAATCAATTAGCGTGGGGCGTCTCAGGGTCAGATCCGTAGAATCCAGGATTGGCTCGTCCAGATTCATAAGGTCCATAGAGATACCGGCCGCCACATCGGAGGGATCAAGCGGCTTCAACTTGCCACTATCGCTGGGCAAGTCGGGGACTGACTCGGAGTGCTCATTGGCATCGGCCAAATGCATAATCACTCTCTCACCGTAAATAGACATGCCCTCGTTCTGCGCCTTATGTGTTTTTGTCGGCACCGCCGCAGACTTTACGGCCTTGCTACTCTCGGCCTGCGAGAACTTGTCGGGAATAATTAGGTCGGGTACACTGGATGCCACAGAGATGGTTGCCTCTTTCCGCTGGCCGATGCGGTGCAGTATCGGGTTGGGTACCTCGGGCTGGACGCTGGACTGCAGCCACCGCTCGATAAACCCGTCTTCGGGGCTTACCGGCGGGAACGCGCTGAGCCGTAGCTTTGACTTCTCCTTTGATGTCTTGGTGGCTGTAGCCTGCGCATCGCCATGTGACGGCAAATCAATCAGCGAACTTTGGGTTGACGACAGCTGGTCGGCGGGAATTATTTGTGCACGGTGGCTGTGCACTTCGCCGTTTGTCTGGCTCTGCCTTAGCGGATTGATATTGCTGGTGCTAGGCATGGCCGACGATGTATTGAACGAGTCGTGGTGCTTGCGCCTGTTATTGCTGCTGCTGCTAGCCTGGTGAGACTGCTCCTCCTGGATGTTGTCCGAGCGGACCTTGACCATGTCAAACGAGTACAGCTTGACGCTCTCGTCGTCGCTCTCGTCGCCGCTCTCATTGTCGCTTTCTGGGCCAAAGTTGAGACTGACGCTCTGGTGCGCCTGATTTACGTTTTCGGTGTTTGCCCCTGGCACAGCATTATAAACAGAAGCAGCGGGTTCTGCGGTCCGGGATCCAATGTTGAGCGGAAGTGGCGGCGCAGCGGGCACTGCGCGAGAATTGGTGGTAAACTGCGATTGCGAAATATGGATTGGCTGGAACGTCGGAATCTCGGGCAATGTTGCCCCGCTACTATTGAGCTGCGCAGGTGCCGGGGGCAGCGGCAGCGGAACCATAGGAAGGTTGCATGGGTGTGTCCCTGTGGGAGCAGTCGGCATGTTCATTCTTGGAGGCTGCTGCTGGTTGGGCGACATCTGGTTGCGCACTTGCAATTGCTCATTGCGGGGCACCGGCATGACCATGGGCATCATGTAGAGACCGTTGGTCTGCGAAGCTGCCTGAGCTTCTGCCGGCAGGGACTCATAGGGGAGGAAGTTGGCGTGGGATGGCTGCGGCATTGGGTAGTTTAGGTTGGACTGCGAGGCAAGTGTCGGGCTGACATTCTCTCTTTGCTCGTAAACGCGCTGCTCGCTGTTGAATGCATTAATGGCCGAGTCCACACGGTGAGTGGGATGCACTGGCACTGACTGGGGTGCCTGGTTCTGCTGCTGAGGTCGGTTCTGCATCGGGATTAAGCTCTTGTTCTTGGCGAGAACCCTAAGCATTCGCTTGCGTGTGAGATACGTGCTGTAGGCTATTGATACCAGGGCGAATGCAAGGGTAAACAGGTAAATTGCAGTCCGGGCGGCTGGCGTGGAGGTTGAGACAGCAAAAACAATGGCTGTGAGAATGATAGGCAAAAAGGACAGCACGCATATAACCATGTATGCTATTAGCTGCCTGCGCCCCTTGGGAATTGACCAGGCGGTCTTCACCTGTTTAAAGACGCTGGTAACCGAAGCGCCTATTCCTTTAACTTTGGTTGTGTCTACCATATTTAGGCGCAATAAATGATAAGTGGCGGATGGGTGGGTGAATGGTTGACTGATGTTTAAAATAGATGAAAGAATGAATGTAATAGCAAGTGTTTTGTATGAACGTATGAATCTTATTCTATTTTATGTACAAATAGTGTGTAAATGTAGCGCTAAAAAATGAAAATGAAAATGAAAATGAAAATGGAGATGGAGATGGAGATGATGTTGGTGGTGGCGATGGTATATGCAAAAATATGAAAATGCAAAATGCAAAAATGCAAAAATGTAAAAAATATATATAATGCGAAATAATGAGAAAATGCAAGTAGAAAATAAAATACCTTAAAAAATTTTAAGACAAATAGGAAGAAAAGTATACCAGGCAGATTTAAGTCATCAAGTAGATGGGTGCGCACTTCTTTTACTGTGTGTAAAAAAGTTGTTTAAACGCGTGAGATTTGTAAAGAAAGGCCAATTACTTTATATAAAGGAACCAAAGCGCGTTTTCCTTTCTTTATTAAATCAGCATCTGTTAGAAAGGTGCAAAGACGCCATAGTTTTCTTTCAAATGGCAGGGGGACAATGTCTGCTTTCTCCCCGGTTTTAATTATTTCTTTTGGCTATTTTTACTTTGTAGCTCTAAAAAAAGCTGTCACAGATGAAAGTAAAAGGTTTACGTGTGTGTACCGAATTGTTTATTTGATTTCCTTAGTACTGTTTTCCACTGCTGTTTTTTCGAGGACAGTAAAATCCAAGTAAACAAAAAGAAGGGACTGGGAAAAATGGTGTTTTTAAAATACGTATGCGACATGCCCTCCTGTATTTTTGAAAATTCAAAAATAGACATGAATATGCACTTCACCATTTATTTATATTTAATATTGGTCCAAACTGATTTTGATGCTGTCGGCATCGTCATTGTCTTCGTTGTCGTCATATTTGTCGTCAACTGTGCACATCTGCGCATAGTCGCACCCAATGTTTCCTGCGAGCATGTTACGCAGTACGCTCAGAGGACACAAAGCATCAGCCGAGCAAGCGGGGAAATTAACCGCACGCTCGTTAAGCAGTAGCCTGAAAAGTGGCTGAGAACTCTGATCCTTATAAAGTTCCAACATGATATTCGACGAAAAGGGCACCAAATTTGTGGTCCTAAACCCTCTTCTGCGGGCATCACCCTCGGGCATATTCCCGACTATCGGCACAGAGCCAACACCCAAAACGGACTCAAGCTCTAGAATCGTGCTTATGAACATGATGGTTTCGGCATGCGCAAACCGGAACGTCGATGTGGCAGCTAATGGATCCAAAAGCGCTTGGTCGATGTCTTTGGTTATTTGCGTGAGTAGGGAGCAGGCAATGCGCTTGTTGATGTGTGGTCCGTAGGGCCCGTATACGCGGCTGTACCGGATATCGCTGCAAAGTTCCAAAAGCTCAGTCGTGCGGGTGTCGAACAAGGAGCACCAGTGAGTGGATTCAGAGTACAAGGATTGGTCGTACCCGCACAGCGAGTAAATTGTTTTAATTTCACTCATCGTCAGCGGCACCACTGGGCGCCTTGCCAGCTTTGCCAGCTTTTGCGAAATGCGTTTTTGCAGCTCGTCGCCGTGGATGTCGTCAAAAACAGCGATTTCTTGAGCAACACTCTGCGCGTTTGATTTTTTTGACTGGCCCCACAGCGGACACGTAAAGCGCATCGCCAGTGTCGTATCTTTGGCGGCCGGCACAACGACAACTGGCCCTGTTATGTTGTTCAAGTCCATAGCACGGCGGAATATATTTGCAGACTCTCGTGACCGCTGCCACTCCGAGCTGACAAACCGAACGGCGCCCTTTCGGTGCATGTGCTTGTCCAAAAATACATTGTACTTCTGTGTCATGCGTAGCGCTATCTTTCTGACTTCGATTTCGCCGTTTGTAGATAAAATCCCATCCAGCGCTTCGTCCGCAAGCTCGGGCTTAATCCACCCCTGAGGAATGTAAGGGCGGAGCTTCTCGTGAGTTCTGTTGATAGATGGCATTCCCGAGAGTGTTGGGTACCGGGCCCCATGCCTCGATATTAGCTGGAGCTGTATGAGGGTCAGCTGCTCTAGAGGTTGAGAACTGTCGGATCGATTTGGCGATATATGTGAGTGCAGGTCTGGGTGTGGGTGCGGGTAGGGTGTTTTCGTGCTCAGTCGTAGCGTGGTAGAACTTTCTCGACTGATATCGACCATGCCACTGTTTCTTTCAAAGTTGCAGTTGTAGAATGTGATAAACATCACCAGTGCGCACACGCATAAAAGTATTAGTCGCTGGTGTTTGCCGAGAAAGTGGCGGCGCTGCCGATGTCCAGGCTGATGCGGCAATAGGGTTCCGTTCATATCGTGTATTTGTATTTGGTATATGTTTAGCAGAAAAAAATTATAAACGAAATAAAATAAATATGAGCTTGTAAAAGAAAGAAAACAACGAATTGGCACTTGTTTTTCTGGAGTAGAAATCATGCAAGGGACTTTTCTGAGGGAAAATAGGCATGCAAGGGATTTTCCCTTTCCCCAACCCAACCCAAACTTTAGTTTTTGTTCATTCTTTCTGACCAAAGACAAAAGGGAAATGATGTCACGACTAAAAACAGAAACCCACGCGTTCGCTTAGACGACCGAGTACCCGCCATGGCGACGTCCGCTGACAGTGTCCCAGATGTGCTGAGCAAAATCAGTGCACAAGTAAGGGAACTCGCGCCAAAAGGCGAGATTGGGGATCACGTCCATGCCAGTAGCCCGCACAACCAAGTAGTTGTACATGACGCCCAGCACCAAGTACAAGACAAGTCCAGAGATGAACAGCGAAAATACAGTTGAAAAGAACCCACCACCACTGGTCTCCTCACCGTCCTTGTCTCCGCCCTTATCACCATCCTTGTTGTCGTCCTCGGGCCCCTTGTCCTTGCCATCATCGCCCAGGGCACATGCGGCGGGCACCGACCACTCGAGCTCAAGCAACCCATCCTTGAACGCCACCAGCTTTGGCGAATCCTCGTTTTTCGCCCCCTTATTGCAAACAAATTTGATATCCGTCGACCACTTGACGCCGTCGACCTCGGCGCCACTCATTTTCCAATGAAACTCAGCGGGTCTATCGCTACCCGACGTCGTAGCCTGCAGAGTCGGCTCGTCTGATTTAGACTTGCCGCCGACAGAGTTGACCTCGGTCAAACGCGCGCCCTCCTTGTCCTTGTAGTTTGTCACTGACCGGCACACCCAGGCATTCTCTGGGCATTGGTCGATTTTGGGCACAGAGTCGGGGGAGGATTGGAGTGGTGCACAGGGGTTGATCACGTATTTGGTGTTTGTGATGGTCGGCGCTGTTGTTGCGTTTCTCTCGAGGATTGTATCTCGAGCAAGCGCACTGAGGTCGTAGGCGAAACCGGCTATCTGCGCCTTTTTACAGTCGAAAGCTGCCGATGTGACGTGTATGGCGGCTGAGGCCAAAATGGCCAGTGTGAAGAACGGGCGCATTGCTTTTTTAAAAATGAAATGAAATGAAAATGAAGAAATAAAAAGATGATGCCAAAATCTAGAATTGCAGAGAGAAACAAGAAATAAATAAACGGATGGATAATCGCTGAACAGGGGTGAATGAAAGCTGAAAGGATTGTGAGGGTTGATTGAAAAATGCAGCTCAGGCACAATTTTGAGCACAGGCACTCGCGTGCGTCTGGGCGCAGTTTTTGTTGCGCTGCGCTCCCTCACCTTCGCCTTTCTTATTACTGTCCATTTATTAAGCTTTCTTTTATCTTTTTGTTGTGTGTATAATATTATTCCTCTTCTTTACTCCAGTATAAAAATGAGCAACTCGGCACCGTCGCGCGAGGCGAAATCGCCATCGCCATCGCCATCGCTATTGTCAGAAGACCACGATGCGACAGCCGCCAATTCAAAGGGCATCGCAAAAGCGAGCAAAACGACGGCACGCATAAACATTCCAGCCACATTGAGCTTTGAAACTGACCTATCGTTGCCACGTCGCAAGCAGTTTGAAGATCGCACCGTAGGCAAGTGAAAGCAAAGCATCGATGGAATAAAAAGCAAAAAGAGAAAGCAATCGAGAGCGACCATGTACAAAACCCTCCTTGATATACCACCCACACACCACTGCTAACAGTCGCAAACTGCTTGTCAACCACAACTGGTACTTGCTGTGAATAAATTCTCACATTTTACCATTTCTGTAGCGTACAAGGGTGACCCAAAGTACCAGGGTTATGTGCAGCTGATCGATCGCAACCTGCAGTCGTTCGAGAACGTGCGCGACTGGGCCGATATCACAGCATTTCTGACCAAGCTGACTCACTCGTTCACAATATACCCACAGTTTGCCGTGGTGCCACACAAGGAGACCGTGGCCAAGCGCCTCGCGCAATCGCTCAACCCAGCACTGCCGACTGGTGTGCACCAGAAGGCGCTCAGCATATATGAGCAGATAGCCCGGCAGATCGGCAGCGACCAGTTGGCGGCTGACCTTTCGCTGTACGCCTACGGTCTGTTTCCGTTTATGCGCAACTCGTCGCTGATGACAAAGTCGCAGCTGCTGGATATCTTTGAAGAGTTCTTCATCCCGCTGGGATCCAGCCTGCGGCCGTGCATGAAGAGCTTTATTGTTGGCGTGTTGCCGGGCCTCGAGGAAGGCACCGTGGAGATTTTCAACCGCGTCATGCAGCTGCTGGACAAGCTCAGGGACACGGTTGATGCCGCCTTCTTTTTTGAGACCATGTTCCTAGTTATGATCACAAACGCCGAGCAGCGCGAATCTGCGCTAAAGTACCTGGCACAGCGACTGCCAGTGTTCACCAAGAAGGAGGACATTGCGCCTGTTTGCGGCGAGGACTCTTCATTGATGGCCCGCGCCCTGGCAGCCACACTGACGGACTCGAAGACCCTGGTGCTCCGTGCGGCCCTTGATCTGCTAATGACGCGCTTCCCCCTGCGCACCAATATCTTTGATAGCCGAGACCTGGTTCTGCTTTTGAAACACGCTGCTGAGGTTGTGCTGAAGAAGGACATGTCTCTTAATCGCAGACTATACACCTGGCTTTTAGGCCCGAACGAGACAGATGCGGAGCAAGCCGCGTACTTTGTGCAGTTCGCGCAGAAGCCCTTGACCGAGGCCCTTCTGGGATCCTTTGCCGCCATGAGCTCCGACCCTGAGCATCAGCATATGGTCCTGCGCGTTCTCATTGGGCTGATCGACAAGCCTGTCATTTCGCAGCCTATCTTGGACGCTCTGTTTGTTCCTTTGTTACAGCTTTTAATCGCCGAGCGCGGGAACCGCCAGTCTGAGCGCGCGCTGCCTGTCAAGCTGGCCAGCGTGTCGCGCATGCTGGTGGAGATGCTGGACCCCATCTTCACGTGGTCCAACGTGATTAACCAGCTCACAGACTCGGTCAGCGCAGACTCGGGGGATCTGGACGTCGATCGCATTGCGCGGGCGCTTCGCCTGGTGCTATTCTTTGTCCAGACCTTTGAGCTCGATGATGAAGCCACCCTGCAGGTACACATTCCCATGGCCATGCTCACTATACTGGCCACCCTTGACAGGATCCTCAAGCAGAACCGCGTTCAGGCGTCTATCAGCCTAGGTTGCTGCTTCACCCGGCTGGCCATCGAGATGTTCGCCCGCATTCCCAAGTCGGTGTTTGTCGGGGACACTGGTGACGATGGTCACGACAATGGCAATGACGAAGTGGAAGTTTCTGCGGATGGGTCGGCGGCGGGAATTGTTGGATCGCTGAATATCGACACGCTATTTGACACTACGAGGTCATTCTACCGCGTGCATCGCTCCGAAAGCATTGACAGCAACCACAGCAAATCAGTCGACGAGGTCGAGAGGTCGGCAGCAAAGGTTGTACGCGGATCGGGGCTCCTCTACGCCATAATCAGACTGTGTAAGAACATAGCTGCCGGTCTGGGCCTGCACATCGTATCACAGACCACAAGCGACGATGCAACTGCCGATTCGGAGAGGCTGGCAGTAGTGGCCATGGAGGACATCTGCCACATATTACAAACGGCCACGGCATACTCGCAGGACTTTATGCACCTCCCAGAGCTGGCTCAATGCACGATGCCCCTGCCGGAGCTTTCTCCGGCGGGGCAACAGCCTGTGCACGCGGATCTTTGGGTGCCAACATTTGTCTCTGTCATTTGCCACTCGCGCGAGTTCAGCGCTATCAAGGTGACCCTGGGCACCCTGTTGCAGTTTGTTGAACGCAAATCGCTTGCTCGCTCTGTGCTTCTGGAGCACAACAGTTTAACAAAGTTTGTGAAGAGGCTGTGGGACACGCTCAGCCCCGAAACGACCACATGCCACTTCCAAGCGACCCAGCTTCTGTACCAGCTGCGCAGCCGCATTGACGCCCGCACTGTTGAGCGGCTCCTTGCGGGTAGGCTGGCCGAGTTCAACGGCAACTATGCGCGCGAGCTGGCCCGGTACTCAGTGTTCTGGAACAACATGCGGCTTATCCAGCGGGAGGCGCAATTCAGCACCAATGACACCTATGACCCACTGGTATTCTCTAGGCTCCTTCTGCTTGTACTTGATGGCACCATGCTCAGTGACGACTGGGCAACCGCTGGGATTGATGCTGACTGTGCGGGTGGGGATGGTGACAACGTTATTAGCGCGCTTTCTCGACAGATGGCATCGCAGGCGTGGATTGACTCATCGGTGGGCGAGTGGGAGTATATTGCCCAGACTCTTTTGACCCTGCTTCTACTCAGTATTCGCACCCACAAGCGCAAGTACTCTGCTGTTTTGGCAGTCGGCTATGCATCCGAGTGTCAGGAGTACACGGCTGAGTTTGATTATGCGCGCATCACCTACTATATCGATACTATTCAGCGCTATTTGAAATATGCTGGCGACGATGTCATTCGCTCAATGTCGGCTTTGCCGCCCACTAACGCAGCCATCCTCGATGCCTGCGAATCATTTACAGCTTCTGGTGACAGTTGGCTGCAGGTTCTAGTGTCCACAGCAATCGAGTTTGCACTGACAGACGCGCCTACCAATGCCAGCAACAATGCCTCGAGCGTTGAGATCATGCGCGCCAAGGCCGTCAGCTTGGCCGTGCAACTTGTTTCCCAGTACCAGGTGAGTTGGCCCACAGCGTACATTGCCAAACTGCAAACACGTGTAGTCGATGCTTTGCTATTCTGCGTCCTACATCGTCACATTCCAATCCAACCACCACTGTTGGATCTGTTTGGCAGCCTGGTGCGTGCCAACGTCAGCAGCAGCAGCGATGTGTCGGCAGCAACAGCGCTGGCCGCGAAGGGGAAAGGCACTCGCGCGGCAGGCATTGGCGCCATTTCCGACTTGAATCTGTTTTCGCGCCTGGTGTTGGCCGCGCTGACCATGCAACTAAGCACGGTGGCGCTGAGCAAATGGGTCAAGACAATTCGCCTTTGCCTACCCTATATCCAGGACTACATCTCGGCCACCACCAGGAACTTTTCTACCGAGGATCAGGACTTGATGCGCATCTTGGCGCTCCCTTGCTTGCATGCCCTTCGGCTGCTTCTGTCGCAGTGCTCGGAGTACTTTGCGCGCTCTAATGATTTGCATGTCAAGTCTAGACGCAGGACTACAAGGCATCAGCTACGCCAGCGCTTGATTCCCTTATTTGCCATTCCATCGGACTCGATGGACAAGGTGGACAACGACTCCGGGATGAGTATACACGTGCTGTCTATTTTGCTCGATGCATTCGACTTGTTCTTGACGCTGTGTCTGCGCAACCCCGACCGCTTAATTTCGGCCGAAGCGGTGACCACAGCTATGAATCGACCGAGCTCAAGGGCCAGTGACATTAGTGTGCAAAGCTCTGCATTGACTACGGCGGTGGCAATGACGACGGCAGGCGCGCTGGGTCCCATTCCAATTCTCAAATTTGTGTCTGGAATTTTTGGGCAGGACGAATCGGCGGATGTCATTGCGGATCCCGCTGTAGCGACAAACCCCGGGGTGTCTAGCGAGGAGTCGGGCAATGCGAATTTGGGCGAGACGACTGAGTCAACAGGGTTTAGCCTAGTCACCGTGCTTGCCGTTATACGCGAGCTATGGAACGCCTTTGACCCCACGCTACCGCGCAAAGCTGGGCACGACTCGCCCGACGCGCTTTTGCTTAGAGAGTTTGGCGTCTCCAACCTCCACATTGGCGAGCACAGTGGCGAGCACATGAAGCGCACTGTGCACACGCATATCCAGCGCATTATCGAGCACGCTGTGAGCGCGCAGCCGGCCGAAATGACCGAGGCGATGGCAGCGCTGTGGATTAACGACAACCCTCAATGGATTACGCACTTGGAAGCCACTGTGCGTCAGGGATCGGCCCAGCAGCGATCGCGGCGGCGCCAGTCGTCGGCTTCGTCGATGCACTCAACCTTTAGTCCAGCATCAGCGCCGCGCGAGCTTGCGTTGGTCACCGCCATGGTGGTCCTGGAGGAAGAGCCTGTTGAGGCAATTGAATGGAACTGGCGAGCGGCCGATTTGCTAGAGAGTGTGCCCGGACGCAGCCCCATTACAATCCTGACAACTCTGCTCAACGACCTCCATATCCGCTCAATCGATCCCGCCACGTCAGTCGCTCAGTCCGCGTCTTCTGGGGCGGCATCGCAGGTGGGATTGTCGGACAACCGCGGCAACATGCGTTTCTCTGCTCTCGATGACATTGCACTGACGCGATTTATCGAGCTGTACACAAGGCACCGACTGGTTGCTCGCTCTAGCAGCGCGCTCGTACCGCATGTTATACCGCTGCTCCGGGACTACAACACTTACGCGCAGCAGCACAAGTTTATGCTGCCATTCCTGCTGCGCATGTTCACTGAGCTGTGCGAGCGCGTGGCGAGCAGCTCGCTGTCGCAGGATCCCTCGCACCGCGTGTACTCAAACGAGCTGTGCGCCATTTACGCGCGCCTGGTTGATAACTGCATTCTGATTGCTGGTCGCTCGTTTGACCAAACTACGTGGCTGCGGCGCGCTCAATCCGACGCCGTTGGCGGCCTAATCATTCGCAATGACTCTGCGCCCGGCATGTCTGATCGTGTTTTGTCGGAGGACCACTTGATTGATCAGATGTTATCATATATCAGTGGCTGCGTGGTGCCGCAGTTTGCGCTGCTGGTACCGGACTACGAGCGCCAGGTGAGTATTGCAAACAACTTGATGCACTACGCCGTGTTACCCGCCTTCAAGTCACACATGACGGGCGGATACAGCGGCCCGGCGCAGGCTTCGACATCACGGTCGCAGCACTTTGCGCTTGTTCTGCGCTGTCTCGGCGCTCTGAGTCAGCAGCCGTCTCTGATGAAGGTGTGGAAGCGCGAGGTGTGGGAGTTCTTCTGCGACTCCAAGTTCTTCCCCGGCTCGGTCTCACCCGACCACACGACAATGACCCCGGCGCTAGCGCCGCTGTGGCGCCACCTTGTCCGCACGCTTTTGCTCAGCGAAAAAGAAAAGTTCGACGAGTTGCTGGATAAGATCTCATCGGCGGCGCCTGGCCCGGCGCTGTTTGCCAACCGCGAGCACGAGGCGCATATGCTTGCCATTGCCCTGCGCCGGCTGAGCTTTGTTATTTGGGCTGGGTCTGTCAACCAGTACCTGTCGTTGCTTCCACATGTTCAAAAGAGCCTTGTTGACACAATGAAGAACAACCCGCACCCAGTTGTTCAAATGGAGGTGTTTCTATGCTTGCGCGTGATGCTCTGCCGCATATCTAGCCACCACATGTCCAATTTCTGGCCCATGCTGCTCACCGAGCTCATGCGCCTGTGCACGCAGCAGCTCAATCGTGAGGGTCGCGAGGACCCAGAGCAGGCCAATCTCTTTTTGGCCGCATGCAAGTTCCTCGATCTGCTGTTCATTCTCGGTACGGATGACTTTTTGGTCCACCAGTGGATCTTTATCACAGACACCATTGATGCCCTGTATGGATCGCGTAGTGTGTCGTATGCGCTTCTTGACCGCCTCAGCTCCCGCTTACTCTCAATGCCATCGTCTAATGCCGGTCGTCGCGTCAGCCGTCCGGGTGATCAGATGAACTTTGGCGCCCTGGCGAGTAACCTCGACTCAGATACGTACCCCAAAGTACTCTTTTCGGACAGCGATGATCCGACCAACCTTGTGTACCAGCAGGTGTCACCCGCGGCCGCCGAGCTTACCAAATCGGGTATCATTGACTTGGCTAGCGATGCTGATTTGCAGACGCTTAGTGGCAGACCGCTGAAGCGCCCTATTATTCGGGTTCGTTCGGTGACTTCTATTAGAGAACTCGACGCGTTTGTGCATAATGCCTCTGTGCAGACGTACCAGGCTGCGTATACTATGGCCGAACCTGATGTTGAGTTTATCGAGGCTTTGCTTGTTAGCGATCTGATGTACATGGACTTTGCCGGCACGTCGATGACTACTGCTGCCGCGCCGTCGACGCCTACTGGCGCATTTACTGGTGACTATGAGTTTTGATGATATGAATTTTTGCTCACGTGTAAATTTCCCTTAAAAACAGCCGCCGCATGCAAAAGATCTTTGGAAGTGTGTAGTTTGCTTGGTGTATTTTTTTTATTTAATATGTGGAATACTGATAAATAGTCAATTTTTAAATACTTAATCATATAAAATTTTCTTACAAACGCACACAGACGCACTCACAAAAATGGTTGATAGCACTGCGCCCGCAGGCTTGGCGAGTCGAAGAGGACCAGCAAGGTCCGCCAACAAGTACCACTGGGACAAGTCCACCCTGGAGCAACGACGCCGCACGCGCCTCCAAATGCTCGAGCGCGAAAACTACACAACGCTCCCAGAATTTGAAAACATGCTCATTGCAGTCGAGAACACTGCCACCACCAGCAACACCGGTCTTAGACGCCCTGGACGCCCACCTCGCTCTGGCATATCGACACCAAAGCCCAATTCATCCGTGGTTATCATTGGCTCTGGAGACGAGGGACTTAAAAGAGCCAACCGCAAAGAAACCAGGGCATTGGCTGCTCAAAAAATGACATTTGCTGATGCCCTGGCCGCCGAAACAGATCGCGCCGCAGTCACGCCGAATTTGTCGTCCGCGAGCTACTATTATCTGACCTGCATTGCTTTGCCCACCCGGGGATCACAGCCACCACCGCCGCGCCATTTTTGTTCAATCTGTGGTTATGAGGGGATTTACACGTGTGTCGACTGCGGAATGAGATATTGTTCACTGGCGTGCAAGTCGGCGCACACTGATACCAGGTGTCTTAAACATGTAGCCTAGATAGTGCAAATAAAAAGGGGTATTTTGCATTTTTAAAAAAAATAAGTGCAAAAATAATTTGTAATCGCTCACGGTTAGACTCGAACTAACAGCCTCCTGATTAACAGTCAGACGCGCTAACCAGTTGCGCCACGCAAGCTCTTCTGATTTGATTGTATTTATTTGTCTACCCACTATGGAGATCTTTTATTCATAATTAAGCATGGCTAGATAAGCTGACATTAAAGCATTTATTTTCATTTTCTCTTGGTCAAACAACTTTATAAAATCATTCAAAATTTTCCAAAAAAAACTACACCCGGCCGTTGGCAACTGCTTCCAGGTGTGCCAGCTCCCCACTGTCCACACACATTCTTCTGAACACGCTGTTTTTCGTCTGCAGCAGGTTCTGCGGCGTATCAAACTCAACTACCTTGCCAGCATCCATGACCAGCACGCGGTCGTAGTCAATAATTGTGCGCAGACGATGCGCGATACACAGCAGTGTGGACTCAGCAAATGTAGAACTACGGATGATGCGCTGGATGTAGTTGTCAGTGGCAAAGTCAACTGATGCAGTGGCCTCATCGATAATGATCAGGCGTGAGCGGCGGACAAGTGCCCGCGTCAGTGCCACCAGCTGCCGCTGTCCAAGTGAAAGACTCTGTCCGTTGCTATAAATGTAGTCGTCCAGCGAGTCGAATGCCGCAGTGCTGGCAGGTCGCAAGAGCAGCGTGCGCCGCAGGGCATCCACAAGTTCGCTGTCTGTGTGGTCGCCAAAAGGGTCCAAGTTGAATCTAATAGTGCCGTTGAACAGGACCGGGTCTTGCGGAATTATCGTGACTTTTTGGCGCAGATCCTCTAGCCCCAGCTGCGAAATGTCTACACCATCGAGCTCAATGGTGCCAAGGGTCGTCTCGACAAAGCGCAGGAGTGCCAGTGACATGGTGCTTTTGCCGGCACCAGTGCGGCCAACAATGCCAATTTTCTCTCCATGCTGCGCGTGAAAAGTAATACCATGCAGCACTGCGCGGTCCGCCGTGTACCCGACCACTAAGCCATTGACAACTAGGTCACCCGTCTGCGGCCATCCTTCACTCAGCAGCCTCCTGTGCAATTCAGACACTGTTTTCGGGGCAGCTTCGCGCTCAATTGACATGTACTGGTGCGCTCTCTCGACACAGTTAACCGACAACTCTAGACTGCTATACTTGCGCACGACGGATGCTGACTCTGTCCAGAATCGGACTGCGTAAATAAGTGTGAATCCAGTCAATCCGCTGCTAAATTGATCGATGCTCAAGAGTATAAAGACAGACGTGAAGAAAGATACCAGCGAGCTGGCCACGCCCATGCGAATACCTAGCCACCGCCGGACTACTCGCAGTATCATGTCGGCGCTGAGGAACTCGGTAAAACGCCTCTCCATCTCAACCATGTACGCCTGCTGCATGCCAAAGCCGCGGATCGTCTCGCAGCCTGGGATTATCTCGCTGTACAGGGACAGCATTGGCGCGTAGCTGGTTGCCTCCAGTCTCTTGCATTCGCGCTGACCCTGCATAAACTGCCATGACAGCCGGGTATAGACCGCCATGATGGCTACGCCGACGAAAATAAATGGGGGCACCGACATCGAAATGACTACCAGCGTCAGCAACATTGAAACCAAAGACCGTAAGAAATAGTTTAAGATCTCGATGATATCTTCATCAATAATCTGCATGTCCTTGGTGAAACGCGTCATTATACGACCGATGGGCGTGGTCTCAAGGAACCGCGGTGTTGCGTAGACAATAGAGCTCAACAACAGCTCGTGCAAGGTCATTGATGCTTGCAGGCTGCGCAAGTACATCCAGAGCAGCGTCAGGGTGCTACTGAGAGCCGCCAAAAAACCAATGAGCAGGTACATTGCAAGCAGGTATGTTGGTGAGCTTTCTGCAGCATCGATGCGGGTTGCCAAGAAGTAGTCCTTATATATAATGAGCAGCTGCGCGCCCAAGATACTGATGATGCAAACAGCTACAAAGACCCACCCACCGCAGGGGTCAAAGTACGTTTTCCAGGTTTCCATCTTGACCAGGCCTTGCATACGCACCTCATCCTTCGCCAGCTTGCCGTTCAAAACAGAGGGTGTTGACAGCAGCGTCTGCGGCGTCTGCGTCTCAGTGACAATGTTATCTTTGCTGTCCAAAACTGCTTTTGAAAGTGCACACCCGTCGTCTGGAGAAAGCATGTCGCTCTGGCTGCTTCTACTGGGGCTGTTTGTCCCGCCGATGTCGACATCCAGTTCCGATAATAGGCAATCCAGCTGACCCGTGAAATCGCCCAGTCCCTGCGGGGGCCCCTGATATTCAACCCCGCCGTCCCGTAGCATCACCACAAAGTCGCAGTATGGAAGACACATTGGCATGTGGTGGGTGACCAACACGCATGTTCTCCCGTTCATCAGCCCCGTGGTACTCAGCAAGCACTGGTTCAAAATGTGCTTGCCCGTGTGTACATCCACAGCCGACAGGCAGTCGTCAATAAGAAGCACGTTGCTCGAGGAGTACATGGCTCGAGCCAATGCCACACGCTGCTTTTGTCCGCCCGAAAGAGTGATTCCACGCTCGCCAATCTCTGACATGTCACCGGTTGGCAGGATCAGCAGGTCTGTGAGCAGCGCGCAAACCTGAAGCACCTGCTCGTACCGCGATTGTACATAGGGCTCTCCGAAAAGAATGTTTTCTCGGATTGTGGCATTACATAACCAGGGATCCTGTGCCACGTAAGCAATGCTGGCCAGACCCAGACCGGCAAATGTCCCGAAATCCGCGCCCGCACTCGTGGAGTCCGTTGGTACCAGAAGTTTTCCGCTTATCACAGTCATCTCGCCGACCAGTGCTGAGAGCATGGATGACTTGCCGCTGCCTGTGGCTCCGCCAATAAGAGATAGCTTGCCTATCGGAAACTGAACATTGAGCGACTTTAGCAAAAATTCTCTGGAACTGCTTGTGGATCCCCACGAGAGGGTCGCGTCTTTAAATCCGACCACACTGTTGGAATCGCAGGAATCTTCAATCCTCTCCCCAAGAGGCTGAATTTCGGTCTGATCCAAGTACGCCGATATGCGCTGAAACGACACGAGCATGCTGATGGTGTCGGCCACCTGCGCGGGAAGGGCGTTGACGGACCGTTGGATGATCATGAAAACGGCGATGGCAGTGAAAATCGTTGCTGCGTCCAAACCATGGTCCAGGCTGTAAAGCATAAACGCGGTGAAATTTATAAACGGCAACGATCCCATTGTGCACAAATTGATCCAGCACCAGGTTTTGGCGCGACTCCACAGCAGTGCGAGATGTTCCGCCCGTTTGTTGCCGATAATTTCGATAAAGCGTGACCCCCACCCAAACAGCTTTATCGACGTTATGCCCTGGACAACCTCACTAATTATTGCCAGCCGCTGGTCGTTAAGTGAGCCCAGCTCGGACTCCATACGGTTAGCCTGCGAAATCAGACGGCGCATCAAGAACATGCCCATAATAAGCATAAGCGTACCTGCCACGCCGGCAGACCCGAGAAGCTTGTACATGTACCAGGCACCGATACATTGCTGCCATGGAACCAAGGCCACAATGTCAATCAGCATGATTATCTTGGTCATGCGTCCGACATCGGCAGTCAGTATGTTGTAGGCGCGCCCATCAGATTGATCCTCGCCTCCTGGCGCAATTCCCCAGTCAGACGCCTCGCTCGAGTTCTTGGATCTGCGGCTCAGGGTTTTGCGAGTTAGCAGCGTGACCAGAATGTTGCGGATAAACATGCACAAGGACCTCGCATGCCACGCCTGCTGCTGCTCCACCTGTGCTGATACAAGATTTACTAGCAACATCGCCGTAGCCAAAAAGAAGCCATATCTCAAACCGTGCTGTGTTTTTGAATAGTCGTTGACAAACTCCAAAAGGTGTTGCATCAAGATGGGCTGCGTGTACTCGAGGAGCGCCAGAATCGGGTTCAGTAGAAGTTGGGTTAAAATCTCTGGCCAAAATGTCCGTGCCAAGTTCATCCCCAAACTTGAACCTTGGCGACGGCCAGAGCAAAACCTTTGCCAGCTGGCTGACATGGTGTACTTTTTGGGTGGAGCAAACAAGTCATCAAGCTCCGGCTGGCGCAGTTGGCTGAGCTGTATAAATGGGTTTATCCAGTTAAACATGGCACTGTCCAAAATTGAGCTGCCGAGCTCCGGCGATTGTTGCTGAAACAAAGTTGTTTTGGAAAGCACCCGCTGCGGTTTATGCTGCTGATTTCTAATTGCTGACGTGGGGGTTTGTGGTGCAGTCTCGTCGGGAGTTTCTGGCAATGAAATGGCCGGCGCAGAGCTAGGAAGCTTCCGCACAACAAGAAGCAAAAATGCAGTCGCGCTGCTAATGCTTAGCTTGGCCAGCAGGGCGGGTGCCTCTTTTGGAGCACCACCGCCCCAGATAGGCGTTGCCCACTGGGATTGAACCAGGAACATGGCATAAAACTCGGCCATGCCAGCTGCGATGCACCCGCCGGTAAATGCAATAATTGGCGGGCTGAACAGACCAAAATAGGCGTCACCGCCATGGCGGGTGTACTGCTGCCACTGTCTGATTGTCACCCAAATAACGATTGCGTGGATAGTCAGAAGAAAACTGCCGGATACAAGCACAGGCCAGCTCGAGCTGCTAGCGATGGTCTGGCTGTAAACAGTCACTGCCTGAACTGCCGCTTGAACGAATACCAAAATGACAACCGCTGGTCCGATCCAAACACGGTTGTCTCTTCCGCTAACCCTGCTTCTGCGAAGCGTGGGCAGAGCACTGGGGCCTAGGGATGATGAGAATAGCAACCAGGCCATGGCCGCCAAGAAAGTCGGCCAAACTGCGTCAACAAACACGCGGCGAATACACGGGTTATGTCCCCAATCCCAAAGCCAAAATTTTGGATTGTCGATGTCACAGAAATATTTGGTATCCATAAAAAAGGTCAAAGGCGAGATAAATATTTGAATAAAAAATAATAAAAGTGATAGTAAATGAATGAATGGATGAGGAAGCTTCTTTACTTACAAATTCAAAGCCAACCATTGATATTTTTAAATGTCGAAAGAAATGGGTTTCATAAATCAAGGCATGGTTGTTTGTGTCCGCAGGCGCGGTAAACAATAGAGCCCATGATGGGCAAGGTAGTGCAGTGGACAATCGGTCTTAATGATTGACTTCAGTTCATGTTTTTACTTGTCATATTTCGCTTAATGTATCTATTTTCTCTCTCGCTGCCAATCCAATCGGAAATTGTTATCTTCTTTGGGCCTCGATACAGCACCATAGTCGCTTTGTCCAAAATCCACCTATGTCTGGTGTATTTAATTGAAATTAGAAGCCGAATAATTTGTGCTAGTATATTTATCATTAAAAACATCTGCTTGATCCTGCACAAAAATGGCGATGTTCCTCATTGCTTTGAGCCCATCGTCGTAAGCACTGAAATCTAAGGTGGTCATGCCACTAAAGTGAATATGTAATTTTTTGTTTCCGGAAAAGTGATATTGGCATAGGCGGATGCTGAGATATTGCTGAGCGACATACCGTCCATTAGCAACACCCTGGATTTGATGGAGATATAAACATATCCCACAAGTTATAGTGCTGGAACAGTGGGACTAGTGAAGGGTGTTGGCCATTTGCATACAGTGCTAACTGAGGAGACGGATTGCTTAAAATTACAGTCTAATGAAGAACAAATACTTGAGAAAAATAGCATGCCATGCACGGCATATATGAGGAATAGGAGATTGGTAGTTTTGAGCAATAGTGGATAATCGAGTCTATAACCTCAAGGCAAAAAATGAAAAGTCAATTTTGACCTCTTTTAATTAAAAAAAAGAGCTATAATATTTGGATTGAATATAATAAAAATTGAAAATAAACGAACGGACAGGGTGAAATAAGAAAGCGAGATAATCTTGAACAACAAAATTTTCACTTTTAGCAACACACTAGAATACTTGTTTGCTTGAAAATAGGGTTAAGGCGACGAAATACTTAGTGGCCTTGATTGTATTCGTTTTTAATTATACTCTCCTGAGAAAAAGCTTATCTATCAAATGATTAAAAGTCCCAAACAATCAGCGGTAGTTGCAAAAAAACATAGCAAAAAACCAAGAATGTACGTCATTACTATGTTAACTATGTTTAACTCTTATGGCTAAAACAAATATATACTAATCCATAGGCTATACATATATTGTTTGAAAACAGCACTTGCTTGTTAAAAGTTTGGCTTGTCAATGTCAAAATAGACATGAACAAATTATATATTTCATTAAAGAAATCAAAACTTTCAATGAGAAAATAATGTAAAAAAAAGAAGAGCTGAATGGTCAACACACTCTGTGTGAGCCAAATACATCATCTCAAATCAAATGTGTTGTCTACCCAAGCAGACTAGGTCAGGCTAAACATAGTTTGGTGGTAGGCCAGCATGATATGCCGGTAATTGTTCACTTTGAATATTGACTATGTTATTATGACCCACCTTATTTTTAATGACAAGTAGTAGTTCTATGTCTTCCAATTTATAATCAACAATGAATTTGTGAATTGTAGTATGCTTGTCTCTACTGTATACAAACTGTTTATTAGCTTTGCATTCTTGAATGACACACTCAATCAAGTAGGCACCATTACTCATATCAACAGTCAGTTCTTTGTAAACACGCTTTCTAGATTTCTTCAGCGTTTCCCATACTCCATTGGTGACTTTCTCAAAGGGCATACTTTGATTAATGGGTACTATGACTTTATTTGTATTATTTTTCGTAACATTATAGAAAACAATAATTTTAGTTTTCAGCGCCTTATACGGGGGTGGGTTGGGTTGGAGCACCCGGTATAAATTTGTCTTGGCGGAGGATATACTGGGTATGCTTTTAACAAACTTTTTAGCCAAGCCCATTGGAATAACAAAAAGCAATTATAGTTAAGTATAAGTAAAATAAAATGAGGTGTTTAAAATAAAAGCTGAGAATAAAACAAAAAACCAATTTGTCTTCCAGTCGAGTTTATTAAATATATATATGCGGTTGCTTTTCAAACCAAATGTATTTGTTTGGAAACGTTTTTCTCTACACTTTCTCTCTGCAGCCTGCTTGGACAAATTTTAAAAGCATCATTAGGTTTTTTGTTTTCCTTGTTTTCCTTTATTTATTTGTGGATGCTTTTTATAATGCAATCCACGACTTTCCATCTACACCATTATTTTTATAGGCTTTGTGCTAATAATAACAATTTGTGTTGGTTGACATTACTCCCAAGTACGGATACATCGAGCTCTATGATATTTTTTGTGAAGCGCACATAGCACAGAGAAACAAGTCATTTGGCTTATATTTTTAAAACCCTATACATGCTGTGATACAAAAAAATCAGGCTTGTCCCCGGTGATTGATCAGTGAACGAATCACCGATTAATTCCCTACCTGGATATGTGGGCATTTATACGCACATAAATACTAATTAATGTGAACAGTGGAGGCTGTTCATCCCTTAGCTTTCTTTTAGTTCATTTTGTTTAATATATATATTTAACATAACACAAAGCAACTGGATGTTGCTGGTTCATGCTGCAGATCAGCCTGCCTTTAAAAAGCACATCCCTATCAAATTTGCCTAATCTCTCTAGTCTGCGCATCGACAACTGCACAGCACCAATGTTTTTAAGTGCATATTGAGCCTCATCGACCGTTGATTAGGCATCACTGAGCCTGTAGCTGTTTACTTTGAAATCTGATGAAAATGAGTTGTGGGTGTGCTTGTAACAAACGTGTTGCATTGCTCAAGTGACTCGATGGAGTTTGTGCCAAGAAACATAGAAAGACACTCAAGCATGCTGCCATTTCCCCTGAACGTGTAACTGTCATATTGATAAATGGACGATGTGTCAAGAGTCTTGAGATTCGAAAAAGGAACTGTTCAATCCGTAGCAAGCACGCAGAAAATGTGTGAACTGCTACATATATGAATGGCAAGACTTTTTAACACAGGGTTCACAATCGTGCAGCCTGAATTTTCAAACAAAACCCACTCTGCTCTTGGTCATACAAAAAGGACAACCCCACTGACCACAATGTAACAGCACCCAACCGGATGAGCTCAATAACCGCATGGTGATCACCTTTTTGATAGTATTTAAAGTAGGTTAATTCACCTATACAGTCGTGTCTTATAACATATCAACCTATAGCATACGGAAATTTGATAGACACATGTCTCACGCCTTTGCACAAGTCGGAGCACAGTCTGCCCAAGATATGGATATTAGCCCGCTGCTGGTCGTCCCTGTAATGCGTGGAAACACTTTTAACTGTAACTTTACGGATTGCCAAAACACTCTGTTTGGTGTCCCTTGCTATCGCCTGCTATGTGCTAGGTTGGATCTGCCGTGACTGCGTTGCTGATCCTGCATTTAGGAAGCAGGGCCCTCATTGTGTGCATGTTTTGGGAAAACAATGCCGGGCTGGCGTGGCTGAATAAAACTGAGTATCCTTTGTCTGAAATTTGGGGTTAACTGATTTAATACTACGATGAAAATGATTTTCACAAGGTGGTTTTGTTGGGAACTCATTTAAGGCAAAACCCCACCTGATGTGCCGTCAATAAGACATTCCAAGGTTATTTCGAGGCAAACCAGCCTCAAAATGACCATGCACCAAATGTGGCAACATTGCAAATGTTTGGCGCAAAAAACATGCCCATCAAACCAACAATATTCAAGGGAAAGCGACTGAAAGGGGGACAAATTGGAACTCATTAAAAAAGTAAAAAAATATTGACAATTGAATTCATTAATCCAATGGAAAGAAAATAGATAATGTTGCGCAGACTGAAGATATGGAAGTGGATGTTGAGGTCGAGAATCGCGAAACAGGTTTCCACCTGCGTGCTGATCGATAGGACGCTAATTGGATAACGCAGGCGTAAATTAGGGAGGCATTACATTGATGCCCAAACATGCTCCCCATTTTGCAATGCACACGCATGAGCGTACACGCACGAAACCCACAACATTGACTTGCCAAGATACTGGTCTACTCGCAGAAGATCCAGTTCTCACCAACAGAGCGCACAATGGACAATGTGCACAACAAAGGCGACAGGGCACATATATAAGATGAGGCCGGCACTAGTAGCACTTTAGAAACATTAGTAATAAAACCTTTTATAAAATCACCCTACCTTTTAACACTAGGCAACTAGTGCTCCTCACACCCCCCCTCTTACTATAACAATACATTGATTGAAATATCAAACACGTGGTTTTAATTTGGATTCGGCGTATACTATCGCCAGGAATACAAGACACTATTTTTATAACGCTCGCTGCCAATTGTTCAAGTCATGGTTGATCGCGCACATTTCTATACGAATACTCGCATTGCTTTAAATAGAAAACTGCGAGGGTATTGTCAATCACACGCGCAACACACATGGCGCCGGTCAACACATGGAAATTATTTACCCGTGGCAAGATGGTGGCGCAGTGATATTGTGGCACCCTGCAAGACCGATGGTCCACAAACAAGTGGACCGGACCGCCTCTACCCGCAGAAATCTGGCGGTCTGCAAGGTATAAAATCCCTTCCCAGCTTTCTCTTTTGTCGTTTTTCACTTTTATATTTTTCTCAAAACTTTCAGCATTCTCCTTTAATTTTCTATTAAATTTTTATAATCTCTAATTTTTAAAATGGCAAACCCTTTAACCTTCCGACTTCTTCCTTGGCACATTGTCGAACCCATTATCAAGTATCATTTAAACACCAACCAAACTATCTACGATGACAACAGAAAATTGGCATCATCCATTATTTATACTTCTCATCTTTGGTGCTCCGTGTTTATAACAATTATATTTACCAAACTCAATTTCACATTTCGCCCTTCCGATTCTTACATCTACATGTTCCCCAATTGGCATGTGGCCCTTTACCAGTCCTCTTTCCCCTGTAACCATCTTGTCATAAGTATTCTTATTTCCTACTGCATCCCCACCGTGGCCTACCACATGTACTCTATGGTCTTAAGATCGCCTGGTGACAATTTTATTTTTACAAAGGTGCAAACATTTGGCGTCAGCGTTGTTGCTTTTCCTTTTTCCTCGGCCTTTGTGGGCACAAAAAAGTCATAGCAGTGCAGAATATCATGAATATTTTGAAATTAATTAAATTCATGGCACCCGCCGTGCAAAAAATAGGAGTAACAATTGGTACCAATGTCAACTTTGGTATGGGCCAACAACACCTTTGTCACTTTTTCAGCGAGGCAACATGAAATATATCTTGGTATCCAACAATTGGAGTTTTATGAGTTCAAGCCTGAGCCAATACATGGACAGCTCCCCCTCATTTTAATCTCTCCATCTTTTTCCAACATCACTCAGTTTTTGTATACGTGCAGGGATGGTCACTTTAAGTTAGTCGAGTGTGTGCGTCACAATTCCGCATTGCTGAAGGTGTTGGGGATTTCTCTTTATCCCAGGCAGTATGCAAGCGCTCTATTGCACGATGAACAAGGCGCCACTAAAGCATACTCTAATTTGGAGGACATTGCCTTTGGAAATCCAGACGATACAAATGCGTCTAATACTCCAGCGGTACCGGTACAGCTTGTCAATGATTTTGTATATTCTCCCTGCCTCAAATCACTTATTCAACGGTGACTATCCGTTCAACGATGACGCCCCATTTAGAGGCAACAACAGCACGCTTGAAAAGCTACGTGCTGTCTTTAATTTTCCATTTCTGCGCATTGCAATCAGACATCGAATTTTTGATGGCATTGCTTTTCCCCGTCTGTAGTCCACAACTCTGGTAGAACACATGCTATTAAGAACTAATCACGGATTTGTAGCAGCAGCTATTTTTTACTTTTAATTTTACCTTTTTGCAGCAGTCAGCTCGTCAGAATATGTCAATATGGTTGAATTCCACGGACAATTCTTTGATGTTATTTTTTTGGCTGGACTTGACAGGTTTAGCGTAGTTGAAACATTACAAACACTTGTATTTACCGAGGGGACTGTGCGGTTTTCATTTATTGTTGCCATTTTGAGGCATGCACCTCGTCTGCGCAGCATTAGGTGCTATCTGGACGACATAGAGCCAAATATCAATGATATATGTGGCAACGCCCTAGTCAACCATATTAAGGCAATAATTGAAATATTTGGTAATTATTTTCACTCCTTGTACTTTCTTGATGACGGGGCAGTTGCAAAAAAATATAATGGAAACAGTTGCGCTGCTTGTTGTCTCGTGCCCTTGTTTTTCACACTTTCGCATTTGATTTACAGATACAACTGATTTTATTCTGAGTACTCTGCACGCATTCTATCTTTCGAGTACGATTGATAGGACGAGTACGCTCAATGAACTGGTAGCATTTTGTAACAAAAAACTAAATAAATCAAATTCCTACTTTCTATATTCCATTCCCTTGTATTCTATAATAAAATTTTGGTAAATAAATAACACGATTTTGGCTACAATGTTCAATTCGAGAATTTGCTATGGTTTTAGCATTCTGTGTTAATTATTTCTTAGGGAAAATGCTTGCGGGAAAATGGGAAATTTCATTTTTTATATTTTCAAAGTTCCTCATAATATTTTTAAACAGTATGCAGCATATTGACAATTTATATACATATATTTTACAGTACTGCTGTCACCGCTGCCATCTCTTAAACTAACTTAAACCTATTTCTAGATTTTATTTATTTACTCTTCTTATTTGTTGTTGCTTGTACCTGCTATTTTACTATGCACTTTAATTTGTTTTTATTAAATAAACACCTATAATATACGCGTTAAAATAATACTTGTTGCTCACTGCTTATATATATTTCAGAGGGCATAATCTGCCTTTCAATAGTTTCTGTCCTTAATATATATTTTTAGTCTCTAAGCCTGGTATTATGCTCTGCCATCAGCAGCTCAATTGATATTTCTGAGTGGGAACTCCAAAACTATGTTCAATAAACCACAAATAAATTATTGCCTTCAACTATTATATAGGATTTATACTATTTTAATTAGTGCCTATCAACAGTAACTGATTAGCTTCAAAAAATCAGTTTAAGCAATCTCTGATAGTATAGTGGCGAGTACGCCAGTCTGTCACATTGGCGACCCGGGTTCAATTCCCGGTCAGAGAGCTTATTTTTGCCCCTTTTTTGTTAATTGGCTTTATGAGTTCAAGGTTGATCTGTTTTTTCTACCCCCAACATTTATTTTATTTCCTTATTTGTCGACTTTGCGCTTGCTAGCACGGTCACTGCCGCTTCAGTGTATGCTTTTGTGCTGTGTATTATAGATCAAAAAATGATGCTTTGTCGCTTTGCATTTCCTGAGTCTTGAAGCATTTTTTAAACTACGAAACGGCCAGCCAACTGTGGTGAGTCTCAGCACGTAAGCTCGGCCGATTTGTGAAACAACGGTTATGTCAAAAATACATTGAGCGTGTGCTTGTCAAATTAGTTGACAGTGATTAAAGCCAAGTAAACGTTTAGTTGATGGGTACTCAGTTGCTTGGTCGTAATACAAGTAAAGTATTTTGATATTGATTTTATAATTATGCAAGTTTTGTCATTTAAATAGCAAAAGCCAAAACAAAAGCCGAGCATTGACATTCTCATCAGAAGCAAGTGATGAATAAAAAGCCACTATCCCGTTTTGGTTGACTTTAACACACAAAGGTTATCCAACAATATTAAATATTTTAATTATACATTATGTGTTGATGCCATCATTGTTTGCACCGCCATTAAAACGTTTTAATGGCGGTGTGTATTATTTATATACAATGTGCAAGCAGTGGAATATTCTACTGTTTTATTAATTTTTAAAAACAAAATAACACCTGCGCAACAAAGAAAACCCAAACGTATGCTTTTTGCGCACTGAATGTGTCACTAATACTGAAGAGAAAATATGTGGCTGAAATCACACCCCTTTTAATCAATTTTTGAGACAATAATAATTCAAAAAAATTATAATGTATAGGTTTTTGCTCAGTTCATGGACAAATGTTCAGAAAACTTTTCTATTCAATATAAGCAACATTTATAAAGCATATACTGGGTATTTTTATATCCAAACATATTGCTTTTCTTTTCTTTATAAACTATTTATCTACCACCTTTAATTTCAGTCGAATCAATGAAACTCTGCATCATTGCTATTTTCTGCCTCTCTGTGGTACAAATGTGCTCCGCCGGTTGCTCATCGGTCAACCAAGCAACATTAAACCTCATCAAGAATGCTGAGGGTTTTGCCTCTTTGGTTGGCCCTGACCCCATTGGTCTGCCAACAGTTGGTTATGGTCATCTTTGTCAGAAACCAAACTGTGCCGAGTTGCCCAGCAGTGGACCCCTCACCCAAGCACAAGCCCAGGATCTCCTTGTCAGCGACATCAAGCCCAAAGCCTCCTGCCTTGGGTCAGCTGTTAATAGCTCTGTAAAGCTCAACGAGAACCAGTGGGGTGCATTGATCTCCTGGACGTTCAATATCGGGTGCAGCAATATGCAATCATCAACGCTGATCAAGCGCCTTAATAACAAAGAGGATCCCAACCTGGTTGCTGAGCAGGAGCTAGGTAAATGGAATAAAGCCAACGGCAAGGTGTTTTCTGCATTGGTGGCACGTCGTGCCAATGAAACACAGTTGTTCAAAACGGCGTCGACCAAGGAGGCCCATTGTGACATCAGAAATGGGGGCCGAGTCACGTGACAGCGCAGACGCGTAAAATATGTTTGATATTTTACGCGTACGGCGAATTCTGAATAGTGAGCTCTTTAGCTCTTTCCGTAGTCTCATTTCTATTAATATATATTCTAGCTAGTCCAAATCGCATTACACCCATCCCAGTTGCAATTGAATGAATGAATGAGTTGGTTATTGGTTATTTCTTCAAACTGATTGCCAACCAAATATCTATTTATTTTTTACGGTTCAACTATAGTATAAACAACCAAATCAACAGTACATTTTTATAGTTGAATATATATCTTCTTGAAAGCATAGGTTTTTATCTTGCTACAACGGGCCGCTGTTGTCTCGGCCATGGAAATAAGGCCAATGAGAAGCGGCCAATCAAATGTTTTTTTGGGGTTTTACAACCGAAAATATTGTTTTGTCAAGAGCCAGTTCTATAATTAGACTTTGTCATCAACAAGTTAATTAGCAGTTTAATTGCTTGCTTGTAAAGGTTGCGTGGCCCAATGGATAAGGCGCTTGACTACGGATCAAGAGATTCCAGGTTCGAGCCCTGGCGCGATCGTACACTTTTTTGCTGCTTTTGATTTCTAACCCCAAGGTATTGTCCATGTGATTACAGGCGCATATGCGTCCCAACTTTATAAGGCTTGTTAGTTTTAAAATGCAAACATGTCTCACTTGTATTCAAAAGTGTTTTTAAAAGCAGTGTATGTGTCACGTGTTCAAAATTTTTGCATGATATATTGACAATACGTTGAACAGTACTTTTGAATTTTTTGCATGGCGGATAAAATTAAAAGCAATTAAACTAACTCGTAATAAAACCGCTGACACAAACCATTTTGCGTTTAATAAGTTTGTTAAAGAGATACCTAAGTTTTTGGCACAATAGTAGAAATTACAAAAAAATCGTGCGTCCTTTTTACAATTGAAAATACACACGTTGTGTACATATCAAAATATAAACATTCAGAAGCTATTGGTGTAACATCTAAATTCGCCAGTTGTTGTGGGCTTAGTGGTCTAGCGGTATGATTCCTGCTTTGGGTGCAGGAGGTCCCGGGTTCAATCCCCGGCTGAGCCCTCATTTATTTTTGACTTTAACTTTAAAGTCACATGACTGGGTTTTTACTTTCTGAACAGTTTTTTTGTTAATGCATGAATGAAACATGTATTTCCAACTTTTCTTTTTCAGTTCTTCTCATATTTTGTTATTTATTAATTTGTTCAATTTTCAATGTCGTCTATTAATTCAGACTCTGAAGTAGAAGAAGTGTCTTATCGGCCCTTGTTGACACCACGTGTCATAAGACGACCAGTTCCAGTTTTGCCGCGGCGCGTTAGCGGCTCAGCAAATAATAACTCTGGCGCTAACCGAACACCATACACAAATGACAGCGACAGCGACGGTTCTGACGACGCATCCTTTTTTAGGTTACGACAGCCGGCAATAAACACACCGATAGTTGAGAGCGAAACAAATCATAACGCGTCTTTTGAAAGCTCACGCAACAAAAGTCAACCTGTAGGTAGCAGCTTAGATCCCAGCGAAGGCGAAAGCAGTAGCAGCAGCAGTGACGATGAGGATGCTGGTGTGTGCGAGGTGGTGTCAGTAAAGCGGAAGTATTCGGACAGCGAGACTTCTTTAGAAGCTAGTAAGAGGAGAGCGCGAAGCGTGTCGTTGACGCCGCCTCCTGGCGACAGCGCTGGCAAACGACAGGTAGCGGTGCCTATGCCAACATCAGCCAAGGTGGCTGCTGTCTGTGGGCAGCAACAGGCTAGTTTTGGCGGCGACGCGCTTTTGTTGGATTCCGATAATGAAACAACCCCTTTAAACAATCAGTGTAGTCAGCAACAAGACAGGACGCAGATACATCAGTGGGACACGGGAGTGCAGGACCTAGATCCATCCCTACAGGCGGCAATGTTCAACAACGATACATCAGGCGTTTCGTTGTTGGAAAAGATCCAGGTGGAATTTCAGCTAGTCTACGACGCCGAGTTTCTTAGCATCGATGTCCCAGCGACGTGGAATCCCAAGCGCTGGGCTCGAGTGAAGCCTGGAAACCAGGATAAAATCATAAAAAGGCTCAATAACCGTATTGCCGTTGTTGTCTTTTCTAATGACACCATTGGCCGCGCACTGCAGGCGTTTTCAGATAACTTTACTATTGACGTGATGGCCACTGATCCGGTACTCAAGCACAATTCAATGCGCATATTTCTCACCAGCAAGTTGTCCAGTCTGGGCAATCTCCCTGTGTTTTATGTCAAGGTATTTCCGCGGTCTGTTTTCAACCGGATGATGGAGAAGGATCATATGGCGCGTCAGCGGCAGGATATGGAGCTGGAGCAGGCTGAGCGAGATTTGGAGCTTGTGCATAGGCTGAGGCAGAACGCTGGAGAGACTTCGGAATCGGTGGATACAACGGATAATGCTGACTATGGGTTGGGAGAAAGTGCGAGCGCTCCAGTGGGCATTAGAATCAAGATTCGTGACTCGCAGGGTAAGGACGTTCTGCTGATGGTGGCGCCGACTACGACTGTACAGTCTATTATTGATAATTACTGCAAAATAGCTGGTCTGCCTGCGGGAACGCAGGTCTCGCTGGAGTTTGATGACGAGAAGCTGAACCCGAAAGCCACTGTCGGCGAGACCGATATTGAGGACGACGATATGTTGAGCGCCAATTGGAAGTAGACCTCTTATTGCATCCAATTTATCAAACAAAAGTTTCAAAATCTGTGAACCATTTTTTTCTTGCTCGCGCAGCCACACACAGGATCAAAATTGGTCATAATTGGTCGATTTCACGATGTTCTCTTTTCTCTTTTTCCCTTTTTCATTTTATTATTCACAAGGCTTTTTTTGTACATTTTATTCAATTCACGCGAAATGAAGGGGTTTCAATTGGTCAGGGACGTGGTCATCAAGCACAAGATCCAAGCAATAACAGATATGAAGCAGTCGCTTTTGCTGCTCGACCACATGAAGAAGTTTGGCACAGTGACATCGTTCAGGTTTTCTCGCGATCCACTGACCAAGGAGCGCACAGGCATGGCCTTTGTATCCTACCTGCACTCTGACGATGCTAAAGAGGCCCTTAGCAACCGGAGACAGATCGTCGAAGGGCTCCGCGCACCACTCAATAACATCGAGGTATCTGTCCATATCCGCCAACCCACGACAAAATAACGAAAATAAATCAATCAGCTTTTGGTATTATTTTTTCTATTACACACGAATAAAAAGCTATTAAATTCCCATTCTTCCATTCTATTCTGTTACGTTGCGTTTATGTCTTTATTTTTTATTTTTACTGGTTGACCTGCGAGAGTTTGGCCAGCTTGTCGCTGACTTCACGGTTAACCTGGAAGTACTTTGCGACGCAACGGTCAATGCAAACGGACTCAGCCTTGGTCAGATCCTCGTCGCTGTAGCGCTGCAGAATGCACTTTTTGTTGCACAGCTCGCCCAGGCGCGCAAACATATCTGTGACCATTTCCATTTCCTGCTCGGCCGCGGCTAGCTGAGCATTGGGGTCCATTTGACCCTGACCCTGGCCCATTCCGGGCATACCACCCATGGGTGCTGACTGAACTGGCTTTTGAGAACCTCCACCGAATACGCCGCCAAACATTATTGTAAAAAAATTTTATATGGTTAAATTTTATAAAAAAAAAGTCGATTTTGTTGAAGAGAAAAAAAAGCGAGTTGGACAAAACAAAATAAATAATAATCGAGATAACCAAAATTGAATGGCAAAATCGGGACGATTGTACTAAGCCTTATTTGCCTGCTGCGTCAGCTTTAAAAAAAATTTCAAGCGAAAAACGATTAGATCAGCCACGATCACGATCGATCAATAATGCTTCCTTCATATGGAAAATGAAAAAGTACAAAACTACCCACTAAGCATTCTGTCCAAGCTGCCACCCTTCTTTCCTTGTCTTCACATACAAAAAAAACATACTATATATAAATATTTTCTATTTAAAAAATGACTAAGCTCAGAAAGGGAAAGCTCGTTTCGCGGCTCAAATCGATGCAGCAGCAAAAGGTCAAGACCGACGCCAGCAAGCGCGCGCAAGAGCGCACAGAACAGGCCCAGCAGCAAAAGGGCAAATCCACAGCAGGCTCCTCGAAGAGCAAGAAGAGGGGCCCCACCAATGCCAAATCCTTCTTCCCCTACCTCCCCACGCACACGATCCTACTCATCGGCGAAGGAAACTTCAGCTTCGCCCACAGCCTAGCCAAGCGGCTCGGCTCCGCGCAAAACATAACCGCAACAGCATTCGACACGCGCCCGATTGCCCTGGAGAAATACCACGACGCGCAAATCCACCTGGACGCGTTGCAAGAAATGGGCGGCGAGGTCCTTTTCGGCGTAGATGGCACGGCGCTGGATAAGGTTGAGGAGCTGAAGGGGCGGAGCTTTTCGCACATTGTGTTTAATTTCCCACATGCCGGCGCGGGCATCAAGGACCAGACAAAGAATATATTGACGAACCAGGTTCTTATGATGGGCTTTTTCGAAAGCTCCGTTTCGTTCCTGCACAAGGGCACGGTGCCGTTGGAGCGCGTGCGCGTGAAGCACATTCGCGGAGGTCCGCGCACACGCCATGCCAGCGATGACGAAAGCGACAGCGACAGCGACGGCGGCGGCGATGCGAAGCCCGAGCCAAGGCGCGGCAAGGGCAAGGGCAAGGGCAAGGGCAAGGGTAGGGTTCAGAAGAGTGAAGCCGAGAGCGAGGTTTTTGAGTTTGAGGGTGTTCGGGCGCAGGTCACCTATGGGTCGGATCCCGAGGCCTTGGACGCCCCCGAAGGCGCTTCGGCCGATGGTGGTGACGATGCCGCGGAGGCGGTGGCAGTGGCGGTGAAGCCAGGGCAGATCCATGTTGCGCTAAAGTCCGGCCCGCCGTACTCACACTGGAATATCCGGCAGCTGGCCAAGGACAGCGGACTGATGTCGCGCGGCTCCGTGGTGTTTGACTTCTCGGCATTCCCTGGGTACGAGCACCGCAGGACGCTGGGGTTCAAGGAGGGCGTGTCGAAGGACGAGAACCGCGAGATTAAGGACAAGGATCCGCTGATCCACATGTTTGTCGTCAAGCCGGTTGTGCCCGAGGAGGATGGCGGAAAGAAGAAGGAAGAGGCGGATGCGAAGGAGCAGGAGCAGGAGAAGGAGAGGACACCGGGGATGGGGAAGAAGAACAGGATTAGAAATAAGCGCACGCTGGGGGTCAACTCTGAGTCCTTCGATACGGGCATGGCCAAGGCGAAGCGCCAGCGCTGATCGGGCCTTTTGCAGATTTGTTGTTGATTTAATTGAATCGCTAGATGCTTTTTCTACGGCCTGTAAACAGGCGCATTCATTCCGCAGCCACCACAAAAGCCCTTTTTTCTTTCTTTTGTTTTCTGTTTTGTTCATTCCTTTCTTCTTTTAATTTCTAATTTCCAATTGCTGAAACTTAAATTTCAAAAATATCTTCTCACCAATGGCGCCGCGCGTGACAATCGAGGAAAAGCGCAAGCGCATGCTGGAGATCTTCCACGAGTCCAGCCAAGTATACACCCTCAAGGAGCTAGAAAAAATCGGCCCCAAGCAAAAGGGCATCGTCTCTCAAACCGTCAAGGACGTTGTGCAAGCACTGGTCGACGACAATCTTTGCCATTGCGAGAAAATCGGCAGCGCCAACTACTACTGGTCCTTCCCCAGCGAATCAGCCATCCATCGCAAGACCCGCAAGGAAAAGCTCCAGAAGGAAATACACACTTTGGAACATAAGCAGGCAGAGCTGCGGGCGGCAGTGGAGCAGGCGCAGTTGGGCAGGGAGCAGACGGAAGAGAGAAAGGGGCTGGTGGAGGAGCTAGGGGAGGTGGAGGCTGTGTGGGCAAAACAGCGCGAGGAGATGAAGGTATTTGGCGAATGTGATCCTGTGGTGATGGCTGAGCGGAAGCGGGCGGCGGTGGTGGCTAAGGACGCGGCGAATCGGTGGACGGATAATGTCTTTATTATGCAGTCTTGGGTGCGCGATAAGTTTAATATGGACGTGGCTGATTTTAACAAGCACTTTGGCGTGCCAGCTGATTTGGACAATTTGTAAAAAAAAATTCAATTCAATTCAATCACGGGCTGTGGGAATGGGTTTGGGAATGGGCTTGGGAATAATAGGCTTGGGGAATGGGCTTGGGCTTGGGCTTGGGCTTGGGTGGGGAGGGGGCAGGGGGACTCAGGGGACATTGTGGAATTTTTTTTGGCCTTTACACTTAATTTTTTTTTTTCAAGTGCTGACGCAACACGCACACACGTATACAGCACAGTTGAGTATGCAAATGTGGAAATTATTTTGGTTTTTATTTTTTTGCTCTCTTTATTTATTTATTTTCTCAATCAATCTTTAAAAATCAATCTTTCAATTTACCTTCATATTATTTCTACTCCCAACAAGTCTAAGATGAATCGCATCGCTGAGCAGCTCACATTGTCCGCCTCTGACAACCCCAACAATCACCTCGATGGCGGCAGCAGCAACGCCTGCGGCACCGGCGTCCAATTCGAGCTCGCCTCAGGCAACAACCCAGCGGCGTTCACGCAGCAATACACCGACGTAAAGTCCGAAAAGGATGCACGCATCAAGATGGACCACGGCACGACAACTCTGGCATTCAAGTTCAAGCACGGAGTACTCGTCGCGACTGATTCTCGCGCGACCTCAGGCAACGTCATTGCGTCGCAGTCCGTCAAAAAGGTGATTGAGATTAACCCGTATTTGCTCGGAACCATGGCTGGTGGAGCGGCGGATTGCTCGTTCTGGGAGCGCGTTTTGGGCATGGAGTGCAGGCTGTATGAGCTGCGCAATAAAAAGAGGATTTCAGTGGCGGCTGCGTCCAAGCTGCTGGCCAACCTGGTCTACCGGTACAAGGGCATGGGGCTGTCAATGGGCACTATGGTTGCTGGGTGGGATGAGAGCGGGCCGGGGCTTTACTATGTGGATTCGGAGGGGCAGCGGGTGGTGAATGATTTGTTTTCGGTTGGGTCTGGGTCGACGTTTGCGTATGGTGTGCTGGACTCGCATTACCGCTTTGATATGAGCGTTGATGAGGCGAAGGATCTGGGAAGGAGGGCCATTTACCACGCGACCCACCGTGATGCGTACTCTGGCGGCATTGTGCGCATGTACTGGGTTAAGGAGGACGGGTGGGTGGCGTACCCGCTGGAGGACGTCGGCGAGCTGTACTTCCGCTACCACCCCGAGATCGAGCTCACCCACGCGGCCGAGTCTCCGCTGACCGCCCAGCGGGCTGCCTAAGGGACAGGCGCTCTCTCTTCAAGAGGAGGGTGCTGTCGAGAAACCGCAGCACAGCCTTTTCACAATTCATTTCAAATTAAATTCTATATTCTTCAAGCAGCAATATCGAAATCCACCCACCCATCCGTCCATCCATTGCAGCGTGGCTATCCATGCCGTGCCCCTCCCTTACTTTGTGCGCAGGCCGGCCGACAGGCGTGTCAGGTACTCGTACGTCATGAACATCGCGGCGTTGGCCGGGAAGGCGCGCAGCAGCGTGATCCCCAGGCCGCGGTAGAACGCAGGCACGCCGCCGCGCGCATACACAGCGCGCACGGTGGCCACGACCCCGGGCCTCCGCCCGGCCTCCGCACCACCAGCATCGGCACCCACACGCATGTCCGCAGTCTGAATGAACGACTTGACGACGTCGATCGGATACGATGTCAGATTATACGCTATGCCGGCACACCCGCCGGCCAAGATAATGCTCCCAGGCCCCAGGCTGTCCTTCGACGGCAGGGGCTCCCCAGCGCGGCTGCGGGAGCGCAGAATCTGGCGGCAGACAAACTCGTATGCGCCGAACCAGAAGGCCACGCCCAGGCACTCTCTGGCCACGGTGGGGGCGATCCCGGCGTACAGCCCGGCAGCGCCCTGGGAGCGCACAAGGTGGGCGACAACCGACAGCGGGCCTTTGAACTTGACCTTTCCCGGCTGCTGATACTGCTGCTGGCCATACGCCTGTACGTTCTCGACCTGCAGCTTGCACTTGACCAGCTCCACCGGCGAAATCACAAACGCACAGATGACGCCGGTCAGCGCGCCGCTCGCAAACAGCTGCGACATTGGCAGCACGTCTTGGTGCTCTTGGCCGCCGAGCGAGCGGATGGCTGCTTGGATGCGGTTGTATGAGTAGAACGCCAGTGCGTTTTCGGCCATTGCGCCGACCAGCGGCGAGGTCAGGCCGCGGTAGAAACCCTGCGGGCCCTCGTTGTGCCAGGTTTGCCGAAGGCAGTCGATCGTGCCGCTGAATGCTGCGGACGTCTGAAGCCGCACTTTTACTGTGTCGAACGGGTACTCGACGAACTTGCCCATCATGCCAGCGAGTGAGCCGAAGGCCAGATCCTGGAGTCCCCCGGGCGCCGGCCGGCTGCTGGTGCTGGTGCCTGGGTTGTGGTCGCTGAGCGCTTGAATTTCGGATTCCATTGCTTAAAGAACGTTAAATTATTAATGTATTTGTTGTATTTTGGTGCCTTTCTGGGTTTCAAGAATTGATAAATCGATTGTGACCTCTCCTTCCTTTCTTCTTCTTTTTCTTTCTTCTTTTTTTTCCCTGTCCGACCGCTACGCGAACAACCATGATGCAAAGAAATAAAAAATTTTCTTATCGATTTCTGGTGGGAACGGATTTTTTCAATGCAAGAGTGAGGAGTGGCTTGCTTGACTTTTTAGTTGGGGCTGTTTTAAAGAACGAAAAGAAAGACAATTGCATTTTTTCAGTGGCTGAGAGAGAGGCCCTCCCCCTCCCCTCCCCTCCCCTTTCTTTTTAATACTGTATTTCTTATTAAAGTGTGAGCAAACAGGCGAAATGTCCTTTAAAAACGTGTATACACTCAAGAAACTCTTTGCCTCTTTATTTCATTCCTCCTAGTAAACAAAAAAATCAACACCCGCCAAAAAATAAAATAAAATAAATACGGAAAGAAAAGAAAAGAAAATTGCCAAACACTGATTATCAAACAACATAACTTGTTTTTTTATACATATATTTTCATATTTACCAAGAAATGCACAAGCCAAAGATCCTCTGCCTGCACGGCTTTGCTGAATCCGCCTCGGTCTTCCGCATCCGCACACGCGCGCTGCGCGCTCTCCTCGCACCGCACGCCGAGCTCATCTACCTGGACGCACCAGTCAACATTGGCGACCTGCACCTGACCTTTCAAGACACCGCAGACACCCAAGAGGCGCCCGGCGATTTCACCAACCTGGGCTGGTGGTGGAAGCGCGCCGGCAAGCACATTGAGCTCCGCGGGCTAGGGCTAAGCCTGGCACTGGTGGCGAAAACATTGGAGGAGCAAGGCCCGTTCATCGGCATCCTGGGGTTCTCGCAGGGCGGCTGTCTCGCTGCCATCATAGCTGCGCTACTGCAGCAGCAGCATGATCAGAAGCATAAGAAGCATGTACATGGGTTGGCGTTTCCTGTCGAGGTCAGCCATCCGCCGGTCAAATTCGTCATTGTCGCCGGCGCCTTCCCTCTGGACACAGCGGAGCACCAGGCCGTGTATGGGGAGAAGATTCAAGCGGCGAGTTTGCATATGATGGGCGCATACGATACTGTGGTGGCTGCAGAGTCGTCGCAAAAGCTGATGCGATGCTTTGAAGCCCCGCAGGTGTTTGAGTTTGAGGGAGGGCATTTTATCCCACAGACTTTGCAGTGCTCTAGGACTGTCAAACGCTTCTTGCGCCCGTTTGTTTCTGGACTTAATAGTACTGTGTGAAAGCTGTTTTTTTTGGGGTGCCTGTGGCGTTAGTGTTAATATGCGAGCCTCTCCCTTTTCCTTCTATTATATTGCGCCACTTGTCAATGCCTGAATATTATTCATCTTTTTCATTTGCTGTTGAGCGCTTTTTTCATTTCATTTTTTCTATTATTTAATACCGTTTTCATTTTTATCCTTCACTTTTTTTTTTGCAAAATATTACTTTTTTTTAACCTTGAAAACATGCTTGCTGCTGAACCCAAACTCAAACCCAGGCTCAAGCCCAAGCTTAGGCTCAAGGTTCTCTGTCTGCACGGGTACACACAGGACGCCTCGATATTCAAAACGATGCTCCGCAACCACACAACTGAGCTCCAACCCAATGTCGATTTTGGTAAGGCACACACTATATAAATACCAACAAACAAACAAAAAATGCATCGGCAATGTACATTAATTATACTAACACTTTTACTTTTCTTTTCTTCACATTTGTAGTTTTCATCGATGCCCCGAATATCCTGCGTCCGTACGATATTGACGGAATCGATAATATGGCTCGCACAGCCGCTGCTGCTAAATTGGATGGCTTGGAGCCGAGGGAGTTGAAGGGCTGGTATTCTTTGAAGAACGACAATCCCGAGATTGTGCAAGGCCTGAATGAGAGCATCGCATTTCTGGATACTGTGCTTGATGAGCAGGGTCCGTTTGACGGGATATTTGGCTTTTCTCAAGGTAAACAAAACTACAAATAAAATTGCATATGGTTCGGCAGCTGCTGCACTTACAAAAAAAACATTTTTATTTTATTTTTTAATCAACTGTTTTGTAGGTGGTCTGGTTTCTGCTGTTTTGTGCTCACTTTTGGAATTTCGCAGTCCACTTATCCGATCATCCCACGGGCCATTCAAATTTGCCATACTTTGTTCTGCATACAAGCTCAAGGACTCACAATGGACTCAAGTGTACGGACGCCCTATTCGCACCCCATCCCTGCATGTGCTTGGTGTTTTAGACGGAATGGTCAGTATCAATAAGTCTATGGAACTTCGAGACTGTTTTGTAAACCCAGAGGAGCTGTACCATGTTGGAACGTAAGTACACACTTCTATTATTTCATAAAAAAATTGTTAATTAAATATGTGCATTATAGTATTTTTATGCACTATTATTTACTAATTTTTTGTTTTTTTTGTTGTAATTTATTAGGCATTTCGTTCCAAAGACTAGAGAGGTTGTTTTGGCCGTTTCTAAATTTATCGGACAATTTTAATCAATAATTATTCATCAGTTTCATTTGATTTTTTTTATTTGTTCTTGGGGAACGAAAAATATAAAAACACACGGGAGGAAATAAACCGACCGATCTTTTTATGTTTGTGTTGTTTTCATTCTCTCTCTCTCTCTCTCTCTCTCAGCGATCTGCCACAACATGTAGCGTGGTAGTGAAAATGACGTATGTCTCGCCGATCTTTTTTCTTATTTCTTATTTTTCTTTTGTACTGTAGCCCTAAATTTTTTTTTAGACATTAGTGTTGCTAACATCAGGTTTAAAGAGCATTGTCGGTTCATTTTTATCTTCATCATCATCCGCTCTTTATGGTGCTTGATATGGTAATATGGATTTACTTTGGATAATGGCTGAGTGCCGTTGTGTAGAAAAAATATATTGGTTAGCGCAAAAAGTGCGAACTGATTAAAATGGTCTAATAACATACATATACAGTATTTCACATGGAATTTCAATGTAAAAAAAGAAGAGAAAAACATTTCAAAATGACATTGCGCCGCTAATCACAAAAGTCGTTTTGCAGTATTATTTATTGCGTCTAAAATAGCATTAACAAAATAATATCAAATGCGTATACCTCCCGGGGGTGACAGTAAGTTTGAATAATTTTGTTAAACTGTTAAAAGTATTTTTTGCTCTTTTCTAAAAACAAATGTTTATATTAATTTACTTCTCATAGTATTGGGCTTTTGAGTGTCTCCAAAAATAAAATAGAAATGTCATTTTCGCGTGGTATTGCGGATATACATTTGCTTACTTCTTTTTTTAAGAGACAATAAAATGAGGCATTGTTTATTATTCAGAAAAAGATAATATTTCCAAAAAAAGTAGTATGCGCAATTTGGTTCTCCATTTCGTTCTTTCTTCAATTGCTTGCTTTTTTATTGTTCACAATTCCGCCTTTTCAATTTATTTAATTTATTACCACATCATGCTCTGCACACATCAACTGAGCATTGCCGGTCTTTTTCTTATTTTTTTTAAAAACAAATGTTTTATAACATTAAACTCAATGTTTATTTTCAAAATTAACTATCACTCTAAGCAGTGGAAATATTACAAATTCTAGGAAAAAATATGTTTCAGCCGGACTGGAAAGGAAAATCACATTTTAAATAAGACCGCAAATCATTTCACATCAAAGCGGTCCAAACGGTCTCTGGCCTTTGCTCGGGGGCAATTATGTGGAAACAGAAGAAAAAATCAACAAGAAACATCCCCCATTCAAAATTTTATTTTTATTTCCCCCCTCCCTCCCCCACTCCCCTATCTCTTTCTCCGGCATTTCAAGCTATTCCGATATCTGCATATTCACACATTTCTAGAATCGCCCAAAAACAAAGTACGCCTCTTATTTTTTTTGGTAGTTTTTTTTGTGATTATTACAAGTGAGGGATATAAGCATCATTCCATATCATTTTGCATATCTCTTTCTCCCATCTTCCACTTCCCCAGGAGCATCATGGTATTGGTTCAGTTCAGATTAAACTCCGCTTGTTTGTAGTTTTTTGATGTGATTATATCGGTCTGTTAGTTTATTTTACAGTGCTGCCATTTGGTTTTATTTTTAATTGGGGGGAGCAGAAAGAAAAGGAAAGGAAAGGAAAAGCAAAAAGAAAGGAAGGAAATAAAACATAAACTAAATTATTTTCTACATAGTAGAACGCGAGATCTGTTACAAGCCCAAGCCACCAAGCCATATTTTTTTATTTGGCTGTGCTCCGAAGCGCATAAAGATATCCCCAGCCAACCCCAAAAGAGTCTTTATCATTTCCCCCCGCCTCTTTTTGGCTTCTTTGTCACGACGTATGAAATGAAAAGACAGAGTCGCTCACAGGTGCCGAAAAATACAGAAAGAGGCAGACTGTGGCATACCACCAGAGAAAGAGAGAGAGAAAGAGGACCGCAATCTGCAACATGCAACAAATGATCGTCGTTGCGGTAAAAACATAAAATAATAAATGCGAACGGTCTGCCGCCCCCCACTTACCCCTCCCCTTTTGTCCACCCCCCCCCAAGCTACTTTTTTTAAAGCGGATCTTTCTATTTTTGTTATTTGTTTGCTTTGCTTTTTTCCTTTTGCCGATTGCGAGGTGTCTGCAATGTTTCTCACTGAAACTCCTCTCTCAGGTTTGGAATAAATAGCAAGCTTCTCCCACCCATTAAGCTGAGTTCGGGTTGCTTCTTTTTTCTGTTCCCACAAAATCAGCCATTTTTTCATTTTCATTTCTCATACATTTGTCTCTGCGTTGACCGCGAGCAACTTTTTTTTCCCTGCGCCCCTCCCCCCTCACACACACATTCACCATTTTCCACACAAATTCTGTTATTTACTCTGTGTGTATATCTCCATCGCTGCTCCTGTTACACACCCATTCTTTTTAACCATATAACCACCGGTGGTTACAAACCTTCTTTCCTCTTTATTGTTTGAACTTCAGTTGAGCTGATATTCTGCATTACAGTTTGTTTGCTTTAAAAAGAATAGCATTTCCAAAGTACTTGTCCCTGTTCCAAACCTTATTATCACATTTTGGGGTTTTTTAGTTTTTAGTTGTTTTTGTAGTTCTGGTAGCTTCAATTGTCTTTTTTAAACTTTAATTATCACATATAGCTCTGCTCACTCCGCTTTTTTTGGTACGGATATAGACAGGTGCTATAGTCATACTAGTATTTGTTCCCATTCTCAACTTCTAGTTTTCTTTTGTATCTTTGCACGCACATTTGATACAGAATTTTCTTTCATTCTTGCATACTTCCCTCCCCCACAATGTCGTTCTCAACGTCTGCCAATTTTATGTTCCTCAATCAGTTTTCGGCAGAAGTAAACGGCGGCCTGGCCCACGGCCACAGCATCAGCCAGGCGCTGCAATTTTCCGCTGCAATGTCCGTCATGTCCAACGATGCCCCCGTCACTAGTGGCGGCAGCCCATACTTTATCGGCAACCCGCTCGTGTCCAACACTGGTAACAGCATGTACTCCCCAAAATCCAGCGTTATGCTCATCGACTCGCAGCACCAGCGCAAGCACTCCACAACCATGGGTAACTCCGTATCCGCGACCCTCGCAGCGGCGTCCCTGGGCGGACCCATAGGCTCTGACCGGAACCGGTCACCAAGCAGCCCGCGGTCAGTCTCCAGCGTCGACAATGCCCAGAGACGCGCCACTCACAATGCCATCGAACGCGCGCGCCGTGAACAGCTCAACGGACAGTTCCAGGACCTGGCGTCCGCTGTCCCTTCGCTCATACACGTGCGGCGGCCAAGCAAGGCTACGATTGTGGAGAAGTCGCTCGATTACATTCGCTCGTTCAAGGAGCATTTGGGCAACCGCGATCAGTACATTAAGAAGCTACAGCTGCGCAACCTGGCGCTGCACGACGAGGTCAACCGCATGCGCAAGCAGCTCGGGCTCGAGCCCATGTCGAATAGCGCTGATGGCAGTATTCTCGATGTGTCGCTGCCCACTGTTGAGGAGATCGCCATGTGCAAGAGGGCCGCGATGGCCAGCAGCCCTTCAAACAAGACGGCCGTGGAGGATGATGATGAGGAGGAGGATACCGATGCGGTGTCGCCTTCGACTTCTACTGCAATGAAATCCCTGATTGCCGAGCATAGACAGCAGCAGCAGCTTATGCTGCGCAAGAGGCGCCAGCAGAGCCTTGACCTCGGCATCGTCTCGGAACACAGCATTGGCCGGCCAGCGCTCCGCGTGTTCACAGGCAACATCACCCAAGGCTCCAACTCGCCCAGCCCCGTCAATAGTGGCAACAACAACTCCTCAGGAAACTCGCCTCTGCACATTTCCCCGCTTTCGGCACCAATCCTAACGACCCGTCCGCCACAGCTTCCCTTGCCCGTGAGCAACGGCGTGCACAACCTTTTCATGAACAATAATGCCCCAATGGGATTGCCAATGATGCTTGAGTCGTCTTCGGCAATGCACATTGACTCCAACAACCAGTCGGCCGCCGCCGCTGCTGCTGCCTTTGTGGCACACTCGAACGCAGCACAACAACAGGCGCTGGCTGTGATGACCTCTGTGGCGCCCTTGACTGCTGAACAATTCAACAGCGTCATGGGCATGAACCCCTCGGGTGTCTCGCCCGATATTTCGTCGATGCAGGTCAATTCGATGGGGTATATGGGCCAGCACCCCGGCGCTGCCATGGATGTTTCCGACATGAACAAGCTTAACGAGATCTTCGCCGCCAATTCGCCGTCGACGGCCGTTGATGGCCTGTCTCTGATGGCTACATGCGATATGTCGGACCCATCCATGCAAGTGACATCTGCCTCGCAGTTTGACGCCAGCGTCTACCTTTGAACTAAAAATTAACCATTACCATTACCACCATTAAATACTTTTTTCATAATATGAATCTTTCTTTCCATTCAACTATTTGCACCTGTACATCAGCATATGATGCCGATTTAAAATTAACTTTATACGTGAAAAAACACAGTTTCCATTAGACATTTCCATTTCTATTTCCATGTCCATTCCCAAACATAGAAACAGTTGCAACACTGAATACATTGTCGGCGTGTTTCTACAACTACAATGAAGAGAGAAATGTAAAGAAAAAACTTTATGCCTGCAAACGTAAAAATATTGAAAGTGGAAAGTGGAAAGTGGAAAGTGGAAAGTGAAAAGTGAATAGTGAATAGTGAATAGTGAGGCCGCTGTGTGGTTTCATTCGCACTCGGAACCACACGACCACCGCTAAAAAATGAATAAGAAGCATTTCACACTTATGCCTCTCTCTCTCTCTCAAAGCTTTCACCAATCCTCCATCGACCTCTCCACACACCGCTGGACCTTCCTTCTGTACGCAGGCTTGTTTTCACGCCACATCTTCGCAGCATCAATATTTGCCGGTGACTCATCGTTCGGGCTGCTCAGCATAGCAATGACGCTGATAAGTATGGTTTCAACAGTCTGTGCGGGGCTCCAGCGCTCCCCCAGATCCTCGTATCCGCTGAGATCAACCTCAGCCCGATGCAAAATCGAAATGCACACACGCCCGTCGTCGTACACGTTGGGATGCCACATTTCAGAGGTAAAGCGCAACGTGGGTGGCTCGAACGGGTAGTTCTTGGGGAACTTCATAACTGCTTTGAAGATCCCGCCTTCGTAGTGCGTGTCCGGTGGCCCGAACAGAGTGACGTTCCACTACAATTAGGAGATACAGGCATGGTTAGTATAAGTATTAATTGAGAGATTTGAAGCGTGTCTGGAATGACAGGGGGGAACGTTGAATTCTGCGTTTTCGCAACCGGCTTTGTTCGCCAAAGAATGTACTGAATTTATAGCGAATGAACTTGCCTCGAATAGATTGTCTTCGTCCACCAGGCCGACTGAGAATGCAGGGTTGGAGGCATTCGAAAGCTCTAAAAGTAAAATGTGCAAACAAGAAATGGTTAAAGGAAAGTTAGTAATACAGTTGCGAAAGCCTAGCCAGTCGGCTAATGCACACATTCGGCAATAGGCTTAATAGAACCACTTTGTCTACCTTTGAGTTCCTTGCGAAGTTTGATAGAGGCCGCCCTTATGCTGGCCGAGTCTTCCATGATTTAAAAACAGATGAGATTAGCGTATGAGAAAATGCGAATTCAATAAAAAACAAAAAAGTGCAAATATGAAAAGGGGTGAGAAGCGAGAAGCTAGAAGCAAAAAATGTCAACCTGGGTATTGTGCTCACGAGTTTAAAGTGCCATGCGAGAACCACATAGTGCTAGCACAAAGGTCTTGTTTGGTAATTCCGATTGATTTGATTGGGCTTTTGCTGAATAATGCTGACTGTGCCACAGCAACTGTTTGCTGTTTTTTTGGGAATGAGGGAGTCTCAGTTTTCCGCAGCAATTTTGTTTCGTGAAACCGCCGCAGCCCTTGTTGGTCACTCAGGCAGGAAACTAAAAAAGTTTGCTTTCAACTTTTCAACTTTCCCCCCTATCAACTGTGTCAAGGAAATAGATAGCTTCCACTATTTCCGTCAAATATTTATTTATTTATATTGCTTATTTATTTTGTACTTTAAAAAAACATGGTGACTACCAGATCTCGCATCTCCAAGACTGCGCCTGCCTCTTCAGCTGCCCCCTCACCAGCATCGCCAGAAACGACGAATAGCACTGCTTCTTCGGCTAGCGGGAGGGGCCGAGGAAAAGGCCGCAGCCGTGGCCGTAGCGCAGCTCGACCAAGTGCCAGGTCAAAGCCACAAGCAACGGAAAAGCCAAAATCAAGCCTAGCACTAGCGTCCAACTCGTCGCCCGAAGAGACCCCCAGCAAGTCCGAGTCCGAGTTTGAGGTGACCGCAGTACCATCGCCCACAAAGTCCAAGACTGCAGAGCCCGAGCCCAAGTATCAGTCGGATGCGTCGATGGACGACCGGAGCGAGAATGAAGTGGACAGTGCATCAGACGCAGAGTCCAATGCGTCTGGCTCTGATGATTCCTCATCCTCGGATGACTTTATGAGCGACAATAGCGAGGATGTCCTTGATATAGCTGCCATCAGACGCAGGAGACGGACCACCCCCTCGAGAGCCCGTGTCCCTGCCCCCACCAGAACCAAGCGCGCGGTCTCGGAGGATAGCGCGGGGGACAAGGCAAAACGGCGCAAGCCGCAGTCAGCCGTCGAGATGATGCCCGTGTTCGCTGACATGCGGCTGCTGATTAGCCTGCAGCCCTTGGCCGACGCCACACCCAAGCGCTACGCGGTCATGCGCGTGTCGGCGCCAAAGCGCAGGGCAAAGCTGAAGCCTGGCGAGAAGCCAAAGAAGGGCCTGCGCGAGAGACTGGAGGGCGACCTGACGGATGACGAGTCGGACAGCACGATGGGCGGCGAGAGCGTAGTGGTCGACCCGCGCAAGCTGCCAATCGATGACGTCGACTACAGCAAGTACTCGGCGCTTTTCAAAAACCACCCGCACCTGAGAACCGCTTGGAGCTCGCAGGGCCCGCCGAAGAAGCCCGAGAAGATTGCACAACCGGATAATCTGAAGATCAAGCTGTTGCCGTTCCAACAGGAGGGCGTCTGGTGGATGTCCCAGCAAGAGTCGTCGATGTTCCATGGCGGCATCCTGGCGGACGAGATGGGGATGGGTAAGACGCTACAGACCATTGCGCTGCTTCTGGTCAATCGCGGCAAGCCCACGATGGTCATTTGCCCGACCGTTGCCCTGCTACAGTGGAAGTCTGAGATTGAGGCAGCCACGGATGCGCTAGCAGTGTTTATCTATTACGGTGACGAGCGCAAGAAGCTTCTCGACAAAAATGGCGCAATCAACCAATCCGAGCTGGCCAAGTACGACGTCGTTCTGACGACCTATGCTGTCATGGAGACAGGGTTTAGGCGCGAACGTACGGGATTTAGACTGAAGGGCCAGCTGTACAAGGAAAAGGCACCGCTGCACTCAATCAAGTGGTTTCGCATCGTCCTCGACGAGGCGCACAACATTAAGGACCGGTCAAGCAACTCGGCGCGCGCGGCGTTTGAGCTCAAGGCGGAGCGCACCTGGTCGCTGACAGGCACGCCGCTGCACAATCGTGTTGGCGAGCTCTACTCGCTGATTCGCCTGACCAAAACAGACCCCTTCAGCATGTACTTTTGCCACATCTGCGACTGCAAGTCCTTGCACTGGAACTTTGCCAACAACAGCAAGCACTGCAGCTCTTGCGGCCACATGTACACAACTCACTTCTGCTACTGGAACATGCACATTCTCAAGCCAATCCAACAGTACAGCGTAAGCAGCGACGAGAGCAAAATGGGCTTTAAGAAGCTTGGCCGCCTGCTGGACAATATCATGCTGCGGCGCACCAAAATCGAGCGCGCCGAGGACATGGGCTTGCCGCCGCGTATCGTCGTGACACGTCGTGACAAGTTCAATCCCGAAGAGGAGGACTTTTATGTGTCGCTGTTTGCCAACTATCAGCGCGAGTTCACGACGTACGCGCAGCATGGCACAGTGCTCAACAATTACGCCAATATCTTTGAGCTCATCACGCGTATGCGTCTGGCTGCCAACCACCCGGATCTGCTGCGCCTAAAGGTTGATCCCAGCGCCAAGGTAGGCGCCGACGCGACTGATACGCTGGTGTGTTCAATCTGCAATGAGGAGGCCGAAGATCCCATTGTGTCGCGCTGCAAGCATGTATTTTGCCGCGTCGATGCCGAGATGTACGTGAATAGTGTCGACGACGATACCGTGCAGTTGCGCTGCCCCATGTGCTATGCGCTCTTTGACATTGACCTGACTCAGCCCGAGATGACACAGGTGCGCCGCAAGGCACGCGGCACCGGTGGCGCTACCGCAGGTGACGGCACCACGTTGATGGAAACCATGATGAGCACGCCGAGCACCATTGAGTACCGCCGGTCCATTGTCAACCGCATCGACATGAAGCGCTGGAAGTCATCGACCAAGATCGAAGCCCTGGTCGAGGAGCTCTCCAAGCACCGACAGGCGAACGCCAACATCAAGAGCATTGTGTTTTCGCAGTTTGTCAATTTCCTTGATCTCATCCAGTGGCGCCTCAACCGCGCTGGTTTTAGCGTATGCCGTCTCGACGGCAGGATGTCACCAAGCCAACGCGCCTCCGTGATTAATACATTCATGACGCACCCCGAGTACACTGTGTTTTTGGTCAGTCTGAAGGCCGGCGGCGTGGCGCTCAATCTCACAGAGGCTAGCAACGTCTACTTGGCCGATTGCTGGTGGAACCCGAGCGTCGAGGTGCAGGCCATGGACCGCATCCACCGGATGGGACAGTATCGCCCGATCAAAGTCACTCGCATTATCATCGAGAACTCGATCGAGTCGCGCATCGTTGCGCTGCAAGTGAAGAAGCAGCTACTGGTCAATTCGACCATTGGCCGCGACAAAAAGTCGCTGGATAATCTTTCCGCCCAGGATATGCAGTTCCTGTTCTCCTCATGATCGTGTTTCATCGTGCTTTTCTTGCTTTGCTTTTCTGTCAATATTATAATTTTTAATTAAAGAATATAAGGAATCCACCAAACGAAAGCCAAAGCTCCCTAAATACATACATCCGCCCATCTATCCACCCGTCCGACTCCCACGACCCGCTAGATCGACAGCTTGGCAGCTTCGACAGTAATCGTGACAATGCCAATAATGATCTCGACACCTATCATGCTCCTCCCATTTTATCCAAAAAAAGCAATGAAACCCCAGCGCAACAACAAAAACCACACACATTCACACCAACGCCGCGGCAAGGAAGTTCCATATATAGGGATTATATAAAAATGTAGAAAATAATATTAAAAATGTGGGTTCTTTAATCCAAGTGTCACTCTGCGTAGTATCTGTAGTCTCAATCAGTAAGAGCAAACACGAGGCATTCAAACAGCATTACAAAAATGTCGACGACTATCTTCGGGCAAAAAAAGATGAAAAAATAAGTGTGACAGTGAAAGTGAGAGCGGGCGTGGTTGCAAACATGATATAAATGGGAAGAAGCAGGGGAAGAAAAGGAGACAAAAGTACACAAATTATTGTTTTTGTTTTTGTTTAGACTAGGGCGTATTAAAAAACAAATAATGACATGTGTATCCAACTCTGAAATAAAAAACGCTCACTGCACACAAACACACACACATATTCAATACAACATTTTGAAAACATGATACTTACCGATAAGGATAATAACAATCCACTCGAGGAACTCGCCGTGCATCCCGTTGAGATGACCGTTGAGCATGTCCAATAGATCGCTGATGACGCTGACTCTGTGGTTCATTATCTCGACTCGCTGGGGAATTTCGAGGTACTCGCGGATGGCCATGTATAGTGGCTGCAGTGTGGGCTCCGACCAGAAGATCTCGGGCGTGTCCAAAATGTTGCTGACCAAGTTGACGTTGACGCGCATGATGAAGAGCTGACCAATCTTCTTGATCAGACCCTTCCGCGTCATCTCGACTGTTCCCGACTCGGCCATGCGCTGCGGGATATGCCGAGTAGCCTCGATAGTCTCGTCGACTAGGCTCTCATACAAGGAGAGCTTTGTTGCCTGGGCAATTGCATGCGAAATTGCCAGCTTGGCCATGTGCCCCTTAGTTGTACGCAACGAGATGACATCGTTGTACACGCGCGACTGCGCCTTCGAGTTGATGTAAAATTCGAGCTCCTCGGTCTCAATGCCGTCGACCTCAATCTTCTCCACCTCAAACGGCTCAAGCTCTCGCAAGAATTCCCTTTCCTGTCTCTCGTCCATCCCCCAGATGACTACGACGCCGTAGTCAAAGATGAACAGCTCGCTCTTGATCTGAATATACGACTCCTGGAACGCCGCGCCCTGCGGCTGGTCGTCAATAAGACTGTCCTCCATGTTGATAGCAATGGCTTCCGACGGCCCATATACAAACGGCGAGTAAATGCACTCGTCAAGCAGCTTGGGCGCAGTCTCGTTCTCCGCCTTGCGCGACTGAATGTGCCTGAAAAGCTGCGTCATCGTATATGAGGATGCTGTCGCATAGGCCGTTACTCGGGCCAGGCTTCCCGGCGGCAAGTTCTTCAGCCGGTTGATTTCGCTTCTCAAGTCCTGCGCACCGCGCATGTGCTCGATTTGGTCGTACACTCCAGTTAGCCCGAGGTATTCATCGACATCGGTGTTGGTGCCTTCCTCGTCATCCTCAGGCAAAATTTTGAGCTTTTGTGATGTCTTGGTTGTGCGGAAAGCAGGCTTTGTGGGTCGGTGTGGTGAGCGCCCGAGCACCTCCCCGGTTCTGTGCATTCCGCTTGGCGGAACGACGATTTCTCGCCTCATTCGCGGAGGGTACGAGCCCTCGTGGGGAGACTCGTTGCTCACAACACGCAATGGTTTGGGTTTGCGATTGATGGGTATTGAAGACTGCATCGATAGTTAATAGGTTGGAAAATTATGTTACAAACAAACAAGTAATGAAAAAGGGAAGAAAAAATTTTTTGCCGCGCCCCAAGACTTTTCAGCAGTGATCGCTCCCTTTTGCTCACAGAAAAAATTATTAACAAAAGTCGAAATAAATAAACGCATGGCGCAAAATGCAAAATTATGACAATAGTATAAAAAGCGGCAAATCAAGGGTTGGGGTTAGAAATCAAAAGCAGCAAAAAAGTGTACGATCGCGCCAGGGCTCGAACCTGGAATCTCTTGATCCGTAGTCAAGCGCCTTATCCATTGGGCCACGCAACCTTTACAAGCAATCAATTAAGCTGCTAACTAACTTGTTGATGACAAAGTCTAATTACAGAACTGGCTCTTGACAAAATAATATTTTTCGTTGTAAAACCCCAAAAAAACATTTGATTGGCCGCTTCTCATTGGCCTTATTTCCATGGCCGAGACAACAGCGGCCCGTTGTAGCAAGATAAAAACCTATGCTTTCAAGAAGATATATATTCAACTATAAAAATGTACTGTTGATTTGGTTGTTTATACTATAGTTGAACCGTAAAAAATAAATAGATATTTGGTTGGCAATCAGTTTGAAGAAATAACCAATAACCAACTCATTCATTCATTCAATTGCAACTGGGATGGGCCTCCTTGGTCGACGCCGTTTTGAACAACTGTGTTTCATTGGCACGACGTGCCACCAATGCAGAAAACACCTTGCCGTTGGCTTTATTCCATTTACCTAGCTCCTGCTCAGCAACCAGGTTGGGATCCTCTTTGTTATTAAGGCGCTTGATCAGCGTTGATGATTGCATATTGCTGCACCCGATATTGAACGTCCAGGAGATCAATGCACCCCACTGGTTCTCGTTGAGCTTTACAGAGCTATTAACAGCTGACCCAAGGCAGGAGGCTTTGGGCTTGATGTCGCTGACAAGGAGATCCTGGGCTTGTGCTTGGGTGAGGGGTCCACTGCTGGGCAACTCGGCACAGTTTGGTTTCTGACAAAGATGACCATAACCAACTGTTGGCAGACCAATGGGGTCAGGGCCAACCAAAGAGGCAAAACCCTCAGCATTCTTGATGAGGTTTAATGTTGCTTGGTTGACCGATGAGCAACCGGCGGAGCACATTTGTACCACAGAGAGGCAGAAAATAGCAATGATGCAGAGTTTCATTGATTCGACTGAAATTAAAGGTGGTAGATAAATAGTTTATAAAGAAAAGAAAAGCAATATGTTTGGATATAAAAATACCCAGTATATGCTTTATAAATGTTGCTTATATTGAATAGAAAAGTTTTCTGAACATTTGTCCATGAACTGAGCAAAAACCTATACATTATAATTTTTTTGAATTATTATTGTCTCAAAAATTGATTAAAAGGGGTGTGATTTCAGCCACATATTTTCTCTTCAGTATTAGTGACACATTCAGTGCGCAAAAAGCATACGTTTGGGTTTTCTTTGTTGCGCAGGTGTTATTTTGTTTTTAAAAATTAATAAAACAGTAGAATATTCCACTGCTTGCACATTGTATATAAATAATACACACCGCCATTAAAACGTTTTAATGGCGGTGCAAACAATGATGGCATCAACACATAATGTATAATTAAAATATTTAATATTGTTGGATAACCTTTGTGTGTTAAAGTCAACCAAAACGGGATAGTGGCTTTTTATTCATCACTTGCTTCTGATGAGAATGTCAATGCTCGGCTTTTGTTTTGGCTTTTGCTATTTAAATGACAAAACTTGCATAATTATAAAATCAATATCAAAATACTTTACTTGTATTACGACCAAGCAACTGAGTACCCATCAACTAAACGTTTACTTGGCTTTAATCACTGTCAACTAATTTGACAAGCACACGCTCAATGTATTTTTGACATAACCGTTGTTTCACAAATCGGCCGAGCTTACGTGCTGAGACTCACCACAGTTGGCTGGCCGTTTCGTAGTTTAAAAAATGCTTCAAGACTCAGGAAATGCAAAGCGACAAAGCATCATTTTTTGATCTATAATACACAGCACAAAAGCATACACTGAAGCGGCAGTGACCGTGCTAGCAAGCGCAAAGTCGACAAATAAGGAAATAAAATAAATGTTGGGGGTAGAAAAAACAGATCAACCTTGAACTCATAAAGCCAATTAACAAAAAAGGGGCAAAAATAAGCTCTCTGACCGGGAATTGAACCCGGGTCGCCAATGTGACAGACTGGCGTACTCGCCACTATACTATCAGAGATTGCTTAAACTGATTTTTTGAAGCTAATCAGTTACTGTTGATAGGCACTAATTAAAATAGTATAAATCCTATATAATAGTTGAAGGCAATAATTTATTTGTGGTTTATTGAACATAGTTTTGGAGTTGCCACTCAGAAATATCAATTGAGCTGCTGATGGCAGAGCATAATACCAGGCTTAGAGACTAAAAATATATATTAAGTACAGAAACTATTGAAAGGCAGATTATGCCCTCTGAAATATATATAAGCAGTGAGCAACAAGTATTATTTTAACGCGTATATTATAGGTGTTTATTTAATAAAAACAAATTAAAGTACATAGTAAAATAGCAGGTACAAGCAACAACAAATAAGAAGAGTAAATAAATAAAATCTAGAAATAGGTTTAAGTTAGTTTAAGAGATGGCAGCGGTGACAGCAGTACTGTAAAATATATGTATATAAATTGTCAATATGCTGCATACTGTTTAAAAATATTATGAGGAACTTTGAGTATATAAAAAATGAAATTTTGCATATTCCCGTGTTATGTAAGAAGGGGGTGAGGAGCACTATTGTGATAGTGTTAAAGAATGGGTGCGAAATTATAAAGGTTTTTATTAGTGTTTCTAAAGTGCTATTATCGCCGGCCTCGCCTTATATATATCTCCTTGTCTTTGTGGCACTCACTGGCAGTCGTGTGCTCCGTTCGCGAGAACTGGTCCTTATGAAAGCAACCCGGGTCTTTGATATAGCATGATTGGCATGTCTGTATTCTTGCGTCCAGTACATCCATTTTGGGACAGACAGTATGTCCGGATGTCAGTTGTGGCGCCTAATTTGACACCCTGTAATTTGGCCCATATCAGATCCATCTGTGAGCTGACGAGAATCTGTCTCATGATTTTCGCCCTCAGCGTCTACCTCCATATCCTTGGGCTGTGTAACAAGCACAACACCTATAAAATAATAGAGTATATGGAAAGGCGTGGACTGCATTATAAAAAGCATTCACAAATAAATAAAAAAACAAAAAAAAACCTAATGATCCTTTTAAAATTTGTCCAAGCGGGTTGTAGAGAGAAAGTGTAGAGAAAACGTTTCCAAACAAATACATTTGGTTTGAAAAGCAACCGCATATATATATTTAATAAACTTGACTGGAAGGCAAATTGGTTTTTTGTTTTATCCTCAGCTTTTATTTTAAACACCTCATTTTATTTTACTTATACTTCACTATAATTGCTTTTTGTTATTCCAATGGGCTTGGCTAAAAAGTTTGTTAAAAGCATACCCAGTATATCCTCCGCCAAGACAAATTTATACCGGGTGCTCCAACCCAACCCACCCCCGTATAAGGCGCTGAAAACTAAAATTATTGTTTTCTATAATGTTACGAAAAATAATACAAATAAAGTCATAGTACCCATTAATCAAGGTATGACCTTTGAGAAAGTCACCAATAGAGTATGGGAAACGCTGAAGGAATATAGAAAGCGTGTTTACAAAGAACTGACTGTTAATATGAGTAATGGTGTGACATCAATTATTGCGATGTCACGTGACAATTGCAATTGGGAATTTGCGATTGTTTGAAATTGTGATTGTTTACGATCGCGATTTCTATTTTCACTGTCGATAGTTTCGAATAGATAAGCGGAGCTCTTGAAGCTCCATTATAGTGGATTTTAAATAAAATATAGTTAGTACGAATAATTTTTATTACAGTTTGTGTTGCTAAATAGCCAAGACTGGTTAGTCAGTTGATCGCCATCAACCAATACTCTTACACAACACAATGTCTCTGCTGCAGTTTTTCTGATGTAACTTTCAAATAAAAACAATTGGGCACATAATGTTGTTGCGCCGACTGAAGATATGGAAGTGGATGTTGAGGTCGAGAATCGCGAAACAGGTTTCCACCTGCGCGCTGATCGATAGGACGCTAATTGGATAACGCAGGCGTAAATTAGGGAGGCATTACATTGATGCCCAAACATGCTCCCCATTTTGCAATGCACACGCATGAGCGTACACGCACAAAAACCACAACATTGACTTGGCAAGATACTGGTCTACTCGCAGAAGATCCAGTTCTCACCAACGGAGCGCACAATGGACAATGTGCACGACAAAGGCGACTGGGAACATATATAAGATGAGGCTGGCCCCTAGTAGTACTTTAGAAACATCAGTAATAAACCCTTTTATAAAATTACCCCTAACTTTTAACACTAGACAACTAGTGCTCCACACACCCCCCTCTTACTATAACAATGTCAAATAAATAAATACAAAGTAATGCTACAAAGCAAATATTTTTAAGTAAATATTTTGGCATTCCAATAAACTTGTCTTTTGGTTGTTCAGGCAGTAAACACAGGCTAATACTCCAATAAAAAATGTACATGGCAGGGTTTGACAAAAAATTAATATAAAACACAAATAGTAAAGGTGTAGCAACTTGTGCATTTTAAAAATATACTTCTAATTTAAAAGACAAAAAATAAATAAAATTATTTTTAAAAATTTATATGGGAGTAGAATAAATGAACGCACAAATCCCTTTGTACAGATAATTTAAATACAAAAATGGAGATAAAACGAGTATTTGTCTGTAGAAAAAACTGTATTTTATATACCTATAAATAAACACTTTTGAGAGCAGTTTAACATCAACATTAACTTTTTATTTTTATTTTCAATTATAACAATGAGCTCGTCCAACATATCTTCTATACAAAACAAGTCCAATGCCACTGTCACATACACATGTCAGCGTAACAAACCTGATACATTTTATCCAGAAATCTGCAGCTCTACTACGTTTAAAAATGTAAAAGAGCAGCTGTTTAAGGTTTTGAAAGATAAAAAATACCCACACCAGGCGCAAAACCTGGCGATAATCAACCAATGGAACTAATTGTAGAGGGGGGAAATAACTCTGCTTTTATTTATAGTTATAACTATTTGTTAAAAGTCGAGCAATTTATGAAAATGTATAAATTGAGTACATTAAAATTGGCGCTTCAAAAAAAACAACGACGGCAGTGGAAATGATTGCTACCTTTTTAATACAGTGGAATATAGCACAAAATACAAGTCTGGGACATCAAGTTTACAGAAATCATGGTTAAATTCAAATGCCACATTGTCAAGGCCTATTGCTCAGTTAGCGGAGGCTGCACCACAGAAACTCCACAACTCAGTAAGGGGCGTTAAACAAATAATCATGGGTGCAGTGAAAAAAGTGCCAAGTATTTTGCCTCGAAAATATTCTCAACGGACAACCAATGTTTCTTCATCATCGCAAAAAAGTTAGTTTCTCTACAGCCTGTGACAAACAATACCCCCTTTAAGAAGCGCCACGTAACCAAGAACTAGTGAACCGCAAAATAACAGCAGGGTTGTCATGGAGAAAGTTAAGGGGTAAACCAACTATGAGAATTTCTCTTGACAGCTCAATTTTCTCTTCTCTTAACTAAGAATGTGGAAGTATATAGCCTACCACCTGTTTATCAGCATCCCACCTACTTATGAAGCATCCCGAAATGGTAGGCACACCAGTGTATCTAACAGATTAGTAAAATACTAATCAACGTTGCGTGAAAGGAAAATCTAGATAACAATATTAGCTTTGAGTTTGCATCAGCAAGGTATAACATGACAAGCAGGCATTATTTTGCTTTATTCTCTGAAGGTACATTATTTTTATTTCGTTACACTGGTTACATTTTTTACATTCAAATTAGAATAATAAAATATATACAAAACAGAATCGACATTGTTATTATATTAGGACAGATTTAAACAAACGCCAACATTTTTCATTTACTGGTGCCTAATTTCCCATCAATCAAACAATCAGATTACTAGATTCCATACGCAAATAAATATAAGCAAATCAGAAGAGCTTGCGTGGCGCAACTGGTTAGCGCGTCTGACTGTTAATCAGGAGGCTGTTAGTTCGAGTCTAACCGTGAGCGATTACAAATTATTTTTTGCAGTTTTTTTGTTTTCTTACAGGCTTCAAATAACACGCGCATTTGCCATGCAGGAGAGCAAAATAAAAAGGTGTAAGGTGACTTTTACCATTTACACTGAAAAAAGAATGAGTACAAATATCTAAACAAAAATTCAAATAACCTGCAAATCGACATATTATATCCCACATACAGATTGCAAAGAAGGCTTGTGGTTGGATTTTGGTCTGGACAAAGCGTCAGGCATCGCTGTAGACTCTGGGGTTCAGCCGTACTCGAATGGTGCCTTTTTGCGCAACAAAAAAACAGGGAGGCCGCTCGCCTGTAAGCAAGGAAGGGCATTAATGATGATGATGATGCGAAATTACAGCACCGCAGCCATGTCACATAGTTTTTCACTTCCGTTTGCCTGATGTCAATTTTATATTTTATTTTCGCCAACCTTAATCTGCTGCTAAAAATGCTTATTCATGGTTCACGTGCGTGCTGCGTTTTCTCTACCTTTTAACAAAATGTAAAGGTAAAAGGGTAAGTGCGTAAACACTGTAACAAATCCCCAGGCTGTGGAATTATTTTCAAGACCGCGTTTTTCTTCTTCAATTTTACTTTTTTTCCTTCAATTTTTGCTCTTGCTTAAAAAGAATTATTCACAATCCGCGCGAAATCCAACAAATTAACGCAAATGGAAAGACTTGTGCGGGACTGGGAGGAGCTCAAACGGCTCTCACTAATGTCGGCGCACCAACTACACCAGCTACCCCTTTCCACACCAGGCCCTCTTCCCCTGCGGTCACTCCGATGGCGGCTGCACCTGGACCTCCTACCAGCCGAGAGCTTTGGAGGCGACGAATCCGAAACTTCGCGTATCTGGATAGCGGCATCCAGAAAGGAGCGGCTAAACTACGAAAACCTCCGCAACCAGTTCCTCATCGACCCATCAACACTACAGGACACTTCGCATCCGCTATCGTTGGAGGAGGATAGTCCATGGGCGCGGTACCATGCGGACCAGGATTTGCGCACCACGATCATGCTGGACGTATCAAGGACATTTCCTGAAGACAAGTATTTTCGGCAGACGCGTGTGCAGCGGTGTCTGGGGGATGTGCTGTTTGTTTATGCCAAGATGCATGCCGCCATGGGGTATCGCCAGGGCATGCACGAGTTGCTGGCTCCTTTGCTTCTGGCTGTTGACGTCGACGCCGTCGACGCAGTTGGGGGAAACACGTTCTTTCTGGCCGAAGTTCTGGACAGGAGGTTTGTCGAGCACGATGCGTTTGCGCTGTTTGACCGGCTAATGCGGCTATGCGCCCCATGGTATGCGGCAGCAGGGCCCTCGGCGCTGGTGTCGCGGTGCCGCCAGATGTTCGATAGGCTCAGCGCGGTCGATTCGCAGCTGGCGGAGCATATTGGTGCGCTGGATATTGAGCCGCAGCTCTTTGGGCTGAGGTGGTTCAGGCTGCTGTATGGGCGGGAGATTGCCGGGCTCCATTCGCTGCTGCTCCTGTGGGATGCGCTGCTGGCGGATGCCCAGGGGCCGTTGCAGCTGGTCGACTGGGTCGGCATAGTCATGCTGCTGGCGAACCGCCGCGAGCTCATAGCGTCAGACTACGCGGACTGCCTGGCTACGCTGCTGCATCTTCCGCCGCTGCCCAGGCCCGTGCCCGAGACGCTCGAGCGCACGCCGATGCTGCCCAATGCGCCGCTGGCGGCGGGATTCCGGAAAGAAATGGGCAGGGGCGCGCAGAGGTTGCCTCTTGCGGCGCTGGCGATGCCCGATATGGCGCCTGTGCAGCGACTGGCGCTACAGGCAGCGTACCTGCGCAGCCGCCCGGTCGCCGAGTCTGCGCAGGCGGTTGCTGCGCAGTATGCGCTGTGGGAGTCCGAGAGCTGGGCCGTGGTTGAGGGCGGCCACGAGGCGGCCGAGCCCGTTGTGGCGGTCATTGACAGCGAGCTGCCGCAGCCGCAGCCGCAGCCATCCACTTCGCCGCAGCCCAAGCCCAAAAGCCCGGCTTCCGGATCCCGCTCGGCGCGGAAGACCTACACCATCGGCACGCTCCAGCAGAGGCGCACCGCTGGCGGCAGCGGCGCGTCCACAGCGTACTCTCCGCCGGCAGCGGCTCCCAGCTTCGTTCTGTCGCCCGCCGAGGGGCTGCGCAGCCCCAACGAGGTTATGTGCAGCCTGGGCTCGCTCACTGCGCAGATCGCTTGCTTGGCAGCGCAGTGCGCCGACCTTTTGGCGCTGAGGCATGATGGGCGCGCAGTGAGGGGCGTGGCGGCTGGGCTGCTCACTTTGTCGAGGGTTTGGCAGGACGAGATTGCGAGATCGCCGGGGGCGCTGGATGTCAGGCCGCAGGCGCTTTCGGACGCGGACTTGCGCGTGGTTCTGCGCGACCTTGACTCGTTGCACGCCGAGCTGACACAGCGGATGTAGCGCGTGGGGCCGAGGCGCTGCCTGCCCTTTTCGTTTGAGCCACGTGCTCTGGGTTGATCCGATTTCCGGAACAAAAAGAACGAGCCTGTCATGTGGTTGTGGAGACTAGCGGGGGGTTTTCCTCCTTCCGTCCGATGAGTGCTGCTGCCTTTTTTCTTCTTCGTTCTCAGACTGGTGGCTTGTTATGGCTGCTAGCATTTGTTCTTCCGCTTTGCTCCTCACTCTTCTCGTCTTTTGCTTTCCATTATTATTTCGTTATTATCGGTCAAAGCATTTCTTGTACACTATTATTCCAAATACGCCCTTGCACTTCTCACACCACATATTTCTTTCTTTCTTTCTTTCTTTCTTTCTTTCGCTTCTATTATTCTTAACTCTTAGTCCAGCTGTTTCTCGCCCTCCGAAAAAGAAGAGAAAAAATGAACCTGCCCTCCGAGCCAAGCTGCTCAGACTCTGAGCGTCGCCTTCCCATCAACGCGCACCGGGGAGGCACACCCGCCCAGCTGTCGCACAGCCCGGCAGCGCCGCAAGGCATCAGCATCCGGCGCAACTCAGCGTCCATCGCGCGGGCCACCAACCGGCTATCGGCTGCGCCGTCGCTCCCGCCGTCGCTCCCGCGCAGCATCCACATGGACGAGCCCGAGAGGCTTGCCAAGGGCGAGGCCGCGCGGCGGCTTAAGCGTCACCTGGTGACGCGCGTGGCGGATGAGGACGGGTACAGCGGCGACACCAACGACGACACCAACGACGACCATGAGGACGCCCGGGCGGTGCCCGTGGACCCGCTGACTCTGCCGTCGGGCGACGTCACGTATGGCATTTACCGGTGGCACCGCGCAGAGGACGCAATGGTGCAGCGGAGGGGGTCGTTTTCGGGCGCCGCGTCGGACACCGAGTGGGACGTGCCGTACTCGCAGCGCCAGATGAACGTGCCGGGCGCTTTCCGCAGGCAGTTCGTGCATGCCAGGGCTGAGCGGCAGGGCAGGCTGGCTGGCGGCATGACGGAGAACTTTGTCGACTTTATTGGGCTCTACGGCCATTTCGCCGGCGAGGACTACCCCAGCGACGAGGACGACGACGTTGACGAGCATGCGAGTGAGCGCGCGCCGCTGCTGGAGCGTGTGCCGCAGAAAATGCCGTCGACGGCGTCGAACAACAAGGCCTTCTTTTTGCTGCTCAAGGCGTTTGTCGGCACAGGCGTCCTGGTTCTGCCCAAGGCCTTTTCGAACGGCGGGCTCCTGGCATCCTGCTTGATGATGGTCTTTGTTGCCTGGTACGCCTGGCACTGCATGCTTGTCCTGGCCGAGGTTTATCAGCGTGTCGGGGGCAGCTACAGCGAGCTCGGGCTTAAGCTCTTTGGACCCTGGGCCAGCCGTACAATCACTGTGTCGATTCTGCTGGCGCAGCTGGGCTTTTGCTCCGCCTACACTATTTTCGTAGCAACGAATGCCCGGGACCTGTGGAACTCGATCACGCAGTGCCGGTATAATTTCTCCCCCACCTTCTGGGTTGTCCTGCAGCTGCTGGCGTATATTCCACTGGCGTGGGTCCGCAAGATTAAGCAGTTTGCACCGTTCGCTTTGGCCGCCAACGTGTTCATTATGGCTGGGCTGGGCTACGTTCTGACCTTTGATGTCGCTCATATAGCCTCGCATGGTGTGGCCGAAATTGTGCAGTATAACCCCTTGAGGTTCCCACTTTTGATTGGTACAGCTGTTTTCGCCTTTGAGGGCGTCACTTTGGTGATTCCTGTCATTGATAGTATGACGCACAAGGACCGGTTCCCGGCGGTTTTGTCCACCTCCCTGGGCGTCTGCATTGTTGTTTTCATCGCTATCGGGTCGCTATCGTACTTGGCGCTGGGTGATACCGTGGAGACCGTCATTTTGCTTAATCTGCCAAAAGCCGCGCCCACCTACCTGGTGCAGCTGTTCTACACCTTGGCTATCATGTTCTCTGTTCCCCTTCAGCTCTTTCCCGCGGTCCGTATTCTCGAGTCTGCGGTTTTCCCGAGGTCCGGAAAGGGCAATCCAATGGTCAAGTGGCAAAAGAACGGCGTCCGCGCGTTGGTCGTTTGTTTGATCGCTTGTATTGCTATTTTCGGCGCTGACCAGTTGGACAACTTTATCGCTATCATCGGTGCCCTTGCCTGCACGCCTTTGAGCTTTATATTCCCGGCCGCTTTGCATTACCGTATAAGCCAAGGCCATCCCTGGACGAGGTTTAAGGACCTTTTTTTGGGGTTGCTGGGATGCATAATAATGGTCTACGTCACGTATATTGGAATAATGAGCTGGGGAGTAGCAGCTCCAACTGTGGATAGATGCCCAGCATCACCCTTACTGTAATTCTTTTTATTTATTTTGTTGCAAGCTATTATGAAACATCATGTTATATTTAGTGGTTTTGTTGAAGTCTCTTTACAATAAACATGCTAGTATCTATAAACCTTCCAACGCAGTTTTGCAGACAGGTGGATTCCTTGGAATCGATCTGGTTTGTCTTGGTGCTTGTAATGCAGGTATCCCAGCAACGGTTTGTGAACTCATGGATTGTGCTCTGCATTTGAGCTTTGGCTGATTCTTGGTCCACGAAAGCCTGCATTTCGCGCTGGGTCGCTTCGTCGTAACCGTTGGACATGACTTAATTTTAAAAGAGATTTGTAAATTTACTAATTTATAAAATAGGAAGAAAAAAAGAAGATAAACGTAAAAAAAAATAAAAAATAAAAAACAATAGAAAGAGAAAGTGATATGGGGGGGATAAAATTCGCGCTCACATTTATTTTGATGATGATTGCCGTGAGCATTCAGTAATTTAATCTAAATTGATTGATTAACTCCACGTTTCTTTTATTTTACTTGTTACCTGACTAAACACTAAACACAGAGAATACACGTGGGCAAAGTAGCTTGTGATTTTTAGTCAGACGCTTTTGGACGAAATAAAAGAAATATTCTTAAGCTGACTTGTTTTTACAATTATTGGTTTTCTTTTAATTAAACAAATAATAAATGTAATAGTACAAAAAAAGGGGGGGGGGGAGAAGTATTTACTGCATGTGGTACGCTTTCAAATAATAATTAGGGAATTTGTGCTGTATTATTTCTAGAGTCAACCCAGTTTTGTCAAGAAAACAATAGCAGGCATGAACAGCCCCCACCCCTGCTGTTTTCAAAAAAAGATAAAATTGCTGCACAATTTATTTTATATAAAAATGCAGTATTCCACGCCCTGCTTACTTTTTTTATAAATATTTTTATTCAACAAGTTTTACCATCGTTTTCATCACTCTTAACATCATTGCAATATACAATTTTAATCAATGTCTTATATTTCATTCCGCCTTACCTCAAAATATAATGTTAGTATGGTCGCCATAGTTAAGGTTTTTGTTCATCCATGGGATCATGTAAAAGACGTTCTAGACACATTTGCAAAGTCGACTGAAGATGATAAAAAAAACCTTATAATGCTTGTAACATATGGACAGGTTGGAAAAAGAGAAATAATACATTTAACAAATGATCTCAAGTACGCAGAATTAAGCCAAAAATATAATAGTACAGATTACAAAGACCCTGTATTTTCTATTATTAGTAGATAAATTAAGCTAAATTCAACCTTTAACAGATTACACAGGCCCAGGTACATGGGCATGAGCACGTATACCAGGAGCTCCCGTCACATGGTTTTAACAAGTGTTTTTTGTTTAATTAATAAATAAACCACTAGCAAAACAAAACTTTCAGCATATACAAATATAATTATAATTATGTGTTTATTTTTATGTTGGATTAAATTAATTGCATGCTCGCTTTTTTAGCCCAAATAATTTTTATTCAAGCCATGTAGGTGTTTATATTTTGCCTGCCCAGTGTCTACAAAATTGCATTAAAATGTACATACAACCAGCTGGCTCTTTTTGTTGGTTGAAATTGAAAATAAGTAGAAGCTAGTAAGTATTCCTTCTTTTGTTTAATATTGTTATGCAGCCCGAGGATATAAAGGTAGACTCTGAGGGCAAAAGTCATGAGACAGATTCTCGCCAGCTCACAGATGGATCTGATATGGGCCAAATCACACGGGATCAAATACTGTAAATAATTGGCCGCTTGATAGTGTATACATTTTATACATATTATAAAATATAATAGCAGTAATATTGCGACTAGAGCGCATTGGTTTATATATAAAGGATGTGCTTAAGCCGCATTTTTATTATTATCATTATTTTCATCACTCATAATATATATATTTTTAAAAATTACTATCCTTGTTGTAACAATGTTCACCTTCAAATTCAGATACCATGTATGACTAGACATTAAAAACTACGCTGTTATAGATGTCCCCGTTGATTCATTAAATATTATCAAAAAAGTGATTGCAAAATTTGCAAAAAAATGGATGAACAAGTTTCTAATTTCTCTATGATTTCGGTTCACGGACCAGCTAAAGACAGACAAATTATTTATATATTATACAAAGCAAACTTTTTCGCTGCATGCAATGAATATAGGAATGAAAAATGTGTAAACCAATTTTTTGTTATAGTTCATGTTTAATTGTGGTTTAAGCTGTTATATAAGAGGGGGTGTAAGGAACACTATGGTAGTATTGTTAAAGATGTGCGGGTATGGATTTATAAAATGTTTTATTACTAATGCTTCTAAAGTACTACTAGCGCCGGCCTCGTCTTATATATGTTTATATATGTGCCTTGTCACCTTTGTTGTGCACATTGCCAATTGTGCACTCCGTTGGCGAGAACTGGTTCTTCTGTGAGCAGACCGGTACCTTGACAAGTCAGTGTTGTGGTTTTTGTGTGTGTATGTGCACTCACACGTGTGCATTGCAAAATGGGGAGCATGTTTGGGCATCAATGTGATGCCTCCCTAATTTAAACCTGCATAATCCAATTAATACCCTATCAACCGGCATGCAGATGGAAACCTGTTTCGCGACCTTCAGCCTCAGCATTCACTTCCATATCTTCAGTCTGTGCAACAAAGCAATAAATTGGAAAAACACATTCAGCCTTTTCTATAAGCATATATTGTGGATACCATGCTGTAGTAATCGTCAGAATAGATGAGTAATAAATATTTTTAAAAACAAAAACTGAGGAAACCCCTATTGAGACTTCCCTGCTGCCATTCTATAAGCAGCTAGCTATAAAATTTTGGCCGCTGCAGCATTAATATCTGCTTGGCATTGACTTAGCTTGCAAGCTCTCGGTTCAGCTGGGCTTATGTAGTGAGGACCACCAAACATGCGTTGCTTGGCCAATTTTATTGATTAAACGTAGCTGATATCGTTGAAAGTTAAATGATGTTTCTTTGGGACTATTTTGTACACTTTTTATTGGAAATACAGTTATCATAATATAAAGATAATATATACATGCGGAATAATTAGTTTGTTATAGGATATTGAAAAGTCAGTTGTTTTCATTTTAATGTGAGTTGTTGCAGCATTTTGTCTTATTTAAGCGCCCAATGAAATTGTGAAACTGTAAAAGTATCTACAACACTGGATCAACATTTTTTTATCGATAAATATCGATGCGCTTTTGGTAAGACATGGGGTCCAAACTTGATATAGACTGGCTTGTGAAACAAAAAATCAAACCCAAGGCTGCATTTTTCATCATCAAATTTCCGATTATTGCCATTTATGAAAGCCTTTTCCCACATATCCACGCTGTAAATTATTTATCATTTTAATATTTTAATATTTTTATCAACATAATGGTATAAGAATATTATATTGACATACAGGCAAACACAATAAAAATGTTGGAATATTGGAGCATTAGCTCAGTATATTGAATTCAAAGTTGCACGCTTTGGTAGAGAGTCTGAATAGTTTGGGGCACCTCGCGGCAACAAATACTATAAGAACATATACAGCACTGCAACCAAAAAAGCTGCAACACTAAATACATCCATGAATTGTTTGTCCCTATAAGCTCTTATCCATCTGTCAGTTATAACAGGACAACATATATCATAATGTGCTCGCAGATGATATGCATTTGTTTTTTAAAACTAGCACCACCAAATGTCCAGCTTTTTTATTACCGCTTGGTCTGCGTGTTTGGATACAAAACAGTTGATAGCGGTTACCCGCTGAGGGGAGTGTCAACATATTTTTGACACCATATATATCTCATCAGTCACCAAGCTTTGGAATAATCAATTCTCAGGCGACCGGCTTTATCTGATATAATGCTTCAGCCAGAGATGCCATGATAGAAAGGTTTCCATCAGTGAAACAGACGTCGTGTGATTATTCAATGATGTTTTTTTACGATATCCCTGCAAGTATACGTCGTTCAGACATGAGTACAGTGTATGTTTGAAATTATGCATTTTTGTCTGCCTACCTGTATCTTTTATTATTTTTTAATGTTAACTAATTTATAATACGTATTGTGTTAATATTACTTAGGAGTCTCAGGATGAATAAACCCGACGCAAAAATATGGCAGTCAGAATTGGATATTGGGAAGCATGGAAATTCAGATAACCTCATTAAGTCTAATTATTATTCGGAAGATGATATCATTGGTATTGTTCATCAAGGTGTAAACCGTCTTAAGCTCATTAAAAGGGGGCTGTATGAAACCACCCCTGTTGCAAATAACAACGCAAATGGCAAGGGCAACGTCATTGGAAATGACAATAATATAATTAATCCCGAGACTAATAGAAACATTAGACACAATGTACCTGGAAATTTATCGGACAGCAGCATAAACAATGGTGCAAACAAGGACAAATACTCACATTAGAACCACTGGCTGTCTTGTTTTTTTTTAAAAAAAAGTTTGTGTTGTTTATAAGCATTTGAATAATCATTTAAAAATACAAAATATATTAAGAACCATATAAAATTGTCCCGCCACAGTGTCATTTAAAAGCAAAAGCAAAAACCACACCCTCTGATGCACGGCTTTGCTTTTTTTTTGGCGCAGTGGCTTAGTGCAAATCTTATTATAATAACCCAATAAACAAAAACTACATAACGAGTTGTTTACAATAATTTCCTTGCATCGGGTGGCGGCGCTGGTGGTATAGCCATTGCGCGGCCATTGGTGCTGATGCCCGATTTTGGGGGTTGCGTTGTGCGTGGTAATTGAGGACGGCTGACCTGGACTAGAGTGTTGCAAAACGTAAGCGTTCCGGTGAACTATTCTTTGCCCGGATCAAACTGGAACCACTGACGCAGCACATGTTTAGTGATCCTTGAATCTGCGGACAACCTTGACATGTGAGATAGATCAGTGAAATCCTTGTACAATGCGGCTACATTACTGAGTATTTTCAGGCAACTAAACATGGCGTCTGCTGTGAGGTTGATGTCGTCCATTAAAGGCTTGGCATGCGCGCGGTATATCTCCCCCAAGATGACCAGTCTATGGAGTGCGCCTGAATTTGGAAAATAATTCGTCGACATTCCAAAGCCGTTGACCACCATAATCTTGTTGACACGGAATACTGACCCTATCTTGGTCACTACAGTTGCTTTGTAAGAAGCGAGATACAAGAAGCTAGAATCACTGGACGCGCTTGCACTCCCAGGAATAGCGGGCAAGGGTTTGTCTCAATGGTACAGGCCTTGCACGTCTTTTCCAACTCATCGACACAATATGGCAGTTTGAAGGCCGTGGGTAACGCACCGTGGGCTATCATCCAGAGGAATGATATGTGCTTTGGTTCTAGCAGGATTTTATTTGGACCTGTTCCCATCTCGGCGATGGCCGCGGGTTGGTTTCTGTTGATGTGGTTTGGTCGTGTATGGTCCCCCAAGGATGCCATTGCAGTGGCGCGGCCTCTTCTTTCCGTATTACCTCTATGCACCCGTCCTTTCATGGAATTGGCTGTAAAACGCCCAACAATGTTTTGAGTGCAAATCCTGCGGCGCCGCCAGTTGCATTTTTGTTTTGTTAAAAGGAGTAGACGCCAGTAAGTATTCATTTTATTTATACATCTTATTAAAACTATTTATTAATAGATTTGACATAATAAATATACTCCCAACCGAAAGTTCAATGCCAAATATATAAAAGCAATACAAACCAAATAATTGGACTTATTTTTTAAAATAAACTGTATAATAATAAAAAGGAGTATTAGTATTTTTTAATTTGACTGCTAACAAAATTGTTTCTGTCTCTCTTATTCAAGCTTTAACATGGGTTTTCTTGTTAATATCTATGCAAACCCCTTGCAAATAATGATTTAATTTATATATATAATAATCGCACAACCCTCATTTTTCTGTTTTCTTTTCTTTTTTATTAGCACATCATTACATTTGCACATACCAACACCATTTTCCTTATACGTTTTTTTAATGTACAATTATTCATTCACATACTACTTGCAAGGAAACGAGAGAAACTGTGTCATCGTAAAAGTTTTCGCCACTGCCAAGCACACTGTTGGACAAGTTCTAGACACGTTTGCAAATACTATGAATGAAAGCGCAGATAACTTTTATATGATTGTGAAATACAATTGTGACAAGGAAAGGTTAACGACAGAATTTAATAATAACGAAATTTTTTCAAGTGCGTATGATTTTTTTAAACAGAAACTAAATTACATGGATCCGAAGTTTGAAATTATTAAAATAACTAAATAACATTTTGTGACAGGATTGTACAACAAGCATTGGCATACATGTGTGATGTACAAAGTCTGTTTGAGATTCACTATGGGTAGTTTTTCTTTAAGTTTTTTAATTTACTTAATACACTTGTAGATATACGTTTTTAGCTACAAGGATATAAAACCATTAACAATTTATTAATATATTGCTAAGGTGTGGGTAACCATTTTTAAACACACTTATAAAGTCCTCCATCCCCAGTCAATTTGACCCTTGCTCAAATCTGAGATAATTGAGTATCAGTAATCGAAGAAGCAGGCGATGCACACAGACCGCCGCATTATACTTCAACCATTCTACGCTGCTAAATTTGTAAACACAAAGCTCTTTCGGGTTGGTACTTAGCGGCGAAACCTGTTTTATGACATGCAGCTCTGGGTTAAAACACTTGTAGCCATTTTCCTTGACATTGAAAACTGCAACTCGGCAATTGTCAGTTTAGACAACCTTGTCATAGTCCGCCCCACTGGAGATATGTGAGGCCCAACCATTCCAGGCGTTGCAAATTCGGGCCAGCTTGTAAGTCTCTTATAAACAAGGCGCTCATAGACGTTTGCATATGTTTTCCAAGTAAATTGTTTATCATTTGGTAAAATTCATCTTTAAAATTTTCCTCAATTTTTCAAAATATATCTCCAAATTATCCACACAATCAATATTCGCTTTGGAAAGAATATGTGTCATAGTAGGTGCAAAATATACAGATATGCTTTCAAAATAATTTGGGAAAACGCGCCTCGTGTTTCTCAGCAATACGCTTGGCTCGCCTTTTATTTCTAACCTTTCTAAGCATGGAAAATGCAATGTGTGTAGTTTGTAATTGTAATCTGGATTGTTGCCTGCGCCCATTGCTCCAGCGCGAGTGCTGTTAATAAACTCCAAGTGCATGTTTGTCAAATTTGAAGTTAATTGTATTTAACTTGTAATTGTGCTGGAAATATGACCACGAGAAACCTGCGGGAACATTGTAAACCTCCAAGCTGCAAAGCAATTTGGCATCCATCATTGGGAGCAACTGCTCAGCCTTGGGGTTTAGGTACAATTCCAAGCTGGTGGCGTTAGTAAACCGCAACTCCAAAGGAGACGCCACAAAATGGCTTCTTTTAAATAAACTCAACTGCTTATAGTATGCTCAGACTAGCTTGCTCCCAAACACATGGTTCAAAATGGTGTTATTGGGTATTTGGTCCAAATGCATGCGCTGAATATTGGCTATCATATTTATCAGGCCGTCCGCCATCTGAGATACTTCCGAAACCAATTCGTCATGATGTTCTCTGAATGAAACGCGTCTGCGAGCAATACTGGCGGATCCCATTGAAGATGAAAGCTTTCTTACACCAATCCAATTTGTGTTGCTGATGGTGCTGCTAGTTCCAAAAAATAATATGTAGTTGTTTATGAATTCATCGACCGGCTTGATATTGTCCAACTCAATGTCTAATTTGACCACGTATTGACTGTAGTTGCCTATAGCGATCAAGCCAATATTTGAATATGTCCGCACGGGTGCGTTTTCGTCCTTACGGTAGCTGAGATGGTGTGCGGTTTGGTAGACCATGGGCAAGGCCAGTTTTCTCTATGTCTGGCAGACTGACAGTGATGCTAGCGCTATTTTGAGCGTGATTCGCATGCTGTTGCGTATTCGAGAATCAGTTCGGTGACGATAAGTGATAGGGCGAGTATATGCACCATGTATCCTGTTTTTTCTCGGTATTTTTAAGTGTGCGTGTGGGTCCAGAAAAATATACAGATAAATAATGATATAAAATTAACTAAGCAAGGAAGGAAGGAAAAAAGTATAAATTATTTTTGAAAAAGCGAGAAATACTTGGCCTGTGTTTGGTGCCAGCCACTCAGGAGAAAGCAGAAAACCCCAAGACCCTGAAGCCTATTCCAAAGCCAAGATAACCCTCCAATGAAAAGCCTAGAAATGCTTAAATACTCGATTGAAAGAAACCAAGCGTTTTGTATATAAAAATTGAAAAGGCTTTCTAAAACAATTTTGTGCCTGCTTGTAATTGCAATGGTGCGTGCTCAACAATGTTGAATCGATTATTTTCTTTTTAAAAATGCAAAATTAATATCGCCAATTTGTCCAACCACAAAAAGTTTTAGTGGCTTATATGGATAGCCACAATTAAATTTTCACACTCCAAAATATAGCATTGAGTGAACGCCAACTTTTTCCGCAACAGATGCATCATTTTTTAGTTCTCACAATTGTCGGTATTCCCCTGTTGTTCATCCTTTTTATTTTTTATTTTTATTCTCAACAAGCAAAATGGAGGAAATTCTGACACCCACGGACCTAAATTCACAACTCGAAAGCGCAGCCGAGCTGCTTGGTCAGCAAAACGGATTGATAGAGGCACGCCAAACACAGCTAAAAGTGCCAACAACCGATTCCCGAGTACTGGCGCACTACGAAGAGTCCAGTGGTAACGACAACAGCAGCGCCGATCTGTATGAAGAAATTGGGTGCTACACAGGCATCCACGCACGAGCTACCCCACCTGAAGACATGCGCAAGGCAGCAATCGGCAGTGCATACACAGGAACTACTGCCAAAATGCTCAGTGACCGTGTCATGAACTTTCGTGACCTTGGTGTCAGCATTATCGAACTGGGGCTCAAACTGCATAATGACCGCTCTAGGGCTGAGTCTGAGGGTCCCCTGCCTGGCGTTGTCTTTCGCTCGGCCGAACTGGGGTCTGCCTGCGAAGAAGACGTCAAGACGCTTTTTTCGCGCTTTGGAATCCGCACGATCATTGACTTGCGCTCGGAAATCGAGGCGCATGCTAGCGACATCGTAATTTACCACTACCCAGTGTCCATCCAGCCCACCGTCGACCAGAGCCTGGAGAGGTTGATGAAGTTGCTCACATTTCAAGTGCACAGTGGAAACAGCGAGTCGGCTGACACGTCTCGCGAGACAACTGACGAGTCGCAAGACATTTTACCACAAGGAAACGCTTTACAATGCGCGCAGTCCTTTGGGCTTTCCAATAAAGTTATATCTGCAAGTGGTACTGTCCCGGCATTCTTGTGCTCCGGTCTCGCGCAGGCGGCCATTTACTGGGGCAGCCAGGTATTGCAGCTGCTGCGCTCGTATTGGGGCCAGAAACCACTTAGTAGCGGCTCAGACGGGAGCATCGCCGACGAACAAGAACCACTGCTCAATCGTGCAGATACCTCAGTGTTACATAGTAGCGGTTCTGCAAGCTTGGACAGCTCGACCAGCGACATGGTTGTCACGAACAAGTTTTACGGCATTCGCCGGCGATACCGCTGCAACGTCATTGGCAACAACTACCGAAATATGTGCGTTTGGGCCAACACGCCATGGGTGACACGCATCAAGGTCATCATGCATTTTGCCACGTTCAACAAAGCCGAAGCCATCCGCACGATCGGCCGCGAGGTCCTGACGCCGCGCGGCCTGGCTGGGTCATACGAGGACTTTGTCGACTACTGCAAAGTTGAACTTGCCGCGGTGCTGCGCATTTTTGCCGACCCTGCCGCATATCCCATTCTGTTCCACTGCCAGCACGGCAAGGACCGGACTGGTATTATTGCCATGCTGCTGCTGGGAATCCTAGATGTCAATGACGAGATCATCGCTGCAGACTACGAGTTGACCCAGAACAACCTTTTGTCTGTGCGCGACCACATGGTCACGTTTGATATGGGTGCTGTCGGCTTGCCGGAGTCCTTTTGCGACTCGCCTGCGCCTGCCATTCTCAACCTCCTTAGGCACATCCGCACCAACTACGGCTCGATGCGCAAGTACCTGCTCTCTGCGGGCTTGCTAGAGCAAGAGATAAATTCAATTGCGTGGTGTCTGCGCGGCAACTTTTTGACTGCCTGATATTGCCATAGATATTCACCATTAACTTATATATCCATAGATGATACCAATGTGAAACATTTTTGGCCTCACATTTTTCATATGTCATAAGAGGTGCATAATTGGCGTGGGGAGAATCGGCAGCGGGAAGAAAGTGAGGGCGTTTGAAAAACAGTATGCTAAAAAAGGAACAGGATATTTACAAAATACTTCACTGCTATAACAATACGAAGCACTTGTGTATAAAAAGAGCTTACATAAAAAAAATACGCGCTTTCTAACGCATTTTAATATGTAACTTTATCTCATTTTTTGTTTATCAAATACAAATGTTATTAGATACTCAGGTCATTTTGAAAGTCACACTGGGTGCCCTGAGCGCGTGCGTATTATTTTCTGCATTGGTTCTCTTTTTCTACAACTACCGGATATACTTTACGCCTTGGCCGCATAGGCGGAGGTGGCACAGGAGGGATCTTAGGTGGACCAGTGTTGGCGAGACTCACAAGGTGCCTCCGGTCCACACACTGACTCTCGGAGAAATAGAAGGCGCGTTGCCTGCCCAGCCAGGGTCCAAGGGATGCTGTCTGGTGTGTTTGGAGGACATAAAAGAAGGCGTTTCAGTGCGGGCCCTTGGATGCGGGCATTCGTTCCATATTCCGTGTATTGATCCGTGGCTTACAACCAACGCCAGCTGTCCAGCATGTAGAAAGAATATAAACACAAAATAATTAAATAATGTTACTAATATAAAACAATTGTAAAGCGCCTAGTGCTTAGTTCTTGTAAGGGTCCTTGCAGTAGTCACTGGCCTGGAAGTAGCTGTGGCTTTGGCTGCAGTAGCGGCCGTTGTCATCGCCACCATAGCTGTAGTCCTGGCTGCTACGACGCTCCGTGCGCTCGCGGCTGTCGTACTCACTGTCGCGCCCGGAGCCACTATGCCTCATACTCTGGTGTTTGCGTGCCCGACCATCAAGTTGGGCATCCGAACCGGACTTGAATACACGGTCCGGCTGCCCATTCCTCTCCTCGTCCATCTTGATCTTGACGACAGTGGCTAGAGCAATCTTGCCCACATTCTCCAGGTTTTCCCCGGGCCCTAACGGGCACAGCGCTGATTTGCGTTTCAGCAGTTCTCCGGCCTCGGACATCACAGCACCCATGAGCAACTGGTCCAGGGTTATGTCCGCGGGCATCTGAGAGCGCATGCTCGTGAACTGGTGCTCGAGTTCGGCCTCGCTGCGCAATATCTTGATAGCCGCGGCACCAGCGAGAGTATGGCCAGTGGCCTGCCGGAGATCCAAGTTCTTGTGGTAGACGTGACGGTAGTAGTGCTTGGCCACCACCTCCTGCACAGCGGAGCTATCATCAAATTTGCTGAGTGCGCCTGATAGCACGCTGGACTCCAGGTCGCGTGTGCCACCGGCGCCGGCGCCGTTGCCACCAGCGCGGCCCTTGAACAGGCTGCTCATGATGTTGCCTAACACTTTGGTAATCATGTCAACGTTGGCGACATTTCCAAACATGCCGCCGTTATTGCCGCCCATTTGGCCGTTCGGGCGTGCAGCAAAGCCCTGGCCCCCGGGGTTGGTCCCTGGGCGACCAATCGGCTGCTGGCCATATCCGCCCATGCCACCTCCTATTCCGCCGCCACCACCCATACCGCCCATGCTGCTACCGCCTCCTGGACGGTTTGCACTCATGGCAAGTCCAGCAACAGCGGTTAAAATAGCAGCCCAAGGAATGTTGGAGCCGTTCTGGCCAGCTCCAGCTCCACCGCCCATACCGCCTCCCATTCCCATTCCGCCCATGGCGCCGCCCGGTCGACTTCCATTCATCATACCGTACGCGTTATGCGCAAACGCCATATTTTTCAGCTGTTTGAGCCAGGCCGGCTCCTGATATGGCACATTATTTTCAGTGCCATGGTGCTTGAGGTGATGGTATATGGTTGCGCCCAAAACGCCGGCAATAGGGATCAGCTGAAGAAGGTCAGAAGTATTGATACTTCCCTTGAGCCCACTGAGAAACCCAGGTTTGGGCTGGACAGGTTTCTTGCCTTGCTGAGGTGGTGGGCGGTAGGATGAGCTGTCACTGGAGTAATCGCTGTAATAATTACTGGTTTGTGGCGGTGGACGCCCTGTGCCTGGACGAATGGCAGGTCGAAGTGCTGGACGGAGCGGCTGTTGCTGGCCACTTTGATTAGTGGGCGGCAGGCCCTGGTAGCCCTGGGGTGGAATTTGCTGCTGCTGATATTGCGGTTGCATCGGTGGCTGCATTGGTGGCTGCATCGGTGGTTGTATTGGTGGACGCATACCCGATTGTATGGGCGATTGCACCGATGGCCGCTGCTTGCCCGGGTACGCTGTCCCCGGGCGTTTAATCCCCGACGCTGCAGTGTACGACTCGTAATCGCTTATTTCGGAGCCCGGCTGTGGGCGTAACGGTCCAGCATTTCCCGCATAGGATGCATAGGGGGGAGGCTGATATTTCTGCTGTTGCATTGGCGGAGGCTGCTGTTGTTGTTGCATTGGCGGAGGCTGCTGTTGTTGTTGCATTGGCAGAGGCTGCTGTTGTTGCATTGGCGGTCTTTGCTGTTGATGATGCTGCTGAGACGTAGGAGGCCCCTGTAGCTGCTGTTGCTGAGACATCGGTGGGTCTTGCTGCTGTTGTTGTGGCTGTGCCTGTTGTTGGTGAGACATTTGTGGACCTTGTTGCTGAGGCATTGATGGGCCTTGCTGCTGTTGCTGTGGCTGTGCAAATTGTTGCTGTTGAAGCGGGCCCTGCTGCGGTCCATTATATTGTGGAAATCCGCCAGGCGCAAACGGCCCGCTGCGCTCGCCGTTATTCGGGCCCTTAACCAGCGCATTTCCAGGATTCTCCGTATCAAAGTTGCGCTGCTGCTGCTTGGCCGGTCCTTCGCTAACGTTTACCATTGACACAACGTCAGGAACGTTGTCCACAATGGTGTCAACATTCTGCATCCCGTAGAAGCTGTAGTTGTTGGTGTATGTTTGCCCTGCTGGCAACTGCGGCTTTTGTGCCATTATTTGATATTTGAAAATGTTAGAAAAAATAAACTTGAAAAATGGAAGAAAATAAATAAAATAATAAATAATAAAGAGAAAAGAAAAGAAAAGAAAGACGTTCAGTCCTGTCAAGTCAAGAAATAGTGACTTCTTTTTTAAAAAGAGAAATCCGAGTACAAGGCCGATTGAGTGAATTTTTTTAAATGTTATGAAAGGTGTGCCAAGAAAACAAAGAGCATGGTAATGCCTTTTTACAAGACAAATGGGGAACTGCCGGGGCGTGAAAAAATTGTTTTATTATATTTTCATTGTCAACATTAATTCAACTAAATGAGCGGCATCAATACCATCTGTGACATCAAAATAATATTTTACCGTTTATTGCGGAACAAAGCGAGCTCTCATCTTTTTTGCCACATCCCAACACCTGACCTCGCTCCACCTGCACCTGCATACATGTGTGGTCACAGGTTCTTTTCCGAGTAAAGCCTTACAGCTTTTCCCACCCTTCTTCCCAGCGCCGCTAAATAAAAAAGAATGCAAATTTAATGTGAAAAGAATTGTCGACATGTATGGTGATGACGTATCAATTAAATATAATGCGAAAAGACATCATAGTGTTAGATAAAGCCTAATATCGGATTTGTCCCATCCCAATCAAATATAACAAATACGTAATTGAGCCTGCTTTAAAACAAGCGGAAAAAAGAGATCAATTTGTTTTAAAATCACCCGACCACAATATCTTGCAATAAAAAATTGTGGCCGTGGTCACAAGCGGACAGTAGTAGGCCGCTTTTCAAATATCGGAATATATTTACATAATACTGCACTGCACTGCTCATGTATTTTTGCTTTCACAAGCATTGAGAACAAAAATATATATAATATACATTGTTAATACTTCAATGTAGTTTTCTTGAAAAAAGATGTATCGGGGCATGATGCTTGCCCGCCTATCCTCTTCTATCTTCAAAAGAATATAGCGAAAGATTAATCCATGCAAAGAAGTAAAATTATCAAAAGCCGTGCTGTCTGTAAAATTGTTGTTAAGATCCCCGCATAGCACATGTATGTCAGCCAAATGTTTGATCCCGTTTTCTTTCTGCCACCAAAACTCCTCCTGATCGACGATCCAGTACTGAATGGCCAAATATGTAATATCGCGAAGCGAATACTGAACCACTGGATACAATAAGGAATTCAACGCAAAAAACATGCCCTCGCTGGCCAGAAGCAGCCTTGCAATAAACCCAAATAGCATCTGCTCTCTATTAAGCGCTGCCGACAGCAATTGCTGCAAAAGTAATGGAAAATTGCAAACCAAGTTAATCAGTGGGTACGCGATTGTATAGAACACAAGCGAACGCAAGCGTTTTCCATTGGCTCGAGCGTTGACGGCGCCTCTGTATGCCTCGGTGGTTGTTGGATACCTGCTGCCGTTGACGTGCGTTGTTTTTGTAAGCCTGTGCGCAGACTGCAGCATGCTGATTATGCACATAACCGAGATCAACGAGGTAACTAAAAACCAGCTGTAGTACAGGCACCAGCGAATTCCAAAGTATCCATATTGAATAGAGGCTGTCACGCATTGCTTTGAAATTTTGTAAGCGTTGTTTGGGATAATAGCCAGAGCTGCAGACAAAATTATGGCTAAAACGTACCACATGCTATAGTACCGCCGCTTGTTACGCCTAGTTTGGTCAACTTTGCATCGCGAAATAACCAGCCAAAGATGAATTGTTACCGCACAATACATGAATATAGAGGCCAGGTAGCATATAAACACGAGGTAGCGCATAGAGCTGCACAGCAGCTCGGATGTAACTGAAAGCATACTGAGCACCATTGAGATTATAAGAGCGACCACATGAACGCTCTGGATGGACATTGTTAGCTTAACCAGAGGGATGTTGACTCGATCTGACTTGAATAATATTAGAATAGAAAATACTAGCATACAGGACAACGTGCATAAAAACGAAACGCTGGAAACGACGGTTAAAGCTATGCGCAGGCTTGTGTATTCGGAAATCCTCAGGGCTATAATAGCATTTGTATCATGTTTGTCAACTATTTTTAGGATCAGTCGAAAATAAAGATAATAATGTTGGAAATATACATTTCTTTTGAAGATAGCGGATGCATAGAGCACAAAAAACGATGCATCTGCAAAACTCAAATTTGCAAAAAAAATGTATGTCTAGATTTAATTTACCAATTTGTATACTACATATTTTTATTTGTTCACGGTCAGGCCAGCCGACAATTTTTTGCTGTGCTAGCACAAAACCTATTAAAGCGTGTTATCTTGCACCTCTTGTCTAAAATCACAAGGCAATGTCTGTGATGTAATAGTTCTTTCAAAATACAATTGGTGAAATTTTTATAATGATAAAACTGTTATTTTCAATGATATAAATTGACATTTGGTTAATTAATTAGTTACAAATTAGAAAGTAAAAGTAAAACAAAAATGATACACACCGGCTTTAATGGGCCAGGCATTGCTATGACAGTGTAGTCGCCCGCCTGCCCTCTCCTGTCTTTAAAAGAATAAAGTGTAAAATGCGCCCGCGTGTAGACGTAAAGTTTTTCAAGTCAGCTTTGTCAACTATCATGTCGTTTGGATTATCGTGCAGCATGCGTCCATCGTGAAAATTCTTAGTATCGCTCTGCTTACGTCGCCAAAACACCTCTTGCTCGACGACCCAGTACTGTACAGCCGAGTACGTAATATCGCGAATTGAATGCAGCACCGCCGGATACAAAAAGAATGCCAGTGCAAGGAACGTGCCTTCACTGCATAGCAGCAGTCGTGCGGCAAAGTTGAGTCCCGTGAGTTCCTTTTTCATCGTTGTCGATAGCAATTCCTGCAAAAGCTGGGGTAAATTGCATACCAGACTGATGACTGGGTACGCAATTGTATAGAACATGAGCGAGCGTAGGCGCTTTCCGTTGGCTCGAGCGTTGACGGCGCTTCTGTATGCCTCAGTGGTCGATGTGTATCTTCTTCCATGTGTGTGAGTTGTGTGAGAGAGCTTTTGCGCTGAGCGCAACACGCTGATCATACATATAATCGAGATTAACGAGGCAACTACAAACCAGCTGTAGTACAGGGCCCAGCGAATTCCTAAGTATTGAGGGCCCGGGATGGAAGCCACCATGCACCGGTTGACAATTTTGAACGCGCTGTTTGGAATAGCCGCTAGAGCTGCAGACAAAATGATAGCTAAAGCGTACGAAATGATATAGTACCACCGCTCATTGCGCTTAGTCTGATTCAGCTTGCGCCGTGAAATAACCAGCCAAAGATGAATTGTTATCGCACAACACATAAATATGGAGGCCAAATAACAAATATAAAGGATGTAGCGCAGAGAGCTGCACAGCACCTCGGATGTAATATAAACAATGTTTAGCACTATTGTGATTACAAGTGCAACGGCGTGGACACTCTGAATTGACATTGTGATCTTGACCAGAGGAATGTTGACCCGATGCGCGTTGTATGACAAGAGTATGAAAAACACTACGACGCAGCTAATCGTGCAGAAAAGCGAAATGCTGGAAACGATGGTCAAAATAGTGCGTAGGTCTGGGTAGCCAGAGCTGACCTTTGCTACTGAATAATCTTCATCTTCGTTGGACATCTCTATTAATAGTTCAAATTGCAATGGTTGTTTGTGAAAAGGAATGATGAGCTAACGGGAAAACCACATCTTTCGAACGAACAATCCATTATATGCAAAAGCTCAAATAAAATAAAATAAATAAGTTCTAGACATGCAAGAAAATGTGGCCAATTTCAATATCTGACCGCGTGGCGATCCAATAAAAAATATAGACTTGAAGACCAGACCAATTCGCTCTCAAATATTGGCTATCTATCATATTTTCAACCCGTCAAGCCAGTTGTCAAGAAAAAAAAGAATGTTAAACAATGAAAATCGGTGTCCATTAATTTTGGTACCAGTAGCAAATGAAATCAGGTTATCTCACATTTGGCCGGTTTGGAAAGTATTGATTGAGCTGACTGCGCCGGAGACGAGTGGCTTGAATATCCTGTTTGAAATAGGGTGGCGTTGCCAATCCATTTCAAAAAGACATCGTCTTTGAGTTGTCCTTTTTCCAATTGTGTGATTCTGTTTTTTTACACTGAAAAATCCGCCTTTTAAAAGGATGATTATCAGATAAGTGGGGAGCATCGATTTTTTTGCCTAAAATAGTGCACACGGTTGTCTCCGCAAAACCAAAAGAAGCAAAGCAGAAAAGCCCTCTTCTACCTTTTTTATTTTCCTCCCACGCTTCTCTCATTTTCACTTTTTTTGCATTTCGTTTCAATTCGTTTCATTTAAAATAAATTTCTGCATTTTGTTTTTTTATTATTTTTACACAATTTCTGCAGTCTGTTTTCGCATGCCTTCTATTCCTCCCGCCGGTCGACAAGCACCGCACATAACGAAGAGCAGGGTCACTACAGCCACAGCCACAGCTGCCATCACAGCCACAGCCGCCGCAGCAATAGTTATCAGCGACTGGACGCCTGTGCTCGGTCTAATATTCGGTGGGTGCTGCTCGAACGTCTTTGCGCTCGAGAGCCTCGTGCGCGAAGTTCCCAAATGCGGCAACCTTATAACCTTTGCACAATTCATCTTTATAACCCTTATAGGGCTGCCGCACCACCTCCACACAGCGCCGGGTGCGCTCGGATGGATCCCGCGACTGAGACCACGCCAGGTGCCCTTGCGTCGATGGCTTTTCATGGTTGGATTGTATTTCTGCGTCTCTCTGTTGAATAACATTGCCCTTGGGTACAAAATATCTATCCCGCTGCATATTGTGTTTCGGTCCACTGGGCTGATTGCCAATATGGTTTGCGGATATTTGGTTATGCACAAGCATTATCCTGTCAAGCAAGTCGTTGCCGTGATTTTGGTTACTGTGGGTGTGGTCATTGCCACTTTGACCAGTATAAGCGGCGACAAGGTGGAGGAGGGCGGCGGATCAATGTTTGCTGTGCACGACTCTGTCGTTGGAATCTTGTTATTGACCATGGGCGTCTTCCTGGCCGCTATTCTGGGGCTGTATCAGGAGACAACGTACAAAAAGTACGGAAAGCACTGGAAGGAGGGCCTCTTCTACAACCACCTTTTGGCACTGCCCATGTTCCTGCCATTCTACCGCGACATTCTAAACCAAGCCCGTGCACTCTCGCTCTCGCCCCCGATCGTTGTGTCCTTGGATCAAACAATGCCCCTTTTTGGCAAGTACCTGGCAACACGCATCCACCTGTTTTCTGTTCCTCGGCTGTGGCTCTCGCTAATCGGAAATGTCTTGTCGCAGCTGGTCTGCGTCTCAGGAGTGCACCGCTTCACATCAATGTCCACCTCGCTCACCCTCAACGTTGTGCTCAATCTGCGCAAGCTAGTCAGCCTTGTGCTGTCCGTGCTGCTGTTTAAAAACAAGGTCACTTTGGGGATGATATTTGGGTGCACGCTGGTGTTTGCAGGCACATTTGCTTACTCACAGATCGCTGGCAGCACCAAGCAGGCGATAGAGGCGAAGAGCGATAAGGAGGAGTCCAAGGTTGACGAAGGCGTAGCTTCTTTCGATGTGTTAAAATCGGACGCATTAGGTGTGAGCTCGGCGCACCTATCGGAAGCAATGAAGAAACGGCGACCGGCGCAGTTTACCAAATAAGGAGATTTCGGAATTGCTGGACGACCCATCGTATATTATTGCTTTATTTGACGGTGCACGTGATATGCTCCCACACAATTTGCATTGCCGATTTCGGCTATATTGATTTTTTTTGCCGGGAACGGAAAAAATGCGCGGGCCAATTATGCATTTTCTTTTTTCTCGTTATTTCCTTAATCACTTCCGTATTTAGTTTTGATTCTAAACTGTAAAAAAAACCCTGTAAACAACAACAAAAAAGAACACTGAAAAAATCACCCCTAGTTTGAAAAACGCGTGCGCCATATTGAATAATAACATTATAAAGGTACGCTTTACCAGTACAGCACAACCAGGCTGCATTGACAAGAGAAAAATAATCGATAAAGCACCAAAGTGAAACAACGGAGCAAATTACTGTTTTCCAGGCTTTTAAGACAAAAGCAATTGCCAACAATACAGCACAACAAAAAAGTATCTAACGAAAAGTTTAATTTTATTTTACACGTCCTTTAATTACTTTATAGCTCAAATTTAATTCGGCAACCCACCAATTCTCTTTTTACTTTTATAATAATTCGGGCGACGAGGAAATGCCTTCCAAAACACGGCACACCAAAGAGTCCCCGGACAACAGAACACGGAGGAGGCCAAAATCAACCTCGGCTGAGGAGAATGAAGATGAGGCTGAGGACCTGTCACAGAGCAGCGGCGAGCTGGAGAGCAGCGCATCAGAGTCAGTTGGAAGCCGGCGATCCGTGTCCGCCAGCTCTGACAATGATGAAGAAGAGGGCGGGGATGAGGAAGGCGCGGGTGGATCTGTGACCAATGAGGACGAGGAAGACGTGGTTGGTTCTGTGACCGACGAGGATGATGACGAGAGTGGCAGCGAGAATATTGACAATGATCAGGTCGATGCAGACGCTGACACAGACGCGGACACAGACTTGGTCGAGGACACCGGCAGCATTACCAATCAAGTGGTGCTGGAGTCGGGAGAAGAAGAGTGCGACGAGGAGTTTGTGCAGGCAGAAGTATCGGAGAGCGAAACAGAAAAGCTGGCCGAAGCGGAGCTCCTCGAGCAGCTACACATGCCCTCGGGCAGCGACTCCGAGGGCTCTGCGATCGACAGGTGGAGGTGCACGCCGCAGAACCGGCTGCGGCGCAGCCTGCGGGGCAGCGACATGCCTCGCAGCGAGGACAGGCGGGCGACAGGAATTCAGACGACACCGCGCCGACAGCCACTGCGCAGCGCGAAGCAAAGGCGGGTCGGAGGTGTCTTTGACACGCACGGCGACCAGCAAGGGTACGTGTCCAGTCCCACGGCATCAGCAGCCTCCCGCCGCAGAGCCCACTTGAACAGGGCGCAGCAGCTCTCCGTCGACGCCTCGCCGATTCCGGCTGCCAGCGGCAACAGCAGCGACGAGGGCCTCAGGATACGCACCGCCCAGACCCCAAAGCCAAAGGCGAAGCCCCCAGGCCGCCGGAAGATCGCCCCCTCGCTGGTGTCGCTCGACGTTGCCAAGCCCGAGTCCGACTCGCTTTACGTTTCACCAGCCTTATTGTCTGCGTCCTCGCCGTCGCCGGTGATCGACAAGCCGCGCGAGGAGCGCAGCTACCGAGAGTTCTTCCCGGAGCTCAATGTGCACATGCCGCTGGCCATAAAGATGAAGCGAGCCACGCCGTCGCCTGTCGTCAGCGCACACGCGGACTTTAACTTCTCTACAGAGCCCAGCTCTGCTACTCCGGGTGCGCCGGCCGCATCGCACGGCGTGGGGGCTGGTTTCCAGGCTCTGGCATCGCCGCTGGACTCTTCGGGAAACCTGCCCGGCGGCGGCGACGGCGACCCGCATTCGCTGTCGGTACCGACAGACCTGTCGTTGATGGGAGCCTGCGACAATGGCGAAAAGACCCCGATGTCAGGCTCGGAGCGGCCCCTGCAGTCGCGCACATCTAGCAGCCTGTCCATCAGGCTGTTTTTCAACGACCCCGATGCCCAGCCGAGACAGCCCTTGTCGGCGCCCTCGCTCGCCACCAATTTCCCGTTCACTCGGCCGCCCCTCTTGCGCCCGACGGGCATGGGGAAGTCGACGCTGTCGTACTCGGGCACGCCGCAGTCATCGGTCGTCGTGCTGGCGCCCAAAAAGCCCGTGCTCACGCTGCCAGAGACCAGGTTCAAGCGGCTCGAGGGCAAGGATACGCCCGAGGCGCGCTACAAGGCGATCGAGTTCAAGCGGCCCGAGAGCCACTACATCCACAACACCGAGCTGACGGAGAAAGACCTGGCCGAGCGTGTCGAGTACGACCTTGAAGACGTCGACCGCGAGTGGCTGCAGCGGCTCAACGCTGATCGCTGCGAGCAAGGCATTTCGGAAGTGCCGGCCAACCTCCTCGAGGCCATCATCGACCACATCGAGAAAGAGTGGTTTGACCTGGTCAAGGACGTGCAGAAAGCCATATCGGCCATCCAGCAGGAGAGCCTGCCGGCAGAAGAGTCGGCGTGCGCGATCTGCGGCGAGGAGGAGTGCGACAACACCAATGCCATTGTCTTCTGCGACGGGTGCAACCTGGCGGTACACCAGGACTGCTACGGCGTGCCGTACATCCCCGAGGGCCAATGGCTGTGCCGCAAGTGCATGCTTTCTCCGGACAAGGACGTCTCCTGCGTGCTGTGTCCGCAGCGCGGCGGCGCGTTCAAGAAGACAACAACGAACAAGTGGGCGCATCTGCTGTGCGCGCTGTGGATCCCCGAGGTCGGCATTTCCAACACCGTCTACATGGAGCCCATCGACAGCGTCGACCAGATCCCGCGGTCGCGCTGGAAGCTCTACTGCCACCTGTGCAACCGCAAGGTCGGTGCCTGCATCCAGTGCTCGCACCGCCAGTGCTTCTCGGCCTTCCACCCGACGTGCGCGCGCCGCGCCCACCTGGCGATGGCCGTCAAACCGGACCGCCGCACGGGTGAGACCATCTTTAGGGCCTTCTGCGAGCGCCACACGCCAGCCGGCCACGCGCAAGCGATTGATGTGGAGGCGCCGCTCAAGTTCCTGGGCCCGCGGCGCAAGAGCTACGCCGCGTCGCTGTCGCAGATTTCGATGCACCTGGGAGCCATTCTGCCCGGCGGCACCAACGGCAGCCGGCCATTCGCTGCCGACCCTTTTGCCAACGGCTCCGGGAGCGGTGCCAAGCAGTGGCCGCCCAGTGCAGTCAGCCTGCTGGCGTCCGGGTCCGGCGAGGTGGCGGAGCTGGTGGCGCAGGCGCTGGGCTCGGCGGCCGACGCAAGCCAGGCAAAATCTGGCGATGACGCGTCGCTGCAGCTGACCATGCGCATCTTCAACCCGGACCGGCCGGCGCTTAACGAGTTTGTGTTCCAGCGCGTGCTCCACCGGCTGCCGAGCCGCATCGGCATGCACCAGAGGTCGGCGATTGTTTTGCAGGTTGCGAGGTTCTGGGCGCTCAAGCGGTCGCTCCGCCATGGCGCGCCCCTGCTCAAGCGCCTGCATCTCGAGCCCTGGACGGCCTCGGTGACGCAGCAGAGGGCGCTGGAGATGGCTGAGGAGCAGCGCCAGGCGTTTATGCGCCGGCTGCGCACAGACCTCGAGCGCGTCCGGCTGCTGGTCGAGAGCGTGCGCCGCAGGGAGCGCGAGAAGCTCAAGCGCGCGCGCCTGATCAACGAGTATGTCCAGAGGGTGGTCGATCCGCTGACCATGGTTATCCTGCCGATAATCGAGGAGCTCTTGGAGAAGCGCGACCCCCGTGGGGTGCTCAGCCACCCGGTGACCGAGGACCAGGCACCCGATTACTTTGATCTGATCACCGAGCCCATGGACCTGAGCATGATCAAGGCCAAGGTGTTGGCCTTTACGTACAGCTCTATCGACGAGTTTGATCATGACCTGGAGCTTGTTGTGCGTAACTGCATGAAGTACAACAAGCCCAACACGTACTACTACCAGCTGGCCTCTCGCATCAAGCGGCATATCGATCGGCTGATTGCCGGCGCTCGCACGGTGCTGAGCAAAATACCCATGGATCCGGCCACCGGCCGGGTGATGCTGGACTTTGATTTCGACATTTTCTCGTACAACACCAGTGAACCGGCAGTGCCTCGGATGCTCTTGGGCGGCTCATCTGCGGCTGTGCTGCCCGTGGAGGGCGAGCAGGCCGATCCCGATGCTGCCCAGGCCAGTGACAGCGACGGTGACGAACCTGATGATGCCGCTGCTGCTGTGGATGCCGCTCCTGAAGAGAAAGCAACGCCACGCATCACCCGCTCTCGCGCCAAAATCGCAACCCCAGCCAGCCAGGAGCGCAACAAACTCCCAGCGCTTAAACTCGGCCCACTTGATGGCAATTCTGGCCAACCAGCGCCCGAGGATACCCTAATGACCTCGTCTACCATGGATACTAACACACCGCATACTGCTGCCGCCGCCAACGATATTGATTATGAAGAAGAAAATGACAAGGATGCTGCTGCGGAAAACATACCAGCCGAAATGAATATCATTGACAACAGCAAAAGCAGCAACGCGGACAAAAAGCGCAAGCGCAGCAGCAGGACAAGCCAGCAGGGGGCGCCTGCAGTGTCGAAAAGACGGGCAACCACCAGCAGCCACACCAAGGCTCCGCCAAATACCTTGCGCAGAATGACCCTGTTCGAGCAAATGTCCGTGCCGCCGCCGGATGTGCGCATCAGTTTGCGCAAAAAGTTTGCCATCAGTCATCCGGACGAGTCGCTCGATGCAGCGCCGGGAAGCGAAATCCCGGACAACATCAATGTGCTCAGGAGCCGACTGCGCCGTACCAGCAGTGCTGTTGTAAAAACACCTGTGGAAAGCCCAGTGGACGACTCGCCGCGGTCTAGCGAAGAACCATTATCGCCAGCAGACAATGATATGGTGGATGCACCGGTTTTGGCTCAGGCTACGCCTAGAAAGCGAAAGCGCTCGTCGGCCAAGGACAAGGACCCTGCCAAGGTAGCAGCAGCAACGACGACGCCGGGAAAACTAAGGACCGGCGTGATTCCGACCGCCGCGGCGCTGGGTGAAGACCCGACGGAGTACCCGGTTGGCACGGTTGTGTGGGCCAAGATGGCGTCCTACCCTTGGTTTCCCGCCGAAATATGTGCGCCCGACGACGCTCGTGCACCAAACCAGGCGCATGATGGGGATAGAGACGACAAATGCAAAAATGTACTTGTGTTCTTTTTTAACTCTAATCCGGCCAACCGGTCGTGGAAATGGGTGTCTGCGAAGCAAATTTGCAAGCTCGGTGTCGATAGGACGCTGGACGGGACGTTTTTTAAGGCGAAGAAATCAAAATCTGCGAGCATGACAAAGAGCATGCGGATGGCTTACTTTGAGGCGTGCAAGTTTCGTGGCATTGAACCTTTGGCGCCGTAGCGCACAAAAAAATCAAATATTTTTTGTTTGTTTTTAATAGTTTTTGAAAAAAAAAAGTGGGAAAAGTGGAAAAGTGAAAATAATTAAATCGAGAAAATGCCAAAATGTGCAATGAAAATATAAAAAAAGGAAAGAAAAAATTAAATAATGCGGGCATTATCATAAATTACAGCTTTTTTCCTTAAATAACATTGACATTCCAGACAAAAAGGAAGCGGCGACTAACTGTGCCCGCCCGGCGCTCCATAGCCTCGCCCACAACCTCTACGACCATCATGCTATCAGCCGACTCGCGGCGAGACATCTTGGACAATTTTGACTGCCTGCTATAAAGCGCAGGTGGCGAAGCAACAACAGCAGCTTGCCTAACATCATCGTCCGATGAGTAACCACCGTTCAGCGTATCACTCGTATCGTAGCTCTTGCGCAGATCCGCGACGCTGCTTGAACGACGACGGGCACGCAACTTCTTCTTCGCCGGCATCTGCGCCGCCTGCATGAGGCTTCCGGCAGGCGGTACAACGGACAAACTGAAGGTCGCTGGTTTGCCAAATGCCATGGCCACGGTTCTACAGACATTGGCATCAAGCAGCTGCTGCTTTTTGTTATCACTAACCTTGCTGCCACCATTGTTACCGGCTGCGGTATAGTTGAAGGTGGCAGAGTTTGTCAGCGTGGCGCCGCTAAAGTCCTGCTCAGCAGCGGGTGCAAGGACGAGGGACACGGGGCCGACGCGGCGGCCGACAGAGTCCGTGAACACCTTCTTTGCGTTATCATTGTGCGCTGCCGACATCGTAGACAGCGCCTGGGCGGCTACCATCTGCAGCTGCTTGCCAGACTGGCGCAATGACTCCGTGGCATGCTCGAACTCCGCCGTCTTCCACATTTTGCGCTGACGCTCGCGGAACCGAGCAAACTCTGCGCTCGGCACAGTGCTGGCGACCAGCTCGTTGAGCCACATGTCGCGGTCCGCCAAGGTGTCCAGCATGAGGTAGACGCGGCACTGCCAGTCGCTGTACTTGTACAATGTGGCGTCTTCCTCTTCGTTGGGAAGCTTGGCAGCAACACCCGGTGATTCTGGCTCGTTCAGTCCGGCTGGAGCGTTGGTCAGCGTGCGGTTGATGTCGTAATCCTCGTCGCGCTGCTGCTGTTGGTTGGAGATGCGCATGTTACGCATGCCTGGGACAGGCATAGAATCAATGGCAGCGGCCGCATGGGCGCGCCTCTGGTTAGCAGCAGCTGTGGCGCCCAAGGACTTGCGCGGGAAAGTGCTCTGGCGGCGATGACGATCAGTCATAGCGAGCGGCGACAACCGCAGTTCAATCCCAGTTGGGCCAATATTCACCAAGTCGCTCTCCGGCACACCAGAATCATACAAGTGAATCAAGGACACCTTAGCCACCGGCTGCACACCCTTCTTCTCATCACTCTCGGACTCGTAGAATAACACACGGGCGCTGCTAAGAACACCCCAGTAGCGCTTCCATGTAGAGAATTGACCGCTGCGGGTGAAGACACTGAGGTATCCGCGCATCCGTGGAAGCTTATCCTGCTCGTCTACCTTGACCCACTGCTGCTGCACCATCTGCTGCGCCATCTGCTGGCGGTCGGCCTCCTCGCGCTGCTGCTCGCGCTTCATCCGCGCCATGCGCTCGTCGCAAGTCTCATGTACAATGATGCCGTATTCCAGCACAACCATCATTTCGACATGCGACCCGCCGCGCATCGCCACTTGGTCCTGGTTGACTACCGGGAGGGTGAAAGTGGCGCGGCGCTTTTCACGCCGGTCGACTTTGAAGTCCAGGTAGAGCTCGCCCAGGGGCTGCGGTGTCGAGCTGATGGTTGAGGCATTGGAGAAGGCGCGGAGCCGCGGCCCGTTGTAGTTAATCTCATGCGCAGATGTCGTGGTGCCGGCGCGGCCGCGCGGCAGGTATGTGGAGAGACGCGCCAGCGCCGGATGGTGCATATGGCTGGGAATAGCGTCGGGGAAGCTGCCCTGCTGCTGGAGGTTGGAGTTCGAGATGCCTGCGCCCATGCTCAGAATGCACTGGTCCCCGAGCGGGTCGATAACCGACGCCCTGTACTTCTGCACCTCAATCGACCTGCCCATCTCATCTGTGGTCTCCTCAGTCTGCACGCAGTCATTGTTGACGATTAGCGCCGGATCATCGCAAGCAGGCATAATGCTATTCCGGTTACTCGCAACCGTCGTCGGCACAGGTGCCTGTGCGGCATACCCCATGTACGCGGCCTCAGCAGCGCCACCAACCGGGTTCATTGGGGGAGTGTCTGTGCCATTCTTGTTGCGGAAGATCTTGCGGAATCCAGCCTTGATCTTCGCCGACGTGCGCGTCGAACTATTGGACATCAATGAGGGGTTGGAGTCACTGGCCACTGTGCTGCGCCCGAGGTGGCGACGCGAAACCATGGAGACACGGCTGCTAATGGCTCCTGCTGTCGTGCGATTACGCGGCTGGTGCGGCTGCGTGCCGTAGACACCGAGGTTGAAGGTGAATTGCCGGCTGACGTCGAACACAAATGTGTCGTCCATCTTGGATGACCAGGTGTTGTAGTTTTTGGGCTTGCTGGTCACGGGCGGAATGACAAACCGCTCCTCGCCAATTTGCGCAACACACTGCAGATTCATAGCTACATTTTAAAAGAAATTTACAAAGAAGCATGAATCGCGCATAATCATGGTCAATAGTGTTCAGGTGTTTTTTTAGTAGTGGCGCGTCAGAAAGAGAAAAGGCGATTGGGGAGAGGTAGTGGTAAACCAGAAAGAAAAAAGGTTGCGCCGGATGGGGAAGTTGGATAAGAGAGTGGGGTTGAACGTGAAAGGAAACAAAGGGAAACCAGAAATGGAGGATAACGTAAACAAAAAACTTCATTATTAGTAGTGCGGTCTGCAATAAAGAAATGATTGTCGTGGTCTCTCCAATGTGAGCTTAGTTGGGCCAATTAAAATAAAGCGGACCGTTGTGTGGGACAGAGACCGAGACAAATTTTCTGCCACATACTGACACATCGAGGCTATTAGCAAAAAAAGTAAACAGTGTAAACTTACGTTTTGTGGCGCCGACCTGTCTAACCTCCAAGACCTTGACGACAAACATGCCTTCGTTAAACTGATCAAACCCATCAAAGCTCTGCGCGCTATTCCTGCTGCCACCAGCAGCCACCCCAGCGGAAACCTCCGTAGTGGCATGTACGCTGGACCGACGTGGCTTACGCTGCTGGCTCCCGGCCGAACTGCTATTAGTCCGGTACGACCTCCCGGAAACCGACGAGTCGCGGTTGTTGGAAAGCGGCAGGGCGGATGAGGACTCATTGGCTGCGTTACTGAGCCATTCAAGAAGCTCCGGCGCCAGGGTCGCTCCTCCACCTGAGGCTGTATCGGGGGCGTGTTGGTCGCTTGCGGGCTTGTCGCTAGTGGATGCCTTTATGTGCACGCGCGGCTTCGTCGTGGTTGTGCCTTCGTTGTCGCTGAGGTATAGCGACTCATGGCTGGCCTTTGCCCGCAAAGATCCGCCTGACGTCTTGTCGACTACCACCCAGCTCTCTTCAACCGAAGCAGACATTTGTTTTTTTGTTGTGTGGTGTTAATGTAAATAAAAAAGGAGAAAAGAAAGATGCGTATGCAATAGGAAGAAAATAAAAGATTGAAAAGTAACCTCTTTATGTAGATAACCTCACGCGAAGGAAAAACAGAGGGTGGAAAAAGAAGAGTACAAGCAAACAGTAATAATAATGGAGAAAGATGAAAAATGCTTTTTTAATAAATAAACTGCAACGATAGTAAAAAAAGGTGAAAAGAAAAAGATGGGTTGTAAATGAAAATAAATAATAATTGACTTGGGATAATGATGCCTTTTTTTGAAAGTGTGAATGAAATTATTAAAGCTGAAACAAAAATGAAAGTTTAAAGCATATTATTCGTGTCGTTGACTAGCAATTAGAAAAATGTAAATAAGGGGTGGAAAAATTGAAAAGATGACAGGGACCTTTGAAAAAATTTTGTTGTGTGGAGGAATGGACGGCATTTTAAATGAAAACAGGCAAACGCACCCCCGTGAAAAGGGAAAACGAAAACGAAAAGGGAAAATTTGAGGGAGGATAGTGTTTGGGATGGAAGTATAGCCCACAAAAATAAATCCCGCCATGACCTGTAAGCATACGCGCATCGCAGAAAGAAAGGACGAAAATGCTGATGATTAGGTAGGGGGGGAGAACAAGCAAGGGGGGTGTTGGGTGCGTGCATGTTTCTTTTTTGGCAGTAGGGCGCAAAATGGGGTGCATATCATGTTGATCATTTGATTTTAATGTTTACAGAAACAACTTATAAGACGCAAAAAAATAAAAATCAATATGGCTTCTGTTTCCTCGTATTCTCGCTACACAAAGAACAACGGAAGCTGGGCGCCGGTCTACTCCCCCTTTCAAAAATTCAAAATGTCCCAAAAAGAAGATAAAAAAGTTGAAGCTGAAGCGCAACTTCTAAATAAAAAACATGTATATTCCCTCTTGTCCCTACCTCCCATTGCCATCTTTTCGCGCCAAAAGCCTGAGATTTGCTCACTAAAAATAAATAAAAGCGTGAATAAAGATTTACACACTCTATCGCGCACTATTGGTGCCACATCCACTCACATTTCTTTTTTTCTTCTCTCCACATATCAACCAGTTCCCAAAAATGGCTATTCGGCCGTTGCAATAATGACCGGACTCTGATTGTGCACACTCTCGTATCCACTATCTCGCTCCCACTTGTCATCATGCCGTTATTTGACCTTTTTTTGCTGCGTATAAAAACGAAACAAATAATGAGCGAAATAGGTATCACTTATTCTCTATTTTGTCTCGGCTGCATGTTTGCTTGATGTCACCTGCATGCGTATGTGTGACCTCTACTCATTCGCGTATAGTATTCTACAGCTTTAAAAGGCAAAAAAATAGTGAAATATGTACGGGAAAAAGCATTTATTTATATTTTATTTTTCATGTGCGTTTACATTTTCAACGCCTAATCTGCGTTGGTTTTGCTTATTATTATTTTTAACCTATTCGAGCTCTTTCCGTATTATTTGGCTCTCCCCATCTCTTTCCATTACTGCCCATCCTTTTTCATTTTCCTCCAATGCCATCATCACCATCACTACCGTCCGATTGCCTGATTGTTTGTAAATAAAAAACTGAAAATATACGAAATTCTAATAATCGTGTAATTGATTGTATTATCTGTCCCTTTGTTGTTGACAATATTACTGATTTTATATTATTAGATGAAAAAGCACATTTCATTATCATTATCGATATCCGGCAGCACTCCCCGGTAAATTAACCAATTCTGAATCAAATAAATGAATGTAAAAAGTAGAGGACTACTACTCGGACGATATTCCCGTATCTTGAATGATTACCATGTACAATAAATACACTGCAAACCCCAATAAACATATAGATGAATTAATGCGCAATTTAGGGAGCGTAACATACGCAAAAAATCCGTGATTTGTGCAATGCGATGCATGATTGGATGGGGGAAAGATGAAGGCGACAGAAGACGGCTTTATTTTTTGTTTGTTTAATTTTTTGTTTGTTTGCTGCGTGATAACAAGCAAAAAAAAGCAACGTTAAAATAGTGTAAATATTAGACAACACAAAAGCTTACACTATACTGGGTCACAAGGCAAGGGTTTTTTCATCCTCGTTGTTTGTTTTCCAGCTAAAAATAAAAAAATCTCTAACAAAAAAACTGACCAGCATCGATAACGACAACAAAAATATTCTTGCTCATTGACTGACATTTTTTTGTTTTGACTCTATTGCATATCTGAAATGTATAGTATCGCTCAGTTGCCCGCAGTAAAAATAAACAAATAAATATATACCTCATTTTTATGTTGCCATCATCCATTTAATTATCATGTATTTCATTTTGAATTTTGAATTGTAATTTTTTTGCCAAAGCACATGCAAACAATCGCCGCTCATTTTACCACAAGAAATCATCCACCTCAAGCTCTACAATACACACGCAGACAAATAAAAAGAGTGTAAGCGCATATTGTACGTTTTTACACTATTCAAGTACTTTTCTTTGTAAATACAAAAAAAGAACCTTCGATTCAAATTCGAAATTAAAAAACCAATCAACTATTAGAACCGCATATGGACACCCGCCACATACAGTCAAAGAAATAAAATAATAGACCGAGATTGTCAATTTATTCTAATAGGGCATTTAACGTATTTTACTAAAAATAAAAAATACATATTTAATATATGGGGCTTCCGTGGATTGAACACGGGACCTTACGATCTTCAGTCGTACGCTACTCCCAACTGAGCTAAAGCCCCAATCTAACAGCAACCTCAACCGTTGCTACATAACCCAAAACCCAGCAACAATTATTTTTGATATAATTATTATTACAAATTAGCTGAGAAGCGCCAGCAGCTGTGGTTACAAAAATAGAAACCCTCTAACAACATGTAATCAATTATTGTTACTAGTTTATTATGCTTCCAACCTACTGTCATACCATTGGATTGCCGCTGTCCTGCCATACTTTTTTCTTCCGAGTTGCCACTCTCACTTACATATCAGGGTTTATTTTCACTGGTAACACACATTGCATCAGCCAGCAGAGTGTCTTTTGCACCTTGAAATCTGACTGTCGCTGTTATTTGAATTTGAACCATTATTGAACTATTTATTAATATTTTTTCTTGTATGGACAAACACATTCATTCCTGCTGCTAAAAGTAAGCAAAAGCCACGAACATTGCCAAAACATACAAAGTTATACAGTATACAATTGTATAGCCACTTTTGCTTTGTTCAGTTTTGTGTTTAGTACATTGTGTTTATTATTTTTAAGAAGGCTTATGTTCTAATGAACCTTTTTTATTTATTTATTTATGTGCTAGTGGTAAATACGTCGCCGGGTGCCAGCATATTTAATAGCAATGCCTGTGCATCAGCCGAAATACGTTCAAGTTGTTCGTTTGTATAAATCGCTGGTGGACTCATTGGCTCTATGAGCAGCATCTGCTGTGGTATCACTTGGTATTGAATGTTGCCCGCCATGCTCGGTTGAGCTACAGGAAGCACTTTTGCCGTGGACAATAGTGAATTAAATAATGCGGATCTGTTAACCTCATCAAACAAATCCATTATACTGCTGTTTAAAAACTGCTGATTTGTTGTGCTTGCCGTTTCATGCTCCTGCTGCAATTCATTACTAAATAATGTACTGTTTGAAAATATACTATCCAAATCAAAACTAGCACATATGTCATTGCTGTTCACACTATTGGATATAATTGGTACGTCAACATTTGGGTAAGAGTAATTCAAGTTATTTTCAGGAAACATTGAAAATAAGTTGTTACTGAAGTCGTCTTCTCCAAGCTGGTCAGCCTTGTCAGATTTAGGTGGTTTAACCGGCATATTGACAACGTTGGTCCTAATAAAACAAGGAGCCTCAGTTTTTTTTTTTTTAGTCCCAATGGTTAGTAAGCCTTTAGATACTGCCGTTATATCATCAATAAGTTGTTTAAGCACATTAGCCAGCTCCTCTGTGGTTGAGTGTATTGAAATGTACGGAACATCTTCATTAAAGGAGTTTGAGTTAATAATCTCGCTAATATAAGTGTTTGACAAGTTTAACACGGACCCATTAAGGTACTTTACGAATGAATCCCCACGACGTAAACACAATGTTTGAATTAATCTCTCCGGCTCATCAAGGCTTTTTGAAGTTTTAAACATTTCCGACTCGCTAAACTTGCCTGAAACAATGCAATTGTCTGGGTCACACCAAAACATGTGTTTGTGAGTTGTATATTTCAACATCAGTTTTACTATCAGCTTGTTTTCAGGATTGGTGTTTGTTTGGAGATTATGTCTATTAATGTTGCTAATAACATTGGAGATGATCTTTTTTGTGTCGTTATCGAGTGATTGTTTTCGAAAGTAGCCAGTGGTGTTTATCAAATGTAGCGGTGTTATCCATTGGGACAGTGTTTCACTTAGCTTTGTGTTTACATGACGTAAGCTTTGCTTCTTATCCACAGATTTCCAAAGCCGAATTAAGAGCGATAGCATTCCGAAGCAGTTTTTGTCTGGCTTGGACTTGTTTAAAATAGAGAGGCGTGTTGCTAGCTCGTCACTGATTTCCTTTATTTGCAAATCACTGTCACCTGGTTGTATTTTGTGGTAAGCCTGCTCTATAATGGCCATGTCGCTAGTGTCAAAGCAATGGTGCATGTACAACAGCTCACCGCCTTCAATATTTATGTGCTTCGAAAGCTCCCAAAAAAAGTTGGCGGATTCTTCTGCCATCCATGTTTTGCACATGGTTATTTGCTCTCCATTGTCGCAGGGCTTCATTCGGGTTTTGAATATTGGTGTGACAGCGCATCCGTCGTGGGTTTTTAGCTTCTTTAATGGTTGAGACATAATTTAAAAGTGTTGGAGTATAAATATATAAGATAAAATAAATAATAAGTGTAGTAAAGTAAAATGAATTGTCGACAGTATATTTTTTTGAAAATGGACAATCCATAGAAAAAAGTGTACGCTTATTTATTAGCTTTTACACAATGTCACCTTTGTATTCTTTTTTGAAAAGGCGAGTGCCAAAGAAAGAAAACAATAGCTTTCTAACGGATTTTACCAAAGCTTTAAATATACATTGCAAAAAAAACCAGTATTCCCTTTTCATAGCCAGCTCGGCACTAATGCCACCTAGCATTTGACCCAACTAAGCTTATGTGGCGCTTCTCGCCACATTACAGCCTACTCGAATTTTCAACAAAAATTAACGTCAGCTACAGGATTTGAACCTGTGCGGGCAGCGCCCAACAGATTTCTAGTCTGTCGCCTTAACCACTCGGCCAAACTGACTAATTTGTAAACTAATGATTTACTCGTTAAGAATAATAATATAGAAGCATACTTAATGTAAATATATTTATTTTTATTGCTTATTTTAAAACAACCGAACACATATTTATATATGAAGCAACCAATTGAATGGCATTCCAACATGGTCAAAAAATGACGTTGCCATTTTTATCTACTTTAAAAATGAACACCGCTTTAAATGAACAAAGTGTGCTTAATATACCAATAAGCATAAATAATTATCTAGAACTTGTATGTACTTGAGAATAGCTATGCTATTAAATAATAGAGTAGTCAGTATATAGTGTTGTCGTGTAATTAAAAATTTTATATATTATATTTTCACATACTATTGAGATTAGAGTATTTTATACAATACAATATGCACATCACAATCTGAACATATCACAAAAAACAATAGATTGGTCAATTTGTTTGTTCAGTTTCTCACAATATACATATATATAGTGCATTTTTAACAAGTAATGTACAAGCACAAATGTGACATCAATTATTGCGATGTCACGTGACAATCGCAATTGGGAATTTGCGATTGTTTGAAATTGTGATTGTTTACGATCGCGATTTCTATTTTCACGGGCGATAGTTTCGAATAGATAAGCGGAGCTCTTTAAGCTCCCTTATAGTGGATTTTTAATAAAATTAGTTAGTACGAATAAGTTTTATTACAACAAAGGTTTTGGTTGAATTTATTAAAAATATACAAACATAAAAGGCTGAAATAAATTAAAATTGTCACAAAGATAGAGTGGTTTATTTTTAACATTGTTGTTGTGGTTGTTAACGAGTGAATTCAATAAACGTACCTAAAACTATATTCTAAAAACTAGGAAAAGAGAAGAAAGTGAACTAATAAAATGCTGTTGTTGTTTTGCCCTTTTTATGGCTGTGAGTCTTTCTACTCACAAGGAAAAGGGCAGCTGATGGGCATTTCCTATTAAGGAAATATGTGCCCAACATTTGAGGTAAGCCCTTGCAAATTCGAGTTCAAGATCCGCAATATGTGCAGTACTGTGAACGTTAATTATATATTTTATTTCTTTTTTCTCATTATTAATCTGTTCAATTTTGTGTATAGTAATGGATCTCAAGTGGTGTAATGCGATTTGGACTAGCTATAATATATATTAATAGAAATGAGACTACGGAAAGAGCTGAAGAGCTCACTATTCAGAATTCGCCGTACGCGTAAAATATCATAAACATATTTTACGCGTCTGCGCTATCACGTGACTCGGCCCCCATTTCTGATGTCACAAGTGGGGTATTTTAGTCGAAGGGATGATTTGTGATGCGTTAGCTGCCAAAGTACCTTGGGGCTTCTTGGGCAACAATTTTGCCATTAGCGAGGCCAGTGTCTTACTAGCAGGCCTGGCAAGGGGTCTAGGTGACATCGACGAAGGTTGTCCAAAGTTCATTGTGAGGTGAAAATATTGATTTGTCGGGTGTAATAGTGCGTCTAAAGTTTGAAAATAAAGAATAGTAATCTGTGGTGTATTAAATGAAACAATAATGATTTGAATAGCAACAAGCGAGGTTGTACTTATATATATATATATATATATATATATGTTTTTTTGCTCTGGAAAAGTATCTAATAAAACAAAAACAATGTGCAGCCTCAACCACTAACCTGAAATTAAAAATTAAAAAGGCTGCGCACTAGGCGCAGTCACACTAATCACATTATTCCGCTCATTTTTTGTTTGGGTGACTTGGCAGACAAATTAGCACCATTTATTTTTAAAACATACTAAATATAATAATTAGAAAGAATAAGCATGACCATTGCCACCTCGACAGCAAGGAGAGTTCCCCTGTTAAATGATAGACTTGAAGCAGATTGTATAGTTATATGAAAAGGCAAGGAAATTTGAGCAAAAAAACGCGAGGCATGCTAGTGGTGTTAATCCCCTTTATTTCCCCTCTTTCCCTGCTTTTCCATCAAATGACTGACTGCGCACTTGGCGTTTTCTTCAACAGTCACAATGCCCATTCGCCTTGCCACATGGTACGGGTGATAAATGCAAAAAATCCAGCTTTTGGCGATGTACCATCTCTAGTCTTTGCTGCGTACAAATGAAAATGGAGGGCTGTAGAAACAACAAGTACGCACAAGAACCAGGTAGAAAAGTATCATTATTGGCTACACTTTTTTTACATTTTATTAAACATGTAATGTGATGATTACTCGTAAAATACAAACAATGAATGTGTAATGCGATTTGGACTAGCTATAATATATATTAATAGAAATGAGACTACGGGAAGAGCTAAAGAGCTCACTATTCAGAATTCGCCGTACGCGTAAAATATCATAAACATATTTTACGCGTCTGCGCTGTCACGTGACTCGGCCCCCATTTCTGATGTCACATTCGCCCCTACTTAAGATCAGACTCCGTCGGTCTTGGCGATAGCGCGCGCGGTTAAATATCGTTCATATGCTTCTGTCTCATCCACGCTACTCTTGTCCTCCCATGTTCGTCCTTCTATTCCATATCCTTCCCACTGCACCAGGTATTGGCGTTTTCGCCTCCACACACGGTCGTCAACAATCTTTTCGACCTGATACTCGAGGTGTCCTGCAACTTCTACAGGTGGTGGTTCAGAGCGGAGTGCGGCACGGTGATCGTCGGCAGCATGGTATTTTTTTAGGTGTGACCACGAAATGACCGGGTGAATGCGCATGTCGAGTGGGAGTTTGAGGCGGAATGCATTTCGGCCGATCTGTTCTTCGACCTTGTAGGGCCCAGCCCATTTATGTTGCAGTGAGTTGCTGGACCGGTTACGCAGGTAAGGTGGCGTTGTAAAGTTCGTCGAGATCATTACTTCATCGCCTGGCACAATGTCGGGTGAGGTTATCTTCTTGTCGTGGTTTCTGATCATGCGTAGCTGTGCGAATTCGATGTTTTCCTTGACTATTTCGCTAATCTGTTTAATCTTCAGGATTGTATCGTCGGCGTCGGTATTGGGCTCAGTAGTTTCCATGTTGAAGGCGATGGTGGCGGCGTTCAATGGTTGGAAGCTATAATTTGCATAGAATGGGCTGTGCTGTGTCGAGCTGTTGCTGCGACTATTATAGGCGAACTCTGCATGCACTATGTGTTGGTTCCAGTCGTTTTGGTAATTGTTGCACGTCGCACGCAGCATTGACTCCAGTATCTGGTTCACACGCTCAGTCTGTCCATCAGTTTGTGCATGGCCGGCAGTGGACATGTTGAGTTGCGTTCCAGTTTGCTTCCACAGTGCCATCCAGAATGCAGAGCGGAATTTCGGATCACGGTCTGATATTATGGACTCGGGCAGGCCATGTTGGCGGTAGATGGTCTTGAAATACAGGTCGGCGGTTGTCTGGGCGGTTGCGGCATTGTGTGTTGGTACAAAGTGTGCCATCTTGGACAGGCGGTCAACGACGACCATGATTGCATCATATCCGTCCTTTGTCTTAGGTAGGCTGACAATGAAGTCCATGCTCACACTTGACCAGTTGCGTCGCGGGATCTGTAGCGGCTGTAGCGGTCCATCGCTTGGCCTGTTGCTGCCTTTGACTCTTTGGCACAGGTCACACGTTGTGACATAATTCTCGCAATCCACATACATGCCTGGCCAATAGAATAGTTCACTCAGCTTGTCGTATGTTGCTTTTATACCCGGGTGTATTGCAGCATCATGGAACTCGGCCAGCAGTAGTGATCTGTCTTGCTTTGTTCCAACGCAGCGGCGTCCTTTCTTGAACAGGACACCACCCTGTGCATGGAATTTGTTTGTAATGTCGCGCTCGGCTCTGGATGTTGGTTCTTCGCCACTACTAATCCTCTCCATAATTTTCTCCAACTTGCTGTCGCCCTTGTAGGAGTTCTCAGGGTTCGCGCTCGTCTTCAGCGTTAGCGCTTTGACAGCAGCCATGCGGACTGCTATCCTCCCCCCTTTTCCTGAAGAGCCGAACCCGTTGGCTCCACCGGCTGTCTCCTCAAAGGACTTGACCTCAGTGATGTGTGAGTGTGCGATCTTGGTTGGAATCAACTGTGCTATGCGGTCATGTGCAGCGAACGGAATCTCTATATTGCCTGTGTTGAACAGGAGTACTGAAATCTCACCGCGGTAGCCCCCGTCGACTATTCCTCCGAGCACCACAACACCCTTGGCAGCCAGGCTACTGTGTGGGGCAATGCGCAGGTATGTGCCTATTGGCGCCTTGGCGGCGATGCCTAATGGGACAAGGTGTTGGGCCTTGGGCTCGAGCACAAACTTGGTTATACAGTATACATCAAATCCAGCGTCATCTGGATATGCCTTGCAAGGCATCGTCGCATCGTCGTGTAGCAGCTGAACCTCCATGCTGTTGGCAGTTGTGCGTGGCACAAACAGTGCGCACAGTTTCCATTTTTCAAATTGGTCTATCAGGTCGTCGTTGTGCGTATTGTCCTTTGGCTGGTCAGTCTCCATGGTTGCACTCGTCGTTTCTGCAGCCACTGTCTCTTGTGTTCGTTTGGCTTCTGTTTCGGCTTCAGCGCGACATCCGCGTTGGTAGTTCTTGTAGTGCAGCGACTTGCGCACATATTCAGCACGGTTTAGTTCTCTGCGCTCATCGGCAGTCAAATATGTTCTGTCGACCACGGCTGGCGTTGGCGGAAAATTCGTTGTCTGTGCAGCTGGAGTGGTTGTCTTGATATTGGGCATGGGTATGGGCATAGGTATAGGTACGGATGTGTGTGCGGCGTCATCGTTTTTACTCGTGTTGTTCAGCGGGGCATCATTTAGTGGTATAGCTGGTGCAGTCCGTCCTGTCGGTGGCGTCAGTGCCATGTGTGGCACCTTGCCTGAATGTGACGCTGCGTATACTATGTTGTCGGGTTGCGATTCGAGTGAGCGTGACAAGCCGTCAGCAACTGCATTTTGAGCGCCCTTGCGGTAAATGATTTTCATGTCGAATTCCTGCCAGATATCCAGCCAGCGGGCCTGGCGCGGGGATATGTTGTTTTGCGTCTTAAGGAACTCGATTGATTTGTGGTCTGTAATCACTTCAAACTTGATGCCATGTAGGTAATGCCGCCAGAGGACCAGTGCACGAATGATTGCAAGAAGTTCTTGCTCGTGGACTGCATAGTTGCGCTGTGCTGGTCCCAGCTTTGCCGAATAGAATGCCACTGGGCACCACACCTTGTCATGTCGTTGGTGTAGGACACCGCCAATTGCAGAGCCGGATGCATCTGTCTCGACTCTCGTTTCGCAAGTTGGATCATACTGATGGAGTATTGGTGCTGTGGATAGTTGCTGCTTCAGCTCGGTGAAAGCCCTGTCAGCCTGGTCGTTCCACGAAAAGTCGGTATTGCATAGCAAATCGGTCAGCGGTAGTGCTATTCTAGCATAGTTTTTAATAAACCGGCGGTAGTAGCCGCTTAATCCAAGGAATGCGCGGATGTCTGTAATTGTCTCTGGCGTGCGCCACTCTTTAACGGCATCTACTTTGCGTGGGTCAGTCGCAATACCCTTGCCTGAAATGACAAACCCAAGGAAGTCGACTGTGTCTTTGAAGAATGCACATTTTTCGGGTTTTGTGTGCAGGTTGTGCTCCTTGAGGCAGGCGAGTACATCCTCGAGATCTTTTGCATGGTCGGCGTCATTCTTTGAAAAGACTAAGATGTCGTCTAGGTACACGATGCACGTTTTGCCAAGTAGGTTGCGCAGCGCATGGTTCATGACACGTTGGAAGACGGCAGGGGCATTTGTCAGCCCGAAAGGTACAACTGTGAATTCAAATGACCCTTGTTTTGTGCGGAAGGCAGTTTTGGCGATGTCTGCATTGCAAATTCGCACCTGGTGGTAAGCCTGTACCAAATCGATTTTCGAGAAAACTTTTGCGCCACGGGTGTCGTCAAGCAAATCGTCTATACGCGGCATTGGGAATGCATCTTTTATCGTCACTGCGTTCAGGCCACGGTAGTCAACACACAGGCGCATTGATCCATCCTTTTTCTTGACAAAGAGGACTGGTGCACCCCATGGGGAAGATGACGGGCGGATATACCCCTTTGCAAGTAAGTCAGTCACTTGTCGGTCTAGTTCATCCATCTCTGCATGTGACAGGCGGTATGGTGCCTTGGTCACAGGTGCTGTGCCCTCATGTACATGGATTTCCATCTCAGGGCCGCCTGGTGGTGGTCGTTTGGAGGGCGGCTGATCAAGGACTTGGGTGTATCTGGCATGTAGCTCCTGTAGCGCCCTGTCTTGTGTCGTCGTGGTTGCTGCCACATGGATTGCTGGATTGGTATCGTTGTCAGGGAATGTAATTCGTAGCCATCCCCATTCCTCAATTTGGTCGTTTGCACGTGCAGTTTTCAGTGCACTGATTGACATAGGCTTCAGCTGGTCCTCGTCGGTCCGAGGCTCTGCATTACCCCGGATGGACCAGCTTTTCCCGCCATAGTCAAATGTCACCTTGTCAAGGTGGCTGTGGATCGTGGCCTTGTGTTTTTTTAGCCAATTATTTCCTAATATTATATCTTCGGAAACTGGGAGAACAAGGCAGTGTACTGTAATTGTTAGGTTGCTCAGGAGGCGCAGCGTTACTGTGCACGACTCGGTGCAGTCCTTGTAGTGTGCGCCATTGGCCAGTTGTATTGGTTGGCTGTGTTGTAGTCGTTCGGATTTCAGTTTAAGTCGGTCGCGGGTCTGTTCGTTGATGATGGTAATTTGTGATCCATTGTCGATGAGCACACGGATGGCTTTGGTGTCTATAGTTGCATTTAAAATCAGTTGGGGCTCAGGTGAGGTTTGTCTGTTAATAGCGGTTTTATTTGGGGGGCAAACGGCAATTTCAGAGATGATAAGGGCAGAGGACTCACATCCACTCATGCCCTTCTTGCTTTTGGGTGTGTATTCTTAGGGCAGCGATGCCACTTGTGTTCATCACTGCCACACCCAAGGCACACGTTGTTGGCAGCCCACTTCTCAAACATCTCCTTGGTACAGCCCGACTGCTTGGAGACACTTGCAAATGGCGGCAGGCCACTGCGTCTCCTTTCTGTCTGCACTGCATTCACCATTATTGCATCCACATTCATAGCTGTATTATCATGACGGCCATGAATGCGCAGGAAGGCTCTGGCACGGGAAGTCAGTGCATCAATCTCGTATACTGTCGAGCTTGTCGATTCGCTCAGAATCTGCTGGTTGAGCATTGGTGGTAGCTTCATGAGGAAGGTCGTGGTCACATGCCTGTCTGAGAGTTTGAATTCCAGAATTTCCGCGAGGTACTTGAATTGCACCACAAACTCCTCTAAGGTCTCTAATGTCCCAGGCTGTTGTAGGTGGTAGTATTTGTGCAGTGTGTCATAGTATGACACTGCACGCGAGTATGTAGTTGTCAGGAACTCCTTGAACGTTCCCCAGTCGCGGTGGTCCTTGTTGTGTTCTGTACAGTGTCTGCGGTACTCGTTTTTCTTGTCTGTTGGGATCTTGTGTGAGGCTACAAATACCCACTCACTCTCGTCTAGCTTTGCGTGGATAAAGTGCTCCTCAGTATCTCTCACCCAGGGTCCAACGGCAATTGCCACCTTCTCTGCGTTGTCCTCGTCTGGTGCCAGTGTCGGGCTGAATCTCATTGCCGATTCGTATGGCGACATTCCAGTCATGGTTACTGTTTTTTTTTTTGTTTTTTTGTTTTTTTTGTTTTTATATATATATATTAACCAGTTTGTCTGTCGGTCAGTCAGTCGTTGATGAGGAAGCGCGGGTTTTCGAACTTGAGGTGCTACCAAATGTAATGCGATTTGGACTAGCTATAATATATATTAATAGAAATGAGACTACGGGAAGAGCTAAAGAGCTCACTATTCAGAATTCGCCGTACGCGTAAAATATCATAAACATATTTTACGCGTCTGCGCTGTCACGTGACTCGGCCCCCATTTCTGATGTCACAGAATGTATACTTAGTTATTATCCATGTATATGTGTACGCCTTCACTCGCTGTCAATTAAACGATTGAATTTTTGTATGTGCGTTGTTTTTAATTGGTAATTGTACAAAAATCAGGTTAAAAGGACTCTTGGTCGCATTGACACTGCAAATAAGGTTTGGAAAAGTAACGGCTCGTTCAACTAAACAGCTAATCTGAGAACGCTAATGTCGCGAGCCGTTAATTTTCGATTACGATCTATTTTCCATTGGCTAGATTAATCGTCGGTTTTAATCGATTGTCGTCATTTTTTTGTTGGGGAGGAAAAAAAACCAGATTGGTGTGTGACTGTTGTCCCTCGAGTGCACAAATTGCAGGCATGCTCGAAAAGGAAGCAGAGAAAAAAAAGCGAAAATTTTTATCATCGCATCTTTTTTTTGCCTTCCTGCTTTGCTTGTCTTTTTTGCTTCTTTAGATTTCCTATTCAATCTTTTTTATACACTGACTGGCTGTCTTTTTCCCTGTTTACGCGCCAGCTCACCATTCTTCTCTTTATCTTTCATTTTTTGTATAGCGTAACTTTTTACTGACAAATAGACAATTAAACATGGCCATCTCCGCATCGAAGCAAAAGCGCATGGCAGCCAAGGCATCCAAGGGCACCTCCGCCGCCACCACCACCATCAAGAATGCCGATGGCAAGTCTATCGAAAAGACCATGAGCGAGCTTAAGCTTGAGGCCAAGCTGGCCACTGACCGCTCGGCCACCGGTGTGCTCACCTCTAACCTCCTTGGTCGCGACATTCACATTGACTCATACTCGCTGTCATTCCACGGACGCATGCTTATCGAGAACGCCCGTGTCGAGCTCAACTACGGTAACCGGTATGGTCTTCTGGGAGACAACGGCTGCGGTAAGTCGACCTTCCTGCGCTCCATCGCTGAGGGCGATATTGAGCTGCCGCCTCATATGGACACCCATCTTCTGAGCGAGGAGGCTGCGCCTACCGACCTTAACCCCATCGAGTACGTCGTCAAGGCTGCGCGCGACGAATATGCGCGTCTTGAGCGGGAGCTAGAGGATATGCTGGCTGAGGACGAGACCGGTGACAACCCCCTTCTCGACGGCATCTACGAGCGCATGGACCAGATGGACTCCAACACATTCGAGCCCCGCGCCGCCGAACTCCTCTACGGCCTTGGCTTTGATAAGGACCGCATGGATCTGCCGACGAAGGCCCTTTCCGGTGGCTGGCGCATGCGCGTTGCGCTTGCGCAGTGCCTGTTCAAGCGGCCTACCGTGCTCCTGCTCGACGACCCCACCAACCATCTCGACCTGCAGTCAGTCGTGTACTTGGAGGAGTACCTCAAGACATACAACCGCATTCTGGTCATTGTGTCGCACTCGCAGGACTTTTTGAACACTGTGTGCAACAACATTGTACACATCACTCCCAAGCGGCGGCTCATCTACTATGGTGGTAACTACGACATATTCGTGCGCACCAAGCAGGAAAATGAGGTCAACCAAATGAAGGCTTACGACAAGCAGCAGGAGGAGATTGCCCACATTAAAAAGTTCATTGCCTCGGCTGGTACTTATTCCAATCTGGTTCGTCAGGCAAAGTCCAAGCAGAAGATTATTGACAAGATGGAGGCTGCCGGTCTGATCGAGAAGATCGAGGTTGACCGTAAGATCAAGTTCCGCTTCCCCGACACCACCCGTCTGCCCCCACCTGTGCTCAGCTTTGACGACGTCACTTTCAGCTACGATGGAAAGATTGAGAACGCGCTGTACACTGAGGTCGAGGCTGCCGTTGACATGGACTCGCGCATTGCCCTAATTGGTCCCAATGGTACCGGTAAGAGTACCCTGCTCAAGCTCATGTCCGGAGAGCTCGATGCTACCTCCGGCCGTGTCCAGCGCCACACCAACCTGAAGCTGGCCAAGTACAGCCAGCACTCCAACGACCAGCTGGACGGCGACAAGTCACCCATTGACTATATCCGCAGCAAGTTCCCTCAGGTCTCCCAGGACATCGACTTCTGGCGCCAGACGCTCGGTCGCTTTGGTCTGTCTGGTAACCACCAGACCAATGCCATCAACACTCTGTCCGATGGTCTTAAGAGCCGTCTTGTTTTTGCCGAGATTTCCCAGCAGGCCCCTGGCATTATTCTTTTCGACGAGCCCACTAACGGTCTTGCTCCTGAGGCCATCGATGGCCTTGCCGATGCCATCAAGGAGTTCAACGGCGGTGTTGTCCTGGTTTCCCATGACTTCCGTCTGATCACCCAGGTTGCCAACGAGCTGTGGCTGTGCGAGGGTGGCGAGATTGTCAAGTTTACTGGTTCCATTGAGGAGTACAAGGAGAACCTGCGTAAGCAGGTCAACCTCAGCGGATAAGCATGCTTTTTTGCTCACTTTACAAAATAAAATACAACCCTTTTTTATTAACTATCAGCGTGAAAAGTTGATGTGCAAGCAAAAAAAAACTGGCTGCCTCTACACTTCACAAGTGAAATGTAGCAAAAATGTACGATCGCGCCAGGGCTCGAACCTGGAATCTCTTGATCCGTAGTCAAGCGCCTTATCCATTGGGCCACGCAACCTTTATAAACAGGCAATTAAGCTGCTAATTATCTTATTGATTGCTAAATCTAATTATAAAACAGGCTCTTGACAAAATAATATTTTTTGTTGTAAAGCTAAAAAAAATATTTGATTGGATTGTAAACCTGGCCAATAGGGGCCAGTAAAGCGCGACGGGCAGCTGCTACCAATAAACGCTACAAATTATTATAATATAAAATATTTAGTATATATCGAATGCAAACTATGATAAGCGCGTGGGATCTCTTATGCCGCACATATGTAGACAAATATCGAAACAGATGACAATAACACAACAAATGCTATTTTGATCCACCTCGAAATTGCATCAATTTCTACTGATATCGTTCTCTGGCAAAAGCAGGTTCAATCACGAACACCGCGTGCCTTCACAATCAATATGATTGGATCAGGACCATTGGGTGACGTCCTACATCTGTCCGATGCATCTGTGCGCGTCTGCGGGCCTCAGCCCAGGTCGCTGGCCTGGGTCGCAGCCCCCTCCGAGGCGTTCTCAACAGTAGTATTGACACATTCAACGCGAAAAATCATGTTTGATTTTTCTTTGTTGCACAAGTGTTCTTTTTTCTTAAAAAATAATAAAACAGTGAAATGTTCCACTGCTTGCATATTTTATATAAATACACGCCGCCAATAACGTTTGAATAGCGGTGCAAACAATGATGGCATCAACACATAATGTATAATTAAAATATTTAATATTGTTGGATAAGGTTTATATGTTAAAGCCAACCAAAACAGGGATAGTGACTTTTTATTCATCACTTGTTTCTAGTGAGAATGTCAATGCTCGGCTTTTATTTTGACCTTTGCTATTTAAATGACAAAACTTGCATAATTATAAAATCAATATCAAAATACTTTACTTGTATTAAGACCAAGCAACTGAGTACCCATCAACTAAACGTTTACTTGGCTTTAATCACTGTCAACTAATTTGACAAGCACGCGCTTAATGTGTTTTTGACATAACCGTTGTTTCACAAATCGGCCGAGCTTACGTGCTGAGACTCGCCACAGTTGGCTGGCCGTTTCGTAGTTTAAAAAATGCTTCAAGACTCAGGAAATGCAAAGCGACAAAGCATCATTTTTTGATCTATAATACACAGCACAAAAGCATACACTGAAGCGGCAGTGACCGTGCTAGCAAGCGCAAAGTCGACAAATAAGGAAATAAAATAAATGTTGGGGGTAGAAAAAACAGATCAACCTTGAACTCATAAAGCCAATTAACAAAAAAGAGGCAAAAATAAGCTCTCTGACCGGGAATTGAACCCGGGTCGCCAATGTGACAGACTGGCGTACTCGCCACTATACTATCAGAGATTGCTTAAACTGATTTTTTGAAGCTAATCAGTTACTGTTGATAGGCATTAATTAAAATAGTATAAATACTATATAATAGTTGAAGGCAATAATTTATTTGTGGTTTATTAAACATAGTTTTGGGGTTGCCACTCAGAAATATCAATTGAGCTGCTGATGGCAGAGCATAATACCAGGCTTAGAGACTAAAAATCACCGTTTTGTAATATAAATCCAACTGGTAAAAATATATATTAAGGATAGAAACTATTGGAAGGCAGATTATGCCCTCTGAAATATATATAAGCAGTGAGCAACATGATTTTAACGGGTTTATTATAGGGGCGCTTATTTAATGGAATAATAAATTAAAATACATAGTAAAACAGCAGGTACAACCAACAACAAATAATAAGAGTAAATAAATAATATCTAGAAATAGGTTTAAATCAGTTTAGGAGATGGCAGCGGTGACAGCAGTACTGTAAAACATGTAAATATAAATGGTCAATATGCTGATACAATGTAGGTTGGAGGATAATTCCAACAAAATCTCAAATTACTAAACGTATGAATATAAAGTGAGTAGAATAATATGTAAAAATCAATACGGAACCACTCAACAGCTTGCAGCAGGTTTTTATGTAAATGGTTGATAGTGCATAGTGCATAGACAAATGCTTATGCTATTCCAAAGTTTCAATGACATATGCAATTTAAAATACAGGGCATATAAATTGGGATTTCAAGACAAACAATCACACACATTAATTTATATCAGCCGTTTGACTGAATGTATAGTAAGAGCAGGATGCTATTTTGGAAACGCACACAACCAATGTAAGGCACAATTCAACAAATGCAGAATAAAAAATGAGTGCGCTACATTCTGTGCATTATACAGAAAATAAAAAATAAAATTGGCAACCATTTTATAGTTAGTTTTTTGCCTGGTTTATACACAATATAAATTCCCTACATACCTCTGGAAACAGAGGTGAAACCCCTAGTTATCGCTTGAAAATGTCCTATTTATTGCTCCCTCGTGCTTTTTTTTTAGCTTTTACATTGGTTGGTTGGATTTTGAATCGACAGTATCAATACATACATTTCTACACTTAATCTTGCTCAAGCATGAGCTGGTTTTAGCTCAAAGTTTGTGCCGGCAAGCGCAGTGTTTTCAAATGGTGTTTAAAATATATCAATTCATATAAATGTTTAAACTGCCAAATGACCTCAAAACACTCAGTATTAATGGCAATACAAAAAATATATGTGCTGCTAGCTTACACAACGCACCACCAAACTAGGCAATTGCACATTTGCAGCAACCGTCTGGCTCTGTAGTTGCTAATGTTTGTGCTCTGTGTTATGTTTCACTTTGCCGAGTAGAAATTGTGACTGCCCACCATTTGTCATCTGCTGACTCTGGCCACAGCTACTGTATTCCTGCTACCCCTTTTGGCATCTTTTGTTGTAAATACACCGCTGGTTGCATTCGAAATCTGCACCAGTACATCCACTTTTAGAATGGTTTTGCCGACCACTGTACTGACCACCAACGAGGCACCTCTGACTGCTGCTCCCCAGACGCTGGCCACGCTCCAGCCATTTGGGCTCATTGCGACGCTGACAGCCTGCAGTAGGCTGATTTCCAATCCTTACTCAGCGTAAATTACTTCCACAGTTGCATTGCCCAATGCATCTATTGTGCTTGGTAGCCATTGTCTCCTCGTATCTCTGTTGCAGTGGAAGTTCTTTTTTGCGGGTCTAAATTATATAACTATTTTCTATTGCCTTTATTTATTTTTATACTCCTAACATTGTTTAAGTGTTTATGCTGTTTTATATGCTCAAATTTGTAATGTTCAAGTATTTTAAAGGTAAGTTTTTATTATTGTTGCCACTTTATACTACTCCTTTCCACACGCTGTGTCTTGTATCGTACTCTATAAAAATATGGGTCTAAATTATTATACTCAAGTATCAAAAATTACTTAAGGAACTGAAAAAAGGGGGCAGCACTGTGTGAGCAGTGCTGTAAACATAATGGTATTCCTTGATGTCAGCCAGCAATAACAGAAATTTATATAGCGGCCATGAAGGCAATCTTGATTCTTGAAAAAAGAAGATAATGGCTTGGAATGTGTGTTGGGCACCACATCTTGCTCACTTCTCTCAAAATTTTCTCACGTTTTTGTCTGTACATCTTCACTTGTTTTAACCATGTTTTTGCCTGGTTTTATATTTTATTGTAGTTTGGTTGTCTTCTACTCTTGTTTTTTATGTTTATCTCTGTTTTACGTAGGCCCACGCTAGCTCAGGGCCATATTTAAGCACTCGCACAAACACGCACTCGCTCAGAGACCTCACACACACCTATGTACTCTATTTTTTACTACCTCTTGGTCTGCTGTTATTTCCCCAATATCGCTGAAGGACCCATCTTTTTATTTTTTATTTTCTTTATTTTTTGCACATTCCTTTAGGTCCAGCATTCCTTTTCAGTTAATAACAAAATCAAGAACAAGCAAGTAGTCAAGCGCAAGCACACATACAAGCACTTGTACTGGTATTGGTTCAAGCACTCAAGCAAACCCAAGAGCCGGCACCCAGATTCCCTGATATTTCCCGCCTGCAAAGGGTGCTGAGAAAAAGGCTCGGGTGTAGGGTGAGCCAAATAGTATCCATTTTTTAGCATTGCTATTTTGCATTTTTGAATAAATGAAAATCCAAACCGAAAAACCAAAACTCGAAAAACCCCAAATCACAAAAAAAACCTAGACGGCATTTTATTTAAATAATTTAAAACTAGGTGTGCTACCCAGCCCTTTTGGCATGTAAAATACTCGGGCCACCCTAACACCCCTAGCTGGGGGTTTTATTATTATTAGACTGGCAAACAGCTATTGTTTTAGGAGTAAATTCCTATAATTTTTTCATTGTGATACATCAAACAAAAAGACAAATAAAAATGCAAAGACAAGTCAGCTTTTATCAAGCTTCATTTTAAAATAAGCTGTTGAGGGCTTGTTGTAGTTTGGTATAAGCAAGGAGACAGTATTTTGTGCAGTCCATTCTTTTTTATTTAATGGGAAAAGCAGTCAAAAATTCTATATATACCACATTTAAATGACAATATAAAGAGCAGGTTTTGCTCTGGAGAGGATATTATCCTTTTATCTTTCTTTATTTTATATATATAATTTTGTAACAATGAGCCCATCCAGCCTATTGCATCCACCAGCATATACGCCCAGTTTCAAGCCAAAGCCTGAGTCCAAGCTAAAGTCCAAGTCCAAGCTAAAGCCCGAGCCCGAGCTTATGGTCAATGTCGCTGTTATCTATTCATATGCAAAAACAACATTTTCTATTAGCACAGAAATCAACAAAATGTCAACGTTGAAAAAGTTAATGGCTGAAATATATGATAAACTCAAGCAAAAAAAAATACCAACACCGGGAGCATTGTGTAGTAAATTTGAAATGCTAAAACTTGTAAGTATAAGTGAACCAAAAAATAGTTTTCATTGGCAGGATTGTGAAGGTACAGTTCAAACGTTTATGAAGAAATGCAGAATAGCAGATCTAAAATTAGAGCTTCGTTTGGAATTGCGCAAAGTTCATGAACGTCTAAATGAAATGATAGATACTAATAAAAACAAAAACAGAAGACAAGTCGAATATCAACGATTCACAATATAATGATTTCTTATTTTAAAGGTTTTGAGATATCGAAAATCAATGAAAGTGTGGTGCCCAAACCACACACTGGATACACTCTTTCCATCTTCAAGAGTTACCGCAGACAAGTTTGTTATTATTGCCGTAATACCCATGCCTGACATTAGTTGTGCACATAAAATAGAACTAGACCTTTACAGTGCCATGTGGGCAGTGCTGCTTTTTTTTAGTTTTTCTTCAGACATTTCAGAAATTTATTTAATTGGTTCAATTTATCCCTTACACCCACACCTAGACATAACACACATAATCCCAACCAATGAAAAATATCTTTCAGCAAAGTATAAGTAAAGTAGTACCTTTGGCATAAAATGGCCCACCAATTAGGTTGATTTTGTTTTAGCACGAATAACTTGACCAACACTCTGCTTATCAGCTTATTTTTTTCCCAAAAAGAAAACCAGCTTTTAGGCAGAACAAAAACATAAGCATTATAAATTAGCAAGTGGTGAGCAAAGAGTATCTAGCTTGTAATTAAATAATAATCATATATAAAATCAATGCTGCTTTTTAGCAAACAGGGTTATTAGCACTAGTTTGTGACAGTGCCCAGTCAAAAAATGTACATTTGAATTTTCCTGTTTTTGCTTTATTGGATACATTCACATGTAATAAATGTAACTGTTGGTAATTTTAAAATATCAAGTATTAGAAGACAAGCAACGGGAAGTTCACTTTTCGATGTATATTTTTGTTTATATATTATGTTTTACCTGAGCTATAAATGTTAAATAAACCTATTTTTACAAAACCATCCAAAATAAAAAAATACCAAACATAATTAACATGTTTTTAAACATACAGCTTGATTCTAGCAGTATTTTAAACATAGTTCTTTTGCTGAGAGATTTGGTATAACATCCAACCCCAAAGACTACGAGTTTGACAAAAAAGGCTACTATGCAGTTGTTTAAAAAGCAATGCTTCATTCATGCTGCCAACTGAGCTGGCCATCAACCTTTTCTATACTGACCTTGGTAGTTTGCCTTTTCCACGTTGTTTTAGGCGCTTGTATGCGCTCCTGTTTTAATGCAATAAAATTGGCATTGTCATTGATATTTTTATTGAATTCATTAAACACGCACCATTGTATATTAATAGACATACAATGGCTCTGCTGCGGTTTCTCTGATGTAGCTTTCAAATAAAAAAAGTGGCCACATGATACCAAATAAATAAATACAAAGTAATACTATAAAGCAAATATTTCGGTATTCCAATAAACTTGTCTTTTGGTTGTTCAGGCAGTAAACACAAACTAATACTCCAATAGAAATTGTACATGGCAGGGTTTGACAAAAAAATTAGTATAAAACACAAATAATAAAAGTGTAACAACTTGTGCCTTCTAAAAACATACCTATACTTCAAAAGACAAAAAACAAATAAAATTCTTTTAAAAATTGAAGTAGGAGTAGAGTAAATGAGCCCGCACATCCCTTTGTAGAGATTATTTAAATACAAATATACAAATAAAACCAGCATTTGTCTGTAGAAATAATTGTATTTTATATACCTATAAATAAACACTTTTGAGAGCGGTTTAACAAAATTAACCTTTTTCACCACTCTACTCTTTTTTATTTATATTTTCACCTATAACAATGAGCTTGTTCAACGCATTTTCTATACAAAACAAGCTCAAGGCCAAGGCCAAGCCCAAGGCCAAGCCCAAGGCCAAGCCCAAGCCCAAGGTCACTGCCACATACACATACCGTGGAGAACAATACATATTTCCTCTAGAAATACTCAGCTCTACTACGGTTAAAGAAGTATTAATCCAAATGTTTGCGGCTTTGAAAGCTAAAAAGCTACCCGCACCAGGCGCAAAAATTGACGATAAAGACAAACTAATCCTTACTGTGGAGAGCAAAAATATCTCTAATTTTAATTATTATGAAAGCCGTTTGTTAGAAGTCGAGAAGTTAATGAAAAAATATAAATTGGATAAATTAAATTTTGTGCTTAAAATAGAGAAAAACAGCAAGTGCATAGATGGCTACCCACCTGGTGCATTACAACATATGCCAGTACAAATGCTGAAGGCACAAAAATCACAGTCAAATTCAAATGCCACATTGTCAAGAGTTACTACTACTCAGTCACCAAGGACTGCAACACAATATCCCACATATATTCTACAGCCAGTGACAAATAATAACCATTCAGGAAGAAAGTTGCAAAATAACAGTATTGTCATGGAGAGAGTTGTCAAGAACAGACCAGTTATGAGAGTTTCTCTTGACAGTTCAACTTTCTTTCCTCTTAACTAAGAATGTGAAAGTATATAGCCCACCACCTGTTTATCAGCATCCCACCTACTTATGAAGCATCCCGAAATGGTAGGCACACCAGTGTATCTAACAGATGAGTAAAATACTAATCAACGTTGCATGAAAGGAAAATCTAGATAACAATATTAGCTTTGAGTTTGCATCAGCAAGGTATAACATGACAAGCAGGCATTATTTTGTTTTATTCTCTGAAGGTATATTCTTTTCATTTCGTTACACTGGTTACATTTTTTACATTCAAATTAGAATAATAAAATATATACAAAACATAATCGACATTGTTATTATATTAGGACAGATTTAAACAAACGCCAACATTTTTCATTTACTGGTGCCTAATTTCCCATCAATCAAACAATCAGATTACTAGATTGGGTACGCAAATAAATACAGGCAAATCAGAAGAGCTTGCGTGGCGCAACTGGTTAGCGCGTCTGACTGTTAATCAGGAGGCTGTTAGTTCGAGTCTAACCGTGAGCGATTACAAATTATTTTTTACATTCTAATTTTTATTTGCAGCAGTAACAATTTTTTTTGGTTTTGTTGTTACATAAAAAAACACCATCCGAGTACGGCTGAACCCGGCGGGAGTCTGTAGCGACGCCTGTCACTTTGTCCAGGCCAAAATCCAAACACAAGCCTTCTCTTTGCAATCTGGATGTGGGATATAATATGTCGATTTGCAGGTTATTTGAATTTTTGTTTAGATATTTGTACCCATTCTTTTTCTTCAGTGTTACTCCATATTATATTTAATAATAGGGAAGCAGCACCAATTATTCAGCTTATCCTTTATTCTTCTATCCCCTCCTTACGGTTTGATCGCACACACACACACACACATAAAATTAACGTCTGTTAATGGCTGCATCTCTTTGGGATGGTGTGGTTCCACCGCCCAGCGGAATAATCAATGTTTGAAATCAGACGGTGGTTTTAGGAACAGGAGATATTATTGCGGCAGGCCTAAATATTGCGCATCATCATCAACTGCCTCGGCGAGCAAAATGAAAATGAGTGAGGGTGAGTGATAACTTAAAAGCTTGATTGGTGGTCGTTAAAAAAACCAAAAAAAATTGTATTCGCAACCAACACAGCATATGTGGGCAAAAAACAAAAAAACAAAAAAAACAAAAAGCAAAAAAACAAGCATAAGGCTAGTTGTTGTTCTTGGAAACATCCATCATGTCATTGCGTTCATCATCGCCAATGTCGTCAGCCGAGTCCTCCGAGTCAGTGACAATGGCCTTTGACTTGTACTTGATGGGCGCAGGGGACGGAGTTCTCTCCATCTCCATCTCCAGGCCATCATCGTCATCATGCACCCTATGGCGATGCTGCATTGTCGGCTTGCTCCTGTGGGTGCGCTTATACCCGTACTCGTCCTGCTCCGCAACAGCCTGGTCATGGTCTCTCTTATTTCTCGCTCTCTTCGGCTTACCATGGCCATCCTCCGCCAACGCCGCAGCATTCACCGCTGCATCCATGGTCATTTGCTCGCGCAAAGCAGCATTGCGCTCGTCGGTTTCTCTCAAGATACGAGCCTCCATCTCGACACGCTCACGCTCACGGGTTTCCGCGTCCGTGCGGCGCTGCATTTCCTCTTCCTCGAGCTGGCGACGCCACTGGTCGACGCCCTCCTGGCGCTGGTTCTCCAGCTTCTGCTGCTCCTCAGTCTTCACAGACAGCTTCGCCGCCAGCGTGTTGCCGAAGGTCGCACGCTCGCCGGCCAACGTGCGGCTGTACTGCGGTTTCTTTGGCTTTTCCTGGTCGCGGTCCTGGTTCTGGCTCTGCTTGGCGAGGAAGGTGAACAGCGCGGTGCTGTGCGCCAGGTCCGTGGCGGCCTGGGCGAGGTCCGCCAGCGTGCGCTGCGACGCCGGCAGGTCGCTGGTCAGCTGCGCAATGGCCTGCTCGACCAGCGCCAGGTCGAAAAGCACCGGGCCGTCATCGGGCGAAAAGGGGTGCTCGGCCGGGTCGGCAGCGGCGGCAGGGGCAGGGGCAGGGGCAGGGGCAGGGGCAGGGGCAGGGGCAGGGGCAGGGGCAGCGGCGCTGTCGAGCGGCAGCGCGACGCTGGGCGCCATGGCGCGCAGGCCCGCGAGCGCCTGGCGCATGGTGGCCAGGTCCTTGGCGGTCTTGGCGTGCACGTACTGCGCGCGCACGAGATACAGGCCAATGTCGCGCTCGGCGCGCTGGCGGTCGGCGCGCTCGCTCGCGGACACCCGGTCGTCGCCGCCGCCGTCGTCGGAGTCGTCGCCGCCGCCGTCGTCGGAGTCGTCGCCGCCGCCGTCGCCGTCGGGCTTGGTGCCCAGGCCCAGGCCCGTGACGAGCGCGCACGGCGCGGCGTCGAGCAGCGCGCGCGTCGAGGCTCGCAGCCGCCGCAGGCTCGCCTCGTACGCCAGCACGGCCTGGCGGTGGCTGCCGGCGTCGACCAGCGCGTGCGCGGCGTTGACGCCGGCCCACAGGATCACGTCGCTCATGACCGGCGGCCACACGGCGGCGGCCGGGTGGCCGCGAGCGGGCGCGCCGGCCGCCAGCGCGCCGTGGCGGCAGGCCAGGTCGCCGGCCGGCGCCGTCACGTGCGGCGGGCCCAGGCCGGCGACGGCGGCGTCGCGCACGTCCTGGAACACGCGGCGCGCCTCGGCGGCCAGCTCGCCCGCGGGCGGCGCGCGCTCGGCCAGCGCGATGGCGGCGCCGTGCGCAGCGGCCACGCAGCGGCCGTCGATCTGCAGGCTCTTGTCGAAGAACTCCAGCGCGCGGCGGTAGCTCGCGGCGGCCTGCTCGCGCACGCGCGCGCGCGCGTCGGGCAGCTCGGCGGCGCGCGCCGCCTCGGAGCGGCCGGCGGCCAGGTGGAAGTTGCCGAGCGCGCACAGCGCGTACGTGTCGTGCTTGGCGACGTCCTTGAGCACGGCCTCGAAGGCGCGGCGCGCGTCCTGCACGCGCGAGCGCGCCAGCTCGACGGTGCCGCGCAGCAGCAGCGCCGCCGCGCGCCGCGGGTCCTGCGCCAGCACGCGCGCAATGTGCGCCAGCGCCGCGTCCGGCTGCGCGCGGAACACCAGCGCGATGTGCGCCAGCCGCAGCCGCGCGTCGGCGTAGCCCGGCGCCAGCTGCAGCAGCGCGCCGTAGTGCGCCTCGGCGCGGCGCCAGCGGCCGGCGCGCTCGTACAGCAGCGCCACGTTGTACGCCAGCGTCGCACGCGTCTGGCGCGCGCGCGCCGACGCGTCGCCGCGCAGCAGGTCGGCGGCGCGCTGGTACGCGTCGCGCGCGTCGCCGCCGCCGCCGGTCGTGTGCGCCAGCGCGCCGATGTTGTTCCACAGCTCCGGCACGGCGCGCGCGCCCAGCAGCGCCGCGGCCACGCCGTACGCGCGCGCGGCCTTGCGCGCGGCCGTCGCCTCGTACAGCAGCGCGGCCTCGAGGAACAGGTCGGCGTCGCCGGCCGCGTCCAGCCGCGGCGCGTCGTTGAGCTCGGCCATGGCGCGCTCGTAGTACTCCAGCGCCTTGGCCTTGGTGTTGGGCAGCCGCGCGTGCAGGTAGCCCAGCGCGCGCAGCGCCTCGGTGCACCGCGGCTGCGCGTCCAGCACGCGCGCCAGCGCCGCCTCGGCGCCCGACATGTCGGCGCGCTGCAGCAGCGTCTGCGCCAGCCCGTAGCGCGCCAGCACGTGGCGCGCGTTGATGGCCAGCGCGCGCGCGTACGCGTCGTGCGCCGCGTCGAAGCGCGCCGCGCCGTGCAGCGCGCGGCCCACGGCGTAGTGCGCCTCGGCCTGCATGGCCATCGTGTCGGCCGCCGCCAGCGCGCGCTCGGCCAGCGCGCGTGCGCGCTCCCAGCCGCCGCGCCAGCACAGCCGGTCGGCCAGCCGCAGCAGCACGGCGGCGTTGGCCGGCTGCAGCCGCCACGCCGCCTCGAAGCGCGCCATGCCGCTGCGCACCAGCGCCGCGGCCTCGGCGCCGCGCTGCTGCTGCGCCGCCAGCTTGGCCGCGTTGAGGTCCATGGTGCCCAGCAGGATCAGGGGCGCCGCCGCTGCCGCGTCGACGGCCGCCGCGCGCTCGAAGGCGCGGCGCGCGTCGGCCGCGTGGCCCAGCTTCTCGAGGCACAGCCCGATGCCGATGCGCGGGTCGGGCCGGCCGCGCGGCCGCAGCGCCAGCGCCTGCTGGTACGCGCCCAGCGCCTGCGCGTACTGCTTGCGCCCGAACAGCGTGCGCGCCGTGCCCATCAGCGCCGCGACGCCCTTGGCCTGCGCGAACTCGCGCAGCGCCGCCTCGGGCTGGCGCCGCGCCAGCGCCAGCATGCCGCGCACCAGCGCCGTGTCGCCGTCGCCCGGGCACGTGCGCTCGGCCTCGTTGAGCAGCGTGCCGGCCATCTGCAGAAACAGCTCGCGCTCGGCCGCCGCGTGGATGGTCTTGGCCTTCTGCACGTAGATGTTGGCCAGCAGCAGCAGCAGCTGCATCTTGTCGGACGAGTTCGGCTGGTTGGACTTGCCGATGCCGCGCTTCAGCGTGATGATCGCCTTGTCGACGAAGCCCTGCTTGTAGTACTCCAGCGCGAAGATGTGGTGGAACCGCAGCGTCGGCACCTCCTTGTTCAGGATGTCGCAGATCACCTCGACGTCCTCGGGCAGGTTGTCGCAGTCGATTTCGAGCACGTCGTTGGTGCTGGCGAGCGGGACCTCGATGACCTTACTGGCGGTCATTTGCAAGGAGGGGGGGGCGTTGAATTGGAATGAATTGGAATGAATTGGAATCAGTTGGAATGAATTGGAATCAGTTGCGTTGCGTTGAGTTAAGGCGAATTGAAATGAAATGAAATCAGCCAAGTCGAGGCGAATTGAAATTAATTGGAATGAAATCAGCTGAGGTGAGGCGGACTGAAGCGAATTGAAGTGGGTATAGGATCAGACCAACAAAAAACAAAACAAAGCGTCGATTTTCCAAGTCGAATTGGCGAGAAGGAGAAACAAAGAAGGAGAGGGGGGAGGAGCACGGTAATCTCATTATGCGGAGTGCCTCTTTTTTCATTTCTGCCTCGTTAACCGAAACGCAGCAGATGGGGGAGGGGCCAAGCAAATGAATGGATGAATGAATTGCGTTAAAAACTGATAAATGTCCTCTTTTCCTTCATTGTTCTGTTCCGAGTGCGGACAATTTCGTTGTTTTTTGTGTATCCGAAACGGAGAAAAAAAAGAGAGAAAAAGCCACAGTTTGTAACATATTTGGCCAAAGCAAAAAACGAGATGGAAAAATACTAAGAACTGAGCGCGCGTTTTTTTACACTTTGGCAGTGTAGTATCTCTCCCATGCTAATGAAGAAAAATTGGTCACGTTTTCCTCCTTTTCTCTATTATCACCCGCGCATATCGGTTGATCAAGCAATAAAAAAATTGACCCCTCTTTGTAAAACATAAAAAAAGTAGGACAAGGGGAGAGAGAGAGAGAGAGAGAGAGAGAGAAAGGAAAATAGTAAAAGGAAAAAAAGGCAGTGGGAGTGAAAAAACACATAGTAAATAAAGAGCTTAAGGAACAGTGCGCATACACACTTTGTTCATTCTTTCGAGCCACCCTCCTCCCTTTATTGCTTTTTTGTTGTTTTGTTTTGTTTTGTTTTTGCTCTGCTCTGTTCTGCTCTACTCTGCTTTGTTTTGTTTTCCCGCTTTCTCTTTGCGCAGAACAGGAAATAAAAACCCGCAGCAGCGATTGCTATTTTTCTTTTTGCTTTGATATTAGAAAATTCACAAGTATAAAAAGAATGAACTGAAGCGCATTGTGCGGTCCCTCTCCCTCTCCCTCCCCCTCTCTCCTATTTTATTTGAAAGTTTTTAATATAATTTCAGTTGTTTTTTTACCTCCATCACCACCACTACCACCACCCCCACCCATCCTCGTGCTTTTTTATATTATATTTTTTTGCTGCCTTCTTAAACCTTCCACATATTTCCACGTTCTTGCCTTTAAAGTCCATCAACACAAGACATTCTTGGCACGCATTTATTCATCCATCGCTCTCTTTCCCCTCTTTATTTTTTACACCCTCATTATTCACTTTACTTATTATTATTATTATTATTATTATTATTATTATTAAATTTGCACGACTTATTATTCTCCTTCCTCATTTAAACCAATATAATGGATTCTTTCGACTCCTTCATCAACCAGTCACTCGTCGACAACTCCTCAGATATCACAACAGACAAATCATCCGCATACAGCAACGAGCTCCTCCTTCAGCTTTTTCTAACGGCAGTCAACCAGCCAGCAACAGAGGAGACTGTGGACCCTAATTCTCTTCTTCAAACCTCTGACCCCGAGGATGCCCTGCTGGCTGCTGCCCTGATGGAGGCCCTGGCGCCACTGCCATCTGAAATTATTACACCCTCGCCTCTTGCTTCTTCTTCCGATGATGCTTCTTCTTCTGGCGTGAAGGGGCAGGAGGAAATGGAAATCGACATTGATGCTTATGCTTATGCTTATAATGTAGCTGCTGTCAAGCAGGAGGAGGCGTCAGCCGTGCTTCCAGGCGCTGCTTTTGTAGTAAAGGGGGAGGGCAGTGAGCAGACCACTATTCAGCAGCAGGCCTTGAATGCTGCTGCTGCTACTGCTGCCGCATCTGTTTCTGCTGCTAATGTTTCTAGCGCTAAGCGATCCGCAGTTGGCAGCCAGAGTCACCAGCAAAACCAACCCCAGCAGAAGAAGGCCGCACGCGAGCTTGTAGCAACCACTGTTTCTGCTTCTGCGCCTGCTTCTGCGCCTGCACCTGCTTCTGCACCTGCTTCTGCACCTGGACCTGCGCCTTCTTCCAAGAGAAGTTCTCCCGAGTTGCACGCCAATGATGACACCTTTGACGATATTGACATGGAGGGCATTGACATCAAGAGTTTGTCGTCAAAAGAGAGACGCCAGTTAAGAAACAAAATCTCAGCCCGCAATTTCCGCGTTCGCCGCAAGGGTAAGACACCACCACCACCACAACGACAATAATAATAATATTCTCTCACTGTGTGTTTATGCTTGTGTATGGTGCACTTGCTATGTCATTTTTGATGGATGTACTGCATTACTAATCATAAAATTGCACACTCTTCTCTTCACCCTCTTCAAATTGTAGAGTACATTTCGACGCTCGAGGCCGAGGCCCGTGTTTACAAAGAGGAGAATGACAGCCTGAAGGCCGAGCTGGCAGTGTCCAAGAGGGACAACACCCAACTGCGCGACGAAGTTCACAAGCTGCGCCTCAAGCTGCATCAGCTCACAACCAACACTCCCTCTGCTGTGCTTGCGGCGCGTCCAACGACTTCCGCATCATCACCATCATTGGCTGCTGCCGCTGGTGTGAAGCCACAGACTGCCAGTGTCATGCCTCGGTTCAATCCACACAAGGATATTTCGCCTGCTGCTGCGGCCGCTGCTGCCGCCACCAAAAAGGCAAATGCCGGTGCTTCCCCAGCTTCGTCGGCCTCAGCAGCAGCAGCTGGTGCCGGAGCCGCCGGTCCTAGTACTGGTGGCGCTGCTGGTAATTGGGCCGCGAAAAACAACCGGTCCGGCTATATTACTGTAAATACCGCGACCATGCCCTTGGACGAGCAAAGGGTCACTTGCGAGGAGCTTTTGGCCGAATCACGTCGGCAGCAGACTGTCGATGCACTGTTGAGTGTTGCAGACAGCAACAGTGATATGCCAGTATTGCCATCGGTTGCGGACATTTTGGCTTTTGCTGGGCTGATTGCTGACTTTGTGTGCTCGCAGATCGCCATCGAATCGTCGCTGACTATGCATTATTCAGGAACGCACGCCGCTGTATTTTGAATAAGAAACCTCACTACTCCACTTTTTTTAATTGATTTTTCTCAACTCTTATTCTCTCTCTTGTTTATTATAAAAATACCCCCCACCACCACCACGATATTTTTATATCTGGCTTGTATATCTCTTCTCTATCTATTTTTCCTTGCTCTTTTCTATTTACTTTATATTTCAAAGCACTATGTGCGACTGACCGGGCGAAAAAAACTGCACATTGGTGTCAGAAACACAGTAATGCAGCACAAGCGGTTTAAACTCCCTCCCACCACCACCACTGTTGTTCTGCAGATTCTGCAACTGGCAATAAAGCTGACCAGGCACAACGGTAACCTGACCAGAGATATCCCTGGACGATCCCGAGACCAAAGCCGTAAACCCAAAGTAATAATGCGACTTTCTGACCAACTCCCTGACCAAATCCTCCGTAAACTCATCCAACAAAACACCCACAACTATTCTTCCCTTCGAGCCTAAGACTCTGCGACAGCAATCCATGAACCACACAACCTCCGATATATCCATGCCTAAATCTACCAACGAACATAATCCATCCACGACCAAAACCACACCACCCTGTTCCCCCTGCTCCACCTCCACTGTTGCTGCTGCTGCTGCTGCTGCTGCTATAGTTGTCTGGTCACTCAACCATTGGAAAAATCCACTCCATTCACCACGCCTCAACGTATAGTCCGGCCTAGTCACCAAAGGCAAAGCCTCCAGCCCCCCTTCCTTCTGTCCAACCATGGTAGTAGCCAGAGCATTGACAAACTTGAACTTGGTCTTGGCCATACCCATTTTGCGCATAATATGCAAATAATGATTATACGTTTGTGTGAAACTAACCAAGATTGCAGGCAATTTTTGCTCATATGCACTCGTGAGGAAATGCGGAATTAAAACCGTGCCGTCATTGGCTCCTAGACCGACGCTCGTCACCAAGGTCACCGTGCCTTGGTCGCCGAGCCCGCTGGGCCAATTCAAACTGGAGGAAAGTGTTTTGTAACTGCCCATTTTCTTTTTTTTTATTCTGAATTTTAAAAGTATGATAAAAAATAATAATTTAATGAAAGAAAAAAATACACGAAACCAAAAAAATAAAGGTTCTGAATCAAAATTTTGCCTATAACCCATGCCACGCATCATATAAAAATATGATAAAAAAGTATTGCCTGCTGCCAGAATTGAACTGACGACCTTTGCATTAATCTGTATGAAGATTATTTTATCTTTAAACACATACGAGTGCAACGCTCTGCCCCTGAGCTAAGAAGGCATATTTCTTGTTACTACTTATCTTGTATTTAGTACACATTAATGGTGTATAATTTAAATTACCGCTATTGTTTGATATTTGTTTGATATGCAAAATTGTATACCTTATACTGCATGTTTTAGCCTACAATAACCTTTTATTTTAAAGGTATCCGCTTGCATCCACTGCCATGGACAACAAAAAGCAGGATTATAAAGATAAAAAGCAGGATGATTTTCAACAAGAGGCTTTATTTTTATTTTTTTATAAGCTAATAAAAAAGTATGTGCTGAATAAATGAAAATTAGAGGCTTTTTCACAGCAAAAATATTCATGGTCAATTATATTTTCTCCTTTTTATTTGTTATAATAAGAGGGGGTGTGAAGAGCACTGGTTGTCTAGTGTTAGAAAATGGGGTTGAATTTATAAAAGGCTTTATTACTGATGTTTCTAAAGTATTACTAGCGCCGGCCTCATCTTATATATGTGCCTTGTCGCCTTTGTTGTGCACATTATCGATTATGCGCTCCGTTGATGAAGACTGTATCTTCTGCGAGCAGACCGGTATCTTGGCAAGTCAATGTTGTGGTCTTTGTGTGTGTGCACTCATGCGTGTACATTGCAAAATGAGGAGCATGTTTGGGCATCAATGCAATGCCCCCCTAATTTACGCCTGCATGATTTAATTAATGCCCTATCAATCAGCATGTAGGTGGAAACCTGTTTCGCGACTCTCAACCTCAAAATCCACTTCCATATCCTCAGGCTGCACAACATCATCTCTCATTTTAATTGAAATATACACCCAAGTTTATAAAGTGCTTTAATATTTTTTATAGAATTTATTATTATAAAAATGCCCAACCCTGAACCAGCAGACGCTATGGATAAAATAATACACCAATATTCCTCCAAAGAACAATGTATTCCAAGTTCTGAGGTAAAGGTAAGGAAAAAACAGCACAAATAGTATTGATAAAATATTGTCTAACACGGAATTATATGCAAAAGATAAACCTTACAATACCTTTATTCTATTGGAGTACTGAGTTCTATAGTTGTATTACGTTATGCCTATCTGTTTGTAAATGCCAATTACAACATTGTAAGCATTTCACGGTAGGCAAATTTGCAGACATTGGTAAGGTAATACCATATAAGATAGTTATAACCTATCCATGATACAAGAATGTGACATATTTGCAACTGAAAGCAAGCCAAGATGTAACCTCGCCAATCTATTGAATTACTCTGTTTTTATATTGCAGGTGATCCCGCTAATAACCACCAAGAGTAAGTACATATAGAATGCAACACAACTAATATATTATATAACAGTGTATGCAACTACGTTTAACCATATACACAAATACCTTGTCCTTTTTAGCGTTTGTGCATTAATGTCTCAAATAGCAAGCTAGATTTTTAATTTCTTACAGCATCTTTTTATAATATTGTTTTCATTGTGAATAAATTGATTTAATTAAACAAAATAGTTATAATATATATAACAAATGTTCAGAATACATTACATGATAATAGTTGCTGTTGTTGGTGCCTGCGCAAAAGAAGAAAAAACAGGTAATAAATGCCCGTAGAAATTATATATACATGTTCATTTGATATTTCAATACCACAATGCTTGGCACTTGATGGTATCTCTCAGCACATGTGTAATGCAAATATAGCGCATAATAATATGTATTACTTAAAATGGACTACGAAAAGAGCTAAAGAGCTCACTACCCAGAAATCGCTGTGCGCATTAAATATCACAACATATTTCATGGGTTTACGCTGACACGTGACTCAGCGCCATTTCTGATGTTACATGTCTAATAATGATCAAAGTAATTTGATTAACTGTTCAAAAAATACTCCACTAATGTTATTATTTTATAGCTTTAGGTTTTATTGCATACAATACAATACATTGTTTTAACCACGCTCATTTGCTTTTGTACTCATTTATGTATATTTATATTATTAAACCATACAAAAAATGAAAAATTAAACTATAAAAAACACTCAAAAACACCACCGTTTAAAAAAATCCTTACTTTGGATTTTAAATATGAGCACTTGGCATATTTATTTCCCCCTTGTTTCTGTTATCTGGATGGGAGCATGTTAGGTTACTCTCCAAGCAGCTAATGCATTTGGGATACGGTGGGGCGAGTGAACAGTTGTACATAGCTTGACAGTAAATAAGTAGCTTTTATAATATATAAATTAATATAAAGATTAGTTTTGGTGAATAATTCGACTAAAAAATGAAAGAAAGAAGAAAGAAGGAATGAATAATAATGAAAAAATATCCTGTTTTTTGCCGCTTTCCTCTTTTTTCCCCTGCCTTGCCCCACAAAAAAAGCCAAAAAGCCAAAAAGATTATTTCCTTTTATTAAAAAGACATTATAAAGTCACTATTTCGCTCCGCCTCTCCATCCAGACTTAAAAATACATCTTACTTGTCCAGGTCAATATACATAGCGGGCAACATACCCTCAGCAGTGCGCTGCCCAATAATCCTAACCCTCCACCAACTCTCCGCCGAATCACCGTCCAACACCCTAACACGATCTCCCTCCTTAATCTCGAGTTCATCCTCGTGCTGCGGCGCATAAGCGTACTTGGCCGTGCCAAATCTCGCCTTAGTCCTCACCCACCCCCTGGACCCAGGTCCACCGAGCGACTCCGCGTAATCCTTTGGGAACCATCCGATTTTGCCGCTAGGATCCCAGCCATCGCCGGAGTCACCCATTGATTCTCTCAGAATCTCACCATATATCCATCCTTCTGCATGCGTTGGCGCAGACTTGAGCGATGCAGGCACTGGGCGCGTCTCCAAAAGATCGCCGGCATCTATAGTCAGCTCATCCGCACCCGGGGTGTCCGGCGCATAAGGGTAGAGGGCGCGCAGCCGCAGGTTCTCATGCTCTGACGGCACAGTCTGTGGGGAAAGCAGCAGACTGGCGAACGGGTTGCTGCCGCCTGCATTGTCGCCTGCGTTGTTGCCTGCGTTTGCCGCTGATGGGTTGGCAAACGCCGTGTTGAAACTGATGCTGCTCTGCACCGATGCCGCGCGCGCTCCCCTTGTGCCGGCACCAGACGCAAACGGGGGTTCTGCATTCAGGTCGCGCACAGACTCGTCGTCAGAACTTTCGTCACGGTCCCACTCCTCTTCGCTATCGCTATCGCCGCTGGCATTCGGACGTCCTGCTGCCGGCTTGGGCTCCGCAGCAGGCTGCGGTTGCTGCTGCTGCTGCTGCTGCTGCTGTGGTTGCTGTTTCTGCTGGTGCTGAACACCAAATGGATTACTGGCCACTGTGGGTTCCTTCACCTGCGGCACCACAGGTGGCTCCGGCTCCGGCTCAGTTTCAGGCAGTCCGAGGGCGCGCTGACGTTCGCGAAACCGCTCTTCAGCCATATCCTGCAGAATCTGGTCTCTCTCCTGCTTAGTTTTCGCCTGGGCCAGCCGGTCGGCAATACTCGGCGGGCCGTGGGACTTGGTCGGCTGCGACTCAGGCTTGGAAGCAGCAGCAGAAGCGGAGGTGTCTTTAGAAATAACCGGCGAAAAGGCCGATGTGCGCGTAGCAGCGGCAGCAGGGGGCTGCACGGGGACTTGTTCAATGCGGCGCAGGCGCGAAACAAGATCCTGGATCTCCTCATTATTCGCATTCTCCCACTTACGCGAGCCACCACCACCAGCTTGCTGGTCAAGCTTAAGGTCGCGCAGGGACCGCTGCACATGGGCCAGGCCTCCGGTAATGGTCTGCACGCGGTCCAGGCGCTCCTCATATACACGGTCAAGCTTGTCGGCCTCGGCCTGGCTCTGGCCCTCGTCCACAGACTCCATGGTCTCGCCCGTGAGCGCCGCCATGCGCTGGGCGACCAAGCGGGCAGCGCGTGACTCCATATCCGACCCACCGCCACCAGACTGCTTGGCATTGGCGCGGCGCTTGACGACGTCCTTTTTGGTATCGGCCAGCTCCTTAGCCACACGCTTGTACTCGGCGACCAGCCCAGGCATACGCTGCACCAGGTCGTTGACGCTTTCGGCAATCTGCGCACGCTTAGCCAGCAGCCGGCCGCGCTCGTCCTGCTGCGAACCAGCGGGGGAGGAGATGCTGAGTGGCGTTGTACGGTGGATATCCTCGATCTCGCGCTTCATGTCGTCGATGCGCCAACGGGCCGTAACGCGGCTCTCGGCGCGCTCTTTGTTCTGGCGCTCGGCCTGCGTGCGCAGTCTCTGGATGTCGGCCTTGCGGCCGCGCACGGCGTTGCGCAGCTGCTCGATGGCCTCAAGCGTGGTCTTGCTGGGCTCGGCGGTGGGCGTCGCCGGGCTGGGCGCATAGTTGGCCTTGCGGCGGTTGGCGCTCTTGTACACAAAGTCATCGTTGGTGTCGCTGGCGTAGTCGCCGTTGCTGCTGCCAGCATACGCACTGCCATTGCGGTGTGTGGCGCGCAGCGGACTGGCAGCCACAGGCGTAACGTCCTTAAACAGCAGCTGCTCCTTGATGTCGAGCAGCGAGGCCATAAAGTCTTTGCTGCTGCGGGGAACCAGCTCGCGTGGCAGCTCGCGCGGCAGCGGTGCGCCGGCGAGTCGGCGGAAAATAAGATGCATGGCGACACTAAACTCGTCGAGGTTCAGCTCGCCCTGGTTGTTGATGTCTGCCAGCGCCCATACCTGCGCCAGCTCGGCCTGCGCCAGCCCCGCTTGCGCAAATACTTCGCGTGCTTGGTCGCCCTTCAGAACGCCGCGTCTTCCAGAGTCCCAGCGCCGGAATACCGTCTCGTACTGCGCCTTTTCCTGCGCCGAGATCGCCCATTGGTGCTGGCCCTCGTTGGCGCGCGCGCCCAGGATGTTCTGGTGGAACGACTGCCGCACGCTGTTGAGCGCGCCCTGGCTGTCCTGCGGGGACAGCGACGGGAAGTTGGCCTCAAAGTCCAGCACGGACTCGGGAGCGGAGGGGTCAGATGCGAGCTGAGCGATTGGGTTGGGCGCGAGCTGGGCGATTGGGTTGGGCGCGAGCTGGGCGATTGGGTTGGGTGCGAGCTGAGCGCTGCTGAAGTGCATCGGTGACGGCATCGGCATGCCGACAGACTGCTGGTGGTGGATCTGCACAAACGACGAGCTGGCACCACTGCCCATTGGCATCATCGGAGTATGAACCCTCTGCATCTGCTGCTGCATCTGCATGGGCATTTGCATTTGCTGCTGCATTGGAGCTGGAGCCGGGGCCGGAGTCGGCATCTGCACCTGCACCTGCACTTGCGCCTGCGCCTGCGCCTGCGCCTGCTGCTGCTGAGCTCCCATTCTTGCATTGGCGGAATTCACCTCAGCGACAATAGTCGCAGGCAGCATATCAGGCAGTCCCTTGCCCTTGATCCGCGACTGCGCCAGAAACATCGCCAGAATAAACTCAGCCATCGACAGGCTACCCTTGCGCGTAACATCTGCGAGTTCCCAGATCCGCCCAAGATCGCTGACTGGCAGTCGTGACTGCATTAGTACCTGCCGTGCGGCATCGCCAGTTATGCGACCGCCATGGTTGGGCTGGAGATTGTCCTGGAAGAGCTTTGCAAAGTTTAAAAGTTCGTTGGCTGGAATAAAGCTTAGAGCCGGCAAGCCTACTTTAATATTTGATGAAAATGTAGGGGTTTCTGTTAGAAATAAAGTGCGTATTGAATGGAGGACCAGTAAACAGTGTTTTCTTCTTTTTGTTACCTTGTGCATTCATCTTGGAATTTATTCTAGTCAAAATGCATTAATATTCGAAAGGGGATAAGAGTAGAAATACAGCAAAAAAAGAAAGAAAAAACAAGTAGCAAAAGTAAGCGTACAGACAAAAACGAGATAAAAATTAAACGATACCCGCCAAAGAACTCATCCCACCCCATCCCACCCCACACCCTTATTTCTCTTTGAAAGAGAGCATCGAGGAGAGGAGGAGAGAGCGTGACGGATGGGATCTTCAGAAAAAGAACAATAATAATAACAAAAAGCACGTGGATGGAAAGTTGCCCAAAGAAAAAAACAAAATGGAGTAAATTATTTGATTACCGACACGCGTTGGTTGCCGTCGATTGGCTTAGAATTGCATTACTGCATTTGATGTAGCATTAAGTAAAAGCATTGAGTGTCACAGCCATCAAAAATAAAAACTCAGCCAGCACACATACGCTAAAAAGTCACAAATTGTAGCTTTCCTCATCTTGCTTCTTGAAGTTGAATTTCTGCTCTCTATTTTTTGTTTTAAATTTTTCATATACGCCATATATATTTTTCTCCTTGGTCACACCACACCATAAAGGAATAATAAAAGAAAAAGCCAATTAAAGGGAGCAAGCAGCAAACACAGATTTCTCTTTTATTTATTTGTAATCCTCTTTTTCTTTTTATCACCCCACTTTCTTTTTTTAAAGAGTAAGCAAATGGTTTACCAGTACATTGAGCGCACGGCAATTCCAGCCTGGGGTCCCCAACAGTCCGAGCCACTGCTAGCAGCAGGAACAGTGGCGGGTGCAATGGACGCGACGTTCAGCAATACGTCCTCTTTGGAGCTCTTCCGGCTGTCGACATCGGAGGACACGGCGGCGTTGGAAGCCGTAGGCAAGGCCACAGCATCGGCGCGGTTCCAGCGACTCGCGTGGTCAGGCAAAGTCGAGTCAGGCTCGCTGGGCGTCCTCGCTGGAGGCCTCGAGAACGGCGACATCACGGTATGGGACCCAGCCAAGATCCTCTCAGGCGAGGATGAAGCAGCGGTCCTGCACTCGAGCGCAGCGCACACGGGGGCTGTCGGTGGACTGGAGTTCAACCCGTTCCAGGCCAACCTGATGGCGTCGGGCGCGGGCAACGGCGAGGTGTTCATCTGGGACATAGTTAGCGAATTCAAGTCGTACTCGCCGGGCGCGCGGTCGCAGCGCATCGAGAATGTCACGGATTTGTCGTGGAATAACCAGGTGCAGCATATTCTGGCCACGGCCAGTGATACCGGCGCCCTGGTGGTGTGGGACCTGCGGTCGCGCCGCGAGGTCATTGCGCTTAACGGGCCCGGAGTCATCGGCAGTCAGGCAGGCGGCGCACGCGGGGGCATTTCTGCAGCCGTATGGAACCCGGCGTCAGCCACGCAGATTGTCACGGCGTCCAGCGACGACAACAACCCGGTGATTATGCTCTGGGATCTGCGTAACGCTAACGCGCCCTCGCAGACATTTGCCGGCCACCAGCGCGGCATTCTATCGCTCTCGTGGTGCCGCAAGGACCCAGGCCTGCTGCTGTCCAGCGGCAAGGACAACCGCACGGTGTGCTGGAACCCGGCAACTGGCGAGATCGTCGGCGAGCTGCCGCCCAGTAACAACTGGGTATATGATGTGCAGTGGAATCAGGCCAACCCCAACCTGCTCAGTGGCGCGTCCTTCGATGGCCGCGTTAGCCTGTACTCGCTGGCGCGCGAGGGTGCTGTGGAGGAGGCTGTGGCGACTGACGACCCGTTTGCGCCGCAGTCGACGTCGGCGTTTGCGCCGTCCCTGTCGCTCAAGCGGCCGCCCAAGTGGCTGGCACGGCCATGCGGCGCGGCATTCGGGTTTGGCGGCCAGCTGGTGCACTTTGGCCAGCAGCAGCAAGGCGCATTAGTCAGCATTACGGAGTTTGTGTCGGAGCCTGAGCTCGCGCAGCAGGCCAGGCAGCTGGAGGAGCTGCTTCAGGATGACCGTGCGGCTGAGCTGTGCCGCGAGCGGCTCGAGCAGAGCCGGGGGTCGGACCAGGAGCGCTCGTGGCAGGTGCTGCAGATCCTGTTTGAGTCCGACGCGCGCGACAAGCTGGTGCGCTTCCTGGGCTTTGACAAGGAAGAGGTCAAGGGCCGGATTGCCGAGCTGATTAAGGCCAAGCGCGCGGTGACGGAGGCAGAGGAGGCTGTGGAGGCGGCAGCGGCGTCTGAGCAGGCTGCTTCTGAGCCCGAGGCTGAGGCCGAGGCCCAGAGCGAGGACAGGTCTGAGGAGCAGGATTCTGCCGCAGAGAACCCGTTTGCCAGCTCAATATCACTGGACGCCGATGCCGACGACTTCTTCAGCAAACCGATCGATGTGTCGGCCATCGACTCGACAGCAGCCACGGTCGGCTCCGCCGAGCCATCAGTGATCGAGTCCTCAGCCGATGCGTCAGTGCGCGCGCTGCAGCTGGCATTCTCCGGCCCGTTCCACATCTATGATAAGCGCAAGGACATTGCGCTGGAGGATGCCGACGGTCTGATCACCCGTGCGGTGCTCCTTGGCGACATCGAGGCTGCCGTCGAGCTGTGCATTGAGCAGGAGCAGTTCGCTGACGCTCTGATCCTGGCGACCTGCGGCAGCGCCGAGTTGGCGCAGCGCGTGCAGCAGGCGTACTTTGCCAGACGCGCACAGCAGGCGTCATATGTGCGGCTGTTGCATGGGATTGTGCTCGGCGACTTGGGCGATGTCGTCGGGAATGGCGATTTGGACGAGTGGGATCAGATTATGGCGCTGCTGTGCACGTATGCGCAGGGCGACCGGTTCAGCACCTTATGCGAGCAGCTAGGCGCGCGGCTCGAGCAGGCCGGGCAGCTGGCCGACGCCGTTCTGTGCTACCTGGCGTCCGGCAATCTGGACAAGGTAGCGCGCATCTGGATTGCGCGCGAGCAGGCGTTAGTTGGTCTCCAGCGGGTGCGCGCTCTCCATGCGGTAGTCGAGAAGGTGTCGGTGTTCCGCAAGGCCGTGCAGTTCGTGGACCCGGCGGTGTCGAGCGAGGATTCGCCAGTGTTTGAGCTTGGCGCGCTGTACGACGCGTACGCTGAGTATGCTGCGTTCCTCGCTTCGCAGGGAATGTTCGACATTGCCGCGCGCTACTTGGAGCGCACTCCGGCTACATACCGCTGCTATTTGCCCACGGGCGAGGACGCGCTGGCTGCACTGCGCAACCGCTTGGCAATTTCGCCCGATGTGCCTTGGACGCCGGCTCCTGTTGGCGCAGACTATGAGGCCCAAGAAAAGGCTGCGGCTCTGGCGCAGGGCCAGGCGCAGGCGCAGGCACTGGTGCAGCAGCAGGCCCAGATGCAAGCCCAGGCTCAGATCCTCCAGCAGCAGAAGCAGCAGCCTCAAATGCAGGCCCGGACCCAAATCCCTCAGCAGCAGCAGCACCAGTTTGCGGCCGCCAGCAATGTCTACGGCTCTGCACCCACCTACGGCATGCCTGGGGCGCAGCACTACCCAAGCGGGCCAGCATACGGGATGACGCAGTACGCGGCAGCCAATACGTTCCCGCCGCCGCCCCAGCCGCTGAACCCAGCATCAATCCCTACGGGCAACACGCCGCCGCCACGCCGCGAGGAGGCCGCATGGAACGATCCGCCAATGGTGGCCAAGCCTGCGAAGCGTGCATTGCCCCCGGCCGCCGCTGCCATTGCTACGCCGTTCCCCCAGGGACGCGGTACTCCGCCCCCGGCTGCAATGACGCCCTTTGGAGGCCCACCGCCGCCTACGGCCCAGCAACAGCAGCAGCAGCAGCAGCAGATGCCGCCGAGGGGCGGCTTTGTGCCGACAGCCAATAAGCCTCTGCCTGCGGCACCGGCTGTGCAGATGATGCAGCCGCAGCAGCAGCAGCAGCCTGGTTTCATGCCTTCGACGCAGCAGCAGCAGCCCGGCTTCATGCCATTGCCGACCCAGCAGATGCAGCAGCAGCCCGTCTCCACGCAGCCGACGCGCGGCCAGGTAGTCTCCGCAACACCCGCACAGGGCGCCACACCAGTGAACGCCAAGTCACCAGTACCACAGCAGCAGCAACAGCAGCAGCAAACCACCAAGTACCCAGCGGGCGATCGCAGCCATATGCCCGCCGAATGGGTAAAAATCGTCGGTTCGCTGGGCGCTCACTTGGCGCGGGCCAAGCAGTTTGCCGCGCCGGCGCAGAAACGCATGGTAGAGGATGCCGACCGCAGACTTTCGCTTTTGTTCGATCTGATGAATTGCGCCGAGGTTAAGCCTCAGCTTGTTGCCGGCTTTGAGCAGCTTTGTGCGGCGCTGGATGCTAGGCAGTTCCCGCAGGCCTTGCAGTGCCAGGCGGAGCTGATGACTTTGGGATCGGAGATTACAAGCAATTTGGTTGGTGTCAAACACTTGATCAATGTGCTGAAGACGCTGCCGATGTGAGAATATTAAAATTAAATTAAATTACATTTTTGCTTGGCTTTGTTTTGTTTTGTTTGGCCCCCTTCCCCCGTGATATGGGAATGTGAGCCCAATATACGATTCAAAAGTCCATTTTCGCTTCTTAATTCTTTGCAAATATGCACCTGGTTTTTGGCAGTTCGGTGTTTTCTAATTTTTCATTTAATTCGTTCCAAAATAATATTCAACTCTCACCAGCACCTGGTTTCTGACGTTTTTTTTAAAAATCATTTTTTATTTAACGTTTTGTGGCTTTAAAAAACACATCATTGGTTTCCTCTACAAAGAGGTTCGTATTATCTTTCCAAAAAGAAATGGAGGATATTCACACGGACGTGGTCCAAGCAATGCAGCTATTTCTCGAGCAAACCTACCCACGAGAAATCGACCACCTCATGAGCAACACCGACACCGATCAGCAATCACTCCATATAGACATGCACACATTAATACAGTCCAGCCATGAGCTCGCCCAGCTCCTCATGGAAAAACCCACCTTATGCTTGCCTCTTTTCGCCACTGCCCTGCACCAAGCACAGCAGCAACAGCAACAAATGCAGCAACAGATGCAGAAACACAACGGCATGGTAGACCAACACCAATTGGAGGTGAAACCGCAGGCGGTGGTCAGGGTGACTAATCTGCCGAATAACCCGGCGGTGGTGCGCACACGAGTGCCTGGGTCGGAGGATGTCGGCCGCTTGGTTTCCATGACTGGTACGGTGATTCGCACAGGAATGGTGAAGATGATGGAAACACACCGGGCGTTTACTTGCGCCAAGTGCCGCGGTTGCTTCAATGTGGCTGCGGAAGTCGAACAATATGGGTATATTCCACGACCCACACGATGCTTGGCTGCCGGCGAGGACTACTGCAATTCAGCGGATTTCATACCAGCATCCTCGGAGCAACAGCAGCAGGGGTGTGTGGATTACCAGGAGATCAAAGTACAGGAGCAGGTGGGTCGCCTGGCATTGGGCACCATTCCACGCGCAATCGTGACTATTCTCGAGGGCGACCTTGTGGATAAAGCAAAGTCTGGCGACTCTGTGACAGTGACCGGCACAGTGCTTCTGCGATGGCGAGCGACCACCGTGGGCGAGCGACCAGACGTTGCCCTGGCGCTGCGCGCGTCCAGCGTCCTCGTGCACAGCAGCGACCAGCACTCCTCCGCAGCCACCCTGCAGGATGATAATGGCGCGGAGTTCCGCCACTTCTGGGCATCGCATGCATTGGCGCCGATGCGCGGCCGCGACCACGTAGTGGCGGCCATGTGTCCTGGCGTCTATGGCCTGTACTACGTTAAATTGGCGGTGCTCCTGGTGCTCCTGGGTGGGGTCATGCGCGAGGATGCCCAGGGCATGCGGGTACGCGGTGACATGCATTTGCTGCTGGTGGGCGACCCCGGCACGGCCAAATCCCAGTTTCTCAAATTTGCTGCGCGCCTCGTGCCCCGCTCCGTGCTGACCACCGGTGTGGGGTCGACGGCCGCCGGACTGACGGTGACGGCGGTGCGCGATGGCGCCGAGTGGCAGCTTGAGGCCGGCGCCCTGGTGCTGGCGGACCGCGGAATCTGCTGCATCGACGAGTTTGGCAGCGTGAGGCAGGCGGAAAAGGCGACGATTCTGGAGGCCATGGAGCAGCAGAGCATTTCGGTGGCGAAGGCTGGGATCGTGTGCAAGCTGAATGCCCGGTGCTCGGTGTTGGCGGCGATGAATCCGCGCGGCAAATACGACCCCCATCAGGATTTGACCGTTAATACGGCCTTGTCGTCGCCGCTGCTTAGTCGGTTTGACCTCATTATGGTGCTGCTGGATACGCAGGACGACGAGTGGGATGCGCGCATTGCGGATTTTCTTCTGGGCGGGCCCACCAGTGGAGCCAATGGAGCCAATGGAACCAATGCAGCCAGTGGAGCCAATGGAGCCAATGGAACCAATGCAGCCAATGCAGCCAATGCAGCCAATGCAGCCAATGATGGTGCTGACGACACTGGAGTGTGGGGTTTTGACCGGCTGCAGGCATATGTGGCCCTGGTGAAGACGCGAATCCACCCGACAGCCACCGGCCCCAGTGAGCAGGTGCTGACCCGGTACTACCAGCTGCAGAGACAGCGGGACTCGGCCAATACCGCGCGCACCACCATCAGGCTGCTCGAGAGCCTGATTCGCCTGGCGCAGGCTCATGCCCGCTTGATGTTTCGCAGCAGTCTGCGGGTTTGTGACGCCGTCATGGCGGTTGTGCTGATGGAGTCCACGATGCTGTCGGCATCCGTGCTAGCGCCAACCGACGCCCTGCATTCGCCGTTCCCTGAGGACCCTGATGCTGCCTATGCGCTGCTGGAAAAGCAGGTCCTGGCTCAGCTGAATCTCGACGGGCTAGCTGACTAGGCCCAACGTGCATTTTTCCTAAATGTAAAAAATTTAATAATGTGTATTGGATGAGCTCCTTTTAGAGACCTTGTCAACCGCTCTGTGCGCTGCCCTTGTCTATTATACTTTAAAAATAATAATTATTTATCTGGGTTAAATAAACTTTTTGGCGCTGTCCAGCGCTGTGCGCATGTCCTTGGCGTCGGGATCCAGCGAGCATCCGATCTGGAACTCCTGTGCCGCCTGTCTGCATCTGCCCATGCCCATCAACGCGCGGCCCATTCTGAAATGCCCCTTACTCCACCCACGCTTCAGCCTCGTCACCACCTCGGTATCCCAATACGCCTCCGACGGATGCCCAAGCTCCAGCAAGCACGCCGCGCGATTACTCAACAAAACCGTCGCCTCCTCAATAACCGTCGCGCTCGGATCCCACAGCGGCCTCTGCGATGCCACATTGATCGCCTCGGTATATCTCTGAGCTGCCTCAAAGTAACCTTGCGCACGGAATACGTCGTTACCGCTGGTTTTCAGCCGTTGGATCGCCTGGCCGATCTGCGGGTTGGGTGGTGGGAGCGCCCCGTTGTTGGCAGTGAGCTGTCGCGTGAAGAAGTTCTGCGTTGAGTAGTCGATGGTGCACTCTGGGCAGACCTGCTTTTTGTGAGTTGTGCAGTGCAAAAGCCCGTCGATTATAGTTATGTTGCTGACGTCTGGAAGCTCAAGGTGCTGCGCGTCGGCTTCGGTCGGGAATACGGGACGCGGTCCAAATGCTGCAGCGGTAGACATGCTAAGGTAAATCGAAAACTAATTAATTAAATGCCTGTGGTGGTGATGAAATAAAAAAAGGGAGAGGAGTGAGAACTAAAATGAGATTGCGTCAAATGAGACAAAACAGCAAAGAAGAGAAGCAAAAAAGGCGCAAATAAGCTAACGAGCGACGTAAATGCACTTTTGCTGTTTCTGTCATTTTTCATTTTTTTTCTCTCTCGCATGCAACGCCACCATCTCTGCCTTCCTCGCCTCGGAAGGCACCTTTGGCTGTCGTCACTTCATTGGCTCGCAGGCCGCAAACAATAAAAAACACACGGCACGTGATGATATTAATTCTAACGAACAGAAAAAAACCCTCGCTCATACTTTCAGGCACTCAGCCGGCACAGAGAAATCCTCGGTATGCGTCGTTCCATCTTTCCCTGTCGCATTAACGCCAAGCCCGCGTTTCGCAAACGCCTTCCACAGCACGCAGCGGTTAGATCCGCCGGACAGATTGCTCTCTGCTTGCAAAATGGCATTCCGCGCATCCACAAACGACGGATTGCATGGCTGCAGTTTCATTCCATCGAGCAGAATCTGCAGCATAATTGAGTTTCCCTTGGTCAGATCGCGGGCAAAAAGATCCTCAGCCATGCCGTTTTTGGTGATCAGCGCCCAGGTAGCCTCATACAGCATTTCCGCCCAGACTTCTCCGATACTGTGCACTTCCTTGTAGTCTGGGCGGTCCAAGAACTGGTAGGTCGACGGGTTGGTTGTGATGCTGGTCGAGTAAGGGTACTTACGGATGTTCTTTGTGTAGACGTAGTCGCCGAGAGTCAGATCGGTTGCGGCTGTGTATGAGGTATTGAGCCTGAGCAAATTGGCCACGGCGTCGCTCCAACCTTCGCCCATGCCGCCAGACTCGTTGGCCGACAGGCAGTCCGAGTTGGCTGCGCCGCCGGTCAGCCGGTTGGATATTCCATGGGTGTACTCGTGCGCAACAATGTCCTGCTCCAAGCTGCTGTCCCTAGAGGGCGTCGTCTGCGTCCAAATGTACATGCGCATTCGCGGGTGCTGACCATCCGGCGGCGTCGCAAAATTGGCATTATCCGTGCCGCTTCCGTCCTGCGTATTGGCAATAACAGAGTCACTCGCGAGCCCTTTACCGCTGTAATTGATGTCTTGGAAATTGCCCGCTTCCTCAGTGAACCCATATATGAAGGAGAGATCGTGCATCAGGTTGTTTGTGTAGAACAGCTGCGTGATCGAGGCATCCACATATGTCGCAGGCTCTTTGGTCAAACCCAACGGGTAGCTGAACTTGCCACTGACAGATTTGGGCCGGTGATTCAATCTCCAGCTTGATCCGCCGTCGGGATTGCTTTGCGCCCAGACATTATTTCCTATCGTGGACTTGCCTGTTGACCAGCCCCTGGGGCTAGCCACATGGCTGGCCGGGTTCGACAGCAGTCTGCGCTGGCCATCATCTGGCGACAACACATTGCGCGGGTACACAAGGTATGATTCGGACTGCGAGTACCAGTCGGCGAGCCTGACCACCTTGCCACTGCCATCCACGTAGCTGTTCCACCAATGGTCCTGCTGCTCAACAATTATGCGCCACACAGGAACCAATTGCTCGCTCTCATTTTGGACATATGCACGCTCAGCCATGGCTGTGCCATCCAGCGCCAGCTTGGTTGGAATGCCCTCGATTGAAATCTGCTGACTGCCCAAAAGTCTATTCACTGTGGAGACTGTTACTTGGTCGAGGTCAGAGGAGCTCAGTGGAATGTCCAAGTGCTTGGCCAGTGCGCCGAGTGCCTCCTTGGCTGAGTCACCAGATGTCTTGACAAACTGGGCGGCCTCATGGAGCGACGTCTGGGGTGCAAACGTATGGCTGGATGAAATAACCTTGTTGCCCTTTATGTTGACATTGGCTACTGAATTGGATATATCCATGCTGTCGAGGGTCTGAACCAGGTGCACATGGGTGATTCCAGTAAAAGTGTCGATAAACTGGTGGCTGACTCGGACATTGTCTTGTGGGATGCCGACGGTTTGGCTGATGAACCGCACAGCGGCATTGCCCAGAGATTCGACAGAGTCCGTGGCACTGTTGGGAGTTATGGTGAGGAGCGGGATGGGCTCAGGGTGTATTATCAGTCCGTCGTTGTTCTTGAGTTGCGGTTGAATTGGCTTGGTTGCTGAAGACACATGGCCATGTGCAATGGTCGCGGCCAAAGTGGCTGCAAAAATTAGGCTGGGAATGGATACTTGCATTTGTTAAAAAAAGTAATAGAAAATACACTTAAATAATATATAATAATAGTTTGTGGTAATAAAGCAATTAGTCAAATTAGGTATGCTTGTGTGCTCCTTTTTATATGTGCGGGAGGTGTGTGTGTATGTTTAGATTTGTGAATGTTTAAATTTTTATGTGTTTGGAAATTGGTATATTTAGATGTCGGGAGTATGTTTGATCGCTGTTTTATTTGTTTGGTAGTTGTGATGCGCTAACTTTGCTACCGCGGAAAGCCTATAGTGGTTATATTTATATATAAAAAAGTAAAATATTAATCTCTAGTCTGTTGTCGCAAACCAAAAAAGAAAATGTTTGTTTGTTTGTGTCGAATCTATTTTTAACAATTAAGATTGCAATTTGGAAATTAATTGGAGATGGAAAATGTATTTGTTTAGCAACATGACCACTACTATTGTAAATATTCTTCTCCAAGGCGCCATATTTTAAATTTATCACGACTACTCAGCCATGCATTTATCCATATGCTGATTACAATGTCCAGTCACGCCATTTTATCCTTTCCTTTATGTCTAAAACAAAATTATATGTGTGACCTACTGCTCATGGCTGCGTTAGTCACTCACTCAATAAATAAATAAAAAAAGGTGCATATGATGAGTGCATCCATTGAAAATACATGGCTGGCAATTCACCATTATTCTACAATAGTCGACTTTGGTTAAATGACCGCCGGTAGCAATCACATGCTCAATTAACATATTGCCCCAAAAACAGCAAAAAAAAGTGTACGATCGCGCCAGGGCTCGAACCTGGAATCTCTTGATCCGTAGTCAAGCGCCTTATCCATTGGGCCACGCAACCTTTATAAGCAGGCAATTAAGCTGCCAATTAACTTGTTGATAACTAAGTCTAATCATACAAACAGCTCTTGACAAAACAATATTTTTTGTTGTAAAACTAAAAAACATTTGATTGGCCGTTTTTCATCGGCCTTATTTCTATGGCCGAGACAACAGCAGCCCATTGTGGCAAGATAAAAACCTGTGCCTTCAAGAAGTTATATATATATATTCAACTATAAAAATGTACTGTTGATTTGGTTGTTTATAATATAGTTGAACCGTAAAAAATAAATAGATATTTGGTTGGCAATCAGTTTGAATAAATAACCAATAACCAACTCATTCATTCATTCAATTGTAGATGAGATGGGCCTCCTTGGTTGACGCCGTGTTGAACAGCTTTATTTCATTGGCACGACGCGTCACCAATCCAGAAAACACCTTTCCGCTGGCTTTATTCCATTTACCTAGCTCCTGCTCAGCAACCAGGTTGGGATCCTCTTTGTTATTTAGGCGCTTGATCAGCATTGATGATTGCATATTGCTGAATCCGATATTGAACGTCCAGGAGATCTGTGCCCAACAACATTTGTATCATAGAGGGGCAGAAAATGGCAATGATGCTGTTATAATAAGGCTGTGTGAGGAGCACTAGTTGTCTAGTGTTAAAAGTTAGGGGTGATTTTATAAAAGGTTTTATTACTAATGTTTCTAAAATATTACTAGGGCCGGCCTCATCTTATATATGTGTCTTGTCGCCTTTGTTGTGCACATTGCCAATCATGCGCTCCGTTGGTGAGAACTGGATCTTCTGCGAGCAGACCGGTATCTTGGAGAGTCAATGTTATGGTTTTTGCGTGTGTGCGCTCATGAGTGTGAATTGCAAAATAGGGAGCATGTTTGGGCATCAATGTAATGGCTCCCTAATTTACGCCTGCATGATTCAATTAATGTCCTATCAATCGACATGCAGGTGGAAACCTGTTTCGCGATTCTCAACCTTAACATTTACTTTCACATCCTCAGTCCGTGCAATAATGCAAAGCTCCATTGATTCGGCCGAAATTAAAATGGATAGACAAATAGTTTATAAAGAAAAGAAAAGCAATATGTTTGGATATAAAATACTCAATATATGCTTTATAAGTGTTGCTTATATTGAATAGAAAAGTTTTCTGAACATTTGTCTATGAACTGAGCAAAAACCTATACATTATAATTTTTTTGCGTTATTATTGTCTCAAAAATTGACTAAAAAGTGTGTGATTTCAGCCACATATTCTCTCTTCAATATTAGTGACACATTCAGCGCGCAAAAAGCATACGTTTGGGTTTTCTTTGTTGTGCAGGTGTTATTTTGTTTTTAAAAATTAATAAAACAGTAGAATATTCCACTGCTTGCACATTGTATATAAATAATACACACCGCCATTAAAACGTTTTAATGGCGGTGCAAACAATGATGGCATCAACACATAATGTATAATCAACTGAGTACCCATCAACTAAACGTTTACTTGGCTTTAATCACTGTCAACTAATTTGACAAGCACACGCTCAATGTATTTTTGACATAACCGTTGTTTCACAAATCGGCCGAGGTTACGTGTTGAGACTCACCACAGTTGGCTGGCCGTTTCGTAGTTTAAAAATGCTTCAAGACTCAGGAAATGCAAAGCGACAAAGCATCATTTTTTGATCTATAATACACAGCACAAAAGCATACACTGAAGCGGCAGTGACCGTGCTAGCAAGCGCAAAGTCGACAAATAAGGAAATAAAATAAATGTTGGGGGTAGAAAAAACAGATCAACCTTGAACTCATAAAGCCAATTAACAAAAAAGGGGCAAAAATAAGCTCTCTGACCGGGAATTGAACCCGGGTCGCCAATGTGACAGACTGGCGTACTCGCCACTATACTATCAGAGATTGCTTAAACTGATTTTTTGAAACTAATCAGTTACTGTTGATAAACATTAATTAAAATAATATAAATGCCGTATAGTAACTGAAGGCGGTAATTTGTTTATTAAGCACAGTTTTGGGATTGCCACCCAGAAATGTCAATTGAGCTGCAGGTGGCAGAGCATAATCCAGACTTACAGACTAAAAATACTACTGTTTTATGATATAAAGTCAACTGGTAAAAAAATATATATGCCGCATACTGTTTTAAAATATTATGAACTTTGAAAATATTAAAAACCCCATTTTCCCGCAAACATTTTCTCTAAAAAATAATTGACACACAATGCTAAAACCATAACAAATTCTTGAATTAAAAATATTAGCCAAAATCGTGTTATTTATTTATTTACCAAATTTATGCTATAGAGTACAAGGGAATGGAATGTGGAAAGTGGAAATTTGATTTATTTAGTTTTTTTGTTACAAAATGCTACCAGTCCATTGAGCGTACTCGTCGTACCAATCGTACTCGAAAGACAGAATGCATGCAGAGTACTCGGTATAAATCCAATTTTCCGCGATAGCTTTCAGCTTGCTGTTAAAATCAGTTGTATCTGTAAAGTAAATGCGAAAGTGTGAAAAACGAGGGCACAAGACAAAAAGCGCAACCGTTTCCATTATATTATTTTTGCAACTGCCCCGCCATCAGGAAAGTATAAAGAGTAAAAATAATTACCAAATATTCCGCTTATTGCCTTAATATGGTTAACTAGGGCGTTGCGACGTATGTCATTGATACTTGGCTCTATGTCGTTCGGATAGTACCTAATGCTGCGCAGACAAGGTGCATGCCTCAAAATGGCAACAATAAATGAAAACCGCACAGTCCCCTCGGTAAATACAAGTGTTTGTAATGTTTCAACTACGCTAAACCTGTCAACTCCAGCCAAAAAAATAACATCAGAGAATTGTCCGTGGAATTCAACCATATTGACATATTCTGACGAGCTGACTGCTGCAAAAAGGTAAAATTAAAAGTAAAAAATAGCTGCTGCTACAAATCCGTGATTAGTTCTTAATGGCATGTGTTCTACCAGAGTTGTGGACTACAGACGGGGAAAAGCAATGCCATCAAAAATTCGATGTCTGATTGCAATGGGCAGAAATGAAAAATTAAAGACAGCACGTAGCTTTTCAAGCGTGCTGTTGTTGCCTCTAAATGGGGCGTCATCGTTGAACGTATAGTCGCCGTTGAATAAGTGATTTGAGGCAGGGAAAATATACAAAATCATTGACAAGCTGTACCGGCACCGCTGGAGTATTAGACGCATTTTTATCGTCTGGATTTCCAAAGGCAATGTCCTCCAAATTAGAGTATGCTTTAGTGGCGTCTTGTTCATCGTGCAATAGAGCGCTTACATACTGCCTGGGATAAAGAAAAATCCCCAACACCTTCAGCAGTGCGGAATTGCGACGCACACCCTCGACTAACTTAAAGTGATCATCCCTGCACGTATACAAAAACCGAGTGATGTTGGAAAAAGATGGAGATATTAAAAGGAGGGGGAGCTGTCCATGTATTGGCTCAGGCTTGAACTCATAAAACTCCAATCGTTGGACACCAAGATATATTTCATGTTGCCTCGCTGAAAAAGTGACAAAGGTGTTGTTGGCCCATACCAAAGCTGACATTGGTACCAATTGTCACTCCTATTTTTTGCACGGCGGGTGCCATGCATTTAATTAATATCAAAATATTCATGATATTCTGCACTGCTATGACTTTTTTGTGCCCACGAAGGCCGAGAAAAAAGGAAAAGCAACAACGCTGACGCCAAATGTTTGCACCTTTGTAAAAATAAAATTGTCACCAGGCGATCTTAAGACCATAGAGTACATGTGGTAGGCCACGGTGGGGATGCAGTAGGAAATAAGAAGAATACTTATGGCAAGATGGTTACAGGGGAAAGAGGGCTGGTAAAGGGCCACATGCCAATTGGGGAACAAGTAGATGTAAGAGTCGGAAGGGCGAAATGTGAAATTGAGTTTGGTAAATGTAATTGTTATAAACACGGAGCACCAAAGATGAGAAGTATGAAGAATGGATGATGCCAATTTTCTGTCGTTATTGTAGATAGTTTGATTGGTGTTTAGATGATAGTTGATAATGGATTCGATAATGTGCTGAGGAAGAAGTCGGAAGGTTAAAGGGTTTGCCATTTTAAAAATTAAAAATTACAAAAAGTTAATAGAAAATTAGAGAATGCTGAAAGTTTTGAGAGAAAATACAAAAGTGAAAAACGACAAAAGAGAAAGCTGGGAAGGGATTTTATACCTTGCAGACCGCCAGTTTTCTGCAGGGTAGAGACGGTCCAGTCCACTTGTTTGTGGACCATTGGTCTTGCAAGGTGCCACAATATCACTGCACCACCATTTTGCCACGGGTAAATAATTTCCATGTGCTGATCGGCGCCATGTATGTTGCGCGTGTGATTGACAATACCCTCGCAGTTTTCTATTTAAAGCAATGCGAGTACTCGTATATAAACGTGCGCGATCAACCATGACTTGAACAATTGGCAGCGAGCGTTATAAAAATAGTGTCTTGTATTCCTGGCGATAGTATACGCCGAATCCAAATTAAAACCATATGTTTGATATTTCAATCAATGCATCTATTTTCTTTCCATTGGATTAATGAATTCAATTGTCAATATTTTTTTTACTTTTTTAATGAGTTCCAATTTGTCCCCTTTTCAGTCGCTTTCCCTTGGATATTGTTGGTTTGATGGGCATGTTTTTTGCGTCAAACATTTGCAATGTTGCCACATTTGGCGCATGGTCATTTTGAGGCTGGTTTGCCTCGAAATAACCTTGGAATGTCTTATTGACGGCACATCAGGTGGGGCTTTGATTTAAATGAGTTCCCAACAAAACCATCTTGTGAAAGTCATTTTCATCGTAGTATTCAGCCAGTTAAGCCTAAAGTTCAAACAAAGGATACTCCGTTTTATTGAGCCACGCCAGCCCGGCCTTGTTTTCCCAAAACATGCACGCACTGAGGGCCCTGCTTCCTAAATGCAGGATCAGCAGTGCAGTCACGGCAGATCCGACCTAGCACATAGCGGGCAATAGCAAGGGACACCAGACAGAGTGTTTTGGCAATCCGTGGAGTTGGAGTTAAAATTGTTTCCACGAATTACAAGGACGACCAGCAGCGGGCTAATATCCATATCTTGGGCAGACTGTGCTCCGACTTGTGCAAAGGCGTGAGTCATGTGTCTATCAAATTGCCGTGTGCTATAGGTTCATATGTTCTAAGACACAACTGTATAGGTGAATTAACCTGCTTTAAATATTATCAGAAAGATGACCGCCATGCGGTTATTGAGCTTATCCGGTTGGGTGCTGTTACATTGTGGTCAGTGGGGTTGTCCTTTTTGTATGACCAAGAGCAGAGTGGGTTTTGTTTGACAATTCAGGCTGCACGATTGTGAACCCTGTGTTAAAAAGTCTTGTCATTCATATATGTACGAGTTCACACATTTTCTGCGAGCTTGCTACGGATTGAACAGTTCCTTTTTCGAATCTCAAGTCTCTTGACACATCATCCATTTATCAATATGACAGTTACACGTTCAGGGGAAACGGCAGCATGCTTGAGTGCATTTTTATATTTCTTGACATAAACTCCATCGAGTTACTTGAGCGTGTTTGCTACATACACACAGCCACAAATCATTTCTATCCAACTTCAAAGTAAACAGCTACAGGCTCAGTATTATCTAATCAACGGTCGATGAGACTCAATATGCACTTAAAAACATTGGTGTTGCGCAGTTGTCGATGCGCAGACTAGGGCTATCAGGCGAATTTAAAAGGAATGTGCTTTTTGAAGGCAGCTTGGTCTGCAGCATGAGCCAACATAATTCAGTCGCTTTGTATAAATGCTTCGTATTCATTTTTGACACCATTGCTATTGTGTACTATTTTATTTATGTGGTTGTAGTGCGCAAATGAGTAGGCAAAATGCATCAAATTACAGCAGAGCATAACAAATTTGGATCTATTTTAAAGCAGTTCGCTTAAACAAAAGCGGGTTTATATAGCAATGCAATACACTTTTTCCATATTAGCAAACTTTGGGGTTATCTCAAATCCAAGATAGCATCGCAACACGAGTTAAAGGGCATGTATGCAGTTTTGAAATATTTATTATTCCGAAAATGAACTAAAAGAAAGCTAAGGGATGAACAGCCTCCACTGTTTACATTCATTGGTATTTATGTGTGTATGAATTCCCAAATATCCAAGTAGGGAATTAACTAGCGATTTATTCATTAATCAATCACCGGAGACAGGCCGCAATTTCTTGTATCACACAGTGGATGAAACATTGCCTGAAATCAGACGGAGCATTTGTAACAGATATATTGCGGCAAGTCCAAACATGCGCATCATCTCCAACTGCTTCAAGCAGGGGTTGGTGATTGCTGCTTTGGTTCATGCAAAGAGGGGCAAAAGACGATTAGGACGAATATGCGCAGAATTTGGTCCATGCCTACTGTCCGCAATCAAACGATCAAGAGCCCAGGCAGCACATAATTGAGGTAGCCAATTCTTTTTTCTTACATATATTTTTCATAGTATGGTGGTGTTAACACCTCACTTATTCTCATAGGTTTGAATTCATTTTCGATTAGCTGTCTGAGTAATCAAGTAAGCAAAGCGAAGCGGGGATGATGATGGCTTATATAGTTTTATATTTTAGGCGTGTATGTTTAAATACAACACTGTTAAAGTAATGATTGTCCAAGTAATCGTGTGATCGATGATTTCGTTGACCGAATTAGTTCAATCAGTGCGAGTGCGAGTGGAAGTTGGACAAAGCATTAGGGTTAAATTATGCGCAGTCGCTGGTGCAGTAAGCAAAAAACACTTTTTTTATCCGTAATGTGGAATAAGAGCATCATGTTTTCAATGAATTTTTTTTTTTCCAAAGGGTGTTCTGTTTTTATTATTAGTTATTTTGCTTGTTTATTTTTTGTTCTCTTTTATGTTTTGTATTGATTTAAATTCAGTTATTTATTTAAATTCATGCCTGATAATATAAACAAACGCAAGGCACCAGGCGGATCCCAGCCCAGCACGCCGCTGGCTCGGACCAACAAGCGCAAGGCACCAAAGTCAATCTCGACGCCGGCAATAGGCACGAAGAAGCAAGTAACCAGCATTAAAGTAATCAGTATCAAGCCACCGCAAGTGCCGCGTCTGGATGACGAGAAGAATAATCCAGGTGGGCCGCGGATTCTACGACTCGACGACTACGTCGTGTCGTTCACAAACTCAATGGTTGACGACAAGTATGAAGGAGAGAGCAACAGTGCGGCGAAGCTGGGGGGATTCCAGTCGGCACGCAGCATGATCAAGACTGAGGGCAAGGCAGAGCCGAAGAAAATAAAGAAGCAGAATAAGAAGGAGGAGGGGGCGTTTGCAGTGCGGCTGGACGAGGCGCAGGAGCAGATCACAAAAATGGACATCAACAAGCCGCTGCTGATCGTAGCCGGCGCCGGATCGGGCAAGACGACGACCCTGTGCGCGCGCGTAATTGAGATGATGCGGCAGGGCGTAGCAGCGCAGCAGATTCTGGTGATCACATTCACGAACAAGGCAGCGGACGAGCTAAAGGAGCGCATAGCGCGGTACATGGCGGCGCATGGGATGGACACGACAGACCGGGCCATGGTTCCGTTTGCATCAACGTTCCACTCGTGGTGCTACGGGCTGGTGATGCGCAACCACCTGGTGCTCGGATGGCGCAAGTGCCCGATGGTCGTGGCAGCCGAGTCCGAGCACTTGGCCATCCTGCACATTGCGCTGCGGCAGATCAACAGCGTCCGCCGGCTGCGCCAGTGCGAGGACATTCTGGGCATTGCCGTGCAGGAGAGCGACGCTGAGCGGAGGCTGCTGTGGGCTGACGGCGCCGACGAGCGCTGGAGGAGAGTGGTTGAGCTGACCACGGCCAGGACTGGGTTCAGCGTCGCCGCCATGGTCGACCAGGAGGACGCCAAGCCCAGGGGCCGCAAGTTTGGTGCGAAGGCACAGCAGCAGGCGCAGCAGCGCGTGGCGACGGACGCAGTGTACGCGCACCTGTACGCGCACTCAGGCAAGGCGCGCGGCCTGCCGGACATCGACAGCGAGGTCAGCGATGTGAAATATGGGGCGGTGTTCGCAGGCAAGGACCTGCCCAAGGCCATGATGCAGTTCGTCTACCGCGCAAAGGCGTGCGGCGACACGCCGGACATGTTTCCGGACGTGGAGGCGTCGGTGCTGGCGGCATACAACGGCACACTGCGCAAGTTCGATCTGGTCGACTTTGACGATCTGCTTGCCAGCGCCAACGCGGTGCTGGAGAGCGACGACGTCCTGCGCAGTGTTCGGCAGCAGTTCCCATACCTGCTGGTCGACGAGTTCCAGGATCTCAACCGGCTGCAGATGCGGCTGGTGTTGCGGCTGCAGAGCGGCGTTGGCCGCGTCACGGCTGTGGGTGACGAGCGGCAGAGCATCTTTGCGTTCCGCGGCGCGTCGTGCGAGCACAACTTTGCCGAGTTTCTGGCGGCCTTTGTTGATGCTAACGTCGGCAAGACGGCGGCAGCGCAGGATGAGGGCGCTGGTGCGATGGCCAGTCTGACGCGCAACTACCGGTCGCACCAGAGCATCGTCGACCTGGGCAACATTGTCGCGCGCGATACCGGCCGCGGGTCGCCGCTGCTGGCGCGGCTGCGCGTGCCGCTGACAGCGCAGCCCTCAGCGCTCGTCGTGCCGGTCAACGTGTGGGCCAACGCTGACGCGCACCTCGAGGCCGACCGCATTGTGCGGCGTATCGCGTACCTGCTGCGCAGCGGCGACTGCGCGCCATCGGACATCGCAGTGATTTCGCGTTGCCTCAACTTTGGCAGCTACCGGCCGACCGGCCGCATTGAGCAAGAGCTGCTGCGCGCCGGTATCCCGTTTGTCGTGCGCGGCGGCGCGTCGGCGCTCAAGTCGCCGCGGATGCAGACGATGATGGCGCTGGTGCGCGTCGTGGCCAACCCGGCCGACGACATCGCCTGCGACGTGTGCCTGCGCGACCTGGTCAAGGACATTGGCCCGATTGCGGTCAAGAAGATCCACGCCTTTGATGCGCTGCGTACGCCGCCGCTGCCAGCCTTTGAGCGGCTCGTGGGTGTGTCCAAGGCACAGCTGCTGGCCAAGAACGCGCGCGCGTCGCTCGCGTCCTTCGTCGACTCCGTGCAGCGGTGGCAGGCGGAGGCTGAGGCCGGTAAGGCGACGCTGCGCGAGCTCGTGCGGTCCATGTACGACGTGTACGTTGCCGATGCTGAGGACGACACGGTGCCGGTTGGACAGCCGAAGCAGGGCGCGTGGCCGGCGGACAGGCTGTGGGGGATGCTCGATGCCATTGTTGACTCGCTCAGGGCCACGCCTGGTGCGCTGCCACTGCCGGCGTCTGAGGACGACACGTCGTTTGCGTCGGCGGTGGATATTGACGGGCCGTGCTCGCTAATGCTTGTGCGCGCGTTTTCCAGCCAGCTGTGCATGCTGTCATCGTCAGCCGAGGACAAGGGCCAGCAGACTGCGCCCTTGAGGCCCAGCCCGCTGCTGCCGCATAAGGGCAGTGTGGTCATCACCACGGTGCACCAGGCCAAGGGCCTGGAGTGGGAGCACGTGTTTGTCCCGCACTTCAACGAGAATCTCTTTCCGATGGGCTTCCGCGGTCCGACCCACGCTGACATGGCGCGGTCAACCACGAGCTCGGTGGTGCGCCTGGAGCACGAGGCCCAGCATTTCCGCGAAGAGGGCCGCCTGGCGTACGTGGCGATCACCCGGGCGAAGCATGGCCTGTACATCTCGTCGCTGGGCAGGTACCCTGAGTTCTGGATGGAGAGGTTCCTTGGCGGCCAGTGCACGCCGTCCAGGTATCTGCCGGACATCATGCAGGCACCGCGGAAGGAGACGTACAGTCAGAGCAGGAAGCTCGGCATGGAGAGCATTGAGTCGCTGATGTTCAGGTGAGGGCATCCAGCAGCAGCAGCTTAAGGGAGGAGGGGCTGATCGGGCTGATCAGAGGGATCAAGCCGATCGGTCTAGCGGAGATGGTCCGACGAGCGAGCCGAGTCGGCATTGCTTGAGCCGAACCAACTCCGACGCTGTTCCTTTTTTTGGTCCAATTTTTCTATTTGAATCGATTGTTGTGACTCATTCTGATAAGTTTTTTTTGGGGGTGCGCTCGCATGCTTGTTCACTCACATAATGAAGTGTGCGGCTGTCCCGCCGGTCTGCCTCCCAACCGAGGATTAGCGTGAAAAAGGGAGTAAAGTGACCAAGCAGCAAGCTGGATCAAAATAAAAATTTTTCTACATAAAGGCGCCCAACTTTCCCACCCCCACCCTGCCCCATCCGTCCAACTCCAACAACGAAGTTTTTTTAACCCTTTTTCTTTCTTACATTATCCACTCACTTCCACTCTTTAGTGCGCCACTCCACAAGGACTACCTTCATGGTCTTTATCTATCAACACCAGAACGAAAAGAACGCCAGCGACTACATTGCTGACCAAATTTGGAAGACCCTTATCTGATTCTATTTTTTCTTATTTAAATTTCTCTCACTCTCAACTCTTTTATCTTACAAAGTAATCATTTCCCTCTAAAACCATGCTTAACGCTCGTCGTGTTGCTCTGGCCAAGGCTGCAGCGGCCAAAACCACCAAGTCTGGCCTCTACGCCACCTCCACCACCGCCAAGGCCGCATCGTCGGCTTCTCTGCTGCCGCTGCTAAAGTCAAAGGCTTCCGCCACCCACCTTCAGCGCCGCCAGCTGCATGTGCCGTCGATCTCCCGCTCCTCGTCGTTGCTGGCCACTGCCGCCGCAAAGCTGGCACGCAAGCAGGTCGTGTCCATTGGCCGCCGCAACTTCTCTGGCGCCAGCACGCACGCGTCGGCTGGTACGCCGCCGAACAGCGCCGTGTCGTTTGCCTCGGAGCTGGCTCGCACGGGGGCGAAGCTGGACGTCAAGAAAGTGTTGGTTGTGGGATCCGGCGGTCTGAGCATCGGGCAGGCTGGCGAGTTCGACTACTCGGGATCGCAGGCGATCAAGGCGCTGCGCGAGTCGCAGATCGAGACTGTATTGGTCAACCCCAACATCGCCACGGTGCAGACGTCGCACGAGCTGGCTGACCACGTCTACTTCTCGCCAGTCACCCCAGAGTACCTCGCGCAGATCATCGAGAAGGAGCGCCCCGACGGTATCATGCTGGCCTTTGGCGGCCAGACGGCCCTGAACTGCGGTGTGCAGCTGAACAAGATGGGCATTCTGGACAAGTTCAATGTGCGCGTTCTCGGCACCTCGGTGCGCACGCTGGAGCTGTCGGAGGATCGCGATCTGTTTGCCAAGGCGTTGAAGGCCATTGACATCCCTGTGGCCCACTCGACCGCCGTTAACACCGTGCAGGATGCGCTGGACGCCGCCAAGGAGATCGGGTACCCGGTCATTGTGCGCTCGGCATACGCGCTGGGCGGCCTCGGTTCCGGCTTTGCCGCGTCAGAGTCCGAGCTGCAGTCGCTGGCGAGCCAAAGCTTGTCGCTGTCGCCGCAGATCCTCGTCGAAAAGTCGATGCGCGGCTGGAAGGAGGTCGAGTACGAAGTTGTCCGCGACGCGCTGGACAACTGCGTGACGGTATGCAACATGGAGAACTTCGACCCACTGGGCATCCACACGGGTGACTCGATCGTCGTTGCGCCCAGCCAGACGCTGAGCGACGAGGAGTACCACATGCTGCGCACGGCGGCCATCAAGATCGTCCGCCACATGGGTGTCGTCGGCGAGTGCAACGTACAGTACGCGCTGAATCCCGAGAGCCTCGAGTACTGCGTTATTGAGATGAACGCGCGCCTCAGCCGCAGCTCGGCGCTGGCGTCTAAGGCCACCGGATACCCGCTGGCGTTTGTCGCTGCCAAGATCGGCCTTGGCTGGACGCTGCCCGAGCTGCAGAACAGTGTCACGACGACGACGACCGCGTGCTTCGAGCCCAGCCTGGATTACGTTGTCACCAAGATCCCGCGCTGGGACCTGAGCAAGTTTAACCACGTCAGTCGCGACATTGGCTCCTGCATGAAGTCTGTCGGCGAGGTCATGGCCATCGGCCGCACGTTCGAGGAGAGTCTGCAAAAGGCCATCCGCTCGGTCGACCCGTCGTTCGCCGGCTTCTCGCCCATTGCCGAGTGCCTGCCCAAGTCCACTGAGGAGCTCGAGGACATGCTGCGCAACCCGACCGACCGCCGCCTGTTCTACCTGGCGTACGCCATGATCGAGAAGGACTATGGCGTTGAGCAGCTGCACAGCCTCACACGCATTGACCGCTGGTTCCTGTACAAGCTCGAGAACATCTGCCGCGTGCACAAGGCCCTGCAGCAGCCGCACCAGACCCTGCAGAACCTCGAGCGCGCCGACCTCGAGATCGCCAAGCGCATGGGCTTTTCGGATCAGCACATCGCCGGGCTTCTCAGCGCCGGCGCCAGCGCCCTGCCCAAGGTCAGCGAGGACGAGGTGCGCGCGCGCCGCCAGCAGTTTGGGCTGCGCCCCTTTGCCAAGCGCATCGACACGCTGGCCGGCGAGTTCCCCGCGCCAACCAACTACCTGTACACGACCTACAACGCAGCGACGAGCGACGTGACCTTTGACGAGCACGGCACCATGGTGCTGGGCTCCGGCGTTTACCGCATTGGTTCGTCGGTTGAGTTTGACTGGTGCGGCGTATCGGCCATCCGCGCGCTGCGCCAGCTCGGCCACAAGACCATCATGGTCAACTACAACCCCGAGACCGTATCGACCGATTTTGACGAATGCGACCGCCTATACTTTGACGAGCTGAGCTACGAGCGCGTACGCGACATCTACGAGATGGAGAACTCTGGCGGTGTCATCGTCAGCGTCGGCGGCCAGCTTCCGCAGAACATTGCGCTGCGCCTGCACAAGAACGACGTCAAGGTGCTGGGCACCAGCCCGGAGCGCATTGATGCCGCCGAGGACCGGCACCAGTTCAGCACCATCCTCGACAGCATCGGCGTGGACCAGCCTGCGTGGAAGGAGCTGGTCAGCGTCGCCGACGCAGAGAACTTTGCCGACACCGTCGGCTACCCTGTGCTCATCCGCCCATCGTATGTGCTGTCCGGTGCCGCGATGAACGTCGCCTACGACGCCGAGTCGCTGCGCAGCCACCTGCAGCTGGCCGCGTCGGTCAGCCCCGAGCACCCCGTTGTCGTGACCAAGTTCATTCTGGGAGCGCGTGAGCTTGACATTGACGCTGTTGCCCACAACGGCAAGCTCATTGTGCACGCCGTCAGCGAGCACATTGAGGACGCCGGTGTGCACTCGGGCGACGCGTCGCTGATCCTGCCGCCGGCCAACCTGGCGCCCGAAGTCATGAAGCGCGTGCGCATTATCGGCGACAAGGTGGCCAAGGCCTTTGAAATCTCGGGTCCCTTCAACATGCAGATCATTCTGCAGCAGGACCCGGCCGGCGGCGAGCCCCTGCTCAAGGTCATCGAGTGCAACTTGCGTGCCTCGCGGTCGTTCCCCTTCGTGTCCAAGGTTCTTGACACGAACTTTGTCGAGGCCGCCACGCGCGCCATCGTCGGTGAGGGCGTGCCCGAGGCGCGCGACCTGATGCAGGACGGCAATGCCACGTGGCCCTACACTGCCATCAAGGTGCCGCAGTTCAGCTGGACGCGTCTGGCCGGTGCCGATCCGTTCCTGGGCGTCGAGATGTCGTCGACCGGCGAGGTCGCCTGCTTCGGCAAGACGCCCGAGGAGGCCTACCTGGTGTCGCTCATGTCGACCAACGGCTTCCGCCTGCCCATTCCCGGCAAGTCTGTCTACGTCGGCATGGACGATCTGACTGATAAGCGCATTGTCCGGAAGGTCGCCAAGCACTTTGACCAGGCCGGCTACCCCATCCTGACCGACAGCGCCGAGACCGCCGGCGTTCTGGCCGAGGCTGGCGTCGATGCCAAGGTGGTCAAGCTCGACTACGCCAACCGCCGCACGCTGCGCGACGCCGTGTCCAACAGCAACATCGACCTTGTTGTTAACCTGGCCAAGCACCGCCCGAAGGACAACTTGGACGCTAACTATGGCATGCGCCGCATGGCTGTCGATTTTGGCCTGTCCCTGGTCAACGACCAGCGGTGCGCTGAGATGCTCGTTGATGCGCTCAAGGCCCTGCCCGAGGGCGCTGCGACCGCCGAGTTTGGCTCGCAGAAGCTCAACATCCATACCCCCGTCGACGTCAAGACCTGGCAGGAGTACCTCGACATGAAGAAGAACTAGGTCATTTTAATTTTATTCTTTCGTGTTATCTTTTTGTTACAAAACTCCCAATGAATCATTCTGAATTATTCCTACGCACAACAAAAATACACTTTTCTTTTTGTTTGCAGTCCGTCCCGTATTCGCTGGGCTTTAGTGAAGGTAAATAATTTAAAGAATAAATATTCTATAGACCGCCAAAAGATTCAAATGCCACGCCCAAGACTGCAGTCAAGAGAGAATCTTGATGATCCAAAGACTGGTGCAGCATCCAAGCGCAACAAGGCTGGATAATTTTTATTATATTCTAAAATTGTAACCTTATTTTTTATTACTCGCCAGCAAATAAATTTGTGCCGGCACGCAGTGGAATATGTTTGAGCGGCAACGTCAACAAGAAGCTGACAAACGCGAACGGAACCGTCGCGATAAACACTTTGCGCAAAGCCAGCACGTATACATGAATGAACTGTGTGCGCACATCCTCAGGCATAGTCGTATTCCGGTAAATAGCGCTCTGGTCATTAATCGAGCTCATAAAGTCCTGGGCGTACATGGGGTAAGCGATTGCGAGCGCTGACAATCTGGGCAATAAATCGTTCTGGAAGATGGTCTGCAGTATGGCGACGCCGATGCTGGATCCGAGGACCCGCATGAAGAGAAACAGCGTGGTGGATAAGGCCATATCCTCTGTTTTGGATGCTGTTTGAACGACAATAAGAAGAATCTGGATGTTGAAGCCGAGGCCTGCACCCATGATTAACATGTATCCGATCTGCTTTGCCTTGCTGATATTCTCGTCGAATAGAACCATTAGTCCAGATCCAACGACAAACATAGCGGTTCCGACAATGGCCATGGCGCGGTACTTGCCTGTTCTCATGACCAAGAATCCCGAAGCCACCGAAACCAGTGAGACGCCGAGCAAGTACGGTAAAAGGTGCAGGCCACCGCTAATAGAGCTGGAGTTTTTGACGATCGTGTACCAAATTGGCACAAAGAACAAGGGCGAGAACATGGCAATGCCCATGAAGAACTGGCCCAGAACAGACACGCTGACGTTGCGGTTGCGGAACAATCTCAGCGGCACCGTGGGCACGGCCCTGGTCTTCCACTCGACCAATATGAAGAGGCCCAGCATGATGATGCCAAACACGAGCAAGCAGATGACGCGCGCGGATTTCCATGGTAAGGATCTGCCGGCCCATGTCAGCGCCAGGAGTATCATGACGATGCCACCAATTAGGACCAGAGACCCCAAAAGGTCGACCGTCTTGAGCTTTTCCCAGAACGAGCCCGTGGGCTGCGGTAGCCGCAGGAACAATATGACAATGATGAGCACGATGCCGGAAATGGGCAGGTTGATGTAGAACGCCCAGCGCCAAGTGACCTTGTCCGAAAACACACCACCAAGGACAGGGCCAATGACCGAGGCAATGGACCACACGGCGCCCAAGACACCCAGATACGCCGGCCGCTCTTCCTCGGATGTCACATCGGAGATGATGATAAACACAAGGGCCATAAGACCGGCGCCACCGACCCCTTGCAGCGCGCGTCCGAAAATAAGCATGCCCATGCTGCTAGCACCGCCACAGACGCCGCTGCCAACCATGAAAATCACAATCGCGCTAATAAGCGTCGGCACGCGGCCGAATGTGTCGCTGAGGCGGCCATATAGCGGCTGCAGGGCTGTTGTTGTCAGCATGTAGGCGGTTGCGATCCAGGTTGCCTGGGACAGCGCCTTGAATTGCTCTGAAATCTTGGGAATTGCCGTGGTTACAATGGTCATGTCCAGGGCGGCCATGAGCATAGTCAAAGCAAGACAAATGAATACGACTGTACGGCGGAACGGCGATATTTGCGAGGCAATGGAGGGCAAGGTAAGGTTGGATCCCTTGTCAGTGCCATTGGACGATTTTTTGATGACGATTGGCGTCGGCTGATTCGGCTGCTTCTCAATATCGGTGACTGGTGCGGTGTCTGTGCTAATATGCGAACGGACGGTGCTCGGAGACAGGGACTGGCCAGAATTATTAGCCTTGTCGGCCATTATAATAGTAATGATAGATAATAAACTGGTGGAATATTGGAAGAATAAAGCGCTGCTGCAAAAAATGATATACAATTAAGAATGGCGAGCGTAGCTGGCAAGCATGTTTTATAATGTAGCGTCTGAATTTTTTATTACTGTTTGCATTAAAATTCGTTGGTTCAGACACGTTTGGTACGTTCCAATGTGGCTCTGCGAATGCGACCATACATGAGGGAGCGCGCCAAATAAAATAGACATTTTGTAATCAAGACTGACTGTTGTGTTGTGTTGTTCATTGTATATTCTTTCATGAGCTATGTTTGAGCAGTTGCACAAATGCTAAAAATATATTTAAACTGCGCTACTGTTTTATTCGTTTAAACAGGTTCCTGAGCGGTGTTTTTTTGAGGGAGCGCCGAATTATTTCCGACACTGGAAATTAAAGGTAAAAAAAGTATAATGTCAGCATGAATTTTTATAATTTAATGGTTGCTTCCATGTTCCTGCCCCTTAATTAATTTTGCAAGGCATTGTTCTGTTAAAATTATAAAATTTTGGTATACAGCTTCTTGTTTTTTTTTCCACGGCAGCCACTCGAAACAATTGCGCCCTAATTTAAAAATAACCAACAGTGAAAGTAAGCAGTAACCCCATTATCTACTTGCTTAAAAACCTAGCGGTCCATTGTAACCAAAATAAATACAAATGGTCCAAGGAAATAGTAAGGGAAACATTATGAGCTTTGTTGACAGTATTGCTTTCCCAGCATGTGATAATAGTAATTTAAATTTATGCTTAATTTAGATTGCTTAAATCAAACATGTAATATTGTTGTGGAGTTGAGTTCGGGAATTTTTGCTGTTGTTGTTGTTGTCTAAATATGCTATAGCGGACAACCATTGCGCAGTGTAATGAGCATTCATCATTTATACAATACGAAATATTATTTTCTCAATTGGAAATTGTTACTTTTGTTTCAATGGCCCGCCCTCCAGGGTCTGCCTTCTCAATCACTCATTCACAATCATTATTCTATTCACTTCGCATATTTCATTTCCTTTTACTGGTGTTATTGTTATTTTAAATAATGAATGCAATTCCTATATTTTTGAATGAATATCGGCCAATTGATATGATAATGAATGCAGGGTAAAAATCATGATAAACGTAGATATTGCTTAAATATTCTGATATCTTGATGGGCAAAAATTGGCGCGATTAAAGATTTGTTCGTCCAAAGATTTGCTCAACTCAATGGAGTCTTTTGTGGCCCCGGAGATGGAATAGGAGCTGGCTAAAGCATTTGGCAATAAAGTTGCACGTCGGGCACTTGAACAGAGCTTGGGCAGTAGCGTGTGAGTGCTGAGACGAGTGGTCAATACAGACCATTATTGGTTGTTTCGAAATGTGCAGTCTGCAGTTAAAAAATATGAAGAGCAAAGGCGTTGTCGAAAGAAAAAATAAAGGTGATCTGTGCCGCTGGGTTTATATACAAATTTGATGGAAAAGAAAATTGTTTCTTATTTAGTCAGCAACACGGAGATATATTTACATCTTTTACCAATCTACACCAAATAAATTAAACAAAAAAACCCGCAATATGTTTTAAAAGCTGCGGGTTATTTCATGATAAGGGGGGTTCAGACACAACGATGAACGAATGTTGATGTAAAGTGAGTGGCCACAATGATTCACATTTTTCTTTATTTACAATTTATAAGCACCATGAATACACTCTGTTGCAGATTAAATTAGAGCATGTCATTTGCTTCTGACATTAACGTACACACATGCTGCGCAAATGATTCTTTTTTATTCGGTATTTTTTTACGCCAAAATATTTAAATAACCAACTTTTTTTAGAAATAACAGCCAGCGAGAAAAATGTCTAAAATTTCATTCAAATTTCATTCAAATTTCTTTCTCGTCTTTGAACCCTTGCATGGTTTTCCCTTTTTGTCGTTTACCACCGGGGGGGGGGGGGGGGGGAGGTCCGTTTCTTGTGTTGGTTTTGTTATTATTATCTTATTGCATCACTGTGTTCGCATCATAATGAGAAACAGACATGCAGATCTCAGTATATAATCGCGTGCACAATCAGGCCCAATCTTTTTTAGCGCCGTTTGCTGGGTGCTTTGCTTTATTATTTCAGAGCAGTTGGCTGAAAGGAAAATGAAAATGGGGGTGAAAAGAAAAATATTAATCAAATAACAGACAAAAAGGGTCTTGTCAATTACTTACTAAAAAAGGCTGTTGTGTTGTCAAAGGCTTTAATTTCTCATTTAAAAATAACGTCATGAGTTCCCTGTGAGCTTGTGCAGTTGCTGAGCAATATTGGCTTTTTTGGGGGAGGCCTTTGTGGTTGGGTCTATTTTTGCCTTTGTGTCTATCTCGCACCCCCGCGCGTTAAACCATGCGGAGAGGCAAGCGACATTGTTTTTCTGTCTTTGTGAGTCCAAATTTTTCATATATTTTTTGGAGGACAATGCCAAGCAAAATAAAAAATAAATTAATTAGTGAAACTGGCTTAAAAAAACCCCCAATAAAATACCCGCCCACCCTTGATTGAATTTTTCTTCTTACTTTTGTTTCTACGTTCTTTTTCCTATTTCCAATTTAATCCTACACTTTATTTTCTCTCCTCTTATTCATTTGTACATTCTGTCTTATTCAAAAGCCATTCTACACAAACAGCAACGACAAGCCCAGAACAGGCTCATCCATTTTTCTCTACATAACGACAAATAATGAAAACGGCAGCAGACCACGATAAAAATGGCAAACAGCCAGCCTTGAAAGAAACTTTGGCACACGACACCGACGACGTAAATTCACATTCACTAAGAGCTGAGGGCAGCACAAATTCAAGGCCCGACCATGAACAGGCTGCCACAACAATTGAGGCAGCCAATGACGATGTCATCAATGCAGATATCGCAGAGTCCAGGCAGTATAAGCAGAGCGAGCAGCAGCAGCAGGCGTCAAGTGCTGCAAGCATGAATGGCGGCCGCAGAGTCAGCTGGCTGTCTCCTGAAAGGGAGGGGAATTTGCACGTGGCTGCTCGGCCTTTAGAAGGGGCGTCGAGCACCAGAAGCGAGGATAATACAGAGGCGCCAGCGGTGCCAATGCCTGTGGCTGCCGTTAGCGGGTTGCAACGGGCGTCGGCGGACGATAATCAGCGGGAGAGCGACTCATTGGCCGGAGACCACTCGACAACGAGCTCTTTGTACGATGAGTCCTTGTTCATCGTTGGCAGCGGCGCAACCGGCACTGGCATCAACGGCATATTGCTCCCAATGAGTGGCAGCAGCGGTCCCGGAATAAGCAGTGCACGCAGTGGGACGCTGAGCCCGCAGTACACGTTGGTCAATAGCGATGGCGCCAGCATGCGGGTGCACACGGGGAGTATTCGCGAGCGCAACCTTAACCGCCGCATTTCGGCCATTCATGAGGACGATTCAGACGCGTATCCAGAGAGTCGTCGCTCGGACTCGATGTTGTTTATGCAGACGTTGTCGCCGTCGCAGTCGCAGCGGCGGCGATACCCGTTGCATTCGCAGCCCACTAGCCAGCCCAGTCAAGGACAGGGTTACGGCCAGGGCCAGCGCCGATCGCGGCGCATGTCGGAGGATGATCTCAGCATGTTTACATATGGTGGTGCTAGCGCGGATACCCCCGGTATGCGGTTGATGGCAGAGTCAGACCATCTGTCGATGATCTCGGGTATCAGCGAGGGCGGCGCATCGACAACACGCGTGCGGATGGCTACAGATCTCGCCTACAATGCCTTGAGGATTGGGCCTAGCGAAAACTACTCACTGTTTGGATACGGTGGCGGCCAGCATCGCGCCATGTCTTTTGCCACGTCGAGCGATCCTGGGCTGCCCAACACGGGCTCGTTCTACGACTATTATCTTGGCCCAGAGGGCGATCCTCCCAACTCAGGCTGGATGCAGGATGGCCACAACAACAACAACAGGGACAGCGACAGCGATGCTGATGATGGCGATATTGTCAGCTTGATACGCAGCGACATTGCCGTGTACGGCGGCGCCGGCGACGATGTAAAGTTCCCGTTTTTGCCCGACAACTTTAGCGAGTTCAGCGGCTCTATAGTCTACTCGCCAGGCGGGGCTCTGTCAGTCGACGTCGAAAGGCTTTCTCGTGACCACTCTGAGTTTTCGTATGTTTCGCCCGCGTACCACTACCAGTTGCAGCAACAACAAGCACAGCAGCAGCAAGAACGCCAGCAACAAGCGCAGGACTTTCAGAACCAGCAGATCCAGCGTTACAAGCCGCAGACTAAGCTCAGGAAGAAGGGCAAGAACGCTGTGCCTAATGGCGATACCGCCGGTAGGGATAGAGCTGTGGGCAGTGGCAGCGGTAGTGGGAATTCAGCATCAGCCAATGTTTCGCCTCGCCAAAGATGGACGAGAAACTTGGGTCCGGTCAGTCCTAAGACCCCGGGGCCTATGTACCATCGGTATAGCCGGAGGCTCCGTCACCAGTCGGCCAGCGATACGTACCATTCGGCGTCCCATACTGCAGCACAGGTAGCTGCAGCATCGCGGGCTGTAGAGGCAGCGGCGGCAGCCCATGCGGCGGCGGCTGCTGCTGTTGCTGCCGCCGCGAGTAATGGGAGCGCTGGAAGTAGCAGCAGCCCACAGTCCCAGGGCGTTAGATCCCATGATTCTGCTTCTGCTGCTGCAATTCGGCCAAATGCCATTATGAGGTTTTTCAAGCGTATTGCGCCCAAGAACTAGACCATTTTTTGCTATTGATTTTTCCATTGATAATGAAAAATTTTAAAATTTTTTTTTTCAAATATTGATAGATGAATACAAATCAATTCGAAAACAGATAGCAAAAGTTACCAATGTGCATGCCTTAATTTAATCAAGTTTCTTGTCGCTTGTCTCGTGAAAATTGTTTCGCAGCGACATTTGCTCGAGTGCATCGGCCAAGTCAATAGAATCATCATTGTCGTAGTTATTTTCTGTGCCATTATCAGCAACAACAGCAACGACCTTTGCCGGCGTCTGGGCACTCTTGTCTTCAGAATCGCTCTTTGACAGCAATTCCTTTGGCACACGAAGATGCGGAGGAATGTATTTGCGCACCGGCTTGACGACAGGCTTGTCTTCTGCGTTTGATACAGGCTGAGGCTGCGACGGGGATTTAGTTTGAGTGTCAATTGCAATTTTGTCTATGGGGCCATTTGCAGGCTTATTCTCGCATAACAAGTCCAGACTTTGGCACTGTACTACTGGAATTGCCTCTGGTGCCTGTTTGGCGGCTGTTTCTTGGACTTTTTCTTCCTGATGACTCGGCTGCCTGCGCTGTGATGGCGGAGTGTACTTGGGAGCAAGCTCCTTTTGCACGTATCCTGGTCGAATCCTGCGCTCCTTTCTCACAGTTCCGTCTGCCCGTACCGAAGCTGGAATGACATTTGCGTTGTCTGACATGTGGTTTGAAGTGGCGATAGTTAAATAACACTAAAGTATAATGTCGGTGATATATCCCAATTTTTTTACTCTAGAACATTTAATAATGTTATATAACTCTCTGAATAAAGGGAACTTGCACATGTGCTGTATGATTTTTTTATTGCGCAAATCAATGAATCTATTTTCTCGCTCTGTTTTTTTGTTTGTTTGCGCAAGTTGCACAGCAATCGCTTTGTGCAGCGATCAGCAAATATAATAGCTATTCTTAACATTAGTCAATCCTCACCCAGCGAGTTGATTGGCTAATTGACTGGCCCTTACCCTGCAATCACAAGGTATTTTCCCGCAACTTTTTTTTAATTAAAATTTGTCTCCCTCGTCCTTTGCAAAACTGCTATAAGCAATTTGCTTGAGCCCACCGTTTTTTTGTGTTAGCACAGGCAATATCGCACCAATTTTCATATCTCCTCTTTTCTTTCGCCAAATAATTTATTTGCCCTTTTTCTGCACTTTTCGTTATAACAAAAAAAATGGATTTCAACAAGCTCGTCGGCGCTGCCACCTCTGCGTACAGCAAGTACCAAGAGGGCCACAAGGATGGTGATAACAACTCCAACAACTACGGCAACGAGAACAGCTCGAACAACTATGGCAACTCGAACAACTATGGCAACGAGAACGAAGGGGACAGAATGGCCTCTCCCAGCCAGTACAAGGGCGGAAACAACGACCAGACCAACGAGAGTTACAACAGCAACGATGGTAACTCTGGCTACAACAACCAGAACTCATCTTCGGGAGGCAGCCAGAGCGGCTTTGACATCAGCAAGATTGCGTCTATGGCTTCTGGCCTCCTTGGCGGGAGCAGCCACGGCAACAGCAGCAGCAACAACGACGGTGGCAACCAGAGCAGCGGCTCGCTCGATATCGGCAGCCTTGCTTCCATGGCCTCGGGTTTCCTCGGCGGCAACAGGGAGAGCAGTAACAACAGCGGCGGCGGCAGCGCCGACCTGATGTCGTCTGCTCTCAAGCTGGCCACAGGCAACAGTGGGTTCAACCAGGGTAACACCGGCAAGAGCGAGATGCTGTCCAACTTTAGCAGCATTTTTGGCGGAGGCAGCAGCGGCAGCGGTAACATGGCCGATCAGGGCCAGAAGGCAATGGGGCTTGCAGCTGCGTACATGGCGCTCCAGAAGTTCCAGGGCGGTGGCAGCAGCTCCGGCGGAGGCCAGAACCAGCTTGTTGCACTGGCCATGTCGGAGGCCAAGAAGCTGTTTGGCCAGCACTCCGAGCAGGGTGGCAGTGCCAACGAGAAGGAGACCCTAGCCACTGCCGCCCAGGCCGCCATGAAGCTGTTTAGCTCGCCGGGCAACCACTAAACCAAAGACAAAAATTTTTACAATTTTGCAAACGAAAAGTTATAAATAAAAATTAGAGTCCAGCTATCGGAAAGGGGCCGTGCACCTCACTGTGCATGTCCAGCCCATGTCGGCCCATTGCGTTGCCTTGTGTCGGAACTCCCATATAATCGCAGTTCTGCCTGAGCTGCTGTGGCAGCGTGGTGTTGGCAGCAATCCTGAACGGGGCCTCGACAAAGGTCATAGCCAGTCCTTGTTCAGCGTGGAACTGCATGTGGCAGTGGAACAGCCAGACCCCCGGGTTATCAGCACGGAACCGGACAATCGCGTATGCCATCGGCGGAACCGTAATTGTGTCTCTGCGGATGGGGAATTTCGCAGCCGCAATGCGATTCTTCTGGTTCCTGTCTATTGTGCCTCGGGCCATGATGAAGAAGTTGTGGCCGTGGAGGTGGAACGGGTGCGAGTTGACGTCGAGATTGAAGATGGCGACTTCGACGTCCGTCAGTGGGTCCAGGACCACTGGGTTGGACTTGAACCCGTAGACATCGGGGTAGTACGCCTGGAATCCTGTGGTCAGTGCCGTGACGAGCGATGGCACGATAGGCGGATTATACGTCCGGTTATTGAAGGCCAAGTGCTCCCTACGGTCATCGAATATTGACGTGTGCACTTCGAGCGGTACCCATTTGTGCACACCTGGTGGCGGGGTCCTTTCGATCGGCACCAGGTCGATGTCCTCGAAAAAGTCCCAGTCCACAGAGCTCCTCGCAGTGTCGTTCTTTAATTCGGCGTCGGGCGAATACTCGACGATCCCCATGTACGGGATTTCGGATCGAGCAACGCCCAGCTGAATGTCAGTGAAGATGTCAGCGTGGTAGACGTAGTTGAACTGAGTTGTGTTTTTGGCTGTCACCAGCACCGATACGCGTTGACCAACCGACAACTGCATGCTGTTGACTTCCTTGATTTCAGTATCGACTCCGTCGACCTCGATGACCTGGAGCTTGTGATCCTCGATGCCAAAGCGCACCATGGCAGTGCCGGACACGTTGATCAGCCGTAGCCTATACTTTTTGCCAGGCCGCATCTCCAATTTTGTTTGGTTTGTGTTTTGGCCACCAACGCTGTTAATAAGCATTTGGGGTTGGAATGGCGCAGTACGGATTCTCTCACTGGTGCTCAGCAATTGATCGCGTATGTCGCGCGATGAGCGGTTATACCACGCCTCCAGCATGACCACAATGTCCTTGTCGTAATCGTAGTGCTCCTTCGGCGGATGGCTTATCAGCGGTGTGCGCAACCCGTCGACGTATTGCGCCATGTAGTGGCTGTGTATCCAGTACGTTCCTGTCTGCGTCACGTTTATTTCATACGAGTACGTGCTGTTTGGCGCTATACCGCATTCGGTGGCGCCGACCGCGCCGTCGTAAAAGTTGGTGCCATTTTGGAAGAAACCGTGCGTGTGTAGGGATGTGGCCTCGTCTAAAGAGTTGTGCGCGTTTATTATTAGCGTGTCTCCGAGGTTGACGTGCACTGTGGGTGGTGGCCATTTGCCATTGACGCCGATGACCCGCCGCTCGCTCTGGTTGTCGGGGCTTGCCTGCACGTATGTCAGGTCCCAGTCGAGAACTATGCGCTTGGCAAAGATAAAGCTCGTGAAAAGAAGCAGAAACAAGAAACAATTGCAGTGTAAAAATTTAGACATACTATCAAGCACTAATGTTCTTTTTAATAAAATGGAATGTAATAATAAAAAACATTTGTTTGGTACGTAATGCCAAAAAAGTTTAAATACTCACTCGCTTCTAGTTGCAATACAACTGCGTTTATATTGCCACATACATCGGAATGCCAATTTTTTTGAGCCCTCCCATTCGGAACCAGCATCAACCCAGGGTCAAAGCCATGGTAAAAGCAAAAGCAAAAGACAATTGCAAAATTTACACAATACATATAACCAATTCATTTTCTCAAATTGGGTGGCGGATCAACCAAAAAATAACATTGATAACATGTCATTGTTGCACTGCTACATATTGTTGACAGGCTTTCTTTTTTACACATCATTTTTTACACTGAATTTTCAATAAAATTAGGTTCGTTAAATATTGTAAAAAAAGTAAAAACAATCCTAATTTTTGACCTACTTGCGCAGACAATACATGATCCACTGCGCAACAAGCACAGCATTGCATATCTGTGTCGGAAATTCACTTGAAGTCAACACAGACGGAAGCTGGAATCCGGAAATATTGATAATCACAGCGGCAAAAAAAATGATACCAATCTCACACGCATTGGCGCCCACAGGGATATGTGACCCGGAGCGAGTCTTGTGATTGATCAGGATCTGTGGCAACCACATCAGCCACTGCAACACAGTGGCAAAGGTCAACATGATATGTCTAAGTATGCTCAAAGATTCGCGCGACACGATCAAGCAGTATACGACGACAACAATGAACAGGGGGCCAATCAGAAGGCGCATCCAGCGTAGACCAAGCTGGTCAATCTCCTTGCGCACAGAAATAATATGCTCAATGCGCTGCGCCTTTGCCGAGTTCGTATGGTCATCCTCGGATATGTCGACCATTTCGTAAGCGCCGCCGTTCTCCGATTCATCGCTCTGTGGCATAAACAGGCCCTGGCGCAGCGCCTGGTACCATGTCATGGGGTTGATCGGCGTACCAGTGAGGAGCAGAAGCAGGTACAGTTGTATGAACAAAACCGGGTTGATTACGGAGCTCACGGATCCCTTTGTTGCGGCAAAACTTATAGTTTCAAAGAGCTGAGCAAGGAACGAAATGCCAAATGTCGCGCGCGAGTACCCAATCCATCTAGTTCTGGGCGAGAGCCAGTATAGCATGAGCATCATTCCGCCCAGCGCCACCAGAACGACGATGAGCACAGCGCAGGCAATTATAAACAGAAGCGCAGGAACACCGAGCTTAGTAAGGTAGTCGTACAGCATGGCGGACAGCGCGAGCAGAATTGTCCGGATGACTTTGCCGCTCTTATCGTTGTCCGAGCTAGGGCGCCTGTCGCGAGAACCGGATGAACGACTGTTGATGTACTCAGGGTCAAATATCTTGATCAGCTCGTATTTTGCAGATATCCACCCTTGCTTGAGGCCGCGCAGCTCGAGATCAACCTCAATAGCCGACGCGTACACCGGTGCAGATTTCTTACCAACAGATGCAGCAGCTGTGGGGACCTTGGTCTGCTTAGGGACGTTCTTGGTAAAGCCGTTCACAAGCATCGACGGGTTATACCGCTTCTGCTGAGCCAAAGCCTGGGAGCTGGGAAGCGCGAGCTCCTTAGAAATATGGATGGGCATGTTGTCGTTAGTATAACCGTGGTTTTCAACCGACATTGCCCACGACACACTCGGCGTCGCCACCAACTGGCTGCTGCCTGTTGAGACTACCTGGATAGTGGTTAGCGAAGGCATATTGGTAGAGAGCTGCGACTTCCAGCTGACGAGCTCCGAGACCGAGTGGACCATGTAAGAGTCGGCCAAATCAGGCTGCTCGGCGAGTTTACCGGCCTGCTGCGCAAAAATATGCACGTACAGTGCGTGCGACCGCGACCTGTCAGTGCGCACACTCGTGGGGATATTGACGCTGACGCGGCTGCGGAGAGTGGGGTACCTGTTCTCGAGATTCTGTGAGTCGATGCGCCACAGCAGCTGCGAGTTGTTGAAGAACTGGGCCTGATTTTGTTGGGAGATTATCTTTTGGGTGGACGCATAGACAGCGGCCTCGTAGTTGAACGGCTCCTGCCACGAAAGATAGTAAGTGTCGCCAGTACCTGGTGCAGGAATCAGCTGGTCGTGAGGAATGAGTGTGCTTGTCGAGAAGGATGGTTTGAACACAAGAGATCTCAGGAGGGCTACAGGAGTGATAATTATTAAGGCGATGAAGAGGCCGCAAAAAATGGCCACTGTATGACGCGCGAATGAACGACAGTTAATATTGACCATAGCGAAAATAATGTTAATATTCAAGTGGTCAAGGGAAACATGTATATCTAATAATGGCGAAATAAAATAAAATAATGAGCGAAAGAGCATTAGCAAAGAGGAAAAAAAAGTGGGGTGCGACTTTTCGCAAAAAATATATAGTTTTAGCAGAATAAATTTTCTTTACTCACTGTGCTGCGGAACGGTACAAAGGCAATTCGTCTAAACTAAAAAAACATAAAATTAGTGGAAAAGAAATATGATTTTCAAAGTGTAAATCCCAAATAAAAATCAACCAGTCGGGCAGGGATTCAGACAAGCTGGCAGCGCGGGCCAAAGTCGTATACAAATATACATCATATTTGTCAAACATATATGAGAAAGAAAAATCCTTTCGCATTCTATCTACAAAATTAAAAAATGAGTGGCATAATTGAAAGAATATATGTGCTTTTGTTTATTTTACTTGTTCATGTGTTAGTTTGCATTTGCCCATTTTAATATATGCAGAATTACCAGTAATTTATTATTTTCAAATATCAAATATCACCAAATTATTTTCCAGATTACTTGCGATGGTCAATGATGGGCGACACGGGCGAGAAGCGCGTAATATACAGCTCAACCCAATCCCTATAGTTGGGAAACACAACCCACGCTTTTGCCGACAAGTCCTCGGGAAACACGCTATCGCCGCCGGCAATCAGGAACATGGGCGCCAGCACCTCGTACTCCCGCGCATCATCCAACGGCCCCCACTTTTCGCCCCCCATCGGCCGAGCATCCAGATTGTCCACAAGCGTGCGCACCTCGGTACTGCCGGTCAATGAGCGCCGCAGCCCGGATGCTTGCACGGTAGACAACGCAGTGTTGTTGCCAGAGGCGCCCGCCATGATTGAGCGCAAAGCGCTGCCGGACAGGCTGACTGCCGCCATATGGTCGTCGTAGGGAAGGGCGGTGAGCAGGTGTCCGCGGGTGATGTCGCCTGACGGGAGGTGGGCGCGCAGAGCGCCGGTGCCCAGCAAGACCACGGTCCCGTTGGTCGGCCGCTGCCTAGTGGCCCAGACAACAGCATCAGTGACCAGGTTGCCCAGCGCGTTCTCCGCCGCGTCCTTGCCACCAACAGGCGCAGTAAACTCGGCATCAGCGTGGCCAATGCGCTTGGCGGCAAACTCAGCGGCCTGACGCTCAAACGGCGCAAGAATGCCCAAGATGCGCTTGTTGGGCGCAATACCGCGCACAAGGCTGTTCTCCGAGGCCACGTCGACCGAAACAGGCGCGCCGCGCGTGAGCTTGCTGTCGAGCGAACCGTCGTCATTGAAGACCAGGTCGAGGTACCCGACGTATTCGCCAAAGCTCTTGGCCTGGACCACGGCCGTCTGCCACTCGGTGTCTGCCGCGTTGGACACCCACGTCGGATACGCACCCTTGGACTCCGAGCCGTCGGCCGGGCCGTTCGGGTCGTCGCCCGCGGGTGGCGTTAGGTACGTGTGTGAGTGGCTGCCGACGATGAGCCCGATCCCAGAGTCAGCCTGCGCTGCCAGGTCCCGGTCGGCGTCGTAGCCGAGGTGTGAGAGGACGACGATGCGGCGGATGCCCATTTTGTTGAGCTGAGCGCGCGCGCGGTTGACGGCTGCAATGGGGTCAGTGACTTTGATGCCGCCCATCGAGGACGATGCCATGGCGTCAGGCGTCAGCACGCCGATGATGCCGACCTTGTGGCGGTCGATAATGGTGAACGGTTGCACGGACGCCTGCAGTGCGGCCAGGTCCGACGAGCCTGCAGGGAAGAGGAGGTTGGCGCAGATGGCCGGCGCATGCACCTTTTGCAGGAAGCGCGCCAGGTGGAGCGGGCCCAGGTCAAACTCGTGGTTGCCCAGCGTCAGCGCCTCGGGCTCAAAGGCATTGAGCAGGGCGGCTGACACGTTGCCCCTGAACAGCACGCTCATCAGCGAGCCCTGGAACTCGTCGCCGCCGTTCAGTAGCACGGTGTTCTCGGCTCCGACGCCGTCGGCCAGCCGCATGTGGTCGATGACGGCCTTGACGTACGCCGACCCGCCAACGCACCTGGCCGTGCTGTTTTTGGGGTCGCAGGCGTCGCCATTGGCATCATACGGTGAGAAGTGGGCGTGCATGTCGTTGGTGTGGATCAGCCGCAGCGAGTACTGGCTGCTGCCCAGCTGCGTGCGGTCGACCCTGTACGGGAACAGCTTCGCGTCGACGTGCAGTTTGGGATGCTCTGTGTGCTCGCGCACCCACACGACTGTGCTGATGACGGCCATCAGGAGCCCCATCGACACCAGCATGATCGCCGGTAGAACCAGCATGCGCCGCGTCCAGATCGGCTCGTCATGCGGGCTGCCTCGGCGTCGGCGGTGCGGGGTGCCCTGCACGTCCAGCGGCTGGTAGGCCGAGTCGCCCTGCGCCCACATCCTACTGAGAGCGCCGATTCCGCGAGGCGGCTCCTGCGTGCGCGCGCGTTCGTTGGCAATGGCCTGGTTGTCAAGCGCCTCCTCCTCGGCCCCGAGGTCGTTCAGAATGCTGTCAAAGCTCGATCCGCCGCGCGTGCTGCTGCCGCCGTCGATCTCCATGTCGTCAGCCGTTGTTGCCGTCATGGTGTGCCTCACTGGCGGGCTACGCGAGTGCTCTGCAGTGCGTTGCCGCGACGACGACGCTGAGCTGCCGGTGGCTTGCCGACTGCCGTCGTCCAGCAGCGTTGTCAGCTTGCTGTTGCTGGTCGAGTGGGCCACTATTGTCTGTCCGCGGTATCTGCGTGGTGTCAGAACCGCTGCGTTGTCTGATCCTGCTGACGAGTGCGACGGCACTGCCGAGGCATCGCGTGGTGTCACTTTTCTTATTTGCTCTCCTTCATCGCTGCTCGTTTGCGCCGACCCCACACCGTTGCCTGAAAAGTCGCGCAGGGGAATGTAATCGTCGTCACCCGCCATGGCAGAGAAAAAAAGAGAATGCGGCGAAATTCGAAATTAGAGTAGTAAAATTAAAAAGGGTAAAAAATAATAGTGCCCAGACATGTACGCGGAGAAGAACACGAAGAAAAAGTAGTAAACAAAAAATATGAAGATAGAGTAGCAGCAAGTAGCTGTTCAAAACGATCTCCCTCGGCGTTTTTTGTCTACGCGTCTGCATCTACATCCGCATCCGAGCGCTAATTCCGCATCTTGCTTGCGGGATAATATGAGCTGATACTTAAAGAATCGGTTGATTCAGTATGGATAATCACAGTTTTAAAATCAAGCAACCAAACATTTAATTGTATATTCTTTGTATTTGTTTTGGCACAGCAGGTTACGGCGGTAACTCTGAATAGTACTATGATTAGCAATACATGATAGCTTGAGCTTGTTATTTTTAGACATTTCTAATCTGTTAAGATATAAAAATCAACCATCGTGCGTGCACGTACACAATCTAATATTTCAATTGTTTTTAAAAAAGGGATAGCACAATCTATAGTCGGGCGTATGCTCTTTGCTAATAAATCCCTTTAAATTATCTATCTATCTATCTATCTATATATTACAGCCAGTGTTTGATTAAGTCACATTGGCTTGGCCAAACCCTTAGATTGTTCTAAGTATTGACGGCGAAAGGATCAGTATTTGTTTGTTTCTGTTTTAACCATGTAGGAAAACATGTAAAAGGGATGAGATGGAAGGCTCTGTCCTAAGTTTTCCTCGTGGAGAAATAAAACCAGCTTTTCTATCTACTTGTAACAAATGTCCGTTATTAATGTTATATAAAATTACACTCAAAAATCATGTTGTGGTGTTGTTTCTATAGCTGCACAGTTAATTGAACCAATATAAAGCCTCATGGGTTTATAGACCCATGTATTCCGGGGTTCCGTTGAAGCCCACACCGTCAACACAGCTTTTCAACCCCATATCGTCGGTAATATACTGCTTGGTGCGCTCGGTATCCCAGATCTCATCGCCCACCTGCAGAGCAAAATGGTTTCGGCCCATGAGAACCATGATTTTGGACGGAAACCGCTCTCCATCCTCCAATTCTGCGCCCTCGCCGCGCAGCACGCAGCGGGAAATATTGCGTGCCGCAATGTATCCACCGTACATAGCTCCACCGGCCAGCTTGACCTCGGATATGTTGGTGATATCACCGCACGCGTATATGTGTGTGTATTCCGCACAGTCAACTTGATATGTTTCCTTTACGCGGATCCCGTCGGGGTCTAGGAAACTGCCCAAAGGCAGGTTGATAAGTGGCGTGAGGTGCTTTGAGCGCGTGCCAATGCACCGAATCACATAGTCAGCGCACATTGTGCGGCCACTCGCCAGGGTCAATTTGACGTTATCGCTTGTCGCGTCAATGAAATCAGGCTCGGCATCGGGGGCTGCAAGCATATCGTCCGAGGCTGGGGTTTGCTGGATAACGCGCTCGCCAAGCACCACGTTGACTCCAATGCTGTTACACAGCGTGTCAACAATGCCTTGCCTAAATTCGTCTTTGAAAATGGCTTGTAGTGGCAGAGAGCGCGAATGGACCAGCGATACTTGCTTTGTGGGGAAATCGCACTTGAGGTCGGCTGCCAGCTCAATGCCAACGGCCCCGCCGCCTATCACGGCAACAGAATCGGCCGCTGCAATCTTCTGATATGTCGAATCCAGGCGCGTGATGAAGTCGATTTTGGTCAGACTGCCCATGCCGATGGGTGCAAAGCGCCCTTCACCCAGCGCAATGATGATGTAGTCAAACGGAATGGTGCTCGACTCACCGTTGGGTGTGATTGTGGCCACGCTATTGGCTGTAATCTCAGTGACCGTGGCTTGATGAAAGGTAATACTCGGATGCTTGAGCCAGGAGGCGTCCGAGTAGGGCGTCCACAGCTGGGCGCCGTAATCGGGCTCGGTCAGGCCGCGAGTTATTCCTATGTAATGGATAAAGCCGTCGCGCCGGTCGATCATCGTTATGTGGGTATTGCGCGCGGCAGTGTTTACTGGCTCGTTTAGCGGTGCGGCAAGGAGGCTCGCGTAGAGATATTTAACGGCATTGAGCCCGGCATAGTTGCCACCAGCAACCACAATGCGAATTGGAATTTGCGCGCTGTTTGACATTTTAAGACTTAAAAATTTACAAAATATAAATTTATTTATTTATGAAGCGAAAGATTTTAGACAGAAAAGTGTGTTTAAATGAATGTAAAGTAAAGCAAACCACGATAAAGCAACGTGAAACATTTCCTTTTGTTGGTTTAAGACGGACCTTTCTTTTTTGTTTCTTTATCATCCTGTCGACAATTGCGTGTTGTGGTTTGAATGATTACTCACATAATGCACAAGCAATATTGGCAAAGAAACGGCCCTCGTGCCAAAATGCAAGCACCAGAATGTACGAGCGCTGCTGAGGAGGGGGTGGACGCATGGGAACATGGGAACATTCTGAATTGTTGACTGCTCAAAATGGCGACATATATTTGTTTTGAATTATTTTGGGTGCGTGAAAATATGTGCCGGACAATCCGAATATCACTTCTGTTTGGCTAAAATTGGCAGTCATTAATTGTGCCAATTCCCTAAAAGATAATGAAAAATGTTCACCACTATTTATTGCATGTGTTTATAGTGGTACATTCTCCCCCAATGGATTGGCGTCTGATTTCTCTTATCTGTTCAACAAAAAGCAATAGGATCGACTTATCAGATGGGAATTCTTATTTGGGGATTTTGTGTTGGCCAATTTTCAGACCCACGCCACCGGGGATCATGTATTTCTATTTTCACCAATACAACATCGGAGTTTCCATTTTATTCCCGAGCATTTTCCAGTTTTGGGACGAATGTTCTTTTTATGGCGAGTATTTGTTGTTATCTGACATCAACAGTTCTCATTATTAAACTTTACCCAATTTCCCGGCTCTATTCAAGCAGATTTGCCATTCAATAGAACAACTGAACATTCTGCTTCGACATAAAATTAGCAGCTTATTCTAAATGAATCCACTCATGTATTTTGTCATTAAACAACGCCGTTCATCCGGAGGCTGTTGTAGCTGCAAAGACGGACATGAAACATCATTAAATCACACGATTTTCACTTTGACTCCGGGCCAGCTTATTACATTATTTTCTTTGGTTTGTTCTATTGCAACTTTTGGTATTGAATTTTGCATGTGAATTTTCTCTGTGCTAGTGTACTATCATGGTTTATTTCGCTGTTATTTTTCATGAGTGGTAATACTATAGAAAAGTTCTCAGTGTATCCAGTCGCCACCGAATTTTATTACTTTTACAGCTTTGCTATTTTTGTTTTAACCAGATGAAAGGCATATTTGCAAATGAAAAAATTGAGTTGGTATAAAAAGCAGTCATTTTTCCACACGAAATTTCTCACCTTATTGTAATTTGGTTGACAACTCAGTATTCCCTTCATTATATGTCATAGTATTTTTCTGGCTCGCACACAATTGAAATATTCTTTTTATGCCGTACACGCCCCTGCGAGCACCAAACTATTCCACCAACCATCAAAATTACTCGGCCACATCAGCAACAGCATCATTATTAAAAGACCCGGCCATGGGCACTCCACGCGAACTTGCAGGAATTGATGCCAGCAACATTAACAGCCAGATCGACGAAGCAGCAACGCCCAATGTGTCGCGCACTCCAGCCATCGGCGCCGGTACCGAATTCGTGGGCACATTAAATGCAACTCTGACAGGCGTCAAAAAGAAGATGGTCACCGAGTGGCGTCGTTCCGACAAGATCCTTATAATCACCGGCATCTTCTTCATTAACTTTATCACCTCCTTGGATTCCAGCGCCACGGGCACTATCCAACCCAAAGTTCTCAGCGACTTTAACGCCATGACGCGTGCTGGGCTAATTGCCACAGTCACGTACTTGCTCGTTGTCGGGGTTCGCCCGATGTTCGCCAAGATCTCGGATGTCTTTGGCCACTTGCAGGCGCTCATCCTGGCAATGATCCTGCACACCTTGGGATTTGTTATTTGTGCGGCGGCTAAAAACTTTTCGTCTATTTTTGGCGGCACTGTTATTTCAGTTTTGGGTCAGGCCGGGTACGGGACGCTGGTGGCTATTATTCTGGCGGATATTTTGCCTATTCATCTGCGCGGTGTTGTCGCCGCCTACGTGTCTATTCCAAATGTGACAAACTACTATTTGGGCGTCGAGGTCGGCCAGGGGTTGATTAACCGGTGGCAGTGGGTCTACGGGATACTGGCTATTCTGGCTGTTTTCTGCTCGATGCCGGCAATCTACAGTTTGTATTTCTTGGACAAGCGCGCGCGAGAAATCCTGCGCACCCTGGTCAAGGACGACATATCCGCCAAGAAACCTTTGTTTACGCGGTTCTTGAAAGTAATGATGGAGATGGACGTTCCTGGGCTTGTGCTCATTTGCGGGGGCATTATCTCGATCCTAGCTCCGCTGGGAATGCAGCTCAACATTATCTACGGCTGGGGCAGCGCGCGCGTTATCGCCCCACTGTGCATCGGAGTGGTCGCCCTGGGGTTCTTTATCTACTACGAGCGCTGTCTAGCCACATTCCCCGTTGTGCCATTCAGGCTGTTCCGGACACGCACGTTCTCCTGTGCCATTCTCGCGGCAATATTCTTCTACTACACGTCGAACGTGTCGCTGTTTTACTTTAATCCGTTTATTCAGGTGACGCGCGAGGTGTCGTCGCGCACAGCCATGCTTTTGCAGCTGGGGACCACTGGGTACTACGTTGGATTGTTTTTCGGTGGCTGGGCCATGCAGTTCTCTAAGCGGTATCGCCGCTGGGCGTGGGTTGGCTGGGCGCTGTGGTTCCTTGGCGTTTGCCTGATGATCCGGTCGCGCAGTGGCAGCAACACGACAAATGCTGAGATTGCCATTGTCCAAACGATCTTGGGAATTGGCAGTGGAATCGTCATTGGATGTGTCGGTATTGGAGTCCAAGCGTCTGTTTCGGTTGTTGACTTGCCGATTGCAATTACGCTTTATGGCATGGTCGCTTATCTTGGTGGTGTCCTTGGTGAAGGCACATCGACAACCGTTTGGGTCAACGTGTTGCCGTCAAAGCTCCAGGGCAAGATGAACCTTGATGTTGACATCAACAGCGCGATCAACAATATTACATACTTTTTCGAGCTACCCAAGGACCAGCGAGTTATTGTACAGGCCGCGTATGTGAGCACACAGAAGATTCTGACTATCTGCGGCATTGTCTCTATGCTCCTTGCCGGAATTGCCATGATTGGACTCGCGCCCTACGATCTGTCTGAGAAGAAGAAATCAAATGATGATGATAATGCTGCTGACGAGCCAAACCTGCTTGCAGATGACACCTCTGATAACAGCTTGTCTGTTGGCTTCAAAAGTAAGGTTCGCGTTGTCAACGCCTAGCTAACATACATGTTATTTAAATAAGCATAATTCTATAATTTAAATATAATGTTTTTCCCACCCGCAAAATCGTAATCTAAATCAAATACACGACCCAGTAGTCGCCCGATCTGGAAAGTCCGATATTGCTGTACACATTGCTCGTGAGGTATGCGTAGCACTCAGGACTATCTCTCCAGCTCACTCCAACGCTCTCAATATCATTCCCAACCCCCACCAGCGCAATCCCATCTTGACTATTCGCCGTAGCCGCCATGGCGGCGGTAATCGGCATCGAGAACATATCATTTATTGAGTTGAATTCCGCAACTTGCGCGATTACCTTTGCTGCAGTAGTGGCCTTGGACGTAGGCCAGAAGATATTGTCGTTTGCATGTTCGGTTTGGCGCATTGTGTATAGAAAAAAGTAGAGGTCGTAGTTTGTGTCTGGATTGAGCAGATGTTTGCTGGTGCGGCTTGTTGTTGGTACACTTGTGGTTAGTGCTTGGCGGAAAAGGTCGTTGAGGTTTGTGTCAGTGAGTGCGCCGATGGCACCGATGATTAATACGGTGAATGCAAATGCAAATGCAAGCTTCATAGGTCGAAATAAGATAAAAAATAATATGTTAGAAGTGAAGTGAAATGAAATGAAGTGCAAAAGATATGAAATTTTTGTATGTAGAAAGTTGGAATTACGCATTTTTATTTACTTCCAGACGGTCTTGTATTTAACCATGTGCAATTCGTGTGCACTGGCAAAATGTTGGTATAGTTGCAGTATTGAAAATGTAATTTATTATTTGTATATGTGATGCGCAAAAAGACAATACATATTGTCTTTGGCTATTTTTATTGTGCAGATGTAATGCTGAAAAAAGAATGAAAGCTGAAAGATGAAAGATGAAAGATAAAAATAATATAATAATAGGCATTTCTATTATCACATAAATTCACTCGTCAGCGCAACCACCCAATTCCCATTGCATGTGCCCACGCCAACATACACGTATCCCTGATAAACAATAGCCGAGAACGGCGAATGTTTTCCTGGCTTTGCCTCCGCCCACTCCTCCACAGCGTCCTCTGCTTCGCCCCTGCCGCGAGCAACCACGAGCTCAGCGTACTCCGCCGCAATCCCTTGGTCGCCCAGGATTGGGACCAAATCCGCATCGACCTCATTGCCAGCGCACAGGGCGTCGGCTTGGGACTGCGCAATGGCGTTGAGCGCGGAGCGCAGGCGCAGTGGCGTGTCGGTTATTGATGTGACGCGGAGGTTGTTTAGCCCAAAGTACATGCGGCCTATCCAGGCGCTCAGCGGGTCGGCGGTGGACGGCTGCTGGGCGGGGGAGCGTTGACCAAGATGGTGTGATATTTTGGGTTGGATGGGTGCGGCGAGAATCGTTGGAACAGTAACCAAGGCAACGATTAGCGAGCGGCTGGTGGTCAATGCATTGAAAAACATGGCTTGATAGAGTGCTTTGTGGTAAAATGAGACTAGCAATTAAAAAAAACTAAAATGGAGATGCGTTGGTGGACAAGATGACAAAAAAGAGGGTAATTTATATTTTAGAAAGTTGCTTGAATAATTTTATACCCTTGATGCAGCCGACCAACCAACCAGCCAACCAGACAGCCCGAAAAGTTGTGGACACACATGGCTGTCAGTCCGTGTGCAAAGAAAACAAGACAAAAGAAAACAATAAGGCTTTTATTTATTAAATTAAAAAGAACCGTTTGCTTACAATACCATCACATATGTTTTTTTTTTTAATTTTAAATCCGATGGCATAGCCTGACATTTTTTCCTTTATTTTTCCGGACACAATATTTCTTTTTCAATTTGTCATCATGATTGGCTGGTTGGGATTCAAAAATTTCTATTACAAATCTTTATCGCTTTTTTTCCTTTAGCAAAAAAAGCAAGGGGCTGAACAATCATGTGGTAAACTGTTTTTCTTTTCCACTTATTAATTCCATTTTTTAGTTACATGTACTTTTATAAATACTTTTCTTTTTCTTTTTCTTCATTGCACTATAAATGCCCTTTTGGTATCACACTATCCACTCTTATTACTTTTATTCATTCATAATTCCTATATCTTTAACCATCTCTTATTATTGCACCACAATAATAGCCAATGTCTTTACATAGAAGTGACACAGATAACAGAATCGGCGTCAGCGAGAGCATTCAGGCGCAGGAACGTGACAAGCTGCATCAGCTACAGACGATGGGCAAAATCGACCCTCCGACAATACTTTCACCGGCGGCGAACGATATTGGGCCGCAAAAAGACGGCTCTATTAAAGAGGAGGACGGTAGTGATGCCAATGCCACAGCCAAAGAGGAAAGCGATTGCAATATCAACGACACAGCCAAAGAAGAGAACAATAGCGGCAGCATTAATGCCGCCGACGGCGAGGCCACTGGTTCATCGAATCCCTCGCCAAACACCGCTGGTACAGCTGGTACCGCTGCTTCAGCAGCTGCACCACTTCTTCCCACAAACTCATTATCAGCGCCCTTGTGTGCCAAGCACCTCACACTCAAGGAGCTGTACGGGATGCTCTGCTGGCTACAGATCTCAGACAACCGGCGGCTATGGCAATCACGGCCACTGGACGCATGCACGCAGGCAACGCGTGAATGCCAGCACCTGCTGGATGCCAACCCGCGCGCGCTGACGGTGACCCTTGATGAGCTCAACATGACACGGCTGCAGATCCTCGAGGACCACCAGGGCGTGGCGGAGAATGTGCCACAGGATTTACGTTTGTTTCCGGGTGGCCCGCTGTTTGTTATCTTTAACCATGCTGTGGCTGGGCAGCCGGCGGACGCAGAGCCGGTGCCGTCCGAGATGTGTTCGCTGATTATGGCTAATGCCACGGGCGCACTGAAGAAACAGCAGCAAATGATGACACAGCAGCAGCAGCAGCCGGCTGTCGCAGAGGCTATGCCTACTGGCCAGCACCTCGGTGACAGTGCCAACACAAACATCAGCGGCAGCGGAAGCGTAAACAGCCGAAGCCGAAGCCCTAGTAGCACAGTCGAAAAAAGCGCCAATAGCAGCGGTGGCGGGCCAAGCAGACACGGTACGCGCCGGGTGTCCAGTGGGATGCTCCCCTGTGAGCACCCATTCATGCAGCGGGCGCGCAGGCTGACTCCAGCGGAGGTGCGGCAGATGAAAGACGAGCTGGCGGTGCGCCGCGAAATCGGCCTGCGTGATGCTGTGCTGCTGGCTGATTGGACGGCGCTGCGGCGCAGAGAGCTGGAGCTGAGGGAGCATCAGATCAGGGAGTTGGTGAGGGAGGCGCAGGACGACTCGGTCGAGTCGCTGGTGCGCTTTGAAGAGTTTATGCGAAAGATCTACGACGAGCAGCCATGACTGTGTTTTGTTTTTGCTGTTTGTGCGATTTATGGATTTTCAATATTGGCCGCGGTGTTTTTTTTTTTTTACAGTAGATGGTATTAACCATATTAGTTGGGAATATATAGCCGATTAAACGTTTTTGAGGCTGTAAATGGCTGCGGAAGAGAGATGTGGAATTTGCAATTGCAATTGTATTTACATCCATGTTGGCGTGTGTGTTTACCTTATATTTTCATTTTAATTTTAGCGTCTGCTCTCCCTTCGGGTATATGTTTTTCATTTTCATCACAACCATAAAAGTGCGTATAAAAGCAGCATGGCTGGTGTGTGAGTGAGTGTGAAACAAGTTGTTTTATTATCTCTCTCTCCCTCATCTCGCCTTGTCAGCCCATGTGTTTTTTTATTTCTCCGCCCAGAAAAAACATTTACAGCAATACTCCCACTCTGAATACAAGCACCATCATCTTACCTGTTATTTTTTCCCACTATTTCCTCCAAAAAAAATTCATTTGCGTCATTCTCACCTGCATATTAATATTAAACAATGAAGGCGCATATTAGTTACCCGTCACTCACATCGGCTGCAGCGGCACTTCTGACAGCAGCAGCGGCAGCAGCCGTGGCCGAGGCCAGCACGATGGTGGCCTTTATTTCCAAGTCTGTGGGCAACTGTCCTGCAAGCTACACGCAATGGGCGACTACCCCACACGCGCCCTTTGCTACCGGTAGCCACCGCATCCCATCAATGCGGCCAGCGCCCGAATGCCGCACATTCAGCAGCAGCATCATTGAACAGGTTATCCGTAATATCACCGAGAAGATCCAGTCGCCGGAAATCCGCCAGCTGTTCATTAACACAATGCCCAATACGCTGGACACTGCTATTGCCTGGCACCACCGCGCAGACGCTAACGACAGCGTTGGCTACCCGTACACGTTTGTCATTACGGGTGATATTAACGCGCAGTGGACGCGCGATAGCACCAACCAGATGATGCCGATAATGCCCTATGTGGGCTTGGACCCTGGGCTGCGGACGCTGGTGGCTGGGTTGGTCAACATGCAGGCAGAGCAGATTGCAGACTACGCGTTTGCCAATGCGTACAAGCCACCGGCACGATCCGGGCTAGTGCCGGGGAAGAACAGCTGGGCGCCAAGGGACCGAGTCGTGCCGGGGTTCAACTTGACGACAGTGTTTGAGGCCAAGTTCGAGATCGACTCGCTGGCAGCTTTCCTTAAGCTGTCCACAGCATATTGGCGCCAGACGAAAGGAATGAAGCAGGTGGATACGGGGTTATGGTCTGTGGCTGTGCGTCACGTGCTGGACGTAGTGGCGCGGCTGCAGAAGCCGACGTTTGGCAAAGGCGGCGAGCTGACTGACGCCGTAGTGGAGTTTTCGCGGGCTGCAAGCTCGCCGACTGAGTCATCCTTTGGCAATGGCCGTGGCAACCCCGTGCGGGCCACCGGGATGGTGCGGTCGCTGTTCCGGCCAAGCGACGACTCGGTGATTTTCCCGTTCTTTGTTCCTGGCAACGCAATGCTAGCTGTTGAGCTGGCGAATCTGGCTGAGATGCTCAGCGCGCTGGGCAGTATGGCCAATGAGCGCGATGTTGCACAGAGGCTGGCCAACGAGATTAGGCGCGGTATCATGGACCATGCCACGGTGGAGCATCCGCAGTACGGCCGTGTGTTCGCGTTCGAGGTCGACGGGTACGGCGGCCGGCTGGTTATGGACGATGCCAATGTGCCGTCGCTGCTGTCGCTGCCGTATCTGGGCTTTGTGTCAAGAAACAACTCTGTGTATGTGAACACGCGCCGGCTTGTTCTGTCCACGGATAATCCATGGTACTTTGAGGGCGATGCGCTGAGCGGCGTGGGCAGCCCCCATACGGGGTTCCGCAGGGCGTGGCCAATGGCCGTTGCGGTTGCTGGGCTGACGTCGGACAGCCGCATGGAGGTGGCCGCTGCGCTGGACATGCTGGTCGCGTCGACGGCCGGCTTGGGCCTAATGCACGAGTCGGTCGATGTCTCCGACCCAACAAAGTACTCGCGCCCGTGGTTTGCCTGGTGCAACGGCGTAGTCAGCGAACTGATCATGTACGCTGTCGACCGCTTCCCGGGCTTGATCTGAAAGAGTTAAGAAACGGGGATAAATAAATTAAAACATAAAAATTAACAATAATAATAGTAATAGTACTTCTACTTGTCTCACAAGTTCAGGCCCACAGGCTCACAGGCTCATCGCGATCACGCACAGAGTGATGACGACGGCGCCGCAAATGCTGGACACAGCCGGCACCGTCTGGTACAGCACGACATCAAACACAAAGCTCAGCACAATGTCCGTATTGCGCATCATAACGACCGGCCCGGCATTTGTCAGCTGCAGGCCCCAGTTCATCAAGTACTGAGCCAAAAACGCCATCACACCAACGCCGGCGACCGCCGCCCACCCAGCCACTGACGCCTGTGGCATGCACCATGCCTCTCCAGAAACCCACGAAAGCAAAAGCCCGCCGAGGGCGCCCACAAAGCCAAAGTACGCGACATGCACCATTGGGTGCACGCCCCTGCCGGCGAGCCTGATGCTGACGTAGGCCAGCGCTGCGGAGACTGCGCCGAGCAGTGCGCTGAGCGACCAAATCGAGATGCCGCCGCCCAAAAGAAGCGCTAGCGGCGAGCCCGGCACAACGACCAGTACGATGCCAAATAAGCAGACCAGCGACAGCATGCGGTGCCTGCGGCTAAAGTCTTCACCGAGCAGCCAATTGGCAAACACCGCGGTGAACAGTGGGTTTGTGAAAAACAGCACTGTGGCGATGCCCATGGGCATATTGGCCAGCGCCGCGTAGTAGAGCAGGTGGCCGAGGCACCCGCAGATGGCGCGCATCAGCACCCAGCGAAACTTGTCCCAGCCATGGTCACTGCCGACGCGCAGTGGTACGCCCATAAGCTTGCACGCCAGGAGCGCTGCGGCTGTTTGCACGATGCTGCGCCAGAACATTATCTGCAGTGGCGTGAACCCTTGGTCGCTAAGCACGCGCACGAGCAGTGTCATTATAGCGAATGCGATAGCAGAGAGTGCCGCCAGCGTCAGCCCCTTGCGCCGGTCTGCGTGTGTGCGCAGTGCATTGATGTCCTTGTTGAATATTGTCATGCTGGCCGTGTCCGCCAACGCTGTTGCATTGTATGTGAGAGCGGGTGAGGGCAGCAGCAGCCGCTTCAGTTCGGACGCCATGAGTATGTAAAATGGTAATAATGAAAATATGAAGAGCAAATATGCAATAGTGTGTAAATATGACTGAGTGAGTGAGTAAAATGTAATATAAATAAGGTTATGCTTGTATTTGTATTTGTAACTGTGACTGTGACTGTGACTGTGACTGTTTGTATTTGTGTTTATGTATGTATCAATGCAAGATATAAAAATGTCAATAATTGTGATCAGGCGGGGCCGGGCAACTTGGTTTTTATAACTGTTGAATAATAGTCATAAAGTAAATGACGAAAACTCGTGGAATGAGTAATCGAGTAATTGAGCGGAGATAATGAGCGCGCTGTTTGAATACAGAAAATTTTTAACGTATTTGACAAATGCCAAAGCAGCTGTTGCGGCCGTGTGACTTTGGTCTTTAGCTTATCGAATAGTAAGAGGGAAAAGGGGAGTTAATCATTGAATTTTTTTGTCTAGTCACCAGTGTGTTGGATCGATGACCTTTGGTATAATTTTTTACTTACATTTTGGTCTATTCCCGATTTCGCAATGTCCGATCTCGATGACGCCTTATTTCAGGATAATCTCATTTTTGAGCGCGCGTGAGCGCGTGTTTATGCTACAAATATAATAAACAAAAAGTAGGGAACAAATAAAAGCGGTGGCATCAACCAAGGGTTTTCCATCCAGTTTCTTAATTGGGATATTTTACTCCACCACATGATCATCTCTTGTTTTAAAATATCAAATGATCATGGTTGATTTGCAAATGGCAACGCGTGCGCTGTGCTCAAAAAACTAAATGCCTCAAGTAGACAAAATCAAAATCAATAACGAATAAATTTATAACAAAAAAACCCCCGAAAAAAATTGTACTTTTAAAATTTTTTATGCGGGAGGCACAGACGCCATGAAAAGCTTTTTAACGATATCATCGGCCAAATAGAAATGAGCCTTGTTGCCAACCCTGTCCTTGTCGCACCAAAAGAACCTATCAGGCTTATTACATCTCCTAATCTGATTATAGATGCATGGATGATTCGGGTACTTTAATCCGTACTTGTAATACTCATTCTGCATTCGTTTCAAAAACCCGCGCGAATCATAAATGTTAATTTCGATGCTTGGATCAGAAACCAACTGCTGCGCCATATACATACTGTCGAACACTCTGTGGCCCTTGGTAGCACCAGTGGTGGTTGAGGAGGAGTTGATAGCCATGGGCGTGTCAATAACCAAAAGGCGTCTGGCTCTTGTTGTCGAGCTGAGTATGAGCTCGTTAGTTGCCTGCGCCAGAGCATCGAATTCGTCTTGTTGATCTTCCGCCGATAATTCGCCCGTGGGGTTGGCTAGGAGGACGAAGAGCGTAGTGACGGCCTTGAGCGTGTCCTCGGGTGGGTTCTGGAATATGTGGCGGATCTGCTTGTACACAGGCTCGACCTTGCCATCGCCCATTGGTGACTTTACGCGCTCCGTTCGCGTGCTCGCGATAATGCGGCTGTCCACAATGGTCTTGTTCCTTATGGTGTATCCGTGGGCATAGGACACCAGGTCAGCGCTCAGTGCCTCAGCCAGGTGGTCCACCCAGAGGTTGCCGCCGCACAGCTTGGCACGGTTGTGGTCGTTTGTTTCGGCACCGGCATTACCAAATACTATTATTTGCGTAATTGGTCGGCTATTGTTTGCCTGCTGCGCGTGGTGCGGGTGACGGTGGGTCTGGGCGAATATATGGTCGCTGGTTTCCGGCGGAATGCCCGTCAGCAACAGCGAGGCTGTCAGCGCCAATGTGACTAGAATGGTCAGTGTGTATCCCTGGTGCAGATTATGCAAGAGTCGGTGCGTTTTGTGCAATATTCCCGAGTACTTCATGGCTGGCAAGATAATTAGCGGTTAAGTAATGGGTATATTGGAAGCAAAATAAAGAGAGTGGTTTAATGAACAATGTTAAAAAAATTACAACGAAAGATAATTGATATAAAAAAGCCAGCGCTTATTGTCTGCTTTGCAAAGCGCATTGTTCGCTAAAGTTTTTTTTTACTGAAATCCCAGGAGCAAACATTCTTTGTTATTTATAATTTTAGTAATGCTATTTTTGACATAGCATGCGCCAGTAAACAGTGTTTGAAAACCGTAACTTGCCTGACAGGTTACATTCCCAGCCAAATTTCAGAGATGCGGGGTGGGGTGGGCAAGTAGGGCAGGCAGGGCGCGCGATTAATATTTCATTCATGATTAAATTCCATGATCAATATTATTTTTTTACTTCCTTGCAGTCGATCTTGCGCAGGCTCAAAAGTCACACACACCACACTGTAAAACCAGTTCCAAAAAAAGCTGGTCACCTATATTTTATATATATATTTTGCCTTTTCCTTTTCTCTCAATTCACTCGTGCATTTTTAACCCTTTTTCTTACTCTTTATCAAATTCATTCACACACATATAATAATGGCGCAGGGTAAAGGACTCAAAAGCAAGGCCACGATCATCAAGCCCAAGGGCACAGCCAAGCGGGCCGGAACCACGACAGCAGGCAAGTCGCAGAGTAACGCCATGCGCAAGGGCCGTGTAGTCAAGGCAACCAAGAAGGTTGACTTGTCCAAGCACAACAAGCTGCAGAAGAAGCTGGTCGCTGGAATGACGGCCAGTCTAGAGCAGGCAATGTCCGTCAAGGCTGGCGCCATCGGCAAGCTGACCATCATGAAGGAGGCGCAGGCCAAGGGCAAGACCGTAGAGATTAAGAGAAGAAAGTATTAGTTTTGAATATAATTTATTACTTACGGCATTGATATTGATGATGATGTCGACATTTCCCTGCTGGGCTCGTCGTGGTGAGGCTGCTGGAATGAGCGTGCGCTGTGTGCGGCCGACGAGGAGCGCGACAGCCGATAGTCTCGATGATGCGGCGCAGGATGGTGGGGGGCACCGGACGACGCGCTGGGCGATTCAGTGCCCAGGTCAGCGGCGTATGTCGGGTCGACGGCCTCGAGGCGCTGCTCGAGGCGTTGGGCAAGGTGGAATTGCGCCTTGACCTGCACGCGCAGGGCGCCGCGCTCAGCCTGCAGATGCTTGACCAGCGATCGGTGGGCCTCATTCTCGGCCAGCGCCTTGGACAGCTGGCGCTTGTAGTCGTCCTTGGACATCTCGATGGCGGCCCTGATGCGCGCCAGCTGCTCAAGCTCCTCGGCCATGCGGTCACTCTCTCTCTGCAGGTGGTCGCGCGCATCGCGCAGCGTAGCCATGTCCTGCGCGTACGTGTCGAGCGTGCGGCGCACAGTGCGCAGCTCTGAGGACGCCTGCTTGTACGAGAGCCGGTACTCTTCAGCGCGCCGGCCAAGGTCCTGCACCTTGTGCTCGCGGTCGTCAAGTTTGGCGCGCCATTGCGCAACATCAGCCACAGCCTGCTTAAGGCTGCGGTCGAGCTTCTTGTGCTGCTCGACGAGCCGCTCGTAGGCCGCCAGCGTGCCCTTGGCCTGCGACTGCAACGCCTGGGCGTCGCGAAGCTGCTGCTTCAGCGCGGCCGTCTCTGTCGCGTGCGCCTGCCGCGCCGACTCGGCTGTAGCGGTGAGCGAGGCTGTCTGTTGCTCAAGGTCGGCTATGCGCTGGCGTTGCGTGTCGGCGCTGCGCTGATAGTCGGACATTTGGGCGAGCGACGCCTTGAGCGAGTCGATCTCGGCCTTTGAGGCCTGTCGCAGGTTGGTGAGCTCGTCACTCAGCCGCTGCTGTGCAGCCTCTGCCTCTGCCTGCGCGCGGGCGGCGGCGCGGTGCTGGTCCTGCAGCTGGTCGCGCGTCTGGGCGTACAGCGACCGCGTGTTGGCCAGCTCGGCCTGGACCCGGTCCGCAGCGCCCGAGGCCTCGGCCTCGGCCGAGGCCGGCAAGGCCGCCGCTGGCTCAGCCAACTCGGCAGACATCTGCACGCGACTGTTCTCGGCAGCGACCCAGCGGCGGTGCAGCTCATCCTTTTCGCGCTTGAACTGGTCGCGCAGCTCGGCGTTCTCGCGCTCAAGAGCCTCCGCGCGCTCGTGCAGGTAGTCGACCTGGTCGCCGAGGCGCTCTGCCGAGGCGCTGTCTGCGTCCACGCCCGCGGCCAACGCGGCCCTGGGCTGGTCACACTGGTTGTTCAGCCGGGTGATCTCGAGGTCTCGCTCCTTGACATCGGTCTCGGCGGCGCGCAGCTCCGACTGCGAGTGCTGCAGCTTGGCCTCCAGAATGCCGACCTCCTCCTCCAGCACGGTGATGCGCCGCGCACTCAGGTCGACCAGATCAACGACGGCCGGCGCCGGTCTCATCTCGCCGACGTGCGTCCGCAGCTGCGCCTCGCTCAGTGGCCGGCTGAGCGACATGCGCGGGATGCGGCCGGCCGGGTCCCTTGTCGATATGAGCTGCTCGGCGCGCTTACGGCAGTCGTCCAGCTTTCGGCCGGTGTCGGCGGCCTCGGCGCGCAGTCTCAGGTTGGCCATACGCACGTCGTCCAATGCCTTGTTCCACTTGTACGACTCGGCGCGCGCCTCTCGCTTGGCCCTGTCGGCGTCGCGTGTGAGCGCCAGGACCTCGGCGCGCAGGCTGTTGTTCTCGGTGCGTAGCGCCCGCACCTCGGCCTTGGTCTTGTCACTGGTGGCGCGGCTTGTGCGCTCGCCGCGTTCGAGCCGCGTGTGGTCCTGCTCCAGCGTCTTTATGTGGTCTAGCGCTGCCTGCATGTCCTTGAGCAGGACGCTGACGAGCTGCATGCCATCGGGCGGCAACGGCTGTGCGTAACCAAGCAAGTACAGCTGGCGCTGCAGCTGCGCGTGGTCTGTTGAAAAGCTCATTTGGCGGCTCGCGGATGTGGGGCGTGAATCGAGTGTAATTGCGCAAGGTAAAATCACGAAAAAATTAAAGTAAAGTCAAATGCAAAATGCAAAATGCAAAATGCAAAACACGAAATAGAAGCGCTGAAAAAGAGAAATAAAATTTTCATTGTTGACGCAAAGTATCATAAAAATATGGACGCGCCTGATTGGCTGGAAGCTACATGCATTTCAGTGTTTACCCTTCTCGGCCCCTCTCATGCGTTGGCCACGGGCTGCTCGCGCGAATTCGCCGCATACTCATCAGTCAGCGCCAGGTGCCGGTCCAAGCGGTTCAGCCGCTCGCGCAGCTGCTCTGTTTCAGCGATCTTAGCCTGAATGGCCTCGGCCCACTGCTGCTCGGTCACTATGCGCTCGGCCGCCGATGGCGCCGCCATGTTGGGCAGGGCTGGCAGCGTGGCCCGCGCAGGCACAAAGCGCACGGTCGTCGACGCACTCACTGGCGGCGCCGCGCCACCGCCGCCGTCGCTTTCGTCGTCGACAACAACGCAAGGGTCCCCCATTGTGCGAATGAAGCGTGCCAGCGATGCGGCCAGGCGGTCCTTGCCGCCACTGCTGTCGGCCAGCGGGTGCACACTAAAGTCGATGGTGTCGGCCAGCTGGCCCAGTCGAATGCTCGAGTAGATGGTGCCGACACGGCGGATGACGTGCGCAGGCAGCCGCATGATGACGGCCTCGGCCAGCGCCGCGTTCTGGTCCACTGTCAGCACGCGCCGCATCTCGCTGAGCCGAGCCATGGCCGGCGCCAGCGTCTTGGCGCCAACGCACGCGTCGGCAAGCAGCGCGTAGTACTTCGCGCTGAGCTCAATGGCGCGCGCGTGCTGGCTGGCTAGGAACTTTGGCAGCCGCGCGCGCGAGCCGTCAAGCATGATGTGCGCCAGCGTGAGCCGCTTGAACGCTGCTGCCTGGATGGCGCTGGTGTGGCGGCCCGGGAGCGCAAAGACAAGCGACCATTGCCGCTGCGCCTCGACCCATGCCGCGTCCGACCCCAGCGACGCGCACACCATGCCACCGTACAGCCTAAACTCCATCATGGCGCGCGCGCGGTCGCCGCTCACAAAGTTGCCCAGAGCCGCAAATGGAACAGAGACCACCGTTTGCGCCACGCGCTCGCTCAATGCGCGGCGCCGCGCCAGAACACACTGCCGCACACACTCGACGTGCAGCGGCGTCAGCCGGATGCCCGAGCCCCCACCAAGCCGCTGCCTGCGCAACGCCTTGCCCGGCTGTTCGCTGATGCCATCAGCGGCCATCTGTGAGTTCAGCGCCTCGACGATGTCTGCCAGCAGCCTGCCCACCTGTGCATAGTCGCCCAAAGCGCCGGCCAGCCTTTCCAGCGCACCCGTCAGCCGCTGCAGCATTTCGGGAACACGCACAACATCTGCAAACTGCACTTCGCCGCTGCCAATCCGCACCATGGCTGCCTCGACCAATTTGTAGTGCTCCGCCGTAGTTGCCAGATTGGCCGCGTCAATAACTATCTGTACAAATACCAGCGAACTCGCCTGCAGGCTGGCCTGACCAAGAGCACTGCTCAAAACATCAGCTTGAAACTCGCGCAGCGGTGTCTGCCACCCACGGACCAACTGAACTAGATTCCCTGCCCCCTCTGCCGCCGCCAAAATAAGACCATTGTACGCCGATGTCTGTGGATGTGGGGGTGTCATTAAGCCGTGTGTATTTAGCTTGAAAATTCAGATTATAAATGCAAATTTGGGTTTAAGGATGTGATAAGAACTTTGTGAATAAAAATAATTTATTGAAAAATGTGCGTTAAAAAGTAAGAGGAGGGAAAATACAAATTGCTGTGCTAAGGGCAGGAAAATGGAAAGGCTGCGCATACAACCAAAGAAAAGCTAAGCATACAATAAAATCGAATCTCCTTACCCATAAAGAAAATAAAAGCTAAAGCAAAATGGCTTTTGTGAGCACTATTTTTTTTATTTGGGGAGGGAAGTTTAAGATTATATTTCAAAGGGAAATCAACAGAAATGTACCATTTTTAAAAAAAATACTACAGAAATATACCTTATTTTTTCCCCAGCATAATTGTTTTGCTGCCCCCATTGATTCAACGCTTAATTCCGCACCTTCGCACCTTGCGTGTAATGATAATCCCCCAAACACAGCGTAAATAATTTTTTAATTTATACGCACGCCAGCGCTTATCCCCTCCTAACCACCAGTGCAAGCATAATGTGCTTTTTTCTGCATTATCTACCGTGCCTTTTCACTTTCACTTTCATTTGTTTTTTATTCTCTTATTAGCGAATTCGATTCAATAAAATTGTTACATCGACAACCCAAATTAAGGCGCATTTAACTCCGCGTATGGCTAAAAGCAGTCCGAAAGAACAAAAACAACTGCATAGTTATTTGGAAAACTGGCAGCTGATTCAATTAACAGAAAATAGCAACTAATTGGCAGTCGGCAGAGGGCCTCTCTTGGTGACGGAAGCATCACATCCCGTCTTCTTATAGTGTCGCCCACTGCAGGCGGAGCACTTGACTATCCGCCTCTTCTTATCACTGTTTTTGGTTGAATCATTGTCGGCAATGGCACTGGGGCTGTTGCTTGTGTTAGTGCGTCTGGAAGTTGCCTTGTGCTTCTTGCTTGTATTCTTGCCACGACTCGGAATACGATTTCTTTTTTGGGACAGCCAGTTCTTGGTTAGGTTTATTCGGAATAAGCCCCGCCTCATATTGATCGCTGTCCTCAAGTCCCATGTCGTTGGTGTGAGGTATGCCGATTGTCTTGTTGTAAAGTATACGCAGCGATGGCAGCAAGTAAGACAAGTGAACGTAATCTGCTTCAAGCCGACACAGAGTATTGGGGTCAGGCGCCTTGTTGTCGAGGAGTGGTTTTCATAAAGCCTTACAGGCTTTTCGGAATTTGAAGTCAATGCATGCTGTGACATGCACACAAAGAAACTGGAACTCCCTGTGCTGCTTGCAGGTGCAATCCATATCGCCAAGGTTAACGTTGAATTTAAGGTTCTTGTTAGATACCCGTTCAGAGACAGTGAATAAAGACGGGGAGCAGTTGTCATAACCTTGAGCCTGATTGGCACATCGAACAATGCCTGGAACTTTTGAAGCTTGTTGGCGTCAACTCGGGCATGTCATCATCCAACGGTTCTGGATACTTGTCCTTGCGCTCGGGCAGTTTTGTGGCTTGGTACTCGACCCAGTTTTGCATGATAAATGGGCTGCCAGACTGCAGGTTCGCGTGTGATGCATTAACAGACTCAGCGGCATTGGATGTCAGGGTGCCAAAATGCAGTACTGGAAACATAATGCACACACACTACAGCATAGGATTGTCGTGGCATTAATTAGAGGGATGTCATGTGATGACTGGGATTGTTGATAATCGCAGCTGTATCTTCTTGTTTGCCGATTCCGATTGTTTAAGGGAAGCTCCTTTAGCTTCCTTATAGTGTATTTTTGGTATTAATATATGTTATTATAGTTTATTGATATTACAAATGGCCAGTCGCTGGGTAAGGAATTTGAAAGGGGTATGAGTGAGTTCGACGCCAGGGATAAATGCAGGGAGGTGGTTTCTTGCTGTCTTGCTCACATCGAAGCAAGGGCTGGTGTTTTTCGGGACTGGTACCAAAGAGAAAATGCTGCTGTTGGACACAGTTTTGAATTTGTTATTCTGAGCGGGAAATAACCGTTGATTGAGTCAACACGCTCACTGCAATGCTGTGTCCCATTACTAGAAACATTATTTGTAATGTTGAAACTGTGGTGCCTGACACACATTTCAAGACACTATCTCCCCTTTTCAAGAATCAAGATCGTCCTCATGGCCACTATACACATTTCTGTTATTGCTGGCTGACACCAAGGAACACCATGATGTTTACAGCACTGCCCACACAATGCTGCCCCCTTTTTCAGTTCAGTAAGTAATTTTTAAGACTTGAATATAGATTTAGACCCACATTTTTATAGAGCACGACAGAAGCGCTTGCCAAAGATTGTGTATGTTGGGAATGGCCATGTGCAAAATGTGAACTAAGGTTACTGTAATGCGATTTGGACTAGCTATAATATATATTAATAGAAATGAGACTACGGGAAGAGCTAAAGAGCTCACTATTCAGAATTCGCCGTACGCGTAAAATATCATAAACATATTTTACGCGTCTGCGCTGTCACGTGACTCGGCCCCCATTTCTGATGTCACATTCGCCCCTACTTAAGATCAGACTCCGTCGGTCTTGGCGATAGCGCGCGCGGTTAAATATCGTTCATATGCTTCTGTCTCATCCACGCTACTCTTGTCCTCCCATGTTCGTCCTTCTATTCCATATCCTTCCCACTGCACCAGGTATTGGCGTTTTCGCCTCCACACACGGTCGTCAACAATCTTTTCGACCTGATACTCGAGGTGTCCTGCAACTTCTACAGGTGGTGGTTCAGAGCGGAGTGCGGCACGGTGATCGTCGGCAGCATGGTATTTTTTTAGGTGTGACCACGAAATGACCGGGTGAATGCGCATGTCGAGTGGGAGTTTGAGGCGGAATGCATTTCGGCCGATCTGTTCTTCGACCTTGTAGGGCCCAGCCCATTTATGTTGCAGTGAGTTGCTGGACCGGTTACGCAGGTAAGGTGGCGTTGTAAAGTTCGTCGAGATCATTACTTCATCGCCTGGCACAATGTCGGGTGAGGTTATCTTCTTGTCGTGGTTTCTGATCATGCGTAGCTGTGCGAATTCGATGTTTTCCTTGACTATTTCGCTAATCTGTTTAATCTTCAGGATTGTATCGTCGGCGTCGGTATTGGGCTCAGCAGTTTCCATGTTGAAGGCGATGGTGGCGGCGTTCAATGGTTGGAAGCTATAATTTGCATAGAATGGGCTGTGCTGTGTCGAGCTGTTGCTGCGACTATTATAGGCGAACTCTGCATGCACTATGTGTTGGTTCCAGTCGTTTTGGTAATTGTTGCACGTCGCACGCAGCATTGACTCCAGTATCTGGTTCACACGCTCAGTCTGTCCATCAGTTTGTGCATGGCCGGCAGTGGACATGTTGAGTTGCGTTCCAGTTTGCTTCCACAGTGCCATCCAGAATGCAGAGCGGAATTTCGGATCACGGTCTGATATTATGGACTCGGGCAGGCCATGTTGGCGGTAGATGGTCTTGAAATACAGGTCGGCGGTTGTCTGGGCGGTTGCGGCATTGTGTGTTGGTACAAAGTGTGCCATCTTGGACAGGCGGTCAACGACGACCATGATTGCATCATATCCGTCCTTTGTCTTAGGTAGGCTGACAATGAAGTCCATGCTCACACTTGACCAGTTGCGTCGCGGGATCTGTAGCGGCTGTAGCGGTCCATCGCTTGGCCTGTTGCTGCCTTTGACTCTTTGGCACAGGTCACACGTTGTGACATAATTCTCGCAATCCACATACATGCCTGGCCAATAGAATAGTTCACTCAGCTTGTCGTATGTTGCTTTTATACCCGGGTGTATTGCAGCATCATGGAACTCGGCCAGCAGTAGTGATCTGTCTTGCTTTGTTCCGACGCAGCGGCGTCCTTTCTTGAACAGGACACCACCCTGTGCATGGAATTTGTTTGTAATGTCGCGCTCGGCTCTGGATGTTGGTTCTTCGCCACTACTAATCCTCTCCATAATTTTCTCCAACTTGCTGTCGCCCTTGTAGGAGTTCTCAGGGTTCGCGCTCGTCTTCAGCGTTAGCGCTTTGACAGCAGCCATGCGGACTGCTATCCTCCCCCCTTTTCCTGAAGAGCCGAACCCGTTGGCTCCACCGGCTGTCTCCTCAAAGGACTTGACCTCAGTGATGTGTGAGTGTGCGATCTTGGTTGGAATCAACTGTGCTATGCGGTCATGTGCAGCGAACGGAATCTCTATATTGCCTGTGTTGAACAGGAGTACTGAAATCTCACCGCGGTAGCCCCCGTCGACTATTCCTCCGAGCACCACAACACCCTTGGCAGCCAGGCTACTGTGTGGGGCAATGCGCAGGTATGTGCCTATTGGCGCCTTGGCGGCGATGCCTAATGGGACAAGGTGTTGGGCCTTGGGCTCGAGCACAAACTTGGTTATACAGTATACATCAAATCCAGCGTCATCTGGATATGCCTTGCAAGGCATCGTCGCATCGTCGTGTAGCAGCTGAACCTCCATGCTGTTGGCAGTTGTGCGTGGCACAAACAGTGCGCACAGTTTCCATTTTTCAAATTGGTCTATCAGGTCGTCGTTGTGCGTATTGTCCTTTGGCTGGTCAGTCTCCATGGTTGCACTCGTCGTTTCTGCAGCCACTGTCTCTTGTGTTCGTTTGGCTTCTGTTTCGGCTTCAGCGCGACATCCGCGTTGGTAGTTCTTGTAGTGCAGCGACTTGCGCACATATTCAGCACGGTTTAGTTCTCTGCGCTCATCGGCAGTCAAATATGTTCTGTCGACCACGGCTGGCGTTGGCGGAAAATTCGTTGTCTGTGCAGCTGGAGTGGTTGTCTTGATATTGGGCATGGGTATGGGCATAGGTATAGGTACGGATGTGTGTGCGGCGTCATCGTTTTTACTCGTGTTGTTCAGCGGGGCATCATTTAGTGGTATAGCTGGTGCAGTCAGTCCTGTCGGTGGCGTCAGTGCCATGTGTGGCACCTTGCCTGAATGTGACGCTGCGTATACTATGTTGTCGGGTTGCGATTCGAGTGAGCGTGACAAGCCGTCAGCAACTGCATTTTGAGCGCCCTTGCGGTAAATGATTTTCATGTCGAATTCCTGCCAGATATCCAGCCAGCGGGCCTGGCGCGGGGATATGTTGTTTTGCGTCTTAAGGAACTCGATTGATTTGTGGTCTGTAATCACTTCAAACTTGATGCCATGTAGGTAATGCCGCCAGAGGACCAGTGCACGAATGATTGCAAGAAGTTCTTGCTCGTGGACTGCATAGTTGCGCTGTGCTGGTCCCAGCTTTGCCGAATAGAATGCCACTGGGCACCACACCTTGTCATGTCGTTGGTGTAGGACACCGCCAATTGCAGAGCCGGATGCATCTGTCTCGACTCTCGTTTCGCAAGTTGGATCATACTGATGGAGTATTGGTGCTGTGGATAGTTGCTGCTTCAGCTCGGTGAAAGCCCTGTCAGCCTGGTCGTTCCACGAAAAGTCGGTATTGCATAGCAAATCGGTCAGCGGTAGTGCTATTCTAGCATAGTTTTTAATAAACCGGCGGTAGTAGCCGCTTAATCCAAGGAATGCGCGGATGTCTGTAATTGTCTCTGGCGTGCGCCACTCTTTAACGGCATCTACTTTGCGTGGGTCAGTCGCAATACCCTTGCCTGAAATGACAAACCCAAGGAAGTCGACTGTGTCTTTGAAGAATGCACATTTTTCGGGTTTTGTGTGCAGGTTGTGCTCCTTGAGGCAGGCGAGTACATCCTCGAGATCTTTTGCATGGTCGGCGTCATTCTTTGAAAAGACTAAGATGTCGTCTAGGTACACGATGCACGTTTTGCCAAGTAGGTTGCGCAGCGCATGGTTCATGACACGTTGGAAGACGGCAGGGGCATTTGTCAGCCCGAAAGGTACAACTGTGAATTCAAATGACCCTTGTTTTGTGCGGAAGGCAGTTTTGGCGATGTCTGCATTGCAAATTCGCACCTGGTGGTACGCCTGTACCAAATCGATTTTCGAGAAAACTTTTGCGCCACGGGTGTCGTCAAGCAAATCGTCTATACGCGGCATTGGGAATGCATCTTTTATCGTCACTGCGTTCAGGCCACGGTAGTCAACACACAGGCGCATTGATCCATCCTTTTTCTTGACAAAGAGGACTGGTGCACCCCATGGGGAAGATGACGGGCGGATATACCCCTTTGCAAGTAAGTCAGTCACTTGTCGGTCTAGTTCATCCATCTCTGCATGTGACAGGCGGTATGGTGCCTTGGTCACAGGTGCTGTGCCCTCATGTACATGGATTTCCATCTCAGGGCCGCCTGGTGGTGGTCGTTTGGAGGGCGGCTGATCAAGGACTTGGGTGTATCTGGCATGTAGCTCCTGTAGCGCCCTGTCTTGTGTCGTCGTGGTTGCTGCCACATGGATTGCTGGATTGGTATCGTTGTCAGGGAATGTAATTCGTAGCCATCCCCATTCCTCAATTTGGTCGTTTGCACGTGCAGTTTTCAGTGCACTGATTGACATAGGCTTCAGCTGGTCCTCGTCGGTCCGAGGCTCTGCATTACCCCGGATGGACCAGCTTTTCCCGCCATAGTCAAATGTCACCTTGTCAAGGTGGCTGTGGATCGTGGCCTTGTGTTTTTTTAGCCAATTATTTCCTAATATTATATCTTCGGAAACTGGGAGAACAAGGCAATGTACTGTAATTGTTAGGTTGCTCAGGAGGCGCAGCGTTACTGTGCACGACTCGGTGCAGTCCTTGTAGTGTGCGCCATTGGCC